AGATCAGCCACGTGCATAGATATCTTCTCTTCCCTCCCCGTAGGATCTCACAATTCGTTCATGACGACATCTCGAGAAACACGCGCGTCTTCCGGTCTTCGCGTGTGGGAGAGAAATCATGTTTGTTCGATCGTCGGCAACTTGAAGTTCAGGAAGAGTCGTACATTCCACGTAGATCGCAGTGCATGAAGCAAGGGGCGACGATAAAAGGGATAACCAACGACGTCGACTGTGAAAGAAAGAAGAGAATCAGCGAGAGAACCTGAGGCAGTGGAGACGGTACCGTACTATTCACTGTCCCGGCATAGTCGAGTCGTCTCGCGCCCGCCATCACTTATTTCCTTGCTATTCCGAGATCGGTAATCGGAACCCTCTGCATACACTCCCGTATCGTGCAAGGCTCCACTCTTGAAGGAGCTCCACAACGAAGAAGAGAAACCGAGTCTCGTTCAACGTGCAGTCCGATAACCGATCTGGACCACTTGAGGTCCTTTCTACCCCTCATTCATGAGAAGACACGTCTTATGTTGTTCATAGCGACTCTCCTCTACGTGGAAGGGCCTTGCGCAGTCGTACGAGAGTTGGAAAATGTGATCTACCCCCGTGAAGAGGATCACGTTCTGGGGTGGGGGAGTCATAACATGTTCCGGCTCGGGTCTACATGCACTCTTCTCTCACAGGAAGATGCGTGGGGAAGGTCCATTCAGAAATGTTTGTTCGATTGTCGGTGGATCAGAAAGTAGGAACCATTATAAGCCTAGGGAGAGCCGTATGGTATGTCCGTAGCTGTAAAATGGCATTCCATATAGGACTTGGTAGACTGGGTCGGTTGTGACGAGTACATGGTGTGGCGAAGTGAGAGGACCATGATGCAGCGGAGACGCCGGCATTCTCGTTGCTGTCATGTCTCTGTCTTCCTGTTTCCTTGGATGTGAGAGGTCGTTTCTTGGATGCATATATCGCCAGCCACGTGTATTCTTCTAGGAAGCTGGATGTGAGAAATGTGATTCGGTTGTCGGCAGATCTAGCCTTCCCCGTCCCAATGGAGGAAAGAGTATGAATGGTTTCGCGAGTCGCGACGGCGGGACTCGCTCTACAACAACGTAAAAGGGTCCAATGTTCGACGACGGCCCGACTTCCTCTCTGCGCAAGATTTTGAAGGCGGATTTATGATCCAGCATCACGTTCTGGGGTGAGGGAAGAGAGCGAACGGGCTTCGGCGGTATGACTGAGAAAAGCTCGGACCTTTGGTTGAAAAATAGACCATCCACGTGCGTGGATATCTTCTCTCCTACCCTGAAAGATCTCACAATTCATTTAGAAGAGATAAACGGTTCCGATCATCGTAAGGGTCCACGATTTAGGTAGGCCTTTGTATCCTAACAATGCACAATTCCTCTATGGGTTCGATCGGGGGTAAGATTGAGGCAGATGATACAACGGGGAACGGGGAACGGGGATCATGATCAGAAGTTGTGAAGGTGTCTGAATACATCTGCACAGGAATAGCGCTGTGACATAGATTGGTGGGGGTGGGGTAGAATTTTGATTATCGGCGAGCCAAAATACTAGTGGGCGAAAACTGGAAAACTGGATTGATTGGCCATCTCCGCTGATACAGCTCAGGTAAATAGAAGTAAACTACTCCTACCGACCTCGATGGCTCGTTGTGAGAAGTAATGACAGTCGTAGCAACATTATCTACTAGTGCATGAGTCCGAAATGACAGCGAATATGCACATTCCCTCTGAATCCTTCCGACTACCGTAATCCTGATCGTCGCAGACCAGCTGCGCTCGCTGACATCAGCTGCAGATGATGTCGACCCGGGATAACGAAGGGTCAAGAAATATGGCTGTCACGCTGCAATGGCTTTACAGAGTGATAAATGCCAATGGAGGTTGCAAGAATACATGAAACGAGAGGAAATGAACTGGGGGAGGTCCGCGGAATAGTCAGCTCCTTGAACGACATCACTAGCGACTTCGAGGTTAAGGTGATCTCCTCAAAGCCAAAGGAGAGTGATATCTTCCTTGACAAGGACAAGGGACTCGTGCTATAGGCGAAAATGGTGCAGCATCATGGAAAGACAGAGAGCTGCCATGTAAGACATTGCTGAGACATTGCAAGGAGAGCGCTTTTCAAAGTCAATGACGAGTTTGAGCTGAAGGAGAGAGTTGGGGATAAAGAAATGGCGAGATATAGAGTATTTGTGGTGGTGGTTATTCGTGGGACCTTTGCTCATGTCGCGAATGACTGGTAAACCAATAAGGTTTGGGTACCGACCAACGTACCATCCTACTGGCAACCAGGACAAGGCTTCAGTAGGTGTGCCACGAGCTGTTTTACGGTAGTGGTGGCGGTAGTGGTCGTGGTAGTGGTGGCGGTAGCGGTAGCGGTAGCGGTGGTGTTGGTGGTGGTGGTGGTGGTGGAAAATAATGATAGACAGAAGTATCCGGGCCGATGTACTTTCTTGTCGTTCCAACACGATCGATTCCAAGTTGATGTCTGCGCAGAGCTAAGGAAGAACGATAAGAAAGAGATCATGATACAACTGAAACGTTACCATTCACAGTGCTGGCATAATTGGTAGCCCATGCATGTCCGTTGTCGTAGTCGGCTTCCTATCTCCTTGGATTGTGTCCTGGGTGGTATTGACTGCTTCCGAAACTAAGTAAGCTTGGTAGTCGAGCTATGAATGGAGGACTTACACCTTCATCATTACGCGATCGTGCAAGGCTCCACCCGCCAAGGAGATCTCTATGAGAAGGGTAGCCCCACTATGAAGAAAGGAAGCTAGGTCGTGTAGCTATCACGACGAGTTCTTTCTTCCAGGATGACATTTAGCCTCAAGAAGGAGGCCTAGAAGCCCGAATGAGAGAGATGAAAACTACTCCGAGAATTTACCGACCATTGACTCCGGCTGCAAATGTGCGCTCCGGGGAAATTGAAGAGGGAACCACCTCGAGGCGACCTGATTCTCAGGGATGACCAATCTCCTCACACAGGTCGGCTTCTCTAGTGAATGGAATGCTGAAAAAGTACTAGTACTTGAACCACAGAATCAGAGATGATGGCACAAAACACGCACGTTCGTCCGGTATCCTCCTCGGCGCGAGCTTGTCTCCTTGAGCTTCGTACCTTTATCATTACGCTTCGCATTACACCATAGATCTTCATTCACACATGAGAATCCTATACTCTTTCGGATATCGTCCTCTACCAACGGTCGATGTTTGGGATTCGATAGGGGTTTGGGGGCCCTTTCTTGAAGTGGAGGCAGTCGTACCGTGCAATATTCCAAGAGGAAATGAGGCGGCAGAGAAATATTGACTTGATAGAGTCGTAAACGTCGCTTTCACGAGAAGAAAGGAAATGAGACAGATAAATCAGGCGCCGTAGGTGGCTGTGAAAATGTCAGGTGCACTTCGGACCGACGTAACCGGTGCCACGCAGCTAAATATCGTCGGTTGACTACCATGATACCTGGCTGGAGCTACTCTTTCCAGCAGATGAAGCCTGACGAACTGGCGGTATTATCCCTATTTTTTGTAACAAACGTTTCAGGTAAGCCGGCTTTATTATAGATACCTACTCACGGTACTTGCATCAGGAAAAAGCCTTTTGCTACGTACCCCCCACTCAGGTATACATAGTCCATGTATGTCCAGTAGCGCTCATAGAGGGTGCTCAGCAGTACGTACCAGTACGTAGCGCTCGGTATCTATTGCTGGGGACTACATATATAGTGGTATCCTTGGGCAGGACCTACGAGCACTACAGTCATTGTCAGTATTTATGACGTCTTCAATGGTAGTAAAAGCAGACAACAGTTGTCGGCTGACCTGAGACAATGAACAGTACTAGAGGAGGAACCTTGTTTAGCACACAGCTAAGAGTGAAGCACTAATTAAAAAAAGTCTGTAATCAGAGCATTATCCACGCCCTAGAACATACAGGACAATTACAGTGGATGCCATTGATATCCAGCGTGTAGCGAGGACTCTTCCGAGTTAACAGAAATTCGCCGTCCATTTGAAACTCCGACATGGCACGTGCACAACCAACAAGACCACGCCATCGGGTTCCGATCAAATCCAACCATCTTTTCTCCATCTCCTTCCACTTCTCCCACATCCTTTTTACTTGTTGCCGCCGCCATCTTGATGCGAATAGTCTGTCTTTGCTCGATGACTCTCCTTGCAATTTCGGTGACCCCTTAGGTCTGCGCACAGTGTGTGGTAACGTGTTCTGAATACCGTGAGTGCCGCAGCTATTCCTCATACTCAATCTCATTTAGCTTCGACGTGCAGACAGGATTTATTGTTTAAACTTAGTTGTTTGAAACTTTCAGTGAGTACCCGATTTAATTTGTGACTGACTACTAGGTCTCGTATGTTTTCGGAGGACTCGTTGCATTACTACCTCGGAAATTGGACCGGGATGTTCATATGCCCTGGTCCCTCCAACGTTTGCCATACCATATTTGAGATTCGGACCGACCTATAGACTGTAATGACTTCGTAACACGGGCATCTTGGTATGTGCGAGAATCCTGGTCCTTGTTTCGTCCTTATCGTTTTCTAGGTTTCTCCTAGTGACCCTAGACTAATGTGAGCTGCGTATTTTTCCAACTTTTGATGGCCTACTGACTTGCTCTTAGCGGCTGTCGGCTTCCATCTATTTTGCGGTCGCATGGTATAACAATATCAGTTGGGAATAGGACGTTTGAGGTAGTCTATTGCAGAGGATGCTATATTAACTCTCATATTGTAATGGGCCTACTAGTTTCAATACATTAAAATTTCCTTTTATTGTGGTCCGTCCTGTTTTGTGTGTAGAATACTAGTCTATGTTTTGCTAAGTACGGATCCAGTACTGCTACTGTCGAGCAGTTGTAGCCTGAGTGGGGCGCTACCATTCGCTACTGGCTACTACGTACCCTTAGTAATATGCTACAGGATGCTACATATGGGGGACTGTGCTACGGTGCTACCAGCACTACGTAGCATATATATCGCGATGTAGCAAAGTAGGTTTTTCCTGATGCGTGACTGTGGATAGTAACAGGGCAGGGCGACATTCTTCATCTTACATTGTAACGTTACGCGCCAGAGCTCAGCGTGCCTTGGCCTAACACTCCACTTTTTCTTTTCCCTAACGCAACGTAGATTAGTTTACACTTATTTACTGCCACTGAGCTAACATCAGCTGGTCTTCTGGTCTTCCTAACGGGCAGGCAGTTCCCAACGGCCTAATACGAGTAATGCAAACTGTCACGCTTCCCATCGATTGTCCTGCCCTCCCATCGATTTGACCGCTATGATACAGAAGAAAAACAAAGGAACGGTCCTGAAGGCACCAAAGTCAGAGGTATAATACATGTCTTCTTGGGTTCTTCATTCGCTTACCTGATTATTAGCCTTCCTGCAGCAAAACCAGACAAGGAGCAGCCAGATCGACTGTGATCAACAGAATCAACGAGTGTTTACCCAACGAACTTTTAGCCTACATCTTTGCCACTGCAATTAACAGCCTGTTTCCAATATCGCACAGCCCCTTCCTTGCTGTAGTATGCAGCACCTGTCGTCGTTGGCGGGATGTTGCTATCGAGGCATCTGAACTTTGGACTACCATTTATATACATGATCAAAGCCATATACCACCTGCCGAACTCTTCCTTGAACGATCAAAGACCCGGCTTCTGGATGTTGACGTCCAAGTCATCTTTGATCGAGGTGGGTTCTGGATGACTCCTGAGCCGGCCACTTTCAGTCGATCATCTGGGTTTCGAGTTGCGGAGTTGACGTCGGTCCATCTTGTGCGTACGAGGACACTTTCGTTGAGTGTCAGCGACACACAGGGTGCCGAATTCTTTTCTGTATTGTACCGACCGATGTCCACTCCGCATCTCGTTAGCCTTTCCATTGATGTCAAAGGATCGCCGCGAGGCGCTCCCCTCTTACTTGATTCCATTTACTCATTCCGTTCTAATGGGAGTAAAGCCTTACCCTCAAACACAGCATCAATCTCCCGCCTTACCAAGCTCGAGATCACAACTCTTCGACATGAAGATATGCGGATTATATTCATGTGCTTCCAGTCTCTCGAGACACTCATCCTGCCGAAATTTGGTCAAAATTGGAGTGGAAGCCGGAGAGAGAATCAACCCATCGTATTAGTCTCCAGCACGCTGCGATCGCTCGCAGTTCAGCTTGATCACACTCATAACAGGTTTTTGCGTGCACCGGGGAATTGTTCATGTGTCCTAGGCTCTCTTCGCTTTCCGAACCTCGAATATCTCGAGGTCCTAGGCGACAAGTCTTCCTACAATCCTAATCTCGGCAGTCACTTCAAAGACCTGTCGAAATTGCAAGCACTGCGTTTGCAGCGGTGCTCCATATCACCTGCTGATGCCGAGTTCTTCCGCTCTTTGATATCGTTAAATCGTTTGGAACTGGTGGACAACTTGAAAGGTGTGGAGGGGTTTGCAATACACTGCATAACAGTGTCCTTACCTTTTCCTCACCTGTCGTCTATCTTACTCAGTGGCAAATCAGGTCGAAGTCATGGCATATCCCAGTGGGTACGCCTAGCGCGGCTAGCTGTCCAGAATTATGGTTGTACCAGATTTTCTATCGAAGTAACGGCACAACATCGTCGCCGCATGTTGCTTGCGTTCCTTGGTCCTCAGGATGAGCGTATTCACGTTGAAACAACAGATCTTCCTCCCGGTTTGCTCTTTCCGCTTCCTACAAAAAAACTCTTCGACCAGTCAGACCATGACGAGGAAGATTATTACGCTTCCGACGTTGCTACCATTGATTCGTCCGACTATGAGTCCCTGGTAGAATATTAACGGGGCTTTGAACTGTAAGTTTACATTTCGAACTTTGTGTGCGAAGCGAAACATGATATTGACGAACCTTTAGTGAAAGGATGTAAGTATATAGACTGTTACATATTATGATTTCCTTTGGATTCGGAATGTATCAGAAACTTCAAAGGCGGTGCTGGTCTGTACTGGCCGCTGATCAATGGATAGCTGGGTAGGCTGGTAAATAGCGCTGTCTTCGACGTATTACTTCTCTAATGTTATTGGACATTGAGGAAATAAGTGTCGACTTGAGTCATAAACTGATATATATATATATATATAAATCGCTTGATGCCAACTACATCGAGTTATGGGACTGGTTATGCCACATACCTACCTATGGTCGACATTCTTGGGCAGATGGTCGTCGGTTGACGTCTACAATACCTTGCTTCCGAGTGAGCAGTTCTCATGCAGGTTTTGAGTTTCTCGCATATATAGATGCCTGCAACAGTTTGATACGTACCACTGTGTCCCGCGTTGAGTTTCTGTTTGATATCTTGAACAATGTTTCTCCCAGGTAGCATGCATAGAATAATTGACATGTATCACTGTTAACAAAGTTGATTGATTCAAAGCCAATGCAAACACTCGTCTCCAATTGATCAGTCCCTTCATCCTCGTCTTCTGTAAAGGTTTGCTGGCCGGACTCTGCCTGGAAGTTGATACAATTATCATTGTTGAATGCAGCACGAAACAATCTTCCGAAGTCTTCATCTATCGTTCGTCCTGCAAAGCTATCGTTAACTGACTGGACAATATCTCGGGAGGAAAGGGGGTAGCAGGCCTGCTTAAGGCGGTGAAAATATCGACTGGATGGACTCGTGATTCATGAACGTTGAACGTGAAACTGAGAGAACCCGAATTCGCATGGGTAGCTGTGAAATGGTCAGGTGAATATCACGTGCCACTTCGCGCGACGCGTTCAGTCAGATGCGCCGCCGGGTGCTATTTTAATTCTTACCCTTTCTTGCCGTTGCTGTATGTACTCCAATGCGCAATAGACAATTTTCCGAAAGCCTCATTTTCGTTCGTTCAGAGCTAACCTATCGCTAAGGCACTATCCCGGGTCCCCTGGTTAGTGACCGCCAGATGTCTAGCCCCAGATTGGCATTATCAGACAGTCAACAGTGACCGTAGTCCCTCTTGCTAAAACGGGAAAATGGTCAACAAGAATGACTATGTGAGATGTGTCGGATTCATTTTACTTGTATCTAGCGTATCTAGCAGGCATCAAGACTTTAGCAACACGCGCTTGTAACAACTACACTCTAATTCAACATCACGTCTCCGGTTCTTCTTCTAGTCGATAATTCTCCAGATAATTCAAATGCTGATATGCAGCATTGTCACCGAGCAGTTCGTCTCTGGCCTTTTCCATCTTGCCTACCCACGGGGACATCCATTGGTGTTTGGGGGCATTTTTCATCGTCATACGCTCCTTTGGATTCGAACGGAGGAGGGCCCGGACAAATCGTTTCCCTGCAGAGTTAAGAATCTGAGTCAGCGGATAACGCATTCGAGGGATGTGGCAATGGAATGTACCTTCTTCAAGAACCCGCGCTTTGTCCAAGAGATCCCATCGCATCAATGGATCCCAGTCATCTGGTCTCTGGTCGCCAGTGTCCAATCGTTCGATCGGCAAGGTCTCTGTGAACCTAGATGATGCAATGAGGGAAACGGGGAGGCGGAGAAGGGGAATAGAAGACCGACATCTGGAACACGATAACTCCGACACTCCAGCTATCCACGAGGTGGTCGTAACTACCACCATGTTGGCCCTGTTCTGAGGGCATGTACTCCGGCGTACCACATGCAGTCTAAAATCAGTCGTCAGCGAAGGAAGGGAAAGAGAGACAACGACCTTACCCGGAGCATGGTATGATCATCGACAATCTTAGCCATCCCAAAGTCAGAAAGCTTAACGATAGGAGGGACGTCTTTAGAGTCTTTAGACAGAAGGATGTTCTACGTAGTTGATTATCAGTCGGCAGAGACGTCTTTATCTACTAATGCATACCTCAGGCTTGATATCACGGTGCGTGACGCCCTGGATATGTAGGTACTAGCGCGCCACCATCAATTAAAGATGGAAGGAAAGAGTCGAAAAGTAACATACAGCAAGGGCGTCACAGATCTGCCAAATTATTTGCGTGGTCGGAGAAACGTCCATTGGCTACCGTGACGAGTACAGGAGGAGCGATGAACTTGGACGAATGGGAAGGGTCACGGAGTCTGGTCGCCGTGCATATCAACTAGGCGAGCATTGGGCGACGAGGTGGGCGAGTGTGTTTTCTCCGAGCAAGTAGCAAACTAGTAGTCGTCGCACTGGCAAGAGAAGGCAAATTTCATGCTTAGTCAGCCTCTTCGCAGCAACGTTGACGGTCTCATTCTACTTTGTTGGAGAGCCAATCTATGAAGGGAAGGAACGAGCGTGCGAGATACATGATCAATGATTCCCAATTAACAGTTCGCTCTGACTAGTCCTAGTCATGCGATGAAACTTGTCTCATTCCACCTCGCCGATCCCTAGGCCTCGGACGAAGCTACCCGCTCGCCGCTCGAGATGCGGCTATTGTATACGTACACGTACACGCTACCGCCCTTTACTAAGGCCTCATAATTCAGTTTTGTTCGCCCTCATGACGCTAGGGTTTCAAACTCATGATCCTCCCTCATGACACTCCAGACAGTTGTATGGTATTGAGCCGCGCACCTGGACCGAATTTATCATACAAAGACCGTCTATTCTATCTTAGCGTCTAAATCCAAATTCGTTGAAAGATGTAACCGGTGGTTTTTGGAAGTAATTCGATATCGAACTCGTCAATGTACCACTAGGGAACGTCCCAGACTAGGAAGGAAGATATCACCGGTTTAAGCGGGGTATAGATCGACCTTCTCCAAGCGTTGGCGTAGGTCCTGTGGTCTGGTGAGGAACCCTGCAGAGTCCAAGTTTCGGCATGAGAGTCGAAGAACGTTTTGGAGATGACTTATCCCCGGTAAAAAGGATCACGTTCTGGGGTGGGGGGAGAAGAGACGGACAGAGCGAATATACCTCATATGCTCCGGCTCCGCATGTCAATGGTATTCATGTACACGGAAAAGCTCCACTGAGAGATTGACTTGAGGGGAAGACTCCGCATAGATCGACCTTTCCCAAGCGTTGGTGGTCTATCTCTGGTGTGGACGAGTAGGATAGGGAGAGCGAATATACCTCATATGTTCCGGCGAGAGAAAATAAAACATGAGAGTAAAGAGGATTACAAGGGAGTAAGGGCGGGAAGGGCGAATATGCCTCATAACGACTCTCACAGACAGTATAAGTTGGGAGGTGAGCTATTCCTGAGAAGAGGGACCACGAGGGAGTACTTGGGACGGGGAGAGCGAATATGCCCCGTAACAATCGGCTCGGGTCTAAGTGGCGTATACGCTCACAGGCGAGAGAAGATATGAAAGTATTCGCGTACGTCGAAAAACACGCCGAACGTATCAGAAAGGTTGGCCCACGGAGAAGGATGGGAACTACGAGCAGGGTAGTTCCGGGATGTCGATGTGCACGTACGGAGACCGAGAGACGCGAAAAAGCAAAGGAAGAGACGGCGCACTGCTTCCGGACCATGGGCTGGGGTCTCGACCCGAACCACCCACGAGAGAGCGCCTAGCGGCACGACCACCATTCTCTACAGTGCATGACCTTCCTCCCTTGAGCCCAAATCTTGTCTGTCTTCCTCCTGTGCGTAGGTGGGAGCGTATATATCAGGGTAGCGGGCAACAGCAATCGTGATCATCACCCTGCCAACTCTCTAGCGGCCACAGCATTGCAACGAAGGATGTCGCGTAGGTGGGAGCGATGACGCATGTACATGCATGTATCAGGCAATAGGTCGCTCTGTTGGGAGTAGGTGATGGAGGAAGCACAATGGTCGTGATCATCAAAGGTCGCTGTGCATACATGTAGGAGAGTATGTGAGTTTGACAAGGTGTTCCATCATCGTGCAGTGGTGATGTAGGGATGATGTCGAGGAGGAGCGATCTTGCAAAGGGTGAATGTGATTGCATGGATAACGAACCAAAGGGAGAATCAATGATATCCAATTACAGTGCGCATGACCGTTGTGCAAGGCCCAATCTGTGCGTAGCAGTCGGAAATGCACACGGAGCTCGTGCATAGGAGAATCGTGTTGAATGCGCAGCTACCACGACGTTTCTTCAGGCTGCAGATGATCCGATAGTGCAGGAAGGAGGGGCGCTCCAGCCGGAATCATAGGGACAGATGCAGGTGAAGGCAGGAAGGACGTTGGGTCGTGGACGTGATATGGGCATTGGGTGACGAGGTTGTGCGAGTGACGCCGGCGAGGAAGTCTGGCTCTAGGACAGGTTTATGCCGAAGCCGCCTCGCAGGTATCACCGTCAAATCCTCATGCTAAGTCAGCCACGTTGTTCGGCAGTCATTCGGCCGGTTCTGCTGTTCGTGTTCTGCTGCTTCCTGGATTCAACATTTTTAGTACTCCTTTTCTTTTTGGATTTGATACCAAGCGTACTTGAATCGCGCGCACTACGTTGGAACCTGGAATTACCATCCGAATCTTATCCCTCACAGTCACAGAGAGTTCTTCGCATGCATATCGATAGGCCTCTCCAAATTCCATTTCTATTGCATGTATGCCACACAAGTCCAACCGTACGACGCTTTCTGTTCTGTCTCAGGTTTTCAGCTCCCTTCGCCTTTGGTTTTTCTGGTGTTTGACTTGCCTGAATCCTGCTACTGAAATTGAATCGGACCATCACCAATGTCGAGGGGGCATGTCTCTAGGACCGCATCGGATACCAATTATTGCGCTATTTTCTCTTTTCTGAGCTACGACCCAAGGGGATTCATTGAGCCCATAAGAGCGAGGATGAGGTTTAACCTGTCTTCGGACCAGGAAGGAGGGTTATTGTTTAGGAACAGAACACCTCGTACAGACCGTGACCCACAACGTCATATTCAAGTATCGCCCGGCAACTGTGAAATCAAAGCCGAAAGGAGAGCGACACAGTGCGCGCGCTATGGAAGGGAGGAACAGGACAGGACGCGTCGCGTCAGATGTGTAGTTCTCGTTGTCAAGTGCAGGACACAACTCCCGATGCAGATCAACACTCGGGCTAGCTGGTGTGCACGAGGTTGCTGAAACCCCGCGTTCCGGTACGTTTCTTCTACCCTGCGACGAAGCGAAAGCCTGGGATCCAGCAAACAAAGTACCATATCGCAGGGCACCGGTTTGTATCGTACGTATCTTCTACCCTGTGATGAAGCGAAAGTCTGAGATCAGTAGAATCCATATCGCAGGGCTCCAGTTCGTCTTTCCGGAGTGTAGGAATGGCGATCGCAAGAAGCGCAGTTCAGATGTCGTGTCCTGTGCAACGGCACCGGAATCCCTATGCTCGGAACTTGGCCTTCTCCATCCCGATGGAGGAAAGGGCAACGTCACACCTCCCTCTATAAACGGCCCACGGCTCGACTTCCTTCCTTCTAGCCAATGCACCAAGAAATAAGGTGTACTGCAGGAGGGCACTTTTATAACCTCACAGTGGGCGAACCTGATTTTGTATCCTGACAAGCAGCATAGCAAGGAAGGGCCTACTAGTCCTGCGCCTGTAATTTGTCCTTTCCCCGTCTCAACGGAGGAGAGGAAGCGTCCGTGATAGTCACCTGGTTTCCTGATGGCGCGACTCGGGGCTACAGAGTTAAAGAACGTTTTTGGAGGTGGTGTGAGCTGTGATCTACCCGCGAAGAATATCGAAGAGGGAGAATGGGGGATTGCGCGGGTAAGAAACAGAGCGTCAGAACAACTAGACCAGCCACGTGCATAACTATCTTCTCTCTCTCTCCCATACAATCTCACAAATCATTCATGACGACATCTCGAGAAACACGCACGTCTTCCGGTCTTCGCGTGCGCGTGAGGGCTAGAGAGAAATCATGTTTGTTCGATCGTCGGCAACTTGAAGTTCAGGAAGAGTCGTGCGTTCCACGTAGATCGCAGTGCATGAAGCAAGGAACGACGATCAAAGGGATAACCAACGACGTCGGCTGTGAAAGAACGAAGAGAATCAGCAAGAGAATCTGAGGCAGTGGAGACGGTACCGTACCATTCACTATCCCGGCGTAGTCGTGCCCTCTCACGCCTGTTATCGTGGGAGATTTCCTGTTTACTTGCTATTCCGCGAAGTTTGTAGTCGGAACTACAGGACCTGCTTCTGCGTACACCCCGTATCGTGCAAGGCTCTACGCGAAGGAGCTCCACAACAAAGAAGAGAAACTGAGTCTTGTTCAACGTGCCGCTATTGCAGACACGGACCGTGACCTGGATCACTTGAGGTCCTTTCTACCCCTCATTCATCAGAAGATACGTCTTGTGTTATTCGTGGCAACTCTCCTCTACGTGGACAGGCCTTGCGCAGTCGTACGAGAGTCGAAAAATATGATCTACCCCCATGAAGAGGATCACGTTCTGGGGTGGGGGGCCTAGGACGGAGAGAGGGCATATACCTCGCAATATGTTCCGGCTCGGGTCTACATGCACTCTTCTCTCACGGGCGAGAGAACTAGGAGATAAGGTATTCGCGTGGGGAAGGTCCACTGAGAAATGTTTGTTCGATTGTCGGCAGATCAGAAGGTGGGAACAATCGCAAGCCCAAGGAGAGCTGTACGCTATGTCCATAGCTATAAGATGACGTTCCATATACTAGTAGATTGGGTTGATTGTGACAGTACATGGTGTGGCGGGGGAGGGGATCATGATGCAGTGGAGACGCTAGCATTCATGTGGCTGTCATGGCGTTGCCTTCCTGTTTGTGAGAGGTCGTTTGTTGGATGCGTATATCGCCAGCCATGTGTATTCTTCTGGAAAGCGGGACTAGAGAATTGTGATTCGGTCGTCGGCAGATCCAGCCTTCCCCATCCCAATGGAGGAAAAAGAGTATGAATGGTTTCGCGAGTCGCGACGGCGGGACTCGCTCTCCAACAACGTAAACAGGTCCAATGTTCGGCGACGGCCCGACTTCCTCTCTGCGCAAGATTTTGTAGGCGGATTGATGATCTAGCACCACGTTCCGGGGTGAGGGAAGAGAGCGAACGGGCTTCGGCGGTATGACTCGGATCCTGGGGGTTGAAAAATAGACCACCCACGTGCGTGGATATCTTCTCTCCTACCCTGGAAGAAAGATGATCTCGCAATTCATTTAGAAGAGATAAACGGTTCCGATCATCGGTAAGGGTCCGCGATTTGGGTAGGCCTTTGTATCCTAACAATGCACAATTCCTCTATCGGTTCGATCGGGGGTAAGATTGAGGCAGATGATACAACGGGGAACGGGGAACGGGGATCATGATCAGAAGTTGTGAAGGTGTCTGAATACATCTGCACAGGAATAGCGCTGTGACATAGATTGGTGGGGGTGGGGTAGAATTTTGATTATCGGCGAGCCAAAATACTAGTGGGCGATAATGATAGACAGAAGTATCCGGGCCGATGTACTTTCTTGTCGTTCCAACACGATCGATTCCAAGTTGATGTCTGCGCAGAGCTAAGGAAGAACGATAAGAAAGAGATCATGATACAACTGAAACGTTACCATTCACAGTGCTGGCATAATTGGTAGCCCATGCATGTCCGTTGTCGTAGTCGGCTTCCTATCTCCTTGGATTGTGTCCTGGGTGGTATTGACTGCTTCCGAAACTAAGTAAGCTTGGTAGTCGAGCTATGAATGGAGGACTTACACCTTCATCACATAACTTTTATACGTGATCGTGCAAGGCTCCATTCGCCAAGGAGATGTCTACGATAAAGACGGCTCCACTAAGAAAGGAAGCCAAGTCGTGTAGCTATCACGACGAGTTGTTTCTTCCAGGATGACATTTAGCCTCAAGAAGGCGCTCTTTGAGGCCTAGAAGCCCAAGAATGAGAGAGATGAAAACTATTCCGAGAATTTACCGACCATTGACTCCGGCTGCGAATGCGCGCGCGGGGAAAATTGAAGAGGGAACCACCTCGAGGCGACCTGGCTCTCAGGGTCCAGATAACGACGTGACCAATCTTTTCACACAGGTCGGTTTCTCTAGTGAATGTCCTTTCCCGTGAACGCTGAAAAAGTACTAGTACTTGAACCACAGAATCAGAGATGATGGTAAAGAACACGCACGTTCGTCTGGTATCCTCCTCGGCGCGAGCTTGTCCCCTTGAGCATTGTCCCCTTATCATTACACTATAACTCTTTATTCACACATGAGAATCCTATGCTCTGTTCCTCTGTTCGGATATCGACCTCTACCAATGGTCGGTATTTGAGATTTGATGGGGGCCTTTTCTTGAGGTGGAGGCAGTCCTACCGTGCAATATCCCGAGGAGAAATGAAGCGACAGCAATATTGACTTGATAGAGTCGTAAACGTCGCTTTCACCAGAAGCAAGAAAGTGAGACAGATAAAGTTGGTTCTGAATTTGGCAGTTGCATAGTTGGCTGTGAAACGGTCAGGTGCACTTCGGACCGACGTCAACCGATGCCGCGCGTTGCTAAATATCGTCGGTTGACCACCATGATACCTGGCTGGGACTGCCCTTTCCAGCAGAGGAAGCCTGAGGGACTGGTGGTTACTGGTGGTATCATTCCAACCTTTTGTAAACCAACGTTCTCAGGTAAGCCGGCTTTGTTATAGATATTTACTCACGGCCAGTTCACGGTACTCGTAACTGTGGATAGCAGGGCAGGGCGATACTCTCCATCTTACATTGTAACGTTACGCGCCAAATCTCAGCGTGTCTTGGCCTGACACTGCCCTTTTATTCTTACCTACGACGAACTACCGACGTAGATTAGTTTACACTTATTTACTGCCAATGAGCTACATCAGCTGGTCTTCTAGTCTTCCTAACGGGCAGGTAGTTCCTAACAGCTCCCAACAACCTAACACAAGTAACGCAAACTGTCATTCTTCCCATCGTTTGTCCTGCCCTCCCATCGATTTGACCGCTATGATACAGAAGAAAAACAAAGGCAAAAAACGAGATACGGTCCTGAAGACACCAAAGTCAGAGGTATCTTACATGTCTTCTTGGGTTCTTCATTCGCTTATCTGATTATTAGCCTTCCGACAGCAAAATCAGACAAGGAAAAGCCAGATCGACTGCGATCAACAGAATCAACGAGTGTTTACCCAACGAACTTCTAGCCTACATCTTTGCCACTGCAATTAACAGCCTGTTTCCAATATCGCACAGCCCCTTCCTTGCCGTAGTATGCAGCATCTGTCGTCATTGGCGGGATGTTGCTATCGAGGCATCTGAACTTTGGACTACCATTTATATACATGATCAAAGCCATATACCACCTGCCGAACTCTTCCTTGAACGATCAAAGACCCGACTTCTGGATGTTGACGTCCAAGTCATCTTTGGTCGAGGTGGGTCCCGGATGACTGGGCCGGCCACTTTCAATCTATCACCTGGGCTTCGAGTTGCGGAGTTGACGTCGGTCCATCTTGTGCGTACGAGGACACTTTCGTTGAAGGTTGGCGACATCCAGGGTGCCGATTTCTTTTCTTTATTTTACCGGGCGACGTCAACTCCGCATCTCGTTAGCCTTTCCATTGATGTCAAAGGATCGCCGCGAGGCGCTCCCCTCTTACTTGATTCCATTTACTCATTCCGTTCTAATGGGAGTAAAGGCTTACCCTCAAACACAGCGTCAATCTCCCGCCTTACCAGACTCGAGCTCACAACTCTTCGACATGAAGATATACGAACTATATTCATGTACTTCTCGTCTCTCGAAATACTTATCCTGCCGAAATTTGGTCAGAATTGGATTGGAAGCCGGAGGGAGAATCAACCCATCGTATTAGCCTCCAGCACGCTGCGATCGTTCGCAGTTCAGCTTGATCACACTCATAACAGGTTTTTGCGTGCACCGGGGAATTGTTCATGTGCCCTAGGCTCTCTTCGCTTTCCGAACCTCGAATATCTCGAGGTCCTAGGCGACAACTCTTCCTACAATCCTAATCTCGGCAGCCACTTCAAAGACATGTCGAAATTACAAGTACTGCGTTTGCAGCGGTGCTCCGTATCACCTGCTGATGCCGAGTTCTTCCGCTCTTTGATATCGTTAAATCGTTTGGAACTGGTGGACAACTTGAAAGATGTGGAGGGGTTTGCAATACACTGCATAACAGTGTCCTTACCTTTTCCTCACCTGTCGTCTATCTTACTCAGTGGCAAATCAGGTCGAAGTCATGGCATATCCCAGTGGGTACGCCTAGCGCGGCTAGCTGTCCAGAATTGTGGTTGTACCAAGTTTTCTATCGAAGTAACGGCACGACATCATCGCCGCATGCTGCTTGCGTCCCTTGGTCCTCAGGATGAGCGTATTCACGTTGAAACAACAGATCTTCCTCCTGGTTTGCTCTATCCGCTTCCTACGAACAAACTCTTCGACTGGTCAGATCATGACGAGGAAGATTATTACGACTCCGACGTTGCTATCGACTCTATCTATGGGTTTGATTCGTCCGACTATGAGTCCCTGTCAGAAAATTTAACGGAGCTTTGAACTGTAAGTTTGCATTTCGAACTTTGTGTGCGAAGCGAAACATGATATTGACGAACCTTTAGTGAAAGGATGTAGTAAGTATATGGACTGTTACATATTGTGATTTCCTTCGAATTCGGAATGTATCAGAAACTTCGAAGGTGGTGCTGGCCTGTACCGGCCGCTGATCAATAGATAGCTGGGTAGGTTGGTAAATGGCGCTGTCTTCGATGTATTACTTCTCCAATGTTATTGAACATCGAGGAAATAAGCGTCGACTTGAGTCATGAACTGATATATATAAATCGCTTGATGCAGACTACATCAAGTCATGGGACTGCCATACCTACCTATGATCGACATTCTTAGGCAGATGGTCGTCGGTTGATGTCTACGATACCTTGCTTCAGCGGTTCTTATGCAGGTTTTGAGTTTCTCGCATATATAGATGTCTGCAACAGTTTGGTACGTACCACTGTGCCTCGTTTTGAGTTTCTGTTTGATATGTTGAACAACGTTTCTCCCAAGATAATTCATATGTATCACTGTTAACGAAGTTGAATCATTCAAAGCCGATGCAAACACTCGTCTCCAATTGGTCTTCCCTTCATCTTCGACCTCTGTAAAGGTTTTGCGATCCGGCTCGGCCTGGAAGTTGATACAATTATTGTTGAATGCAGCACAAAACAATCTTTCGAAGTCCTCGTCTATCGTTCGTCCTGCAAACCTATCGTTAACTGACTGGGCAATATCTCGGGAGGAAAGGGGGTAGCAGGCCTGCTTAAGGCGGTGAAAATATCGACTAGATGGATTCATGACTCATGAACGTTGAGAGAACCCGAATTTCGCATGGGTGGCTGTGAAATGGTCAGGTGAATATCACATGTCGTTTCGCGCGACGCGTTCAGAGTCAGAAGACGCGCCGCCGGGTGCTATTTTAGTTCTTACCCTTTCTCACCGTTGCTGTATGTACTCCAATGCGCAATAGACAATTTTCCGAAAGCCTCATTTTCGTTCGTTCAGAGCTAACCTATCGCTAAGGCACTATCCCGGGTCCCCTGGTTAGTGACCGCCAGATGTCTAGCCCCAGATTGGCATTATCAGACAGTCAACAGTGACCGTAGTCCCTCTTGCTAAAACGGGAAAATGGTCAACAAGAATGACTATGTGAGATGTGTCGGATTCATTTTACTTGTATCTAGCGTATCTAGCAGGCATCAAGACTTTAGCAACACGCGCTTGTAACAACTACACTCTAATTCAACATCACGTCTCCGGTTCTTCTTCTAGTCGATAATTCTCCAGATAATTCAAATGCTGATATGCAGCATTGTCACCGAGCAGTTCGTCTCTGGCCTTTTCCATCTTGCCTACCCACGGGGACATCCATTGGTGTTTGGGGGCATTTTTCATCGTCATACGCTCCTTGGGATTCGAACGGAGGAGGGCCCGGACAAATTGTTTCCCTGCAGAGTTAAGAATCTGAGTCAGCGGATAACGCATTCGAGGGATGTGGCAATGGAATGTACCTTCTTCAAGAACCCGCGCTTTGTCCAAGAGATCCCATCGCATCAATGGATCCCAGTCATCTGGTCTCTGGTCGCCAGTGTTCAATCGTTCAATCGGCAAGGAGTCTGTGAACCTGGATGATGCGATGAGGGAAACGGGGAGGCGGAGAAGGGGAATAGAAGACCGACATCTGGAACACGATAACTCCGACACTCCAGCTATCCACGAGGTGGTCGTAACTACCACCGTGTTGACCCTGTTCTGGGGGCATGTACTCCGGCGTACCACATGCAGTCTAAAATCAACCGTCAGCAAGGGAAGGGAAAGAGAGACAACGACCTTACCCGAAGCATGGTATGATCATCGACAATCTTGGCCATCCCAAAGTCGGAAAGCTTCACGATAGGAGGTACGTCTTTAGAGTCTTTAGACAGAAGGATGTTCTACGTAGTTGATTATCAGTCGACGGAGACGTCTTTATCTACCAATGCATACCTCAGGCTTGATATCACGGTGCGTGACGCCCTGGATATGTAGGTACTAGCGTGCCACCATTAATTAAAGATGGAAGGAAAGAGTCGAAAGTAACGTACAGCAAGGGCGTCACAGATCTGCCAAATTATAAATTTCGCATCACTCTCATCGTTGACCGAGCCAGCATTCATATAGTCCAACAAGTCTCCCCCAGGAACCAATTCCATGACCAAATCTACCCCACTACTGAGTTCCACCATCAATTATCACAAGATCAAACCACTCACTCAATGTCCCATCGTGTTCATGATAAAAAGCATCCTTCAACCTGCATATATTCGGATGATTGAGATTACTCATGATATTCACTTCCCTGGCCATGAGAACGATGTTTCCGACAAAATCTTTCCCGAAAGCCTTGGGTGGGGAAATAACCTTGATAGCGACCCATTCGCCCGTGGCGAGACACAGTCCTTTGCTCACCGTGCCGAACCCGCCGCTCCCAATCTCGTGGGCGATATCATAGTAGAGATACATTTCGCCGCGCTCGTACTCCCGTAGGTCGGTTGTATGCGTACGAAAGGTAAACCCTAGGGTTGAGAGTGAAGAAGCGAAGAAGGACAGATGCAGGTTTACTTACGATAATCCTCCGAGTCCTGCGGCATGGCTGTGCCAAAAGCGACCTGGTCCCCGTCGTGAAGGAGCTGTTTCTTGCCTTTTCCAACCAGCCCTCCGTTGATCTAATATACAATGCAACTATTAATGAACGCTCGCATGCAGGGACTAGAACGAACTAACCCATGTCCCATTGCTCGACATATCCTCCAACACGACAGATTTGTTCTCCCATAGAATTTCACAGTGCCGGTTGCCTAGAAACACGTCGTCGTGAAGAACCAGGAAGGACGCTCACAAAAATACTTACTAATTCTCGCACCCGGAAGAACAAAGTCATTCACCTGGGGGTGCCGCCCAATCTTGATAAAGGTACGGAACCTGAAGAAATCCATCCGGTATAATTTGCCGTCCAGAGGCTGAAGTGAACCCCACAGGTCGTGCTCGATAAAGTTGGGAATGCTCATAACTGAAATGTTCGATGAGGAAGTGGAGGGCTTGAAGCTTGAATATGAATGGTTAATAAGGTCCCGCCACTTTTATAGCCCACCGCGTAGCCACCCCTTTGTTTGGCACGTGGGACTAGAAGAACAAAGACAAGAATGCCACTGCGCCCCGACCAGCGAATTCGAAAGTGGCTGCTGACGTGAGCACCGAGCAGTGAGCAACGAGGCTGCCGGTACATTCTTCCCCAATCCTCTTGACCTTCGTTTGAAGACGTTTTTGCCGTCGCTCCCTCTCACCTTAAGGAATGTTGGTCCCTGCACTATCGTACACGAGTTTGAGTTATCATCACGTCTTGGAAAGAAAGAAGAGTACCTCTAACATCTTTTGCTAACGCGAGAGCCGTTACCTTTCAAGTGCATCTGTGCGTGTCTGCGGCGATAGGAAATATAGGCTGCGTCGAATTGTGTTTTGTTCGATATCAGATAAAATTCTCCCTTGCACTACCGTGATAGCTGCAAGGTAAGTTAGTCTAGTGGTCGTGCCCACGCCCATCCAAGTGTCAACTCTAGCAACGGCGAATTAATGACCGTAGCCTTGTAGAAGAAGGAATCTGTCATCCTTCTGGGACGATAAAGTTTCAATCCGTTGCGCTCTTGACATCGGATGCGGTTTATCCAAGGCTCTCGATGATTAATACCTGTTGGTCATGATATCCAGTCTCTTTCCACGGGTGAAGACAAGAATCATTGCTGTCAATTGATTGATAGTATAACAATGTTACGCAGACTGCAGTAGTTCTAAACAAAGAAATCGTTGTCAGCTAGGGATTTCCAAGAACAAACGCGGTGAAACAAACAATTAGGTCGCTTTCTCTACGTTCAGTCCCCAGACCCGCCTGTATTCGTCTGAATATCATCAGGATCCTGCAGATCCCGACGAAGGCCCTTTCTGAGTACCCTTCCTTAACTCAGCCTCGAAGGCCGCCAACTTTTCCTTGAATACTTTCTGGATACTTTCTTTGAATTGAGGCGCCTTAGCCTGAAAGAGAAGGTCAGAGGGTCGTCAGAAAGAAGAATGGCAACCTACTGCAATTGCGGTCGCGGTACTGTCCTCCCACGAGATTCTTTGAAAATCGAACTTGGCCAACGTGGGTTCAGAGTCAGCATCTTCCGTTGTAGGATCGAACAGAAACTTGAAGCCTGCAGCTCGAATATTGCGGGGACTAAGACGGGTGAGAAAGTGCCGGTTCGACTTAGAGATATCACTCACGTCCTTTCCATGTCCTTCGCCCACAATATGAGTGTATCGAGAGCGACTTCAACACACTTCTCGAACGTTTTCTCGTAAGCGGCAACCCCGCTGGCCCCGCGGAATGCCCCAGCTTCGTTCAAGGCAGGAATGTAGCGGTCAATAGTTAGATACTTTTTATGCGCCTTTCCTGGAGCTGGCCTATAAGACGGGAGAAATGAGTCCAAGAATGATTATCGCCGGCCACTGTGCGTACATTCCAGATACCGAGATTGATACCAATAGAATGAATAACCAGGTCAGATAGAGACGCATGAGACACTGCGAAGGTGGGTGAGCGAGGACGATAGGGAGAGAACCAGCTCTACTGACTATCGGTGCACAAGCAGTGATATATAATGCCGCATCTGCGAGGATCCAGAGGCGGTGAACATCGTGCGGATTGTACTACGTTGTTATCATACGATGTGCATACGGGAAAAACACGAATGCAGGATTCTTGCGAGGTATACCTAGTCTTGCAGGCGTCATCTAGAGACACGGGATGTGGGTAAGGATAAATATGTTCAGAAATGCTTCTTACGAACGTAGACAGCATCATATCTCGGTGATGGCTTTTGACGACGACATGGCAGATCATGGCTCGACCACCAAGGCATATACTCCGCCACATCGCGCATTGACGTCGTGACATACAGGCAGTGAAGCAAAGCTACATCAAGTCCTGTATGCATACAAGTTGTCAGAACGTACAGGAATGTGGCGCCTCATCTCCAGAGATGGAAATTTCGCCGGATGCAAGAGAACTAAGGCTTACCCGAGTCTTGGCTCGCAAGGCTGTGTTATTGGAAGCTCTTGGGCTTCCATTGCACCGTTATGCGCTACCCGGACAGTGTCCAGATATGACATTCGTCTCTGAGATCATGGAAGTCCGGATATGCAAACCTGATAATCTAACATTATCTTGTAGGAAGTTACTAGGATGTCGTATGCTGCTATGAAGGACGATGAGCCTAAAGTGATGCGTGAGTCCTAGAACCGACAAAGAGAACGCAATCCCCATTTGCCCCATTCCGACTACTGCAGGTGAAGAAGCCATGCTAGTAGGTGCTCTTTGGAGACAGTCTGCTTGCTTCACCGCCTGCCTGAGGAAATAGTCGATTATTTGGTCAGGTAAAACAGATCGTTTCCATATATTGACGTCCCGCGACGATGGGGCGATGATAGAAGTAAATTTGCAATTGTAAAATGGTTTCCTCGAGCTCTGGACTGAAGACAATCTCTTTTCAGTTTGTTCTGAGAAACGATGCACAGTAGTACGTACTGAATTCAAAAGCAAAACGTCAGGCTAGCACGCCTTAGCAATAGATATCAATCGATCAGATTAAGCAGTGTCTGTACAGAGAATCTAAGTGTGGAAGCCGGGGACCAGAGGGCGATCCAAGGATCCATTGAAATCTATTATCTTAAGTTCGATGAGATTTGAGTCCGAGATTTCGAGACAATCACACGTCACTGTGACATGTGTTACTTCGGGTACTTCCGACCACGTTCTCTTCCGCTCCGCTCCGGTTTCGGTCCGCTTGTAGCCGATTATCCTCTGTCTTCAACGTCCATCAAGTCGCTGGACACTCTTTGCTACTCTACACCAACCAAGTGAGTTGATAGGAATGTCAGCCTCTTCGGTCTAGAAATAAAACTCTAACTTCCCAGGCTGCTCTGAATTAAATGCAAATTAAATGATTCCTAAATGACAGAAACTGGATAACTTGAAAGCAGAAGCATATACCGTTAAATGCATTATTAGTCATCATTTGGCCACAGGTGTCGTCGAGGCACACTATTCATTCTTTCAAAACTACGTTTGATGCTGCTGCATTGTCGCCTCTTGTTTGTCCACGCTACGTGAGTTGAACACAGACTCCGATGAACACCATTTAATATTATCAGTCAGGTTCATAACCTCCGGGTTTTCCGTCTTCCGAGAATCGCGTACGCGACTTCTGCAAAGATTTCTACTGTGACAGAAGAAGCAGGCGAGTTCTGAAAAACAGTCATTCCATTGCTATACCCTGAGCATGTGTTCGCATTCCAGCTTTCAGACAGAGGCTTCTTACTTGATTTGCCTTGGCATCCCGCATCAATACTTTCGTGGCCGGGCGTTAGAAGCGCACCACTGTTCACATGGTACACTTCCTGGGCCCTGGCTAAAAGTGGACTATCCTTTTTACAGAGTATCTATTGTCGTGGCCATTTGTCTTGCAAGTATAAAATGTAGGATTCACAATTGATATGCTCCAGGAGCCTTCTCACAATGTTCCTCTTCTTCAAGCTCTGGTCGACCCTCGCTGTTCTCCGCTCATTCGTTGATGCATCTCCACTGCAAATCGCATCCCCTCGGCAAAGTCAAGACGAAATAAGCACAATGGACACCCTGGAAATTGAGGGATTCAAACCGTACACGTATTACGCAGGTGCAGCCTATTGCAACCCGTCAACTACGTTGTCCTGGACTTGCGGTAGTAAGTAGCTTTCACGATTACTTTCCATGTGCTTGTCAAGTATCTTTCCCCAGGTAACTGCGAGGCGAATCCTAAATTCCAGCCTGTAGCGTCGGGGGGGTGACGGCGCCACAGTGCAATACTGGTATGTCGGTTACGACGCCGATATCGACACCATCATTGTGGGCCACCAAGGAACTGATATAGCTAAACTGTCTGTATTGTTTTCACATACGCGTTTATCACTCTAGACTAAAAACGGCATCTTCCACAGGTTGCCCGTAGTCACCGACGTTGTTTTCCTTTTGTCCCCGCTCGATGCTACTCTCTTTCCTAACGTCAGCTCCGGTGTCCTGGTTCACAGCGGTTTCAAGCAGGCTCACGCCAAGTGAGTGTTTGTCTTTAACAAAACTCGGTTCCGATTTCAGAGCTAAAAATATCTAGCACGGCGACAGTCGTTCTCGCGGCCGTGACGAAAGCCATGTCGACTTATTCGACGAATACTATTACCGTCGTTGGACATTCCCTCGGAGCTGCAATCGCCCTACTCGATGGTGTTTTTCTTCACTTGCAGCTTCCGTCAGCATCTGTATCCGTAAAGGGCTACGGAATGCCTCGAGTGGGTATTTTTACTTGTGTTCGTGACATGCATCTTCACGGGTGATATACAGGTGGGAAACCCGCAATTTGCGGATTACGTTGATCAGCATCTGCCTGTCTCTCACGTTAACAATAAGTGCGTTACTCTGCTCAATCGTTCTGTCGCGGAGCCCTCAGCTAATGATACATTAGGAAGGACTTCGTTCCAATTCTTCCTGGTAAGTGACTGGTAAATTCGAAAAATGTAATGGCGGACTCAAATGTCTCAGAACGATTCTTGGGCTTCGCACATTGTTCCGGAGAGAAGCATATTAATGACTCCAGCGTGTGGATAAACTGTCCAGGTAAAAAAAAAGTACAAGTTATTCGCATCAGAAAGCTGACTCGGCGACAGGCCAAGACAATGAGAGCAATCAGTGCGTCGTCGGCGAAGTCCCTACCATATTGTTAGGCAATGCCGGTGATCATGACGGTACGTTTTTTGCATGTAGTCTTCGTCTTGAACTTAATCTGTCCTCTAGGTCCTTACGACGGGGTCATGATAGGATGTTGACGCGAACAATGTCGGTTGCGCTTATTGTTATTTAAATATAAGACGGATTTAAACCATGATCTCATTGCTTGATTGCCGATGTTCTCCTTTCACGCGGCTGTCAGTCCTAACAAGGATTTCCTTTTCATCTTCCTCATTCCGGGTATTTTGATGTGCGTTTTGCTTCACAAACTAGACCAGGGTGGAGGATCCGCGCAAGCGGGTCACGACTCGTAATCGATACCCGTATCTCAGTGACCTTATTCGGAACAATCTGATCGTCGGAAGCTGTATGTGGAGCCTTTTCCTCACGAAGTTCAATGGTGACCCTTGCATCCTAAAGGACATTGCTGAAATGATGCGTCACACCCTGACTATCCTCCAATGAAGTGCTCTTGGCTGTCATAGGTCTTTTCGAAGTAGACTCCATAACAACTACTCATATGCTCGCGATGAATTTCGCTCCTAACTCACTTTACTATATCATGACAAGGCTAATTCTTCTCGATAGTAGGGGCCATATGCGCTGTCTCCTCGAATCCGGATGTAATCTATAAGCATTTCCTCTCCTTTCGATTTACTGCTCAGTAAGTGTTAAGGTTCGAGAATTCATGTACTTTCGCCTTCTGTCGGTTGCTGTCACTCCGTAGACATCTTCACATTCGTTGCTTGCCAAGTTCCGGCTCTTCTCCCGATCACTGCGGGAGCTATATTCAAATTTACAGAGACCGGCACTACACATAACAGCAGCAGTGTTCGTGGCCCACGGCACTGATGCTACACTATGTCAAACCACGAACCGTTCGTCCTTCATGCAAGTTCTGTTTCGTAAGCTACATTCACATTTCTGCTACAGTGACCCATCACTCTAGGAAGTCCTAAACGAAGAAAGAAACCGAAAAAAACCTAGACTGGAATGCAGGGAATCATCAACATTCAAACTCCACCTGGTTGCAGCAAGTAGTAGGTGATAAGGTACGACGGCTTCGTTGGCAGTCGAATATCTCTTTCGGTGTTACGCCGATGGTTGAAAACAGCTCATAAATCGGGGTGTACAGCAGTCTGGACGTTATCTCCGGCACGAAGACATTATGGGATATATGTTCTCAGCTATCACTCCTTGAGTTGTGAAGAGCCGGAATTTAGGTCCAAAGTCCGGCCTAGTTCATTTCAGCCCAGCCCAGAAGATCTTGGCCTTGTGGTAAGGTTTCCTCAAAGCTCGACTATGGACTTTAACCCGCACAAACCTGCCTGCTCGGCCCGGGCATTCTACAGCACTATGTTCAAAAATGCAATGAAAACACAGCCCCCCGGTCTTTTCACACCGGACTAAAGGTCTCTTCAACGGTATAAAACTGATTGATGTGAGTCGTGTATCGCTATGGCAGAACAACCCCAGACTGAGATCTTTTCTGTCCCAAGATGTCGAACAACACTCGTAACGAACACCATTCTCATATCCCTCTTCTTGAACACCGTCATCGTTATCTCGAGCATCGCTCTTCCCAATTATGGTCCCCTCGCTCTCTGGTTTAACACAAGCACCGCCGTCCTGACATACATTCATCACTTCGCGGTCCTTTACCTTGATAGGAAATACCGGCATACGCCCAAGAAATCTCCTGTGGTGTCCACCTTATGGTGCATCATAATCCTGTTCCTCATCGGGGCGTCATGGCTGGTCGCCATCACATTCGACCTTCTCTTCGGATTGAAATACTTTCAGCGGCCGGCGGTGCAGGCGTTCGGATATGTCGTGGGGTTCCTTTCGACACTTGTGGAAGCGGGGCTCATCTTCTTCTTGGGATGTACATGTATTTCGGAGAGAAAGCATGCCCAACCGGAGTATGAAGGGGCTTGAGATGTCTCCATCCAACGAACGCTGGTGAGTGAGCACAATTTCGCCGGCACTATTCCAAATTGAAGTAAATTTTTAGGTGGAGGTTGACCATGGCGAAGTAAAATTCCCCTGTGATATGATGATTAGACGAAAATTCTACGACGACTTCTCTCAATAATGAGGCTATCATACTGATTCTAATAGAATCTTACCGCATATACACGCTATTCTTATTAGGGAGGTGTACCCTCTTCGCCATTGTAGCTATGATCCTGAAAGGAATAACATTCATAGTGCGACGACGACTACTACTACTATTACCTAGTCAGGGATCAGGAGTAGGCTTGAAACACTTGACGCTTAGACAACCATCCCACTAAGTTGGACATTAAGCTTAACACGAAGCAATTTAGACGTACCAGTACTGTCATAGACTTAAATTTCCTTGTTATGTTCAAAGATATGCAGGAAAGCGAAGACATGAGCATATTGGAGCGATAAGTAACGGAACTCAAAGTTGGCATCGAAGATTCAGAGTATCTGGAAGAATAAAACCACGCTCCTCCGTCCTTTACGCTAGTGACCATTTCGATGAGCTACATTCATATTTTTATTCTTCTGCTACAACAGTCCATCGCTCTGTGAAGTCTCGGATTAGAACAGGTACCGGGACCGGAGCGCAGGGAATCTTGAATATCAAACACTACCTAGTTGCTGTCCTGGTTGTAGTGAGTACTACTAGGTGATGAGGTGTATCTGTTTGTTAGATCTAATAGCTGTTTTCAGCGCTATTTAGATGATTGAAAAATAGCCCATAATTCAAGGTATACAACAGCCTGGGCGTTATCTCCGGTTACTTTAGGCTTGTATCACGACGACATGAGGGGATATATATTCCCACCTGCTACACTTAGCACTCGACCTAGCCCGGCCTAGCTTGGTCCAGAAAAGTCCGGCCAAACAATGGGGCTTGCTCAAGTCTCGGGTTCTAAGCTTTGAGCTTGAGTTGAGCTTAAGTCTGCTACCCCGGCCCGGCCGGACGGTCGCAGTGGTACTTATATTTTAAAATACGGGTCTTTAGCGTTCTCACACCGGAGTGAAAGCCCCTTCAATGGTATAAAACGGGTTGGCGCAGGTCGTGCCTTGACAGCTATGGCAGAAAAACCGCAGACTGAGATATTATCCACCCCAGGATATCGTACAACACTCACAACAATCGTTCCCATATCCCTTCTCCTGAACTCCCTCATTGTTCTCTTGAACGTGACCCTTCCCGATTATGTTGCAAATACTCTTTGGATTTGCCAAAGTGCCTCCGTTCTCACATATACTCATCACTACACCGTCCTTTTACTCGACAGCAAATACCAGCTTTCGTCGAAGCAATTTCCGGTGATGACTACTTTATGGTACATCATAACCCTGTTCCTCCTCTGGATGATATGGCTGGCCGCCATCACATTCACGTTTTTTGTCGTCTTAGGATACACTGGCTGGCATTGGCTGTCGGGGGTGCAGGGGTTCGGATACATCGCAGAGCTGATGTTGACAGTCATCGAAGCAAATATCATCTTCTTCATGGGGTATGCATGCTTCTGGGAGAGAAAACATGCCAAGAAGGTGTATGACGAGACCCAATTGCAGGATGGTTTACATCTGATGAATACTAGCGAGTGGTCATACTTCTGTCGGTATTATTCAACTGAATTAAGGGAACCTTTTAGATGGAGGTTGACTGTGCCAGCATGAAACTCGTCCGTGGCACTATGATTAGACGAAATTCTATACAACTTCTCTCAATAATAACGTGATACTGATTGTTAAAATCCTTAACAGGTATACGCGACTATTCTCATTAGAGAAGGGTACCCTCGTCGCCATTGTAGCTATAGTTTTGGAAACAATAACGCTCGGTGTATTCAGAGCTCAAGAGTCAACTTGAAAAAGAGTATGCCATTCCTCTGGCGCATCATAAACTCTCTATACTTTCGGCATCGCTTGAGACAGTGTCACTTCATTTCTAAGCGGGTGTACATTGGTGGCAGCCGATCCTTAACTCTTCGATATCAATCATCCACCTTTCATGAATATTATCCGCTCAGGCTCGAGCTCCGCTTCCGTCGGCACTGGGCATCAAGTTTTAAGATATACATGGTGATATACCGGGTGCTAGTCTGCATCGCAAAGCGTCAGATCTCTACTGTGTGACGGTTTGCATGTGGACAATTTGTGAGGTGCATCAGGGACTGGTCACTGGTCCGACACGAGAAATGCGGGAGTCCTATGCTAACGAAATCCATCTACAGCTTCAGATTAATCTTTACTCGTCCATAGCAACCCGAGAACATAAAGATTGCATCTCGAATCACAGACCATCGGTCGGCCGTTGAAGCATATATGGAAGGCTGAGACAATAGCACGAAGCTTCAAGCAAATGCCGATGTACTAGTACCTGCACAGACTTCAAATCGAACACAGCGAAGCGAGGGCATGAGCAGATCAAAGCGACCTGAATAAGTGAATGAAACTCGAAGTCGGCATCGGAGTATCCAGAAGATAACGGCTGAACCACGGAAGAAAGATTGAGTAATGTGTGACTTCCGTTTGAAAAAATTCTCCAATTTTGCCTTGAAATATAGCCAAGACAAGCGTCTGGACTTGGGCTTAGTTGGTTGCGACAAGCAAGGCCACGTGGAACAGACTAGATGAAGGAGATCATCAGACCTGGCGTAACCTGATCGATCATTTCCGAGTCCAAGATTAGCCTAATCGGGATTACGTTTGGACCTCTTTCTTTTGCACCGCTTCGTGGACGCTGGTGCAACATTGTCGGTCACCTTCCAAACAACGGATGCATTTCAGCGTCAAATTACTCTGACTGTCATCTATAATTCACTCAAGAAATGCACTAACCGACACGGGCTCCACATACCGACCAAGTCTTTTAGACTGGCGAACGACTGGCTTGCTACGAGTCCTAATGCTTCATAGTTCTTAGAATGTAACCGTGCACGGGCATATGGCCTATCGGCGAGTTTTCCGCACTGTAGAAAGCTTTTGACAAGATAAGCTGCCGAAATTTTTACCGTGTAGAGGTCCTGGTAACGGGCATGTCTGCCCTTGCCGACTGTCCTTGCGTCCGGATTTTCCCCGACAATTCATTGACAAGAGAACGCACATAAGTATCCGAGGGCTATATAAAGTCTGTACTTTGGCTAGGTCGACCCCAGCGTCTCTGAATTCTACTTCAACATGCAACTACTGCTTGCTTTGTCTGTCGCCTCTCTAGCGGGCCTTTCCATGGCTTGTGATGCGTATACTGGTGGTCTCCCGACCGCCACCGGTACAGTGTCCAGTAAAGCTGTCATCAAGGTCGCTGCAGGCGAGGTCTTCGATGGTGGCTGGAAGAAGTACGACCGTGGAAGCGGTGCTTGCAAGTACGCATTTTTACTTCCATATAAAGATTGTCATTGAACATTGGCTATCATAGCGGCCAATCCGAAGGAGGTATACGCATCGTCTCAGGCTTATGATTAGCTGCTGAACTAGTGCCCATCACAGATTACACAGATGCAGGTATATTTGCTTTTTTATGATTTCAAATAGCACTATACTGATGCCTATAAGAGTTTTCTACCTTCACGAGGGTGCCACCTTACAGAACGTCATAATTGGCGCTAACCAGGCCGAAGGTGTTCGTGAGTCATTTTTGGTTTCCTTCCAGGCGCTCTCTCAATGGCTTCTTGCACCAGACTGTACTGGATGTGCGTTTTTCCCTGGTATATATATTCTCGGGTTGGTCTAAGCTGCTCTAGACTGTACCTTGAAATTCGTTTGGGTGAGTTACCATCCTGAGTTCCAAGGGCTTCTGTTAATGTCGTCATGTAGTTCGAGGACGTCTGCGGTATGTGTATATTATTGAGCACCAGAAGTCACTGATAATTCACGTCGCTCCTTTAGAGGATGCTATCACCATCGTACGTATACCTAACTTCGATAGAGGCCATCTAGTAACACATTCTATCCTCTATAGAAAAATGACGAGGCCGGTGACTATACTAACATCATCGGTGGTGGTGCGTACCACGCCGACGACAAGGTTATTCAACACAATGGTTGCGGTACCGTTAATGTACGATCGTCATTTTCTTCCTAGTTCTTGAGCTTACCGTTTCCTTAAAGATCATCAACTTTTTCGTCAGTGGTAAGTGCCTCTTTCCGGCATTAAGCTTTACTTCCTCACGTCCGCTTTAGACTACGGAAAGGTGATTGATTGTCTCGTTTTTCATTACTTCTTCACTGATACCTTGATTAGTTGTACCGATCTTGCGGCAACGTATGTTTCACGCTAATTTCTTGCTATTGCTTTTTGCTCACATCTTGTTGAAGTGCAAGAGTCAGTGCAAACGTAACGTGTATATCTCCGGTGTTTACGCCGAGGACGGTAAGAGTCAATTACACTGATATGCTATTTTTTTTACTCACGGTTAATAGGCGGAACTCTCGCTGGAATCAACTCCAACTACGGCGTACGTCCATATTTCTCTGTCATTTTCATGATCTGATGCTTACTGTTCTTAAATACCAGGATACGGCTACCATCGTTGACTCCTGCTAGTGCGTTGTACCCATTTATATGTCCTTCCTTCCTAACTCATGATAACCACAGTGACACAAAGCACCCTTGTACGCTTTACGACGGGTGTGCTGGAGGGTAAGCGTCGTCTTTCTCCTTCTAGTAATTCTCTATTCATAATATCATACAGCTGCGAACCCGATGTTGTCGGCTACTGCAGTGGCTAAGTCCCTGCCTAACTCTATCCATCGAATGTTTCATGACTTTCTTGGTCCAAGCTCCGTAAGACTTCACTTACATCATTTGGTTGCTTCTGGGAGGCCTAATGGCATGATTCGTAGGCTACGTTATCCATTCTTTCAATGAAACGTATTTGCTTGTCTTCATTCTGTCAGAAATAAGTTTGCGCACATTTCGAGTCGGATATTAAGATCTTGGTTTGGAAACTTTTCATTAGCTTTGACCTTTCCGTTCCACAAATAGGGAGAGTCCAAAATTGTACCGTACCTCGACATAACACCGCTAACGGACCAGGTTTGTACATTCGGGGCAATAAATTGGATGCGGGAGTCGCAACTTTAAGAAGTGAAGGAATACAAAGGTTTCAATTTCATTTACTAGTTCCTTAACGAAGATACAGCGGCAGTTGCCGGGTCTGCGGTTCTTCCCTTTTTTACGAAGACATGGTGGACTGTATCTATTTCGCTGAGTTCATGGTATGTATACATCACGTCTCGAAGAAGAGAATAGAATCTTTCACTTCGTACCATACTGACTGTCCGATAGGGAGACGTCCCGGATTAAAAGATGTCCCAGCAGCCATCACAGAGCTACCGCCGCGGGTTCGCCAATCGCCATTTAACTTCTCCTTATTCTGTGGAAAGAACCGGGGAACAGGACTCGCAATGAGTATGACGTGTACCTCGCAAGAATGCGAAGATGATACCATGCACTGCCACTGAAAAGAGAAGACTCGGAACCGGCTTTCCCCGGGTACAAACAAAACCTTCAAAACCACAGCTGGGTGGCGACTATTTTGCGCGGGTCAAAATAGAATCAAAATCCTTGGCACCCCCCCTAATAAGGAAATACTGAAGGATTTTGACCGATGCAAAATCCCAAAAGTGCGTTTTGATGTCATTTTGACTCGTGAAAAATAGCCGTCACCCAGCTGTGAACGATATATCAGATCTTGCTTCCACTCTCAACGCCTCTGCGACGGACCCTGTTAGAATCGCGGGGCCGTTCTCAAACGAAGTGAGTGGCAAAATGGGTTTACATCTGTGGCATACACGACATGGGGACTAACTACGAAATATCTAGCCTTATATACTACAAAATCCCCTCGGAAATAAGCCAACACGTAAGTAAATCGATACGAGAATCCAACGGCGATTAACTGTCTTCGCCATGAGAAGCTCGCATATCTCACAGACCCGTGTTCGGGACAAGTTCTTCCCGAATCCGCAAAATTTTCATGCATCGCCTGATCCTGAAACACTTGATGGTATTAAAGACTACAAAGAATATCAAGGCTCCTAAGTCCTTTAAGAGAGTGGATCAATCGAGCGTGTGGGGAAGGAGTACTACCGTGAAAACTGAAAGCTTTGGTTAGTAAGTGATCAATATGTATACTGCGGGATGATTTTTCTTAGTGGAGCCACAATAATAACTATAGTACCGGTCTTTCGTCCTGAAGACTACTTTAGCGTGATTGACTTCTGCTTATCTTTGAATTGCCCCCCACCATGCAATCTGTCATTCCCGACTAATACCGGCACCTGAACTTAGGATGACTCGCGGTTTTTATCTTCATCATATGTGCGCCTTACAGATCTCCGGACAATAACAATGATAACAACGACATCTTTATCTTTAAGCAACCCCGCGCGCATGCGGCATACCCAAATGGGTTCCCAGTGCAGTATATAACCTGCACCGTAGAGGATAGCGACCTTCAACAAGCACCATCTGGAAGAAGTCAGATTGCCATGGCTTCGTCTGCTATCACTCATGCAAATTTCTTCATACAGTCCCGAAGACTTTGATTTTGTCCGTCTGTTATTTACAATCTTACCAGTACGTGTTTTGTCAAGGTGCTATTGCTTCACTGGCTTACGCGTTCGGTTTTCTTAGCTCGATTGTTAACTTGCAGTGTTCGTCAATAGTCACTACCACATCAGATGCTCAGCATCGACTGATCCTAATCTTACAGAGCTCGAAGCATTGGAAGGAGGAAGCCCGTGATATCCTGAAGTTTTTCATGGATCATTTTGACACTACAGACTTGCCATCCGTTTCGGATCCCGTATTTGAGGCCCTCGCATTCAAAGAGGCCGAGCGCCGTGAATATCCTATCGGCGAGCTGAAGCCCTACTTTATGCTCGGCGTCAATTCTACCGTTTCCGCATACCACTACCTTGGTGACATGGGCATCAAGATATACGCTACCTTCTTCCACATGTTCATGTTGTATCTCGACGATCTCTATCCCCGTGATGCCAATTTCCAGAAGGGCATCAATGAATTCACCAAGGTAGATATCATATTAGTTCATAGCTTTCGACGCATACTGATTCTTTTACCAACTACTAGCGCTTCACATCCTCAGAGACACAACCAATCGAAATCCTGAACCACTTCGCTGACCTCCTTACTGAAGCGTACCAAACCTTTGGCAAGGTCACAGGCGACCTCGTCGTCAACACCGCCCTCAAATACCTTAGCAGTTTGATTTTGGAAGTTGAGAGCAAGAATGAGCCCGTAAGCCTTCGTTTTACTTGTACCGTTCAGCTCATTTACGGTGTTACCCAGACGCATCAAGTCGAAGAATATGCCTTGTATCTTCGCCAATTAAGCGGATTCGGTGAAGACGCCGCCATATTCGTTTTCCCTAGAACGCTTTCCTACAACTTGTATATCCAAGCTCTTCCCTGCATACGTGATTTCATCAATTTCGGGAACGACGTTCTATCGTTCTACAAGGAGGAATGCGCCGGCGAGACACATAATCTCATATCACTCCTGGCTAAAGCCCGGGAGGAGCCGAAGACTAGGACTCTCCGTTATCTAGCAGAGCAGTGCATCAAGGCGTATGATAGGGGTTTGTATATGCTGGCGCCGCATGAAGAAGCTCGCAAGGCGTTCGAAGATTTTGGGAGAGGATATTTAGCCTACCATCTGGGTACAGAGAGATATCAACTTAGCGAGCTAAACTAGTCTTATACACTCCCTCTATGCAGTTAACTTAAACCATGTATGTGTGTTCATAGGACTACGCTTTCTCTATCCACAGATCAGCTCGGCAGCGCGGTATGTATGGATGGCAAGCGGCCGGAAAGTAACTTGAAGCTAGATTACCCCTTGAGCTCAGGCAAGCTACAACGACGTAAAGCCCCAGCAGAAACACGCAATAGTAGGATGAGAATGAGACAGGTGCCACCGAGGCAGCCGGGGGGAAAGCCAGACAGTGAGAGAGGAAGGAGATAGGGAAGACGGCAAGCAGCGGGTGGACCGAAATTAAAGCTCCTCCCGAAACGTGTAAATTACCGGTAAGCGTACTTCTTAGCGGCAAGAGCTCGGCGGCCGGAGATTCAATGTTTGAGATCATCAGCCGGACGCCAAATCCCAAAGGTTTACCTCCCTTGTTTCCTTTCAGCCATGGAAACCTTATTCTGTGGCATCTATAATCCCGCCACGTCCAAACAGTATCAGCCTATCGTTCCCGTCCAGTTATCGATCAGACCAAAGATACTTTATGTTAGTAATGCAATAGAAACCGTTTTTGTGTGCGTCTCAGACTCGCCAAAGTTCAAGCGGGTTGGCAAATGGGACCAGGATAGCATCCAACTCTGGAAAGTACGTGCTTGTTCTTATACCGTCAAAATTCTAGCTCAACTTTGCTTCGTTAGTTGAATGAACCGATGGCCGTCTCTGATTGGAAGAATAATCGTAACCCACTCGTTGGCCCTATCGAGAACTGTGTAACCCATTTGCCAATGTCAGCCAAGCTTTTTATGACCAGCACAAACGACGCTGGTGACGCTTTTCTTGATTTCGTTGTCGTTCTTGAGCCACCAGAGTCCGAAAAGAGCCTGGATGAAATCCATGTCCTGATACCTCGTAGTATGTGTCGGTGCTGCTATGCCTGCAGGCTGTTGTTTCACTTTAAGCTAGATTTCCAAGATACGCTTTCCGAAGTTCTCAGTGGACCAACGCCTTCCCAGCAGGCCAAGTCGACGGAGTACAAACGTCACCAAACGAAACCAAGACCTATATTTGATGGCCGTTACGACACTGAGAACCCTCGGGATACTGAAGGTCTACTTATTGCTCTATACCATCCTGTCTTCGCCCAATTCAGGATGGAGTTCGCCAATGTGGATCTTCCAGTGCCTCAAAGTGTTTTACGCTCAACGTTGAAGGTCGTTGAGGCGTCCTCGGCTATTTATTCAGGCGCCAGGAAGGAAGAACCTTGTTCTTCACCTCTCAGCTGCCATCGGTCACTCCCTCGAGCGTCTTGTCAATATCGATGGTACCGAGCCTGATGGTACCATTGTACATCGACCTGCGCGTGCAGTAGAAGGAGAGAACGTGGCCCTTGCACTGGGCGTGATCAACGATGAGATAGGAACGGGAGGGTCCGACCCCTCCATTCTGTGTGGTCTGTCTGTCCGCCACTTTTGGGCGCAAAAAAATGTAAATTTGAATATTATCCGTTATGTCCAAGATAATCGTTCTTTTGCTAGCGCACTAATTACAGAAATGCAACCTGCTGCCCTACTCTTATCCTCGCAGTTGCAGGCCCTTGGATGGCTGTCTTCGGCGCCGTCTTTACCGACAAGTTGATCATCGAACCATTGACAGATCTCATTAGGGTCGTCAACCTTCGTCTGAACAGCCCACATTATGGACGAATAGCCCGGCTCTTTCACGTCTTCGGCAACTGTCTTACCTCGTTGGCAAAATACTGGGATACACTGGCCATACCTTCTATACCTGTATCCTCGATGGAACACCCTCACTACTTCCCTCATGTCAACAGCTATACCTTGAACAACTCGACTACCTCGTTTCGATATCTCCGCCCGATAGATCCACAAGATACCCTTTGTGTCACGTTTCTCGCAGAAACAGCAGACCCTTCCCCCACTCACATTGTTGTCAAGTTCGTGGAGCAGTATGGGGGTGAAGCACATCAACTTCTCGCTGATGCCGATTTGGCCCCGAAGCTCCTCTATCATGGCCCTCTTGATTCGTCCGCCGGCGCACCTTCATACGGTAGTCTCCGCATGGTGGTGATGGAAGAGGTGGAAGGTACCAACGCGTTTGTTCGATACCAAGGTCGAAAAGCACCGGAATCATTTGTCGCCTCGATACGCGAGGCTGTACACAAACTGCATGAACACGGGTTTGTATTCGGTGACTTGCGGCGCCAGAATATCATGGTCACACGAGATGATAAAGTCAAGTTGATTGATTTTGATTGGGCTGGTAAGGAAGGTGAGGCAGAGTACCCGATGCAGCTGTCTGAAAAAATACAATGGGCGCCGGGGGTGGGGGCAATGGAGAAGGTGTATAAGGTTCATGATATCTCTATGATTGACAAACTGTATAATCATGATGGGTAGCTGAGATGTGCAAATTGGACAAATGTTTTTTTCCTGCTTTATTCACTTTTACAAGTTGAAACGAGACTGATCATTCGCTCTCGAGAGGTTCCTTGCACGTTCAAGGGCGATCACTCTCTTCATCGACGCGTCTAATTCACTCTCTGGAATTTGCCGCGAGAACACTCCAGAAACGAGAGCCGAAGATGTCACAGATACGTGTCCGTGCCATGAGTAAAGTATCTTTACAGCCGGTATTCAGCAGACTTGTCTGACGGTTACGATACACAGCCCTATTCAGAAGTGTTGGATGTCTTCCGCATCCAAGTCGTCATCAAAGCTGTGCTTTGGAACAACTGGTGGGTAAAGGTACATCAAGAGTTCTAGGCAATAAATGGAGGCACGCCATGTTGTTATATCTTCAGTGTTGATATGACACGAGCACGTGTCACGTCACTGGCGAGGCTGACAGCTGGTGCGTGTTATCTGTGTTATCTTAAGTCGCGTCAGCAGGCACCTAAGTGGACCCGAATCTGGTGCGAATGATAAAGACTCTCTTTCTTACTCCCACCATGTCGTCGATGCCAATGCTGAGACGCACTGCAACGTGGCTATCTCGCGGTTGGTAGGCTTTCCAGGTATCACGTCTAGAACCATAGCTGATGTCTGCGCTCCTTGTATCTGAAGAACATTGTTTCAGTTAATAATGCATGAAGGAGAAAAGTTGTCCATCGTAACCGGCGACTCCATCAAAAGTCCGTCGTTTTGGCCGCGGTCTACTTCGAAGGCATATGGAACGTGTCACGGGTTACATATTAACGAGTACCGCCTGATGAAGCCAACTATGAGCATGGACGAGCGATGACAACGATATTTGCCAACCGCACACAATATTCAAGAAAAGCTTCTCGTCTCATCTTGGTCTCATCAGTGCGCGGTACCGTACCACGGGTCATTGTGAATGGTTCGAATTTCAATCTTAGTATTTGACTATTGAATGTTAACATCGCAACAGTGGACCCTGGACTGGCGTATGGCCTACGCCACAGGCTTCAGCTGCAGCTCACGAGATCGATGTTCTCATCTTTCATCCACCCCATGGCCAACCCTCACGCAGCAGAAGCTCCAACGGCACATGGAGTACTGTATCAAGAATAGAGTCCCGGGCCGTACATGCGATCAAAGTCCGTGGGGTAAGATCGGCTTGACACAAAATCCGTTCTCACTTTATCTTTTCATACGCTGAAAAGCCTCTCGGACGTCTTCATCATGCGACTTGTAAAAGATTCGGAAGACTTTCTTATTGACAACCGGCGATTCATGTGTAGGATCGACCTGAAACAAAGCTTTAAACTCATTTCCCGGTCGGCATTTCAAATTTCGCTGTATACAAAATTTTTGGGATTTTTCCATGCGAGCGCTCGGCGGACGCCCGGTCCAGTTCTTGGTCCAGTACTATACCTTACGTAGGATATAAACGGGAGGTCTGTTTGATAAGCTTCCTCCATCCTCCTTCCCCCTTCACAATTCGTGATGGACCCCTCCAAAGAAAAGTCAGGCCAGACGAGCACCAAAGCCGTCCCGGCTTTCTATGATCCCAGTCAAGAGAGTATATGGACTCGACTGGGACTCAACTGGGAGAGTTTCAAGCGTGCACCAGGTGTTACTGGGTGAGGTTCTCTGTCTCTTCTCCCGGTCGTGTTCTAATACGGCTCTTTTTTGAAATCTTCTTCCTCTAGTGGACAAGTCGTCGCTGGAGGACACAATGTTGGTGAACTCGAGGATATCCAGGCTGATATGCCGATGCTGCAACCCAAAATGAAAAAGCGACATTTAAACATGATCGCCGTTGGCGGAAGTATCGGTACCGGTCTTTTCGTTGCTTCTGGTGCAGCTCTACACAACGGTGGTCCCGCTGGAGTCATCATCTCATACATCATCATCGGCGCCATGTTGGTCAATGTCACTCAAGTGCGTCCCTTCTTTCCTGATGGTTGCTTCTATCGATGACATCACATTAGGCTCTCGGTGAAATGGCCATCCTGTATCCCGTCTCCGGTGGTTTTTACACCCTTGCCGATCGGTTCCTTGATCCTTCATTTGCGTTCGCCATGGGTTGGAACTACTGTTTCCAATGGTTTGCTGCTCTGCCTCTGGAAATCACCGTTGCCGGGACCACGGTACAATACTGGACCGACAAAGTTCCCATCGCGGCTTGGATTACAGTATTTTGGGCTGTCATCAGTACGTCTGAATCTCTACGTCACTTCTCCTTTGGTTCTGACGATGCGCAGTCATCATTTCTATCTTTGGAACACTTGGTTACGCAGAAGAGGAATTCTGGTCATCATGTTTAAAACTTTTGGTGGTGGTCATGTTCATATTCCTTGGAATGTGGGTTTGCACTTCTCTTTTTGTCAATTGTGACTCTTGCTAATTGTAATGATAACAGAATATGTATTTGTGGTGGCGGTCCACAGAGCGGAGAGTTTGGTTCTTATGTGGGCGGCAAGTATTGGCACGATCCGGGAGCATTTGCGAATGGCTTCAAGGGCGTATGCGCTGTTTTTGTGACTGGTGGGTTGCTTTGACGGTCCGAGCTCTAGCATACGCTGACATGTTTCCTTCCTTTAGCTGCGTTTTCATTCTGTATGCCTGCCGATATCTTTCTGTATCTAAACTTCTGACGCGTCAAATAGCTGGAACAGAGCTCGTTGGTCTCGCTGCCTCGGAGACCGCCGATCCGAGAGGAACTATGCCTGGTATGTCCCTTCGATATATTAATTCATGGAGAGGAAATTGAAGCGCGTTCTCAGGTGCCGTCAAGGGAACGTTCTGGCGTGTTGTATGTTCTTGGTAGTCTCACTAGCGCCCATCTCACAGCTATCTGCAGACCATTATCTACATAACTTCTCTGACAATCATCGGCTTGATGGTTCCTTGGAATGACGACCGACTTCTCGGAGGTAGCGGCGCGTCAGCTTCGCCTTTCGTCATTGCTTTGGACCGGGCTAATATTAATGGGCTCAATCGTGAGTTTTGTTTATACCCTGTTGTCATGTCCGTCTTTGACACCGCTAGATCTTGTTAATGCTACAATCTGTGTTTCCGTGCTCTCTATTGGTCTATCAAGTATATACGGTGCTTCTCGTACCCTAACAGCCTTGGCTGAAAACGGATACGCTCCTCGTATTTTCACTTACGGTATGGCATCATTCATTCCGTTTTCGAACGTCTTAGAGCCCTGATTCTGCGCGCATAGTGGACAAGTCGAGTCGACCTTTGGTCTCCGTGTTGAGTGTCCTGGTCTTTGCATCCATTGCATATGTCAACGTCGCCGCTGCTGGTGACACAGTTTGTGTGTATTCATTGCATCCTGTCGTTTTATTCTTGCTGACCCACACTCGCAGTTACTTGGCTACAAGCTATTTCGGGCCTTTCGACGCTCTTTACATGGCTCTCTATATGCCTTTGCCAGTATGTAATCCACCTGTCGTGCCCATGGAGGTATCGTTAATTCGCATGAACCTATAGCATAAGGTTTAGACACGCATGGGTACTCCAGGGACACTCTGTTGAGGAACTACCGTATCAAGCCATGGGCGGTGTATACGGGTCTTGGCTCGGCGTCGTTTTGATCATCCTAGTCCTAATAGCACAATTTTACGTCGTGAGTACCGACCCTGTCAGTGAACCGCCGCCATATGCTCACATGGCTCCCACAGGCTCTTTTCCCTGTTGGAGAAGAACTCCACGGCGCTGCCGCTGGCCAAGCCTTCTTCGGTGCGCTCTCTTGCTCGCATTGTCGGCGTTCTTTTTCTCACTCTCATTTCAGAGGCATACCTAGCTGCTCCGGTCTTACTCCTGTTCTATATCATCGGTTACTTGTGGAAACGCGAGCTTCCCAGGCGGGCTAGTGAGATTGATCTAGACGTACGTGTTGCCGTTTCGCGAGTGGATGTTTTCTGATTATAGCTTTCGCAGTCCGGACGCAAATCGTGGCTTACGGTGGAAGAGATGAGGGCTTACCGTGCGGAGCGCGCTAATGCCCCCACCCATATAAAACTCTGGCGTATGCTATTCTCGAATTAAGGGTGCTATATATAAATTGGAAACATTGTATAACTGACCCTTTTCCGATCAACGAAGTCGGATGGGTGTATCATCGATAGCCGTACTCATGATGAGGCTGAGCGCGTGTTACTATTGTATATTCGTAGCAATGTCTATATAATACACTGGTAGTCATCTGAATCATGACGACCAAACGGGGTCATGAAGGTTGAAAAGGTACGCGCCCCAATCATCCAGCCTAGATGCATGATATTCGTTAAGAGCAACAGCAAGATGTTCAAGAAAAAACTCACTCCAATGTGTCGGGAATACGACTCCATATATCAACCATCGCATTGTCCATCCACTGGAACGCCAGATCGGACATTGGAGGTATAGTCGGCTGGTCCACGGAATATGAATGGCCATTGGCGTCATCCTGTCCATCGAACCAGGTATGTCCACCAAGCGGAGGTTGATGTGGCTGTGAATGCTGGCCTTCTGCGATCCATGTCGTAGACAAAGAAAGGTCATTTGAACTGCCGACGTGCGGGATAGAATTATTAGTAGTAAATAGACCGAAGTCAACACCATCAGCGAAACCTCCATCCCACGCGTCAGCAGATAATGGAATAGAATCAGGCACTGGCACATCTCCCACGGACGCGAGTTTATGGAGGACATTCCTAAGTGTGCTCATCAACACGCGTCGTGCTAACTTAAGAGTGATCATATACCAAAGAGAGCTGCCAAAAACCCATCTTTCATGTAGTCAGTATCTGATGATATCTTGGAGGCCACCATACGTACCTGGTACTGAGGTGCTCAAGCACCTTCATGCAGTTGTGTACGTTGTCAATATCATCAGACACATCGAAGGAATGGTCAAAGTATTTCAGGTACCAGATGTTGAAAAGGAGGACGACTCCCACATCGAACGCTACGAACTATCAAGTACTAGTCAGAAGGCGAGTAGAAGAGGAAAACGATTGACACTCTTACGCCGGATACTGGATAAACATACCCGCGAACGCGTTGGGTATCGACGATACGGGAGCATGAGCGGGCGGCGTTGGTGCATATATGAAGTGAATGTATGTGAAGCGGGACCGCATCGACGGAGGCAGCAATGAACGGTCGGTGTATCAAGATTCTTAGCTGAAAATAAAGAACGTATAGTAAAGCAGACTGGTTGAAGTGGATAGGATTTTCTCGGTTCGGATTCCATCTGACTGAAAATACAAATGCTCAGGATCGCCAAGTTCAAAAAATTTGGATGAAGCCTTACGATGCTCGGGTATGGAATCAAACCAACTATCAAGCGACGCATCTAGCTCCGCGGCAATCTGCCGATCCCAATCCTTGCGAAGAAAACCGAAAGATAGTTTGGATTTTTTCATCAAATACTGTGATTTACGGCGCATCAGCGTTTGCAAAAAAAAAAGCAAAAGAGACCTAAATACGCACAAGGGTCCGTAGACAGCTTTGTAAAAGATTACTCAGGCGTAAAGCAGTGTTGAAATATGAGATATCGGACGGCTGGCCCAAGGGCTGCTTGAATGCCTCTTCCGGATTAGCATGTATCCAGTATTGATCATCGCACTCCACTGGAAGCTCGACATCAATTCTAATGCTCCAAATAAGCATCTTGGCAACATAGAACGAAGAAAAACAAAAGTACTCTTCCTCGTTAAGGGCGCATGGTCGGCCCAAATGGGAACTAACCACTCGGTCGATAAACATAAGACACCTAGACAAAATATGGTGAGCCACTGTGTTCAAGATAACCACATCCACCTACCAGAATGCACGTTTCCACAACTCGCCTTCCACCGTGTTAGGGGAATCAGTCGCCGCCCTTTGATGAATGCCAACATCTTGAGCTATCCGAAGGCCGATACCTGCAATTGTCCAGCATAGGCAAGGAGCCGACGAGCCCAGCATGAACTGCGCGAAAAGCTGATGGAGTATATCTTTAGCCAGTTTCTATTGATCGAGTAATTCGCTTGCTCACACAGATGAACTGCAAATTATACAACGTCGCCGTACCTCGGATCGATAATTTGAAAGTGGACACTACTTGATGAACCCACTTCCAACCACTTGATTGTGCAGAATGCTGCCCATCGAACAAAACGCGCGGGTCATCCGAGTACCTTGATGCCACCGCACATACGAATATCACCACATCCGCGAATTTTTGATCTTTCAAGTGCAGCTTCTCCGCAATAGAGTTCTCGAAAGTCGGTCTGTGCAAAAGAGGCAAGACGATATTGACTCGCTCGAAATACAAACCGATCAGGGATCGCATCAAGTCGTCCTCCGGAAAGGTATACACCTCATCGTATATCTCGTTCTGAAGGGTAACTCGATGATCTGGTAGGTTCGAATCCCAAAACTCTGGTCTCCTCTGACGCAGGAAAGGTGGAGGTCCACGTGTATTGCCTGAGTATTCGTGTTTTAGATTCATCGCTTTCCCGACCAACTGTGCATTGCTGGATTTTCCGAAAAATTGATATTCCGGGATAAGATCTTTGTACCGTTCAATCATTTGCTCCAGCTGTGTGCGATCCGGGTCTTCCAAATACTTTGTCTCGATCTCAGCTGTGATATCGTCGTCGGAATCGGAGCCTTTAGCCCACCGCTTCAGTCTGGTTCCACGTGTAAAACGTGAGTCAGATTCGCCGTCTGGCAACATCTGCGTCATGGTGATAGTGGGGTTCAAAATAGTTTCCGGGCCCGAAAGAAATAAGTGTTTACTTACTTGGAGTAAAAACTTCTCCATATTCTGGACTTTCCTCTCCAAATCCTCGACATATCTGTTCGCCAGTATTTAGCGCCGAATTGGCACGGCAAATACAATTACAAACGTCTCTGAGTATCCGTTCTACTTTGAGCCGCTTCAGTGATTGTAATGTTGGTTAGACTGGTGATCCTGACCTGGGTTCCGTCGATGTACGCGCAGTCCAACTTGAATGCGGTACAGTTTGAGCATCGTTTCCCAGGCATGGCCATCCCGTCACCTAGTCTCCACGAACCCGAATCAGCGTGTGATGCGAATAATATTATAAGGCGATGGAATATCATACATTTGACTGGTTACCAAGTGAATTTGGAGCTGAAGCAGCAGTTTGACGGTCACGACGTACCTTTCTTGTGGCGACAGTTATCACAAGCCTTCTGTGTTCTCCTTCTCTTCTTCAAGTCGCGTTTGTAGAGTAAAATTTCTTCATTTGACGACATGGGGAGAGGAACTAGAGTATTCTGCAACTGAACAGGTCAAAGTATTAGTCGTTGCCGATTGTATTACGCATGGGTGCGACGGTCGCTTTTCAATTCCAAGCGGTGACGTACAATCTGTTTGTCATGTCGTATTCGCCGTGAATCCCGGAAAAGAAATCTCTACGGCGATGCTTGTCAGTGTCAGGTAGAGGGAGTGACTTTCTTAGAGAAAAATCAGACAGTTGGTCCGAATCGGACCGCTAAAAAGGTTCGAAAATTACATTCATGGTATCATGTTCATCGTACCATTTGCGTTTAGTTTGCAATTGGACCGACGCTGATGGTGATTGATAATGACGGTCGATATGAGTCTTGTAGTTTTGGGTGCAAAGCAGGTTTGAAATGTATCTGCGGGTAAGTATACAGTGGAAGTGTTGATACATATATACCTAGTTGAACAGTTTTATGTCACCATGGGCGACGGCAGTCTCTGCGGATTCGACGTCGCACTCTCCTTTATCAGCCTGATCCTTTCCTTCGATTCCTGATAGTCCTCCATCTGTTGCTGCGCCCTCGACTTCTTGGTGCTTTCAGCGGCATTCTTTATCGATCTTCTCTTCTTCGGCGTCTCCTCCCCGTCATCGTCCTCTCTTTCCCTCTTCCTGTTCGGATCCACACGCTTCACGAATTCCATCATGTGCTTCCCGACCTCTGCATTCAACTTCATCGAATTCTTGAAAACTGCTCTGGTATCGTTCCTCATTTCCGCGACCAGGTCAGAGAGATCGCGTCCGTCCGATACGGCGTTAGCCAGCACGCCGATGTACACCACCTCAACTGGTGATACCTTCTCCTTACCCTTATCCGGTACGCTCACTTCCGCCATGCGCACAAGGGTCTCCTCCATCTTGGTCCGAAACGCGTCTGACACTTCTTCCTCCGATTTCAACCACTTGGTAAGCCGAGCCGGCTCGAGGACAACGCTGTTTATCTTGGGGTACTTCGTCAGTGCATGGGCCAATGTGACAAAGCAGCGGAAGTCAGTAGCCCGGGATCGGTCAAAAGGTATATTATCAAGTGGATGAGTGGCAAGTAGTTCCCGAATGATCTGAACACGCGGACCGCTGATAGCTTGAAGTTTCTCTGGATGAGAAGAGTGAGCGTCTTGATATATGGAATTCGAAGAACGCACCAGCAGCAGTCAGCGCCACGCCTAGCTGAACGCGTTGGAAGATGTCACGTTCACCTTCATCCGTCAAGTCTGAATACTCCACGCAAACAATTTGTTTATTCGCAAAGAGGCGCCGGAGTGCTTCGGGAAGAATGTTCTTTTGCTTTCGGAGAACGCCTGGGTGATCCCTGTACCAATACTTCCGGGCTGTGTCGCTAGGTAATATCAGTAGCCGCGGGGGGAAAGACGCCACTAATTGAACGCACTGGTCTCGGTCTACAGGACATTGATGGTATACCAGTCAGCGGTAACAGAGAGGATATGCTGAGTAGTTCTTACGTGGTATCTAATTGAGTACCAGTGAGTTTAGAAGGGGAAGAGACCAAACAAAGAACATTTACGAGACCCTCCATGAACCTGCAAGGACAACATGTGGCTGTAAGTCCAGTATTTACAGCAGAATTTGGAGTAGCTGTACGCACCGATGGATCGAAGTCAACCGTTGCTTTCCGTCAATACACGTCCTCGTCTCGGTCCCATCCTCATATAGATTCACCGCTAACCTACAACATCAGCGCCTGAACGAGAAGGCCACAAACAAACCGCACCAAAGATAACAGGAGGAATATAGAAATTTCGCAAAATAGAATCTATGAGGCCTGTTTGTTTGCTCTCTGTCCACACATCACCTAGTATAGTTTGTAAATGGTGGGCAAGTTAAGCGTCGAGAAGAAGGCGTACCACGTTGATACTCAGGATCAAGATCAATGTCATTGCTGATAATCTGTTCGTAGAGAGCCTGCGCAGTGTAGGTCGTCGCTCGAGGTACTTTGAGCGCGTTGGATAAACGGTACTCTTCAGATTCCTTCTTTGCCCGCTTGGAAGTCGACTTGGACGATGACGCCACGGGATTTTCGTCGCCTGATTCTAATTCGTAGTCCTCGTCGTCGGAAGGCATGTTGTGTGTCGATAGAGATGACGGTGAGAAGTTGCCACAGCTTACAAGACAGCCTGCAAGTTGCCGCTCTTGCTTGAAGTTGGATCACGTGGTGTTACCGGCCTCAGGTCCGGGATCCGGTCACGGGTGGCTTTCCACGGCAAGAATCAATAAAGACGTCTTTCTTACCGTTCTCTTTCATTTTGACGTGTTCCACTCTTCAGCATGGTACTTAAGGAATACATACGGAAATTGAGTCTCAGTATGCGTACGCTGGGGCCTCACGAGTTCGAGAATTCCGGCACTCACCAAATACACAGATGTTGTCGCTGATTCCAATCTGGCAGCACTATTGACTGGTACCTGACAACCGTTGGATCAGCTTCGGTTAATTGGCCTGAGTAGACCTGGACCAATCACAGATGATGAACTTGATGGTCCCTTCAAGAAAATCTACTAGTAATCAATGATAATCTGACATGAATTGGACATGGATGCGGGGGAGATCAAATTTTGATCTTCCATATTACTGTGAGTCCCGCCTCATAATTAGATGTTCTGTTTGATATGGAATGCAATGTTGCGTCAGCGATCTCTCCATGCCTATGCTTCGTGCATACATGCTTGCAATGGTACCGTATGATTCCAATGTTTCGTCACCCTGCTAATTATTGACCAGAGCCATTTCGGTGTGCACGAAGCTCAGTATATCTACCATCTCTAAGTTCCGAGTCAACTTCAACCTTAGATTATCTTATTAAAATCCTCCGGATTGTTTTTCCCTGCGGTCCTGCGGACTATGACGAAGCTGGCAGGCCACAAACAGAGACCCCTTTGGAACTGGTCTAGGCCGTCAACCCAGGGCGTGGACCTGGTTCTAAGGGCACTGCGGGAATCTTAGGTCTTAAGTCAGACCCTCCAGGATGCATGATTCTTACCCAAGAGATACCCTTCCTTTCTTTTCGCGCCATATGTGATAGCTTTCTGATTTAGTACCTTTCTGATATTATAACATTCCACAGGGTGTCCTCCGGATATAAGAAACAACGGCTAACACCTAACGGATTTTTGGTTCTGAAGTCGGAGAACGGGTAACTAACGCATGCACGCGACATGCTACCTCGAAGTTTATGGGCCATCATGCATTCACTATACTCTTTCCGGCTGGTGAGGTCATGTTTCATTACCACCGCCAGCTGATGGCAACTGTCCCATTAAATACATCTCAGTGAATGTTCACTCTTTGCTTTAAGTAATAATCTACACGACAGGTCCAAAATTCAAGGACCAATGCATGCCGATTTAACACAGACGCAGCACTGCTGCACGGAACAGCATCCGCCAAACACGGGAGCAAAACACATCCATCTTGCGGGTTCACGTTCAAGTGGCGCCGTAATGACAGTCAAAAAGGCTGAATTCAACTGTGGCGACTGTTTCTATCAGACTTGAACTGTAGTGATTTGCCATACTTCTACCTTCTACTGTCCTATAGGCGGTCACGGAAACCCAGGACGCGCGGTTCAGGGAAGCTGAACTGCGTGTGATCGGCGAACTGGAGTCGCCATACGACTGAAAAGAAGATCGACGTTCTACGCTCACAGACCGTCCTGCACCATTTTCCGCCACAAATGCTGACAGTACAATGACTACAAAATGACTACGATATTTAAAGAGCTGATCTCATGGTGGATCCCGTCAACCTCTATACATCATGCCCTGGTCTTTTGACTTCTCCAGCAGGTGAGCGCTGAGCGCCGTCCCAGTTACCACTACTAAGCTCAAACTTCACAGTTGCATGATGTTCTCCTCATGGTTCAACCTCGTACTCTACAGCTTCGAATTCTTACTATTCCTATTCTATCTCGGAACCTGCGCGCCCAATCTTCGAGGCCTTTATCGTTATGGGCCAATGCTCGCATTAATATTTGACACGGCATCCACCGTTGTGGTCTGCGCCGATACGTACCTTGTCTGTTTCCTTTACTTCTATTGTCATCGAAAGGTAGTCTTACGAGATGACATCGCAGAGTCTTCTTGTCTACCAGGGTGAGAATTCAGGCTTGTAGTAGCCTAAGCTTACTGACATGTAGGGCTGACGCTCGTTCCAGATGATGCCCTACACGTCCACTCTATAACACTATCCGCAAACGTCTTTCTCACCGGCTGCTCTGTATTACTCGAGCAATTATTCCTCATTTACCGCTTTCGAAACCTGTTAGTAGCCCGTCACGCCCTCCAATATGGTCTTACTAACTCTAGACAGCACCGACAGTCTTTACATCACTTTTACGCTCTGCTTTCTTGTTTCGATTCATGTACGCCACCATGTCTCCGTGATCTCGAAACCACCTCAACTTAGTGATCACTGACAGACTGCGGTTACACTCGGAGGCACCATTTATGTAGCCTCTCATACTCAAGATGCGTCCGCTACAGGTCACGTAGCTTCGATCGGCAACATGTAAGTATTATCTGTACTGCTTTAATATATATGCTGATGTTCGCCTTTGCTGGGATAAGCATCTCGTACAGCCTCAGAGCAGTTACCGATATCGCAATAGCAGGGTCACTGGTCTATGCCCTGGCAAGAGTCAAGACCGTGGACCCATCGACAAAAAGGTTCGTCATCAACCCCCGTACACGGTCCATTGCCTCACCTAGCTAGTATCATGCACCGCGTCTCCGTTAATACGATGTCCTGGGGTCTAGTCTCCGCACTATTCACCCTAGCGACGCTCATATTGTTTTTCGTCGATAGATCCGGTGCGTACGCAGCGGACTTTTCTTTCACGTCGCTGACACTAGGAAGTTTCTTCGGTGTTTTTCTCTTGCCTGGGACGCGTATACAGCCTGACAGTTCTCGTCAATATGACGGTACATAAAGTGTCGCGGTTCAAATCCCCTGGTGTACACACGAACGGCGAAATAGAGCTTCAGTCTGCGCAGTTTAATTCGATGTGTACGTCGAACCAACTTGAAATGAGTTCAAATATTTGGGATGTTCACTACTAGGTATAGATGCTACTACAAGGCCGGAACAGACACGACGAATCTCCAATGACTGGGTAAGCATCTTGTTAATATCACGCCAACTACGACTCCTGACATGTAGCAAGTAGAGTAGACTTGGACCAACCACAGGATGATGACCCCAAAGGTACCTACAAGAAAAAACATCCAGGAATACAAGGTCATCAAAACCTGGTTCTCGTTTACTTTATCCATGTATAGCTCCCTCTACTTTGTAGTTAACCAATAAAACAGTAATTATATAAATGCATAAACGAAAACAATTCCCGAACCCGCCTTGCCCTACTTACTTCCGATATGCCTCGTCGTAAAGCGCATCCTTATTCTCCACCAACTTCTCCAGCACCCCCGCCCTCCACCTCCAAAGCTCCCGTTCCTCACATTTGATCCACCAATGGTTCAGCGCGTTCCTCATCGACATCCTCAACGCGGGGTCGGCTTGCAAGAGGCAGTCAATAAAGTCCTTGGCTACACAACCCAACCATGAGCTCGGTGTTTGAGGTAAAGAGAGACGGAGAACGAACGTACCGTCAGAACTAGCACCCGCTCTGTCTAACAAGGTCCACTTGATCTTCGGGTCTGGAGCTGTTGTCTCGTCTGAAGGGAACTCATTTGTGAGCCTGCGTGCATCAGTGAGCGAGACCACCAACAAAAAAAGAAAAGAGAGCTGACATTTCGAATACAACAACCCCCACACTCCAACTATCCGCCAGATAATCATACATCCCAACCTGCCTCTTCTTGACATACGTCTCCGGAGCCCGGTAGTACGAGGTTCCACAGTTCGTCTACAGTACACAATCAGTTAACGACGAACGAACAGCATGTTGGTTTAAACTTTACGCACGCGAAGCATAGTGAGGTGGTCTACGACCTTGGCCAGCCCAAAGTCGGCGATCTTGACGAGTGGGGGGTCGGTCTTGGTTAGGAGGATGTTCTAATTGTGGATTATCTTGTGAGAAAGGAAGAGGAGGAGGAGAAGGGGGGATTACTTCAGGCTTGATGTCTCTGTGTGTGACGCCGCGATCGTGGAGGTACTGTCAGATGAGGTAGACGATTAGCGTTCGGGCGATTTCATGAAAGCAAGAAAGTAGACTCACCTTGACAGCTTCACAGATCTGCCAAGTAATGAGCTTCGTCGCGCCTTCGCTCCGTGTCAAGCCTTTATTAATATACTCAAACAAACTCCCCCCCTCAACCAGCTCCATAACTAAATCTAACAATGACATAGTACATTCAGAACAAACCAACAAGAGACTCGGGCTCACTGATCGAATTATCATTCTCATGATCATACACATCCTTCAACTTGCAGATATTCGGATGGTCGACATTACTCATAATGTTCACCTCCCTCGCCATGTTGCGCCGGACCGTACGCGCTTGGCCGGGGGACCTAGGGAGTAGGATGATCTTGATGGCGACGAACTCTCCGGTTTTCAAAGACATCCCCTTGCTCACCGTGCCGAAACTCCCTTCGCCGATTTTGTGGGCTATGTCGTAGTGCTTGTAGAGTTCGCCGCGGTCGTATTCCTTGAGGCTTGTCTTGTGGGTGTGGAAGACGAAGCCTGCGGGAGGGATGTGAAAGTCGGAAAAGAGAAGGCTAAGAGACAGAGGCGTACGATAATCCTCAGTTTCCTGTGGCATTGTCGTTCCAAAGGCGATTTCGTCTCCGTCCTTGAGGATGCATAATTTGTTCACACCGAGCTTAACGTCGTTGACCTGAGATCCGGTCAGTCACCAACCCCAGCAAAAGCAAAACAGGCTCACCCAAGTCCCATTGCTGGAAAAATCAGTCACAACGGCCGTCTTGTGCTCCCACCGAATCTCGCAATGACGGTTACCTGCGTGGCATCAACAAGAATTTCTTAGCAGCCAAAGGTTTACTTTTACTCACTAACTCTCGTCCCAGGAAGAACAACATTATTCGTGTACGGATTCCGCCCGATTTTGATGAGGCTGTTAATCGTAAAGAAGTCGATGCGGACGAGGTTGGTGGCATTGCGTGGGTGGAGGGAGCCCCAGAGGTCGTGGTCGATGAAGTTTGGTGCGTCCATGGGGGAGGATGTAGGAAGTCGGTCGGGGTGAATGGAGTGGGATGGACTTTTATGGAGCCAGGCCATTGTTTGGCATGTTTGGACATGCTGCCACTGGAAACGGGTGCTTTGTCCTCCATGGAAAAGCTTCCTCTGGTGGTTGAATGATGGTGCCAAGACACCACTTTACTCGGCCGTGACGGTGGAGACTGGCAAGTTTCTGGAAGCCTGTACGATGACATGCACCCTGCACCTGAACATTTCGTCAGTACAGGCAAAGAGATAATAGAATTTTTTCAGCGACAGGTTTCTCCGGAAGCAGACTGAATGCGTCCTCGTTGAAAGGCCATCGTCTCCCAAAAGACCGTCGACGTTGACAACAATGCCCTGCAACGCGAGGATACCTGACGATTGAAAGATACGTACCAAAGATTCATCCCGAAATTAACCCTCCAAAGTTAAGCTGACCACACAGGAGTTGGCGAGTCGCAAGACAAGCACCAGGCGCTTTGACCGATCCAAGCACAGGCGCTAAATGCTTAACGCGTAGTCAATGACTGGCTAGCAAAGAATCTTGGAAGTGAATGTACGCCATGTGTCCCACAGTCCAGTTCCGACTCTTCTCCCTCCAGACGATAATCACGAGCATAACGCGCGTTAACTCCCGAAGACCATGACAGCAGATGTAGCGTGTACGCGTCGTTCGCTAGTGCGGTGTCGAAGCGAGAAGTAAAGCAGCCTACAGACTGACAACCTATATCTGATAAGGAAGGGTACACGATGGAAGGAAAAGGCCAGATACCATTTTGGCTTGGATTCAGATCAAAATGATTTTGCTCCCGATTAGGACTTTGCTAGCTTCAACCATGATCAACTTTCATTGACCTCGCATTCTACTCAATCTACGTTTTCTTCCTGTCGGAAGGAAAGGTGTTGTGATTGATTGAGCCATGTTATCGCCAGCGACGCGCAAATCCATCAACACTAGCCGCCAGACAGCCAGTGCTAGTGACCAGCGTACTGATCGACATAGCTTTCGGTATCTTCGTCCCTTTTCATCAATCCAGGTCAACGCTCAACCCCGCATCTGACTGTCCCCTCACAGACGTTCTATCCCTATATTTGGTTATGCGCTCAATATCACAGCAACAAGAAATATGCTAGCCTTTGCTATTCCCCCTGCCCTTGCTGACACCTTCTGTCGGCTTCCGAGTTGCTACATAACTCCCCTCTGCAGACTCATGTGTATGTATGGCCTTGGTTCTCTGAAAACTCGTCCTCGATGTGATGGAGCGCTTGCAAACTGACACGGCAATCTTGTAGCCCGACGCTGCGAACACTTTCAATGGGAGAGGGAAGGAGAGGAACGATGAAGATGTGGGATGACGAGGGTGCCCCTTCATGCTCTGGGTGGCCCATGTGCGATGGTGGGGGCCTGTGCATGACGGTCGTAACACGTCTTAAGCAGGTCGACAACATCTCTGCATTCGTCACGAAGGTGGTGTATTGTCGCCATTCTCTTCTTTTGAGCTCAGGCACAAACTATTCCCGAACGTGTTCACCTTTGCTAAATTCACGTCCTTTACCTGAACTTCTGCAATATACTCGTCATCGACGACGACCCGACGCAAGCGCACTGTAGCGACCTCTAAGCCAAATAAAGGCATACTACTACTGGTACGATCGCGGGCTATACAATGATAATCCAACATCTCTACTCTGCGTCACCGCTCAGATCCCCCCACCAGTTCTTTATCTCCACCTTCTACACTCGCACTAAGGATACATCTCTTCAGGACAGCATGTCTCAGGAACGCGTCAACCGCCCTAACTTGGTTCCAGGAGCAAGGACACGCACTAAAGTGTGGCGGCGGCGTTTGCTACTCTCTGAATGTGACAATCAAGAGCATGGTGTTTATGAAAGAGGGAGACGTGGAGGGGTAGTGATTACGAGGTTCCCATCCGCGGATGCCCTCCGCGTGTATGAACTAGGTTCACCACAACGACAACCCACTCTGTGTTCTGACTGTGATGTGCTTGACTCGTGATCTACATGCGAAGGCTTGGTCGTGGCGTCATTTATCTTCAACTTGATGAAGACATCATTACGTTCCAATGCAACCGCATACTGTTCCCGTGAATATCCACCCACCTGCGACCAAGACAATAATTCAGAACGGGTGCTTTCTCCAAGTCCGTCTTCACGGTAATCGAGTCCCCCATGATTTGAATGCGCTGATAGGATCACAAGATACAGTCGACCAATGCCTGAATATCTAATCCAATATGGTACGCACTATACCATGTCCCATCTTCCATGTTCTAAATGTTTTCATGCCAGTGGTGAGGATGCGAAAGTGCAAGCATGACTATCCCGCGAATGTTAAAAGTCGAATCCAAGCCAGTCTTAGACTACTTCCGAGTGCACTTGATCAACCTCGCGTCCTTTCACCCTCTACTTCTCCGTCTCTCTTACGTTTCGCCAGTCGACCTCCTGGTTTCGTAAACATACGTGATTCGTATCCCACCTTCGCGGCAAGTCACAAACATACCCTCATCGTTCAAAAGTTAAACCGGGTACCCCGTAACGCAGGCTATTGGCAACAGTGCCTAATTCAGTCCTCAAAGGTATACCAGCTTAAACACACGGGTCAACAGATATTCGTACTCTACACTACCACCCCAGAACCATGAAATCTTGGGAGGAATCAGGAAGATAACATCCATTCCCGCGAGTTAACCACAGCCGAGAACTTCTTGGCTCTAGACGGGTGCTTTCCGTAAATTCTCATGGGTACTTAATTCCGCCATATTCGACCGAGGGATTAACGTTAAGCAGATAGATTGATAGGATCAAAAGCAGTCTCGACATCTAAATCGATGTGACAGGCAGCGTGAACTGCCTATAATCACTGCGAAACGGTCTCTATGGCATTTCGTGATGGGTACCCTTACTTCTCGGTGCATCGATGTTCGTCACGGTCACTGGGGTATGCTCTATGTTTCGTACACTTAACAAGATAGATCCCAACGGTTAAGGAATCTGAGGTGTGTTGCCACACAGCGCCACAAGTATACACCCTACCCATTTCGTTTGCATCAGAAACCCGAACCCACCTGCAGATCCTGGCATTAAGCGCTACGTCCCTAACCCCATGGGCAGATATTATCACCATGGCAAGTACCTCAAGTGATTGGTACTCTGACAGGAAACTTGGTCACGCCAAGGCTAATCGATCATCCCAAAAAAAATGAGCTTCAAAAATACATTCGTTTTGTTTCGTGTGCGCTATGTATGTACAACGTTTGGTCAAGAAGGAAAAATGCTGTTACAATGGGACGTTGGAAAGCAGGGAGGGTATCAACCATGAATGAATCGTGAAGATAATAAGTAAAAAATGCAGTCATAAATAAATCCTTGTCCGTTCAAATTTCGTTGCAAGTCCAAAAGGATGTGTACGTCTTATCATCCGCAACATCTTACCGTCTCGCTTCCCAATTCACCACAATCGTCCTCTTCTTCTGAGTGACCCACGGCGCTATCGCTCTCGGAATCTCAACCTCCCTCGCAACATACACCTCCAAATGCACCCTCCTCAACCCCGGCCTCCTCATCAGCTTAGTCACCACCTCCAAACAGGCCTTATCGAACTTCCTCGGCGCATGGAAGGGATATGACGGAATCTTCACAACCAACTCCTGCAAGCGCGGCAACAACACATGCTCCCCTGCCAACCCGGCAATGAGATCAAACGGATACACAAGGAGCAACAAGTCCAGGGTCAAGATCGTCTGCGCCGCAGGGAGCCGGAAGACTGGAAGAAGGCCCGCGCTAGAGAAGGACGAAGGGAATAGCCGAAGTGAGAGCGCCTTCAAACTGCACCGCGAATGACACAACAGCGCAGCCAACGACCCCGTCGGGATACTCTGCGGAGACTGGTGAATCGTGATATCCTCCAAAGCCGGCAAGACGAGATGGTCCAACAAATTCGCGTTATTCACGACCAACTTTGAAAGATATCGCATCTCCAATCTCTTGATCGGGATCATGTCGCCCGCAGAGGAAGGGTGGCGTACTCGCAAATGACAATGCTGGACCCTGGGCGTGCGGTGCAAGACCGAGAGATGGTCTTCGAGCCGATCCTCTTCCGCAAAGTAGCTCGTCAGTTGGGCCCAGGGGAGCCGGAGACTGTGCGCGACGGGTCTCACGCCCTGGATGAATACATTATCCAGCTTTGGCGCTAGTTCGTACGCGCCACAGACGAACCGCTCCGGCTGGCCGATGACAATTAGCTTGAGGTAGCGCAACATGGGGAGTCTCCCACCGATGGGAGCGAACCGCGAGAGGTTCTGACCTTTGCCTAGGATTCGGACGGATTCCCAGCGGTGTTTCTCGTGGAAGAGGAGTTGGAGGATGGTGTCGCCGTAGTCGGAGATGTCGTGCATGATGCAGTCGAATGTGAGCGGGGAGCCCCGGGAATTACGGAGGAACGCGGCTAAGGCTGATATGCGGCCTGGGTGGTTCGCGTCGAGGTCGATGGAGAAGCCCGACCAGAGGGAGGGTAGGGCATCGGCAATGCCTCGCCACCTTCGGCATACGTGAGTGAGCAGCCGAGGAGCTTCGGCGACGTTATGGACAAAGGGGAGTTGAGGGCGGTCGTATTGGAGGTGTAAGAAGATGTCGGTAAGGATTTCGGTCGGAAGTTGTTGGATGGGAGATAGAACGTCAGTCGGACAGGGTGTTATGTCGCCGAAATGCGTAGGCGCAGCGTGTTTTGGAGATGGCAGCGCCTTGAAAGCGTCTCTGAGCATTCTCCGGGGCTTTGAGTGGTGAGAATCGCGTATACTAGCAGAGGCACTGTGCAAGGCTCTAGCGGTGGTCATGATTAATTCGGCATCGACAGAGTGCATGAGGGAGCTGCAGGTCATTATAAGCGCCACGTCGTACAACAGAATGAGCAACGAACCTATGAAACAGAGGGAATGGACGAGTCGTGAAGCAGGCTGTTCATCAGGACTGCAGCCCCTCGTTTATGAAGGTTAGCGCTACCTTCGACTCTTCTTCTTCACAGGGTTACCCCGAGTGAGAGTTTCCGGAAAGCTATAGACCCGATTGAGAATTTCGTTTGACAGGGCGGTCTAACCACACTCACCGGAACACGATCGGCGTACTATTTACTGGCCTTCCAGAAAAGTATTTCATCGTCCGGGAATAAGAAGGGGAAACATTCTGATGTGAGCCATCAAATCCGACTTCGAAGCTGGAAACGAGACAGTCGCGGTAGGTACTGGAAGAACTTACCAGAGATGAGGGTGCTGGAGATTGTGCAGTAAATTGAAGCCTGAAATGGAGACGTGGAGTAATGAGAAGGTGGAGGAAAAGAGAAATATGAAGCTCAGAACACCGTACCTGGGTATTTATGTGATCGGCCACAAAACGGAGACCAAACGGGAGCAAATATCATAAGCATCAAAGATCCACGAGCGCAGGAGGTATAATACGTCACGAACTGCAGGATCGCAGAGGGTCATCGAGAGATATTCAAAAACGAGTCAAAATCCAACGCAACGAAGGTTATCGACTAAAGCACACATAATGAGCTCAAGAGTCCGTCCGAGTTTGACGAGATCAGGAATAGTACATACCAATGCCATGGAATCGTCAGACGTTCTAGAATCCCAGCGCCTCTTCGTAAAGAAGGAACCAAGTCTCCATTAGTCCAATCTCTTTTTGTCCGCTCGGGGTTGCAGAACCAGCGCATCCCTTCCTCCATGCTTGACATATCTTCCCTCGGGAAACAGGGCACTGAAACCCAAGTTCGAAGGGTCGCGGGGGAGGAAAGGACGGGACCGACCGTAGCAAGGCGAGAACACGAAACCTTTTTGCATAAACCGATCGACCGACATGACGGAAGACATAAAGAAACACGCGCTCGGGTGCAATTCCCCTCTTCTGTGGGGAACTCTTGTCGACGTTTATGTCAATATGAACCCGAGCTCAGAACGCTCCCTGGATCCGACAAGTAGAATTAGACGAGAAGAAGTACGTAGTACGTTAGGTACGGTAGCACCCTAAACGAAGATAGATGAGACAGGTGTGTGCAAGTGTATTGCAAAGGACATCTAGTGAAAGTGGTGAACCCCGAGTTGTTCGAGTCCGAGTCCGATTCGGCAAAATATCGAGGGACGAACCTGGCCACGTGAGAGGTACAACACGCAGACGCAGGCAGGATGTGCCATTGCCACTCTGTGACAGCCAACCTGACATTCCACCAGCCACATCTTGGAAGAATCTGAACCATTACTGCGCAACGACATCGGTACAGTTGATAGAGCGACGACTGTCAACAGCAACAGAAACCTATCCTACCAGATCGTTGATACACTAGGTAAATGAACATTGAACAAAATCCACGTTCACTTGTTGTATGACTGTACGTTATATATACTTAAAGTAAAGAGAAGGGAACATATAGGGTAAAAAGGGAACAACAGGAACAACAAAAGAGAGACTCGAAACGAGGATGAATGTGGCTGGTATTGGGTAGCGATGGAGAGGCACAGAGAGTAACTATGGCGGAATATAATCAATCAAAAACAAAACAATATGATCCTCGCATGATGAAAGTGGGTCGTGGGGTGCATAAGCAGACAATAATAATGTGACTATACTGTGGTATGACCAAAATGACAACAAAGGAAATAAGGGGAAAAACAGGAAGGATCCGTCCACCGTCAAACCGGATGCGGTATGCTCGACTCTATAGCAGGCCACATTCCCGAAGATGCAGTTGCAGAAGGATATCCTGAATTGCACTTAGGACGACTGCGAACAGTAGTTAGCACAGTAGCATAGTCAAGGAACAACCGACGTACATTTGATTTGTTGTGTATCTGTAGCACAAGTATAGTGCGCATATATCTGCTTGGTTGCAGCACTCTGATTGAGGCTAACAAACCGATGCAATAGGTAATCACAAGCCGCATCATAGTTATCGCCACCTGGAAACCAGGGTCAGCCAGTCGGGGATGACAATGACAGCTCACACACCTGTGTAGTCAGGGAAGTAATCGCTCAGCGGTGACCGTGGCAGTTTGTCGGCAAACAGATCAATTTTGTTGAGGAATAGGATCTTTAGATGTCATATAAGCGAAAAAAATATAGGACAGAGAATGGATATACGTACAATAGACGTCTTGACGAACCATCGTGAGTTGCATATCGAGTCAAACAGCGTGAGAGCCTCTTGCATACGGTTCTATTTCAAATACCGTGAGGGAAGCGACAGAAGAAGACAGCATTAAGACGTACCACGCTCTCGTCTTCATACAGCATCTGATCGTATTCGCTCAAACTGACCAAGAAGACCAATGCCGTGACGTTCTCGAAGCAATGAATCCACTTCTTCCGCTCACTACGCTGACCACCGACATCAAACAGCTTGTACGTCAACTCTCCAACCTTGAATGTTGTCTCCGTAATACCAGTCGTCTTCACTCGCGATCGGAGGATGTCTTGGTCTGTAGGCATGTAGCCAGGACCGGCCATGCGGTCGAGTGAGTTGAAGTAATAGACAGCCGAGTCGTTCAATTGAAATTCCCGTGAGCGACGAACGGCTTCCCGGACACCAGGGTCCCTCCACAAAGAGCGAATAGCATCAGCGACGTCTCGGGGAAGCACGTCAGTCTCAAGCTGACCGGGCAGCGCAACGATAGTAGCACGACGAGCATCGTTTTGAGGCGATAGAGAGAGGTCTAGCTGGGGCATGGCATCGAGAATAGCACTGAACAGTATACCCAGTCAGTGTTCACGAAATATTTTAGGGGTCATAACAGCATCATACCGCATGGACTGGATAGTGTTGGAGAAGATGATTTCCTTGTAAGAATCCCGTTCTTGATCGTTGTAACCGCCATGGTGGATAAGCTTCATCTGCTTCAACACCGTCGACTGTAACGGCGGGAATCCTCCTATTGAGCACCCCAGCATCAAGAGACATATCAGATACGGACCTTGCCAGACTCTCCAGCACCCAGCAATAGCATTTTAATCTCATTCTTCGCCATCATCCTGTCCCGCTTGAGCTGGTTTTCGATTTCATCGTTGCCTAACAGCTTTGTCAACCGCTGCCACTACCGAGGAGAATGAACAGGTACGCACGGGCCTTGGCCTCCTCATCAACGCCAGTAGACTGTACACAACCCATTGGAGCTCGGTAATAGGATTAAGGGATAAAATGAAGGAATGGATGGAGGCGGCTGCTGGGCCAAAGCAAGAAAAAGCAACAACGTCGGGAAAAACAAAAGTAGGGATCGCCCCCTTCGGCTTGCTATGGAGCCACATTTGTCATTTGTTGTTATTTGTTTGGCTAAAACATCCTATCTCGGCTGAGCGCGCCCCTGATACGGTTGGCTAAATTATCTCTCGCGCTCACCTCCTATAATAGCGTACTCTGCCCGTCCATAGAACACAATCGATGAAATTGTTACCTTCATTGCCATGGAAAAGATATACCGTCGTCAATCAAGACCTCTCTAGCTTGGTTGCATCTATAACTACTCTGCCGGCCGGTTCCCCATGAAACGGACCTTTTGACCATATGTATTTTTCATGTTCTCGGTCGCCTTTCCCTATCAAATTAGAATTCCTAAAGCGCGCGCGCGTGAAAGCCTGTCTATTCTGATGGATCTGATATTACTTGATGGTTTCTTTGATTGACTTTCAGGATCTGGATTGGGTACAATCATCAAACCTGTGACCTTCGTTCAAGTTACGGTTCCCATTGTACCCTAAAAGCACCGTTCCTTGTACCAAGTATATCCCGTTTCTCTGATGATCCGATAACTGCACCTGTGACCGGCGAAACCTGCTTCGACTGCTTGAAACCATCCGGCCCCTACAAAAAGACAAGAGCTGATTGCTGTTTCATTGAGCGAAGGCCATCAGCCGACCTTGACGCCTAATCATACGAACGTGCTTCCGTAATCCAGGGAAAGATTGCTGCCGGTCCAACCTAAAATGGTCTTGGCGAACCTCCTTCATGAACTCCTAAATCACAACTTTTAAATGCAAAACACCGGCGCGTGCCTCCTATACCCTCGAACATGATCGTTTACTCTCTTGTTTTGAATACCGGTCTATTACGGTTCCGTACATTCACCGTGCGACTCGGACACGGGGCCATCGGGACATCTCTACATCCTCCCATGTTTTAAACTGACCAACGCCGACTCGGAATCCGACCAGCGCATCCGATTTTCCCAAGCGTTAACTTCCTGTCCCAAGGGGCCTGCTGCCACGGAGGATCAAGAAATGTACTCTTTCGACTTCACTGCTAAAATTAAAGTCGGTCCGATATCTGACGAGTTTGAAACGCCGAGGCTATGTATGGATTCACTCTGGTCACAAAGTTACCAACAGTACTCTGCAGCCCGCTGAATAAGACGTATTTACAGTACTCGATCTGAACCCGCCGTGATCCACAGTTAACTGTATTCAAGTCTATCACGGAAACTGAAATACTGATCTCTTCCCGCCATTCTCCCGCTGATTCAAGAACCATTTTACCCGGATCCTGTCCCGAGACGAAATGGAATGAATCGATGTTTCCTCCGAGCGCCAAGAGAAATCAAGATACGAAACCATTCGATGAGACGCAGCTTTCGAAATGATCATTGACCAGTTGCCGTTCTTAACAATGTTCGTGGAACGCTTGCGAAATGATAGACCATAACGCGCTGAAAACGCCACATTTATTGTGGCCCCGTATGAACCTGTGCTGCCGATTCATTACGCCCTCATCTGATTCGATGATGCTTATGAATCCGTTCATGACCCAACAAGCAAAGATAACCCAACAGTCATGATTATGTTGCGCTTTGCCCGAATTGTTACATTTATTCCCTGAGTAGTGGATTGTCTAGAATGTAGAGACGGGGGAACTGGGTAATTGGTTGTGATAGCAAGTCCTATTGCTTCTTGCGGAGAGAAAGGGTTGACACCGCTGAATGGACCTTCCTCCTGAGTACGGGTTGTATGTCCCGTGCCCAGGCCTGCAGAGGACGAATAAAAATGGGATGATATGATTTGGAAACTGGCCGCAGATGATGTCCGAGGAAGGAGCGTGGGAGGAACTACATTTCATGGATACATTCATACACTTCCCGCAGTGTTTGCCTTCTAGACCTATGGCCGTGGCGAAGGTTAGCTTGTAATCAAATTCAGGACTTGTACGTCTCAGCCAGACATGTTGACGTTCAACAGGCCTCGTGTTGTTCAGCTGGACCCATTATCAGTGGCACCAAATAGTCAGTCATGACAGGACAGTTAACGAATATCTGTCCGGCTTCCTGTCGCCGTATGTAAGCAATTGAGGATGACGTGCTCCAAGGCTCCGAGAGTTCAAATTCGTTTCGTCAAGTCGAGGTACGGCACCAAATCTTTGTACAACGGTCGTCGCAAGGTAGTCCAAAGCGAGTCCAAAGCGGATGATACGGACTAGCTGATAATTCCGCACCTGCAGGGTCGCACAATCGAGCCACGGTCGAAGCACCTATGGGCGAATACGATTATCTCTCGCACCGAATCACCGTGGCACAATCTATCCTCCGTATCGGCAATTGAAATTGAATATGCGGTATGCGATACCAACGGAGTACTTCTTCCATGTCGGATACAATGGAATTCTCTTCGCATTTACTATACAAATTTGGAGCTACTTACTTCCTATCGCCATTTCTCAGTAGGCCGTCCCATGTGTTGGCAGACCATTGGGAAATATCTGCTTGAAAAGCGTAGGGTAGTGTCGTTCTCCGACATCAGGATGGCTCCTAAAATATAGGTCAGATAAATCTAGAATGATAAACAGCTTAAGGTAGACCAACTTCACTCTGCCCACAAGGTTAACATGCCCAGAAGTCTGCGTAGAAAACTCAGGGAAGTTCACGGCTGAAAAAACCATAGTCAGAAACAGTCACAGTAAGCCATGAGTCATAAGGGACCAACAATCAGTGTCGGGTAGCTTTCCCCTCGCATCGCGTAATTTTAAGATCTCCTCTGGGACTGCGGATAAGTATGCAAGTCAGCGAAAAGGCCGGTATTACAGCATCAGGTAAGTAACGCACAATTCAAAATATATGCAGGATCGGTCACTTTGACGTCTAGCCCAATATTATGGAAGAAAGGTATAGAATATCTAGGGCTCGTCGATCCTAAAGGAGGTGAGAGGACCCTGTGGGATGTGGCGCGCGCAATGCCTTGGGTGGCGAATTCCAATGCTACATAGAATAGAATCTCTATCAGAAAACCAGATCCTGTGGCGCAGAGCAGATCATGTCATTGTCAGATTCACCTCGACCAAAGTTGACCTAAGTATGAATGGAATACCGTAAGCCCCTCCCGTAAGAAATAATTAGAAAACATTGTACGTTACCACAAAAGTTCCCGGTACCGGGGAAGCATCGATCCACTCTCCCGCCAGATTTTGTACCTGTAATCCCGGATGATCCGATGCTTGTAGTAGCTAGTACGCAGATCAGATCATGTTTAAACAAACAAACAGGGATTGGCGTACTATAGTTAAAAAGCCTGCATCATAATGCGGCCCTACGCCCTGGTTCGACGGCGACCGCTCGTTCACCACCGGATACTGCACCATCTTGCTCCGATGCTGCATAAGCTCAGGTGCGTCGTAAAACCGCGCCAACCCATCTGGGCCGAGCCCAAGCGCCTCAGCTAGAACCTTGACGAAATTGTCTGCCAACTCTTGCACCTGCTGGAGGTATCTCTCCAGGGTCGCTTTGAACCCAGGAATCAGGTCCTCGTCCGGCCACTGAGGAAAGGAAAGCGTCAGCTGAATAGTGTGTGTGGTAAACAATGGAGTCAGCAGATACGCGCCTGAGACGGTCCCCACAAACGCTTGTAATCTGGATCTCCAGGCTTCCATTGACACTCATGGGGCGTGGCAATATCAAACTGTTCCCTCATATCCACGTTTCCTTTAGTGTACTCCGCACCGAATTGAGAATATCCCAGGAAATGGGGCGAGTTGCGCATTCGGATCTTTTCCTTAGCTTCTTGAGGGAGAGCAAATAGTCGAGGAAGGTACGAGACGAGTTCTTTGACAAGAATAGGGTCCACAGTCGTGTTTGATAGGTAGAGAAATCCTACGTTGATAGCGGCGTTGCGAAGCTCGGAGATAAGTTGCGGTCTGGTATTCGGAGAGGCAGATAGGGAATAGTCGAGAATTGGTATTGAGGAGAAGTTTCCTGAAGCTGAACTTGACGACATTTTGGAGTGTAACCTTGAAAGACCAGCTGAGAGATAAAGGACTGCAATTATAGGGAGTCTGTGTCAGATGTTGTGCGATGAGTACATGATGGCGCGATCATTACATTTATAGTGTCAGACTTCCTTGATATGTTTAAGAGGCTGGACACATCCACAGAAACTGTAACGCATCTTACTTTCTGTTGCAGACTTTTATCGTCGTCGCCGTCCAGGAACGATCGAACAGGGGGGAGATGAGCAAAAGTGCATTTTCCTTTTTGAAAAGGCATTTCCGCTTCGGTCCGATCTGCCGAAGCTAGCTTTGAACTCGTTCCCAAACGACGAGGAAAGAATATCTGAAGGCTTAGTGATGCGTCCTCTCAGATTCGAAACAGGCTCTGAGCCCGGAAGTTCCGTCTTGGCATCGATGGCCTATAAAGGATACTTTTGGTAACGGAAAGGTGCTACATCGTTGCCGGGGCAACAGAGCTCTCTTTAAGTATAATATTAAGCAGGAACTGCCGCTACGCATACGAAATTCTATCAAAGTGATGGCATTGAGAAGGAGGTTTCGTACAAGACCCAAGTCCGTCGATCCCCCTGGTGCAACACTATAACAACTTGTCGGCGCTTTCTTGTCGCGGTGGCACAGGTCGAGCGGGGTTTGAGTGAGTGGAGGCTGTCATGCCTCGGTTGGAAGAACTCTCCAGGCAGAACGGACATTGACTCAGAGTCGTGAGGTAGCCTCGAGGCAGGTTGCCATAGGCCAATTTCCCTGCAGGAAGGTGGTGCCGTACAAGAAAGAGTAAGTAGTCCGCCACCCCAATTCGCAGTAGTTAGAATAGAACGTTGATAGCCTGGATAGGTTGTAGACGTCTTTTTCAGCGTTTCACATGCTTGGATGGAGTTTAACGAGTCGAGGCGCAAAGGTTCGGAAGGTGGCGTGAAGGAGGAAATGATTTTCGAGGTGGGTGGATAGGCAAAAGGTCTTGAAGGTGGAAAGGCAGGCAGGTCATCACCTACTACTCACTGCAACCAGGTGGGATTTGATTGTTGATGATTCCTTGCGTTCCGGTCTCTGTTTCTTTTTTCGTTCAAGACTTCCTAGAGCGATGCGCCACTGTAGTAGAAAGATGTGAATGTAGCTTATCGAAACGGAAACTTGCATGAAGGACAAACCTATCGTGGTTTGATATAGTGTAGTGCCATGGGCCACGAACAGTGTGGTGCTGTTGCGTGCAGTGCCGGTCTCTGGGATCGAATATAGCTCTCGCAGTGACTAGGAGGAGAGCGGGAACTTTGCAAGCAACGAATGTGAAAATGTCAACGGAGGGACAGCAACCGACAGAAGGCGAAAGTACATGAATTCTCGAACCTTAACACTTAGTGAGTAGCAAATCCCTTGATAATGCTCATGCCCTCGCTTCCCTGTGTTCAATTTCAAGTCTGTGCAGGTGCTAGTACATCGACATTTGCTTGAAGCTTCGTGCTGTCTCATATGCTTCAACGGCCGACCAATGGTCTGTGATTTGAGATACAATCTTTTTGCTCTCGGGTTTGCTATGGACGAGTAAAGATTAATCTGAAGCTGTAGATGGATTTTTTTGGCATAAGACTCCCGGATTTCTCATGTCGGACCAGTGACCAGACCATGTATACCTTAAAACTTGGTGCCCAGTGCCGACGGAAGCGGAGCTCGAGACTGAGCGGAGAACGTTCATGAAAGGTGGATGATCATGATATCGAAGAATTAAGGATCGGCTGCCACCAATGTACATCCGCTTAGAAATGAAGTGACACTGTCTCAAGCAATGCCCAAAGGATAGAGGGTTTATGATGTGCCAGAGGAATGGCATGCTCTTTTCAAGTTGGCTCTTGAACTCTGAATACGGCGAGCGTTATTCCTTCCAAAACCATAGCCACAATGGCGACGAGGATACCCTTAGCATAAAGGACGGACGGATCTTGATTTGGTTCTTCCAGATACTCTGAATGTCCGATGCTGACTTCGAGTTCTGCTATTTATCCCTCCAATATGCTCATGTCTTCGCTTTCCTGCATATCTTTGGACATAATAAGGAAATTCAAGTCTATGACAGTACTTGCACGTCTACATTTGCTTCGTGTTATTGTCTCAGCTTCCCATATTGCTTCAGCGGCTCGCCAATGGCCTGGGAGTGGGCTTTGAATCAACTTCGTGATTGTCAAACTCTGCGGTGTACTCCTTTTCAGTTGCGTTGATTACTTTTCTTCAGACTCCGATTCAAGGCTTGAACTTAATGTGCGACTCGAGTGTTTCAAGCCGACTGCTGATCCCTGACTATGAACGTTATTCCTTTCAGGGCCATAGCTACAATAGCGAAGAGGGTACACTCTCTCGTGAGAATAGCGTGTACGTGCGGTAAGATTTTAATAGACAATCAGTATGATCGCCTCATTATTGAGAGAAGTCGTCATAGAATTTTCGTCTAATCATAATATCACAGGTGGGTTTCACTTCGCCATGGTCAACCTCCATCTAATAATTTACTTCACTTTGGGATAGTGCCGGCGAAAGTGTGCTCACTCACCAGAGTTCGTTGGATGTAGACATCTCAAGTCCTTCATACTCCCATTCGGCATGCTTTCTCTCCGAAATACATGTACGTCCCAAGAAGACGATGAGCCCCGCTTCGACGAGTGTCGAAAGCAACAATATGGCATAGGGCACGAACATCAGTCGCTCGATGTATGTCAATCCGAAGAGCAAGAATGCGACGGCGACCAGCCATAACGTCCCGATGAGCAACAAGGTTATGATGCACCATAAGGTGGACACCACTGGAGATTTCTTCGGTATATGCTGATATTTAGATTCGAGGTAAAGGACCGCGAAGTGATGAGTGTATGTAAGGAAGACGGCACTTGTGATAATCCAAAAAGGATGGTCAAAATAATCGGGATTGGGAAGAACTGTGCTCCAGAAAATGATGAGGGTGCTCAAGAAAAGGGATGCGGGAGTGACGGCCTTCATTACGAGTGTTGCGCGATATCTGGGGGCGGGGGATATCTCAATCTGGGGTCGTTCTGCCATAGCTGTCGTATACACGACCCGCATCAATCAGTTTTATACCATTGCAGGGGCCTTTACTCCGGTGTGAAAAGGCCGGGGAGCCGCAGTTTCAATGTATTTTTGAACATAGTGCTGTAGAAGGCCTGGCCGAGCGGGCGCGCTTGTGCGGGTTCAAGCTCAGAGTTCGAGCTATGAGCAAACCTTACCACAAGGCCGGGCATTTCTAGGCTGAGCTGAACTGAGCTATGCCGGACATAGGACTTAAATACCGGCTCTTCACAACTCAAGGGGTGGTAACTGAGAGCATATATCCCCTAAAGTCTTCGTGATACGGGCCTAAAAGCCGGAGATAACACCCGGACTGCCGTACGCCCGGAGTTATGGGTGGGTTTTAACCATCTGCCTAGCACTGAAACAGATATCAGACTGCCAACAAAGCCGTTGTGCCTGGATGTGCTAGATGCTAGGCACGTCACGGTTGTAAAGGGAGATTCAGACGAAGAACGTAAACCGTGACCTCATGTCATTGTTGTGGTAAACTGATACGCGCAGATCAGCATCCAACTACGAGCCGCAAGATGGAACCCTGCAAACCACTACCTCAGCTCGCAGACACTGTCTTTCTGGTGTCATAAACAGGCACCTAGCAAGGCAGGAAACGTCATCGCCACCATTATCACGCGCCCTGTCCTTGTTCCTCGTCAGTCTTCTGGAATCAACTAAGACTCGTTCTCGGGTCATATCCCACCTGAATATGTTGCCCAAGAATGATATCCCGTCATGAATCCCCGGTGTTCCGCTGTTCAAAAAAGGACGGAGGACTGAAGCAAATGTGCGCGAGATGGAGAGGAATAACTGATGCAAGATTCTGCCTGAGCGATGGAAAAGAGCAGCGATGTGGGAACAAGAACGCGTGCTATATTGCCCGTGATCATATGTCTGGTTTGGACGAGAGATCGTTACGCGCCTGCGTCGGGCCGCCGTCGACGACGAGTGTAGTGTGCTGACATCATTGACGTCTTTATGACGCGTCACAATGCATAGGTCCCTCTCGAGGCGAGAACAAAGACGCCCTCCTTCGTCATCACTCCACTGGCTTCCTTCCCTTACCATCTTCCTGTCCATAATTAGTGCCCTAATCGTCGAGTGCTAATGCGTCACATATGTCCACTGTTTGGCGAGCAAAACCATGTTGAATCAGTGCCATGAGCCAGAGTCGTTATCGGCCGAATATGCCACCATACCCTCATCCGACAGATCCCGGCGTGCTAAGCGGCCTCTTCACGCGACGGCCAGATTTACAGGAAGGCATACATTGCGGCGATTGGAGAAACGAGAGATCTCGGATCAGCGAGGAATCGATGAGCGTTTGAATAGCGGGGTCTAAATTTGATTGGACGAGTGCTTTTGTCGCGTCGCCTTGCGGTTCTCGACTGGCTTCGATGCTGGGAACAAAGTTTAACGTACAACTTCTTATCAAACACGACCATAGACGTACCACGATTCACCAGACGAGCGCGTACTTTGCTCGTGGTGTCCGTTTTTCCTTGAAACGACACCACCTCATAACCTCGTTTGTCTTTGCCACGACACCCTCCAAGCCCTGACGGTTGCCTCTATATCGTTGCCTCGGCTGCATTCGTGAAGATCGATCCGTCTGCCACGTCCCAATGGTGGTGGTGATAAACCGCATAGACTCTCTGTCAACTTGAACGGCGAACTTTGAGGCGTCGTGTATCAGGGTGGATGCCATGGCCATGAGGATGCTGGAGCTAGCGACGGCGGGGTGAACACGGAACGACACTCAACGCCGGCGTCGTTGGTAGCACGGGTTTTCGGCAGCGACCTGGCACCCAGGGATTGGGGTGGAATCGGTGGATCACAACCAAGCGTTAACTAAAAAGACACCAAGTAGCTTGAATAAGGTTTGTCTGTACAAAAAGAAACCACTCACGAAAGCCTTCGTAAATTGAGACGATTGTTGGCTGTCGTGTCGCGTCGTGGTTGCATGTGGCGTAGTGGTTCAAGTTGCTTGTCTGAGTCAGGTTACCGGAAGTTGCCGGCCGAGTCTTGCGATTTACAAGAAGGATCCTTAGTCTCTCTTGACGACGACGGGCTTAGTCTTCGAAGCATTCGTATCCTGCCTGCCAGGGCCAGGGCCACTTCAATACCATGGGCACGGTAACAAATTCGAATATTCCGACATCGATCCGACGAGACTTGGCCGCCTAGTAGACGGTTCTTTTTCTAAGTAGTGATGAACTTTCTGGGTGTGAATTTAAAGGTGAGACTTGTACAAGTTCAAGTGAGTATCGTACTCATTTAATCGGGCTTGGAGGAAGACTTTTGGCTCAGATATCAGCAGCTCCTTATTGATATTACACAACCCTTACATGTCATAGATACGCCACGAGTTCTTCAGGTTCTCGCTACGGTATCTGCAGCCTTCAGCGTATTTGAGTCCTTCTACGGTAGTCAAGAGTCCTAGACTACATCGACATAAATCCTACTTAAGCTTTCACTATATTGGCGCCACTTCTCTTCTCTATCTATGGTTCTCTGTTCTCAGTGACACACGACGACAACGATCCACCCTACCTCCGTCTGCTAAATTATCCTGCAGGGAGGGGAGATGTCAAGCCGTGCCGAGACTCGGTGTCTGCTCTTATAAAGGCGACCGAGCACAGGTGATTTCCATTTTCCTAACTCGTTCAGCAAAAATGTCGTGGACTGTTGACGCATGCAAGATGAAAGCAAACCTAGAGGCTCCGGAAAACGTCTGTGCGGGTATCATGACGGTGACGGCACAACAAAGGTGTGGGTTGAGTCGTTGTTAGATGGATGTCCAAGTCTTCTAACCATCATCTTTCCTATGAAGTTTTCTGCTCTTCGGTATCAACGCTTGTCTATTTGGCTATTATGTCTTACACAGGTTCAGAGATTCTTGGTCTATTCTGTAAGTGCTATACCTGATAATTGTGCATTTACTCGTTGACGAGGATTTCGCAGGTGTCTCGTCACATGGGTTTCTATCGTTGAATTATTCAGTGCGTTGGGTGTTGCTTATCCACCCACCGATGCGGTCCTCCTAACAGTAGTATCAGCGTGTGCGGCGCATATTGCGTTGTTGCTCGAATTCTTTGCCTCTACATTACATCGCACGGCCTTTGAATTCGCGTGGGTTGCTGACATGATTCCGCTCATTACTGTGTCGTAAGCCCGGTTCCACGACTTTATATACATCTGTTTATCTCTGCTCATTTGGGTTCTCCTAGTGCCTCTCTTCCTGTTCAACTCTTCCTAATTTGTCGAGTGAACAAACTCTCCAAGTCGCCTGTACTTACTGGCTTTCTTGGATTTCTTTCGCTCTTTTCGGCTCTCATGTCTCTCGGCACGAAACGGATTGCTCTGGAGTACGAGTGGCCTGCTGCGATATGTAACTTGGGACTAGCGTGGGTCCATTTCCTTCTGGGCCTGTGGAGATGCTCATGCTTTCGGATAGCGTATCTCTTCTTTGGTATCTGAAAGAAGAAAAAGATGCCGATTTTGAGCAACGCCTGCAAATCATCGTCGAATGTGCTCTTCCGGTGGTTTTCATTTGTGTATGTCTTTTTCTTTTATGCTATGACGGAATCTCGAAGCCAACCAACCTTTTGTCAGATTGGGGATATAATTTTTGCTGTGAGTGATCAGCTCTGCCTTTTTTCCATCCCTCATCAACAACCTTCATCAGACCGTCGTCCCTCCGAGTGGCTGGCGCGGTTTATTTGAATTCAGCTTGTCTCGGTTGTATAGGTACGAGACTTGTTGACTGTCAGCCATGGTTGGTCTAGATACTGACTTGTCCTCTTTCAGTACTACGTTGTTTACGGTATGCAATCGCTCAGAATGCCTGCTCTTATCAATTAACATCCTTGGATTTATACAGACATTGAACGCCCGGGCACCAAAGGAGGCTCCTGTGAGTATCTGTCCATTGTTCGCTCTCCATTTTAGTTAGCTCATTACTGCGCTGTCAGGACATGGATGAAGACACATTTGTGGCTCTGGTGGAAAAGCGTGTCGCGTCTTGTGAAACGGAGGAAGAAAAGCGTGTTACCCGCGCAGTCTTGTCTTTCCTCCTATGAGGGGGCAAAAAATCAGTTGTCGTACTAGGATACCCTTGAATTTCTCTGCGTCTGGCACGCCTAGTTGTATCATATGCCTATTTATTTTGCATGAATCTAAGTAACCAAAATTTCAGTGCACCGGCATTAACGGTCCGTGTTGCCGGTACCTTCCTTCCTACTTCCATGACCACAAACACATCAACTTTTCCTCGCCCTGCAGTCCGGCTCTGCACGTCCGCGGTATTATCTGCAGGTTCTGGCATGGAGATGCCTACTTTAACGTCTTAGTCCGCGGAATGGGAACCATCGATACACCACGTCACTAGAAGCCTCAATGTTGGAATTGGGAAGCTGTGGGTCAACTGGCAGTGTCGGTTCGTCGCTGGCATTACTGTTATCGTGATTGTGTCCTAACTTCTTTTCATCTAGGATACCTCGAGGATAGCACGGACTCCGGAAGTTGCTAGTCACAGTCAACCAAGGTCCTAGGATGTTGCGGGACTGTCATATGGAGTCTTGAAACGGCGTGCACCTGGCTAGGAAGAATAATCAGGCTTACATCCAGCCTTTTCATCGTGGAATACATTGGGATGAAGGGTGCCTGGATGCGGGGCGGGAATTCATCAAAATTTGATGTTTCAGCCCTCTCGGAGCGGCACTACATGAAAATAGCCTTGCATCGTTCTCCTTCGTGAGTATTGCAGGTGTGTCTAAGGAGTTTTACGTCTCCTTTCCCGATATTGATAATTCGAGAGGTCAAGGGCTTAGAAAGTCTCTAAATGTCCGGTTTTATCAGTGGGACTCAAGGCAAAATCTCAGGGAAGGCGAACCCGTCGTACAGGATCATCAAAAGTTACTCTGCCTACCCCAACCCCGTACTACTATATGATATGCCCCGAAGCAGACGGTTTTGCCCCATAACCTTGCTCGCGGTATGCCTGTGAATCCTCTGACGGCGCGCGCGATACTTCGAGGTCCACCCCTACTCCTCAAGACACTCCTAAAGCATTATATTAACCGTGTTACCAAGAAGAAGCCTGGAAAGTCCTCGACCCGGTTGCGCCACGATGAACTTCGTTATGACGAAATGTTTAGTCTTCTCAAAGTACGTTTAGTGCTATGAACAGGTTGAAGTCAGGATTAACAGAGGCGCGATAGATGTTCATAACGTTGGCTGCCAAGTGAGTCTTGTCAAGATGGGCGGTTGTATACGAGTCTAAATGCGTCGCAGTCATACGATAGAAGAATTTCAAGGTGTGAGGATGCACTGTGTAAGCAATTGCTCCCTGTTCTTAGCTTTGATCCAGCTTTCAGCAACAACCGGACAAGCTCTCCAAGACGGTTTTATGTCGAGCGTTTATTTGTGCCTATGTCGTCTTGCGATGACGCTGCAAAATATCTCGTGCAAGCCTTGGGCGGCGAAGACGCGGCAAGGAGGATCGTTGGTGGTGTAAAATGGTGGCAGGCGAGGGCTATCGATGGGTATGGATTTGATGTTATCCTCGTAATTGTTTCTGAACGTCGTCAAAGCGTCGAAGCCGAGTGGATAACGGCGAAGAAAGACTTGCGAGAGGCCAAAAAACGTGATAAGGCGAAGCCAACACCTACTGCTACTCCTGCGACCGTTCCGATGGAGGAATTGAAAACGCACCCTGGAGCGCCCAATATAGATCACAGCTCAGAAGCAGATGAAATGCGCTGCTTTTTGTACCTTCACGGCGGTGTGTTATGAAGCCACGCTACGTTATAGACCTAATTTTAACGCAATTATAGGCGGATATTACGTTGGAAGCTTGGATCAAGAACGGTATGCCAATTTTGTCGTATGGTTCTAAGGACTTCTTATAGATATTTTGGGTCGTCAGATCTAGCATTCATCAGCATGCTCGACTCATCAACGGCCGTGTGTTTAGTGAGCCAATACTTACGTTTTTGGCTGGTTTCTCATCATCTCGTAGCCATAAACTATCGTTTAGCGCCGCAGTATCCCTTTCCTTGTGCGATACAGGATGCTCTAGCTGCCTGTATGGTCGACTTCTTCAGACTTAAACTGTACTCTCACCTTTCCATCAGACCTATATCTCATCAAGCCCCCGCCGGAGGCCAAACATCGGGCCATCAAGCCATCCCACATCTTGTTCTCCGGAGATTCTGCGGGAGGCGGTCTTTCCCTAGCTCTGCTTCAAGTCATTCGGGATAGCGGACTACCCTTGCCTGCGGGCGCCGTCCTCGTCTCTCCGTGGTGCGAGTGCGTCAGTCGCTCTTTTCACATATTGCAATTGTGCTCAAGCATTCCATGCAGTCTTAACCATTCTTTTCCGAGTGTTACAATCAATACGGATACCGACATTCTACCAAAGTACGGCCTGTCAATCTCAAAGCCGAGCCCCTTGTGGCCGCCGCCGCCGTCGCAGGTACCCTCGACGGCTGCCGATACTCTCACTGCTCAGGATCAAGAATTACAGACAATCTATTCCAGACCGACTGACTCAGGCGAAATTCTGAAGATCGAGTGGCAAATGCATCCATATGCTCAAAACAGCCTGCTGAGGCATCCTCTGATTAGTCCTGTCCTGTCGTATCTAGGAGGTCTGCCACCTCTGTTAATCATTGCCAGTGGAAAAGAAGTCCTCTGCGATGAGATCGTTTACACGTAAGCAAATTTTATCTTTCGGAAAATGATCTACCGCCGACGAGAGGGCCTATTTAGCGCCCATAAAGCTGCAGAACCTGAGAAATACTCTGTTCGGGAGGAAGTCCGAAAGCTCTATCCCGTCCCTGATGGGATAGAAACGCGGTACGGAGGAACGGAGGTTCATCTGCAGGTGTATGATGGTAAGAACCATTTGCCAAGTCTCGATGTCTCCGTCTTGGTAACAACGAAAGATGCAGATACCGCCCATACGCTTCCTACGCAGTTTGAAGGCACTACTCCGGGGAAAGCAGCTTACGATGCTATCCGGTTGTTCGCTCGACGTGCTACTGGACTGGAGGCTACTGCTCAGGCCGTGGGTTCAACTCTCCCTGCTCCCACTGTCCATTCATGGCTAATCAATTCCTTGTACAGGAGAACAATAGTTTCATCCGGGAGCGTGTTTCGGTCAAGGGCGTTGTTAGTCCCTTGGAGCCAGCATCGGACCTGGACGCGATGAAGATGCCCCCCGAGTCCGTTGGCGTGATGTCCGCGGCTGCTGCTGAACGATTCATCGAAGGACATAAAGTGTTTAAAGAGAAGTTCTCGTATACTGCGAAAGCCATAGAGAAGCACAGGAAGGAGAATCTTAGGCGCGCGGAGAATTGTGAGGAAAAGGGTTTGGCTTGGCCTCTTGATGAAGGGGAGGTACCTCCACCCGGGTGCAATGTTGTTCGACGGGATATTGATGAAGCCAGGCGTCTGGCGAAGCAGATGGCGCGACGGGTTATCAAGGGATAATTTGAATCTCGCAGCCCGCGGGATCTAGACTGTTTGTAGATTGGACTTTTTCTGCTATGTCATATGCTTAGGGTTAGGGTTTAGGTTTCCACTCTAGTCGGACTAGTATCGGAAAGATAACCCGCCTCACATCGATGAAAGTCCGCCCTTTCGCGCCTAGGACGGCGGCTACTTACTCTTTGTTCTGTGGTTCTCATGATTCAATTGGATTTACTGTTGAAAAATTGCTGATTGATGCTTTGTTCGGGGCATATGCTAAAGGCACCCGTAGCCTTCCCGGTCCGTCTCTCATGCGCATGACTTCTTGTTTTCCGCGCTGCAAAGAGATTGTCCTACAAACGTGCACCCGGTATTCCTGCTATCTCTGCTTTATTTGTGTCTGGATCCACATGCATGCATGCATGCTTCTTTCTGATTTTTCTCCAGTGGAGTTCAGCTCATATAAAAGTGGCCCGTGTATCTGTCAGATGAGTATCCCACCATGCTGTTCTGGATCTTACTCTCTCTTTCGTACGCGCTCGTTTATGCGTCGCCGTCGCCTTTGAGGCGGAGAGATTCGATAACGACTCTGAGTAATTCGACAGTCGAGGCTTTCAAACCCTACACGTACTACGCCAGTGCAGGATATTGCGAGCCGTCGACGACCTTGGCTTGGAATTGTGGAGGTGCGCATTTCATCTTTCGTGTGCCGTGTGCAAGTATCATTCATGGGCCCTGACGTCAGCTAATTGCGAGGCCAACTCTGCCTTTGAGCCCGTTGCGTCAGGCGGCAATGGCGACTCTGTGCAGTATTGGTATGTGGGCTATGACCCCGACCTCGAAACCGTCATAGTGGCTCACCAGGGAACGGATACGTCGAAATTGTGAGTGACCATCGTATGCTCTTTTGACTCAGCAGTGATGATCCTGATGGCTTTCTAGGTTACCGGTGATTACTGATGTCAACTACGGTCTAACAGGACTCGATGACGATCTGTTCCCTGACCTCGACTCCGATATCGAGGTCCATAGCGGCTTCAAAGAGTCCCAGGCTGAGTAGGCTTTGTCATTTCCCTCGATTTTTGAGTTTTGGTTCACCGAAAACATACAGCACGGCTGCAGATGTTCTCGCGGCAGTAACTAGCGCTATGTCAACTTACTCGACTACCTCTGTCACGGTCGTTGGCCACTCTCTTGGGGGAGCTATCGCCCTTCTAGATGGTGTTTATCTCACCTTGCAACTCTCGTCTGCGTCCGTGTCCGTGACCACCTATGGTATGCCCCGGGTAAGTGTCAGGCGACTAATTCCTCTACCCGTGGTTGACGTGGGCTGTGAAGGTGGGAAACCAGGAATTTGCTGACTGGGTCGACGCACATGTCACTGTCTCGCATATCAATAACAAGTACGTTCCGTCATCACGCTTTACTGATCTTGATCTCACTCGAAACTTATTATGTAGAAAAGACCCTGTGCCTATTCTTCCCGGTAATACATATCACAGTGGAATGACCGTCTCATTCTGATTCGCTTGCAGGACGTTTCCTCGGCTTCCACCATTGTTCCGGTGAAAAGCATATCACCGATTCTGATACATGGGTAAACTGTCCAGGTGAACCTTTTTCTTTCAAAAGGCGCGTTCAGGGCTAACACACCCCGACAGGGCAAGACAACACTGATGATCAATGCACAGTCGGAGAAGTCGGTAACCTATTAGAGGGCGACACAGATGATCATAGTGGTGTGTGCTTTGTACCTCATTCATTTGAACGGGCTGACGGCCTTTTTCCTTTCTAGGTCCGTATGATGGTGTTACTATAGGTTGCTAATAGGACGTGACCCTAGCCGTCTTTGATATTTATTTCATTACAGGTCTGAATATTATTTCTGTGACCATCGCCTTAACTTCCTTAATGCCGATGTATTCTGTCTAAACAGAAATCAGTTTTAAGAACTCGACCGGGATAGGACTCTCAGAGTTAATACGCCGAACGTGACTCAAGATTCGTTCTGGCGCTGCTGTCCTGTCCCTTGGGTAGCAAATAGGATCTTATCTAGATGCTTCCCTTGCACTCAAGTTCACTCTACAAGAGAACCTGCACAAGAAGTATCATTACGACACCGAATTCGCTCCAAAAACTAGGGAGACATATTTTGCGCTAAAGACCTTCACTCATGTCCTGAGGGTCGCATTTACGCCAACTGTGATGTATCCTATGACGCCATTAGCATAGTCCTCCCCATCCATCGGAACTACAACCAACTCCGGGAACCATCCATTGCGCGCCTCTCCTTGGTATATATCATCCACGTCATTTGTGGTTCTTTCGATCTCTGTATGTGATGAGTACGGCTCCTGCGACATCAAATACTGAGAGAGCTCCTCTCCGAGGAAGAATTGGCCTGTGCTAGACGTCGTATCGGTGAGGACAGTTCCGTTGGATTGGAGCACCCAGTCTTGATGAACCTGAAGATACAAAACAAGTCTTTAGTCTTAGTCCTATGTCGAACAGCATTGCATACCTGTACATGCACATGTATGGCTCTCTCCACGTAGAATCCCGGGACAATGGTCTTCATCTCCATTATACCTTCCTCGTTGGTCGGCCACATGCCTCGGAGGAAAGTTGTGTCGTCGGTATGGAGATCAAGGCCGGGCCCAAGGGTTAAGTTCAACATTGCGAGGAGCTCTTCGAAGGGAATATTGGGATCGCGCCCGGTGAATGAAGAGTAAGAACCGGTTGCATTGCAGTGCCAGACGTCGACGAGGACGTTCTGCATAGGCTCGCAGGTGTTGATGTCAATGACACCGATATCCTATTAAGTAAACATGTCAGAGCGAAAAAATGTCAATCAAGTTAGGTCCTACCATGATCAAAGGGATACCAGGCTGATCCTCCGTCATGTCCTGACGCAGCGTCTGAGATTTTGGCCAGATGTAAGGGCCAGTGGTGACTTCGGGAGTGAGAATGCAGGTCTCGTTCTGAATCTCTGGGTAATAAGGCGATTCAGTTGTGATCGTGACGGTGGAAGTGCCGTCTCGCTTCATCAAATCCTTCGCGCGCCTCTCGATTCGTCTACGCTGCATTTCGCCGACATGGCGAGCGCACTTCGACGAGGCAAGATCGCGAACGGCTAGTTCCTCTGAGGAAAGCCTAGGAGGTGCGTGCGCGACAGCGAGCAGTGCACAAGCGAAGAGAGTAACGAAGAAACCTGAAGTGAACCTCATGTTCGCAAGCGATGGAGAGATATCTGCAACCTTGGCGGTTTTATATTATTACAGACCTCGGAAAAACAAAGAAAAAACACCTCGGTCGCAAAAGGGTTGGCAACAGATAGATGGACTGCGCAGCTCGAAAGGAATTCTCATCAGAGGTGACGGGAAAAATGCGTGAATATTGTACTCATGGTTGGCGAGTATACTGGCCAATAGAAAGAGAGATAATGGCAATATGGTCTTAAACAGACGTCATCCATCACATGAAGTAGAAAAGAATTTCATGCTCACTTGCATATGCGCGAGGGCGGAACCGATTCTACCACATGTGATGTATGATGGAATAACTCCCTACTTTGCCAAGCCACAGGCTGGGCCCCGCCCATACAAGTTTATATCATGCGATTCTGGCATTCCAGCTTCGTCCAGGAAATGTATGTAGCATAAGTATCTTCATTGAGGAGATACTCCGCATAGTTTTGGCTTATTGCATCGGTGCTCGATAAATCGTGCAAAAGGCGGCCCAGGGTGACGGCGGTAAACTCAAGACTCGCATGGTCTCTTCGTGTCTGACTCTCTCAGCCCATATCATGCCTGAGGTCTGATCTCCGAGCGGTCGCGCGTCTGTAGAAAGCCTCGTTATCTTCACACTTACAGGAAAGGCTAAGTGTGTCATACCTCATTTATTTTAAGATCGTTGGTGCAAGAGCGAGGACAATTGTTCAGGAAACGGCCTCTCTGAATCGCTCATAAAAATCCTGAGAGTTGAGTTATTCAATGCTGCTTATTCGATATGATAAAAAGTTAGGCATACCGACTGCTTTTTTCGATCAAGTCTGGATCATGGACGCCGACGACTCGGAGATGGCTTGGCGACTCAGGTGATTTAGAAATGCCAAGAGAAATAGCGAGTAGTAAAACCTGGCCTACAACGCAAAAGGAAAGTAAAGTTAGAAATGCACCGTTTCAGATGATAAGATACATCTTATATCAAGACAAGCAAATCTAAGCCCTGAACATTTTAGGTCGGAACATTTGGCTTCGTTCGCGTCTAATGAACGTCATCTGTTCCAGTACGGCTGAACCTCTTGAGCAGGAGAGGCCATAGACACCACGCATCATACAGTTGCGAGAACGGCCCAGAGTTAAATTCTGAGTGTGATATTTTGCGCTGATTTTCTTGGGGCCAAAACGAACTGAAATGAGAGCGGGTTTTAAGATTATATGACAGCAGGAAAGGCCGAGGCAGTCGCTATAGCATCTAAATCCTCGCGTCAGAGTAGCAAGTAGCCAATACTGGTGCATTTAAACTATCTTGAGTACGGTTTTGGTTGCAGTGTATATCTATGGTCAGATAGTATAAACATCACATATCCAGTAGCTCGTGGGTACGAACTTGTACGTTTTTCTTGCCGAATACAGTTTCACGAATGATATGGTTCCCAGAGTTAGTAGTTTCGCTGCGATCAAATGTCATCCATAGCCTGCCATATTGATGAAAACTTATGTGTGTCAATGCTGGTAATAGCAAAGTTCAAGTTCAACACAACTGATTAACTTTCGAGAAATCTGCTACGTACCGATTGAAAACAGCCACTGCAGCCTCCGACTCTGGCTACAGTCTGAACGCCGACAAAACGCCGAAGGCAAACGAGCGGTGCTCATTTAAAGTACACTGATCCACGTGCTTACTTGATGCGCGCAGTCTTTAAAGGCTTCAATGTCAAATAAACAAGACATAGCAGTTTGAAGTGGCTCATGGTAATTGGGAGAGGTAGACCGGATATTTCCGCTTTGCAACGGAAAGGCTTCGGCCCGAGTTAGACGCGTGATGCTTGTCAACTTCTATCACATGACCGTATTTCAACGCGTTATTACAACTTAGTCAGTGTCTATGCTTTACAGTTTTCTCTCTCGGTATAACGAACAGTTGGGCTGCAATGGAGTGGACATGCATCAACCTAGATCTTGGGGCTGATGGATTAACGGGACTATCAGGTGCTTTCCTGTTGTTCATCTGAATTTTTCCAGGACCCAGTCGCTGATGCTGTACAGTATATCATCTTGGACAAAACTTGCACTCCGGTAATATATCCTTCCTGTTATCATGATTTTTTAACTTGTTATAACGTATACATCAATCCTTTTCTTCTAGTTTGGACCCATGCTCTTGTCATTTGACCCTTATCGCCGTGACGGTCCGCCACGATCATATGCGGCTTCGCACTCGCACTCGCACTCTTCTACTTTAGAGCAGCTGTTACCACCCAAGTCAAACAAGATGGAACCGGCGGTGAAAAGAAGGACACGCCACTGACATGCTGCTCTTAAAATTTGGTGGTATATCCCAAAGTTTTGTGCCACTCTCAGTTGCTTAGCCTGTTTTCAGAAGTGCCAATGAATAATCCTATATGGGTACAATTTCATTAGCCTATAATCTCCAATGTTACAGAGCGGTCTTTGCGACCAGCTCCATCACGCCTTCGACCAGATTTAATTCTCGACACCTTCATTCAACCAAATTTCAATTTTTTGCGTCGAATCGAAGGGCGACTGGAGGGTCACCTGGATGTTCGCTTGACCACCAGGACCCAAGGTTCGGTCCGTTTGGACCACAGCTTCTTCGATGCGGAAGTATCAAGCCGACTGAATATCACCCCATTCCCTCTTACATCATGTCAACTAAGGACCCCGTTCGCTCTCGCATATTACACGTATAAATAATCGGAGAAGGATTCCCTCACCTTGACCACCATGTTCACTACCGCCCTTGCGGTATGCCTTCTATGCGGAGCATTCGCACGTACTCAATCTACCCTCGAATCCTTCACAACTAAACCACGCGTCTTCGTACTCACCGACATCGCCAATGAACCTGACGATGAAATGTCCCTAACGCGTTTCCTCCTCTACTCAAACCACTTCTCCATCCAAGGAATCGCAGCGACCACCTCCACCTGGCTCCGGAACGAGACCTTCGCTTGGCAAATCCAAGAAAAAGTCGTAAAGTGGGGGGAGGTTCGTGACAATTTGACGAAACATGCTGAGGGCTGGCCGGAGACGGAAGAGCTTTTGGGCAAAGTGTATTCGGGGCTGCCGGTATATGGATTACAGGGCGTTGGGGAGGGGAAGGATTCGAATGCTAGCGTAGCGCTCATCGCGGCAGTGGATGATGCCAATGCGGGGGATCCCTTGTGGGTTCCTATCTGGGGTGGTGCATCGGTTCTTGCACAGGCACTGTGGACAGTCAGTCTATACAGGTTTCCCCCCATTTCTTGCCCCTAATCGATGGCTATAGGTCCAGGATACGAGGCCACAGGGGGCGGTGGCAGACTTCGTGGAAAAACTACGAGTTTACGCCATCTCAGACCAAGATGATGGTGCGTTCGATATGATTTCTAGTGGACGCTCGCTGTTCATGATACTTATTTTCTTTGATGTAGCCGGTCCTTGGATACGTTCCCATTTCCCGGATCTGTTCTACATTGCAAGTATTCATACCTTCAATATGTAAGCTCTCCTCTGGACATAGTTAGCGATTCCGAGTGCTGAACATTTATATAATCTAGGTACAGTTTAGCTACCTGGCCTGGTATTTCTGGAGAATTGTATGACGATTTCGACGTGGTAAATCTATTCAGTCATGTTCAAGCGTCGTCCCATACACCATCCTAGGGCGGCCCAGATTCTAGTTTAGTCACCAACGAATGGCTTGACTCCAACATCAGGTCTTCCGGGAGCGCATTCGCAGCCAGCTACCCGAGATTTGCGTTTATAATGGAAGGAGACACGCCATCTTTCCTTAACTTGATTCAAAATGGTCTGTCTGCACGCGAACATCCCAACTGGGGTGGGTGAGTGCCAATACTTTCGATCTGCTCCACTCTACTCATCCTATTCCCCAGATGGGGTGGGCGATACGGACGTACCACAAACGAAAGCAACCAATGGGTCGATAGTATCGCCTGGAGAGTTCCTGGAATGGACGGACGAAATTATACGTCTAGGCAAGCGACCATCTGGCAATGGCGCAAGGCCTACCAATACGACTTTGCGGGCCGAATGAACTGGACAGCGACTTCTGATTTCGGAGCCGTCAATCATAACCCGCGACTGTACATTAACGGGACCGGAGGCTCAGAGTATCTGTATATGGAGGTAGACCCTGGGACCAGTGTCGTCCTAGATGCACGGGAAAGTTTTGATCCTGATAGTAACGATCAGGTGGCGTATAAATGGTCGCAGGATTTTGGTGCGACTTTGACTGGTACAGGTGACAATCAATCTCCGGTGCTTGGGATTGAGGAAGGAGAGGGAGGTAAGATCGTGACAGTGACGCTTCCCAGTGAGGATACCTTGCGGAGTAACGGGTACTGGACGTTGTGGCGCCTGACAGAAGGAGGGTTGGTACATGTGTTGCTGGAGGCCTGGGATAACGGCTTGCCTCCCCTTGTGAGCTATAGAAGGGTAGTTTTTAAGATAAGGGGATTCGACTAGGCTTCCTTTGATTCCTTCGGTGTACCCTCCTTCCTTGTACATAAAAGATATAATGCATGATATAACGTCAGGTCATCATCAATCCAAAGAAGGAGAAATGTAGCAATATTGCGCAAGGCCACGGACAGTAGGTATTCGTTGACGGGGTTGATCACGTCCCATGAGATATGCGTCGTGCTGACATTGGAATTTACGAGGACCGCCGAGTTTAGAATTTGCCCACGCAATGCGTCCATTTGCTAGAGCCCAACAGGCTGGACATTTGCGGGTTGGGATCTGGATCCTGTCCTCAAGAATCAAGATGACAGAGCACACACAAGAATCAGATTAGTCGCTATAAATCACAACAATATCACCACATTCCATACTTCTGATAGCCATATCTGTTCCCTCTCCTCGCCCCGTGATAGTCTAACGAACAAATCAATCGTCAGGCTAATCAACGAGACAGTGATAACAACTTACAGGACGATGTGTCCCTCTCGGTACTGACACCCGCTACCGCTGCTAAATTGACATATCCTTCGTCTCCGATAGCTTTACCCTTGCCCTTACCCGCATTCGGCAGGACCCACTCCGCACGACACCACACACAAGTAACGTTCTTCCCCGAGTTCTGCGCAGTCGTTCGCCCTTAGGGAGGTATAAGCATGAAGAAAAGCAGACAGACAGTCGACGCCCTCACATTGGGCAAAACAGACTCCATGCAGAGCATTTCCGCAAACCTCGCACCACGTAAGTTTGTTTTCCGGCTCTGTATGCATCTTGTCGTAGCAGATGGGACAGTCATCTTCCTCTGTTGGCATGCGCCTGTTGCTGCTGGTCTTATTGGAGTCTGAGGCAGGTGCTTTCCCAGTAGCTTGCAAATGAGCCTGACGAAGCCTCTCGTTCGCGACGGCATTTGGCGCGTGGGAGAAAACATCTTGAAGTTCAGACGTCAGAAGGGCTCTGGCATGGAGGGTTAACATCGGAACATCGTATGAACGACAAGCATGCACTTTTGGTACCAATGTGGCGACTCTTGGGGGACTTGGAGGACTAGGGTGAAGTGAGACGATGTCAGTCGATGGGAAAAGACGGATATGTGCCTTTGATAAATACGAAGATCTAAAACCAATGCTCAGAACAAAAGTCGATAAAGAAAGAGTGAGTACGTACGATATGCTTGCAATGGTTGCCCTTCGAAGCATCGGGGCCTAAGAAAATCGTCAATTTTGATTAGGCGAATCGATAGCACCTACATACAGTCACAACGAGGTGTATGGTCGATAACAACAGTATAAACCTGACCCCTCATTAGCGACGGGACACACAAAGTATCATACAAACAACGCACATTGCCTGTGGAGCCCAAGACCTTGAAGGTCTCCTTCAACTCATCGCCGTCGCGCTCCCTATCGATCATGAAGAACCTGACACAAAATAAGCGAAAGCCAATGCCGAGAGGCGATGTGCCCACCTTTGCTCAATCACCCTATCCAGCCTGTCGAGAATATTTTGAGGGCACTTCTTTTTGAAGATGGCGCCGCGCTTCTCAGGTTTGGGTTTTGGTTGACGAGGTGTATTCGCCTTAGATGGAGATTTTTGTGGTATCGGTGCTGCGTTAGGGGTCATTTTTATATCAGGAGTCGCGGCCGCATTTGGAGGTGCCTTGGCCTGGAACGTCGACGGTGCGGAGATGGAATAGCCATGGATAGGATCGGAGAACCACTGATCGGCTGTAGAAGTGGAAGGATTACCCAGTTTTGTGTCGTAAATTGTAGAGGAACTGGCGGTGGTAGCTGGATTAGCTACCTGCGAGCCTGCTCCACTAGCCATGGAAGGAATGCGAGACCTTGCCAGAGTACCACAGGGTCTAGTATCTCCGGTACCGATGAATCCGTCATAATCTTCGGGCTTGACTTTTCGGGCTCGCTTTGTAGGACGAGCCGAAGCGGGCGGTGGCAACTGCGATGTTGGACTGGACGTAGGCGACGAGCCAGTCCGCCCACCAACGTTTCCAGCACCAATAGACGGACCAGTGTCGTCGGATTTGACTTTTCTTTTTCGCTTTGCGGGACGAGCAGAATCGGGCGAACTTGATGCATTCGTTACTGGCGTGTAAACCCTCCAGTCCTCAAACTCGCCGTTAGCCTTGCGCTTGAGAAGGGACATGGTTTCACTTTTCTGTAGCAAAGTTCGTGTAATCAGAAAGAAATACGAGGGAAAGTCTCGTACTTTTCTACCAGCCCTTCTTGTGAATCAAATCTCTTGAGCCTGTAGAGATCCGGTATCAAGATGAGGTGATATATGGATGACGCGAGGCAAAGAATTGATTCTGAATGTGCTTTATTCCTTCCCAACTTTTAGAAATGTCAGATAATCGTGTCGTCGGTAGACGCGTAGTGGTGGTAGGAGAATAGGTTCTGTCGTGACGACATAATTCCCACGATACCTTAAAGGATCGCCCACGTGGTGGCTGTGGTATCTTAACCTCGAAAAGGTCGTCGATCATGCATGACTTTTGCTCTTGACTGTGACCACGAGTGCCTCGTGGCTCTAGTGAACATTTCTTGCTTTTGAAGCGTACATAGTTTCTTTTTGACTTTATCTAAGTTAATCCAGGTATGAATTTCTCACTTTCAGCAGTTTGCCACCTGAGCCACATTGATTCATATCGACCGTACTAGTTCAAGTGGGCTCTTCCTACTCTCATGCCTCCATCTCGCCCAAAACAAACGTGACTTTTCCTCGCATCTTGTCTCCTTGTATGTCTGACATTGAAAGGGCTCGAAAATCAACGGGCGGACGGCGAGGCGCTGCTCAAGTGAAAAGGTTGAATGACCATCGTAACGACGACATTGCAGAATCGTATGCTTGTCGGACCAACTACTGAGCATAATTAATTTCTTACACTCAGCGATAGCTCTTATGCGTCCTCATCGTCACGACTGTTAGCAGTATTCTCCCTCATTTCACCTGGCTGTACTAATTTATAGGTGACGTCAAGAGCCACAATATACGACCCACCTGTTCGCACAGCTACCACCGCCGCACCTAAAGTCGAAAACGATCATCCGTTAGTCGCAGCGTTTAACTCACTCGACAATCCACCGTACACGATTCTCGCCCTTCTCTCCGATGTATGTCGCGTACTTACCAACTTCCTACTTGTAGTGAACTGTCACCATATCATCGTTCGCCCAAGTTAGAATATCCCGACAGGCAGCTTCCGAGAACTCCAACACCTTCAACTTCAGGTCGTAACAGTCAAACGTATGTGTACTTGATACGCCGAATTTCGTCTTCTAATCGGATTCCGCCGACGCTACACAGGGCAAGGAAATCCGCCGGAGGTCGAAAACTACCACGACCTCAACGGCATACCGAATCACTCTTCTCTCATCCTGTGTAAGCTTTCTGAATTTGTGGTCACCATTAGCAACATGCTCACGGCCATTGCAGAACCCCTTCACCTGTGCCTAGCTTAAATACTGCCCAATCTTTTCATGCTAGTGCTGCGAATCCGGATACGAGTCACCACGGTACATCGAGAAGGATGAAACAGACGTAAGTGCACGACTATGTGCTTCTGGTGTCTCTGTACTTATTCGCTAAATGACAGGGCAAGGAAATCTACTGGTAGTAAACAAAAGGTATATCGTCCACATGGCGATCAGTGAGAGCACACACGTCTACTAGTATGCAAATGAGATAATACCTTGTCTGAAGGTGTCCATTAGTTACTGCATGTTACTTCACTCTGTGTTGAGCCGGCCTCAATCATCACCAACCAGTCAATGTACGGATAAAGGCTCAGACACCCGAAAAATCACACACACACACACATTCACGTAAACGTTACCAGATACATTAGGTCGAAGAGCCCAGGCGCTCTGTGAATGCGCCGCAGGTCTTAATGGGCTTCGGAGGTAGCTGGACGATAAGATTGATCCGGCATCTTTCGCGCTCAAAAAAGGACGCCCAACAAAATCGGATCAGAAGTTTAGTTACCGGTTCTCCTCTCCAACTACATACGAACATCACGCCTTCGAAGACGTCGCGAAGCTCTATTCTGAATTTCTCGCCAGGAGATAATCTACCGGACGTAGACGAATATCTAATTTGCCAGCGAAGCAGTCCGTAAGGGTTGGACCCTTGATCGGTCTTGAAAATTTACATCCTGTAGATTGTCGCATTTCTAGTGTTGCCTTACCAGGAACCTTCTTTTTCATCAAAACCTTTCACAAGATGAATTCTCTAAGAGCAATATTCTGACCTTCGTCTTTTTCTCAGCTCACCAGCAGCAAGGCAGCTGGGTCAACATTCAACGGAGGGCCCTTTTGCTTCCAATATGCTAGCATCACAATGCTTCAAACATAGTAAGTAAGATTCCATTTCTTCTGTATATATGCGTCTCAATGACCGAATCTCTTCGACAGACATCCTAGAGACATGGAATGGCTTACCAGGAGTGTTCTCCTCCCCCTGCTTTCCAGATTCCTCCCCACTGATGTCGCTCCCAAATTCCCAGGTATACTTCTAGTTCTTTCGTAGCAACGTGTTCGTTGACTTCTTTGATGTCATTTTAGAGGAACCGGAGGTGTGAAACTCCCAACTTGAAGATCTTTGCAAAGCAACGGCATACGACTGCATGGCTGGTCTACGTCCCTCGAATATTTGTCTTTCCGACACACACACTTCTTGGGAAACCGTCCGCACCTTTACCTATGCAAGGAAATCCGAGTCGCACACCGCAGCAGTAGGCCGGCAAATGCCGGTCTACTATTGGCGGAGTCCGAACGAACCGGGATCCCGAAATCGTCCTTGACCGGTTACCACGACAATGGATCCGCGCTGGGATCGCGGTGGCGAGCATTATTTCCTAGAGTATGTTTTTCTCGCTTCACGTTCAATTGGAGGATTTGATCCTACGTTATAACAGGTCTCTTTACGAGTACGTTGACATACAGTACGTCTTTTTTTGTAAAATCTTGTGTTTTGCCGCTCACTGCGTCCATCTAGCCAAGCGGACCCACGAGTTGTCGTGGTCGACTCTGCAGATCCACCTCCTCGGAATATCAAGCCTTTTAAGCTTCTTTCCACCCTTCCAAACGAACTTTTTCTGCATATCTTTTCGTTTCTCCCCACGAAGGATCTGAGCCACGTCGTCCGAACTTGTCGCCATTTTCGCGATCTTGCACAGAAGGAGCTGTACAGAAACCTCATCTTCCGGTCCTTCAACCCTCATGTCATTCTTAACGCCGGGATCTGGTCCAAACCTGCGTGGAATAATGTCCCCCACCGACTCACTGCATCAGCCAACAGTGCTTTATTGCTCCCTCAGATTCTCGAACTTGTTCCGCGTCTCACCCAGCTACGAGAGCTTGTATTCCAAGGCATTGATTTCATACACTCCAACAATACCGACGTTTACTCCATTTTCGACAATGTCCTCAATTTGCAGAGCCTGTCGTTCATGAAGTGTCACCTACCGCGGTGTCAGACGGCCACCTTTTCGCATCTGGCGCTTACGCAGCTAGACATGCTGTTTATTACGTGGGACCAAGAGCAGCCGGCACACCCGCAGATTCCCCATGGGCACCATTTTATGCCAGTGTTAGGGCCGACACAGCAACCGCATGTGCATGCACATACTCACGGAAACATATTCCACAATCCTTTCAACATCCAGAATCCGTTCGCTGCACTGAATCCACCACAACACCATCACCCACTGAACCACCAGCAGATGATGAACATGCTTATCTACGGCGGCCCTCCTCACGGCCCTCCCATACCCCCGCCGCCACCGCCACCACAAGGCGACCGCCTCGGCGCGCTCAAACTCCTCGCGGTTCCGACCATTACTATCCTCCGTGTGGACTGGTCAGCCGAGAATATTGCGTACGTATCCCAGCACACCAACTTCCTCACCAACCAGAGCCGACTACACACCCTTGAGCTAAGATGCCTCGACGATTCCCGCGGACCCTTACATTTCCAGCAACTACTTGCTAAAGGCGTACGGCGCCTTGTGTTCATGCCTGATGCGAGGGTGCGGAGCCTTCGTGGAGCGGACCTATCCGGGCTGAGGCTCTATCGTGGCCCTTCTGATATGCTTCCGGTCGTCATGGGCGGGAGGGCAGTAACCCCTACAGGTTCGCACATGTCGGCGGTATCGCTTTGGCCCCCGCAGGCATACCCATCTGGTGCAATGTCGCTCCAACAGAAAGTCGTCCCCGTTGTATCGGGCGTCAAGCATGTCATACTCACGACGGCTTTGGATGCGGCGAAGCTTGCGCCAATGTTGGGTATGTTTGCTGGTGCGGAGCAGTTCGAGTCTTTTGAGCTCAGGTTGACGAAATGGGATCTGGAGGCTCTACATGCTGCTGTGTATGCTTTCCCGAATGTGAAAGATCTGAGGATTAAGTGGACTGGCGGCGAAGGGATAGATGAGGTATCTTTCAAGCTTTATCCTCCGTCATAATGTACTGAATCGACTGTTGTGCTAGACGACCCTCGTTTCGTTTTCGCCTCTATTCTTACAGAGACTGCGAAACCTACAGGTGCTGCACTTGTACGACACGTCTATAAAGGAGCATGTTGGTGATGATGGTTTCGAGTTGATCGGTCCCGCGAAACGATTAGCGGGACTGGTTGAGGTCAGATTACAGCCAGGAGCGGTTTGGAAGAGAGCGGGAGATGAATGGACTCTGAGGAAGGACTTTGTTGAATAGTTGTGTTTATAGTGATCGATGATATAGTGTGCATATTTTGTATTTATCGTGGTAATACACACTGAGAATTCTCTTAATTGATGTGTACACCGGGTAGTAGCTGCAGTACAGGAGCGAGGATTCATGGGATCATTTATCTCATGTGCAACCGGGCCTGCATATAGCCCCACAGTAATTCATACATCAATCAAAACAATACAGTTGTACTATTCACCAATAAAAGCAAAGGTGGGGAATGTGCGAAAAGGACATGGAAGGGAAGGGGGAGAGGATCCTTGATTCTACCGAAGTGTTTGACTAGTCACTTTACAGCTCCGAGGCAGGCAGAGCGTCATATATGGGACAAAGTTTTTCCCACTCAGCTACGTTTACTGTGAGTGCCAATTCAATCGCTGATGGAAAACAGTACGTACGAGGCGGACGGCTTGTAGTTGCCCAGTCTTTGCTGTCTTCCACAAACACAACCGCAAGACCTCTGTGAATCTATGAATGAGTGAAAGTCGCGCACGCAGGGTTCCACGTACTTATTGAGATGCCAATTGGTATGGCTAGATTCAGTAGGGATTGGGCTGTGAGAATCAGAGAGCCCAGGCAGGAAGAGACCACTAACCAATGAAAGAGCCAGGGTCCGGCGTTGTCAGTCTTGAAGCGAATGGTAACGTTTGCTCCGATGTCTCCAATGTGAACTACATCTCTGCGAACCTTGGAAACTTGTTTTAGCTATTCCAAGCAAATAGAAGCGCAAGGACGAACTGGATTTTCATAGTTATAGGTGGACGAGCCCGCACTCCGGACTACATCAAACGTGTGCTTTCATTTAATTAGCATGGACGATAATGGAAGAAGACGGGTAGTGACGTACTCCATGGAGATGGAAAGCATGCTGATAGAGGAAATACATCTACGTCAATGCCATAGCGGAAGGGCGCAGACTACTTACCCCGTGTCCTACGCTGGTTCCTGGTATAGAAAGCTCAATGGTAGAGTTCGGCGGTAAAGTGTATACAGAGCCTTCTGGCAGAAGTTCATTAGCAGCGCGTGCTCCGCTGAGGATCTGTAGCAGCACAGGTATCGGAGGCGGATGAAACGACACTCCATTGATAGTAAACCGATCGACGTCGTCTAGCTAAAATGTTTAATGCAGTAAGCAACGGAAAATATCATGGGTCCAGGAGACCCACATATAACATGTCCAAGGTCAACGCGTAGTCCACACCTCCTCTTTCAGGGATACCAGGCTAGTACAGACATTGAAGGCTGCTTCAAGGTATGTTGAAATAGACGCTCACGGCACCAGGATTTTCAAGAGGCTAATTTTATCCATCAGCTCGTGTTCGACCTTGAGTTGGCACCGTACACACCACTAGATCGGTCTCGTTCAAAGGAAGAACACTGGGAGACACAGATGGCTCCGGTTCTGCATCGTCGGCGCCCGAGTATCGAAGTATCGCAGAATTGATCCCGTTATTATATCCAGCTTCCCCGATGTTAGGGTTGGCATGAATCCCTATATTCTGAAGATAAGATCACGATAAAAAGCTAAGCATGCTAGAATTCAATCTTACAGTAGCTTTGAATATCTTGGTTGGCATCTAGCTTTAAAGATGTGAATAACAATAGTCTTAGTCGGAGAACAGAAGTGCGCACAACAAAGGAGTAGCGCTGGCCTGTAAAAAGTTTGGGTCACGACTATATAAACTTGACCAAATTTTAATAGAGACGAATTACCAGGAAAAATTTGGAGCTCGTCTACAAGATAAGGCTGATGACTTGTTCCGTCCACTTCGATGATGTTCCTACAATCTACATCAGACAGAATTCGCTGAAGGTTTACCGATGTGTAACAAACATCAAATGATGTTCAATGGAGAACGTGAAGTACGTGCCGCAAGCCATGTTGATCAAGCGAAAGCGATACCTTTCCATGCTTCGTTAGAACACAATAGCGATGATGTTTTTCTAAGACCTTACCGAGTGCCTTGCTTGACTGGAATAACTGCAAGTTCTGTAGTAGGATCTCCGCTCCATCTTCAAGACATTTGATGTTTATTGGAGGAAGCAAGCGATAGTCACATACCGACCCAAACCATTTATCAGAGTTGCGTCCGAAGTTCTGGTTTGTGAGTACATATGAGCTGAGATCACTGGTTGAATAAGGATGAGATGTGCTCACGGTTCCCTCAATGTTTTTGTTAAAGCATGATTCCAGTCGGACAAAGTTATGATCGTGCTCTCTGGGTACGAGTAAAAAGGGTCGTAAGTTGAGACTACCTCGATACTGGAGGGAACATGCTACATACCATCATCGATGTCGTATAAACCGGCGTGGGGGTCAAAGGGATCATATATAATCAGGGCTCCGCGAAGACCTTCACAATACTGGTCCGCTTGTAAAGAAGGCGCCCATTACTTGTACATCGAGAGGAGGGGACAGACCCGGACTTACCTAGATGTGAGTGATACCAAAACGTCCCAGCTTGTTCTCCAGCGTTGAATTTGTACAAGAAGGAATTGTTATGAGAAATAGGGCATCCAGTTACGAAATCTGTACCGTCGGCCCAGCTTGTTCCTCTCTGGAACAAGCCATGCCAGTGCTGGCGCCGAATCAGTTAAGGAAGTCGGCACATACAAAATAGCATCTCACAATTGATGTGCTCTGCACGATGGACGAATCGTCCAAATTGTTAATGACGTTGATCGCAAAATCATCACCCTAGTAAGCGATGCTGTCAAGAGACATCAAAACAGAGAAATTACATGCAGACCTTCTGACCCACAATGAGCTCGCCAACTATGGTACCACCAGCCAATGCCGCCATTCGAGTGTAACCATCGGGACTGACGTCTGCATTAGCTATAATAAGGTCGCCGACAGGCCCAATCTCAGCCAGCGTCTCGCAGAGATACAAGGATACCGTCGCAAGCAACGACAGGAAGAACGAGCCTTTCCTCATCTCTGAACAATCCAGAAAAGTTATCGACTGGGTGAAGATGAGAAGCACGTCGCTCCTCATGCTCATAGATAAATATATCGAAGCTGACCTTCAGCATTCTCGTATGGATCCACTGACGCTTCATTTGCTGCGTGCCATCTCGTTTGCGTATAGTACTTGCCGAAACTTTGTTCAACGTTCCCTGGGATGAACTGCAGCCTCATGGGCACTCTTGTCCGTAAGCTTCTATGTTCATCCTAGTCTCAACTTTCGGAAGCGAGATAGGTCGGAGTTACACTTCAATGCTCGGGACGACTCGACCAGGACTCGCTAAAAAGCGACAAATATTTCGAGACCGAGAGTAAAAACATGAAAGCGGGAAAGAAGACGGTGCAGAAATCATACAGCCTGGAGATAACACATGCAGATATACACAAGAAACGAGGCAAATGGGCCGATCAATTACCTTGAACTATTATTGCTAGAGCTGGCAATAGAAGAGTAAGTACAGCAGTCTGACTAATCGAATTTCGCGAATCGGTCCGGAATTAGAAGCACATGATCCTATTGCGCAATTGTACGTAAGTACTACGCGCGAGGTTCAACAGCAACTTGAACTACGTGTAAGTATTGGTACCGATTGCCCCTTTTTTCAATTTTTGTCTTTGTCTTTGGTCAAGATTACACCAAATTAACAGAAATTCTAGGTTCGTCGTTTTTTTCCTGCTGGAGTGACTCAAATACAATGACCCGGAGGAATCTCATTTGCGGTGATTGCTTGGTGGTTGCCGTACGACGCGATTTCCACGACGTATCGGCTCTCGTTGTAGATATCTGCCACCTGCCAGCGTGGCTTTTCCTGCTGCGACATGTGCTCGAAATAACGTTAGGTGCAATAAAAATGAAGCACCGTGCTCTCACCTAGATAACAATTCGATTGCTCTCAAGGGGCTGATTTAGTTCTAGAGTTTCGTACCCTATGATCTGACCATGATGCATGTTCCAATTCAACAATTACCTTCTCCTCTTGAATGGAGGTATTTTGCGACTGCCTGGATCGGAACATCTTGGAGGCGACGTGCTTCTCTTTCCAGACCCTAAGTAACCTCTGGTCCTTTTTTCAACCAAGTGACTGCAATTCCACTCGAGTGTTATTCACCGTACTAGTCAACGAGTTCCATCTTTGACGGGTTTTGCACGCTGACTCACTGACCCTTTTCAGTTCCCTTTCGTCGTGACCTTGGTCGGTCTGTGGTTCGATGCAGCACATGAACCGTTGCCGCTAAGATTTCGTTACGCTGAGTTCCTGTTCCTTAAAAATATTGGTCTGATGGACTACCGCCGGATACATTAAAGGTTGCCAACGAAGGAATCAATACTGAGCCATTGCAGTAGTTGGCTTTAGAACGGCTGCACTTATTGTTTGCACAATGTGCATTTCGTTCCACCATATCCTTGCATAGCGAAAATTTGACGGCATAAATCGTTATTAAATCACTTGGTGTTTTCTGAACCAGGGGGTCGTCACTGCCAGTGGCTTTCATTTCCGGCTCTTCGTGTTGAACAGGGCGTCGTGTTTCCGAATCGAACGTAGTGACCACTGGGCTGAAATTGCACGCGTTTTAGTATGTAACTGTCCTCTTGGGCTTCCAATCGAATCCCCAGCTGCCTTGATTTTCTCAGCATCGCAGAAATCCGGATTTCAACGAAACCAATGAGGAACGCATGCTCGTAGTGTGCCATCGATTTCTTCCGTCGATTTCTTTCGCTAACTTATTCCATTAGGTATGTTGTAGTTTTTGTCGGAAATCAGCTTATTACTTAATAATGTTCCTTCGTCCTGAAATATCTTAGTCGACTGTAGGTATAGAAGGGATAACGGCACGAGAAGTGAAGAAGGGACTTAGAATTCGCAGTCCAGCTCTTGACATTGGTATAAATAGAACTGGCCGAGGCAGGTGATCCTACAGTATTATTTTTGTCGAATTGAAGACTCCCATCGGAACTTATCTATTAACCATCGCACCATGGATGCTAAACCTAGGGCCGCCGTAGCCCTGAGTGTTCCTGACTCGGTACCGACGACTCTACGCCATCATTAACAAAAACTTTGAGAGTTACGCTCCTGGCAACGCCTACCGAAATCCCGTCTTGACGACGCCAAATTTTCTTGTAGTTGTTTCACTGGAGTCTTGTTCGCGGTAATCTGTCATCATCTCGTTGGATCCACTCCCATAATGGTGGATGTCAATACTTACCCCGGGAGAGGAGAATGCAACCGTCATTTCTTTGCATCTGGACCTCCAAGTTCCAGCCATGCAATAGCCTCCAGTACAGCGTTTAAGGTATGGTTTTCCCTAGAAAAGCATGCTAGTCAGTCATAAGACATTTTCGCTTTAGGTCCAAGTTTTCATTTCACGGCCGCCGGGAAGCCTTGCACTGACTGTTCGACGCATGGCATGACGATCGAAGTTTGGCGATCCCAGGGTGCCTGCCGGGGTGATCCTCAGCAGAAACAACGCTCAATACGCGTGCTTCTTTCTCCGGCTGGCGTGGTATTGCATAGCATAAAAATGGTATTTTCGCTTCATGAGGACATCACCGAGCCGCACCTAGTTGATTCTTTTCGCCTTGCAAAGCAAAAGTCTAGGTGAGGTACGGTACATATAACCCGATGTTGAGGGGCCGCAGAGGCAAGATACACCTGTAAGTCAAATGTTTCCCTTCGTCCCCGTCCCCTGCCCCTATATCACCTGCAAAAGTCGATAAGCAAGAACATTTCCTATTAAGGTGAAGATTTCCCTTCGCAAAAACCACGCGTATTCGGAAGCACTTTAAAACTTGGGGTTGTGTGGAAATTTCACGTGAAGTCCCGGCCCTATGCCACTAGGCCTGCAAATGATCATTCTGGACATCCGAATATTAAGCACAGCTAGAAAACGCAAGTGAACTATTGTCCCGATTACACTTAGTAAATGGCGTCACTGGGTGCTGAGGCTATCTTCGAATATTACAAAGCTGATTGAATAGCCAAGAAATAGCCGTCGACCACCATATGTACGACTCCGGGCCCATGACCTTAGGCGCCTTTGAATCAGAAGGGCATGCGTGCCTCTTCGATGGGGAAAACACGTACATATTGAACATTGTGACAGGTACATATGGTTCCGAAGAGATCTGTCGTTGGTAGCGTGTGTTCTTGGAACAGGCGGAAGAAGCCTTCAACGCAGCTTAAAAGCGAGCAGAGTGAACAGTCAAACTGCGCACCAAAATTACCATGTATTCCTCTCTCTCATTTATCCTTGCCTCCCTTGCCTCCCTGGCAGTGGGTGTCCAACTAGTCATCGAACCTTCTTGCGGGGCCCTCTTCGGTACTGTCGCTGACCTCAACGCCGGTCTTGGATCGTTAAGCTCATACAGTACTATCGTCGCGTTTGGAGTAAAATTTCGCGTATTCAAAGTGAAAGGGGAATGCTCACTGGATTCATCTCATAGGATGGTTACACCGATGGTGGAAAGGAGGACGGTTCAGCGCTCGACCCGGCCATCCAAGATCTCCCAGACCCGAAGGCTGGAGGTCGTTTATCCAACGGCCCACTTTGGGTGGAGAACCTGGCTTCCGATGTTAACGCGACACTCAAGGATTACGCCGTTAGTAATACCCCGGCGCGTTCTTTATACGCGATATTTTTTACTGACTGGGTGCAAAGGTTACCGCAACCGTTGTTGATCATACGCAATACCCTGCATTTACTTTCTCAGATACTAGAGATTTTGTATACCAAAGTCAGCTTCATTTCGTTCCTAGAGACGATGGACTGACCATATTTATTTTAGACAACTACGTCATTTCCTCGCGCAATAAGCCCACTTCCGATGATACATTGTATATTGTCTTTGTTGGGATGGAGTCAGTAAAATTCCATCTATAATATAGGAACATAACTGAATAGCTTTCCGATAATTTTCAGGGACTTTATCCGTGCTGATGGTATGCATGCGAATTTAATCCTCTGTTTTTCCTTCGTCTGATGATTATCGTATAGCTTCAACTTTCCCCGGAATAGCCAGCGACGTCGTATACGAATTGCTTTTGATGACAGACTCGCCCTTATTTGCCAAGAACATTCTCATCGTAGACAACTACGGCCGAGGGAACGCGACTTCGTACGGAAACGAATACAAGCAGAGCGTCTTTGACGGTCTAGGGACGTTGTACTCGAAGCGGGGAGCGAACGTTGGCTTCGTCGACCTTGGGAATCTCTGGGCTGCAGTACTCGGCACAAACCCCGGTTATGAAGCATTTGGGTATGTGAGCCCCGGAGCGTGTACTGTTAATGACACGACTACGGTGGGTCAATGCGACAACCCCGACGAGACATTTTACTATATTCCGAAGTAAGTATAGACCACGCAACGAAATGCACAAACTGACGTTATGTGTCCATAGTTATCCTTCTGCAGTGACACACCGACTGATGGCTGACTACATTGAAGCTGTGTTGGAGCAATGTCAGTAATATCGATCATGGGCCATCAAATATCTTAAAATAAAGTCTGGGCTACTTATGTGACTTTGAATAATGTATTTTTGTAGTCTTCCTATTTGTTTGAGTGTCAAAGGAAGAGAACTTCAAGAAGCTTAGAAAACCAGGAATCGTAAATGATCGTGGTCACGGTTTTGATCAAGGTTTGATCGCTCGGCTGGCGCACTGCCACACCGGCGTTACGGAGTTCGCCGATGCTGCTCCAATCCAGGCTTCGTCCCAACGGTCATGAAGAACATCATCGTCAACTTTTTGCCGTCTACGCTCGTTTCTCAGATTCTAGAAATTTGAGGGCATCGATCCAGGCTGACCATCGGGCAAGATGAACTGATACCGATTACTGAAAGCCAACAGGGTCTGCCACAATTAACGCCACGATCAAAAAAGAAAAAACTGATGCTGGCATTCATCGCCACTGCTCCAAAATTCGTTCATGCAGTCACTCAATATTCAATTATCATAGATATTATTTTCTTCTGTGCTTGGCGAAATTATCTCCGCCTTCGGTACCGGAGCAAAATTACATACGAGAGGGATGTATAAAACAGACGGAATGTCGAGGGATTTATCCTCAACAAAGCACTGCTCTCTAAGTTCAACATGTTCTCTCGTATCATCGCTCTCGCTGTTTTGGCTCTGCCTCTCTTCGTTGTCGCAGCTCCTGCGACGACCACGACCGTCACCGGCGGATCGTGCAACACTGGCTCCCTCCAGTGCTGCAAGTCCGTTCAGGACGTGAGTTCGAACCCGTCTCTCTCACGGTAACGGTGCTAACTATTGAATAGCCTAAGTCTTCTGCTGTTCAGCAGGCCCTTGGTCTCTTGAACATCCCCATCGGAGACGTTACTGCCGGAGTGTAAGTCCACTTTTCCTGTGGGGAAATTTTATGGTCTGAATAATATATCAAGTGGTCTCACTTGCGACCCCATCACCGTCATCGGTCTTGGAACCACCCAGTGTGCCAACCAGCCCGTTTGCTGCGAGAAGAACAACTTCGTGAGTGTTATAGAATTTCATACGATAGTAGTAGTTTGCTCATGGCACGAAACTTTAGAATGGTCTCGTTGCTCTCGGCTGCACCCCCATCAATGTTGGATTGTAAACCGGTTGGCGTCTTTGGTTCTTGGAAAATCTTCGGTAGATTTAAGTTTTTCGATACTACCATGAGATTCGTGTTTGTTTAGATGATACTTACTACATATACGTGATTTATTTTCGTGAATTCCCTCTGAAAGGATCGATTGAGATTGAATATGTTCGACTGGACCGAGAGTCGTCGATTAACTTACCTGAAAAATGTACTTGAATGTTGCGGCAAGGCCAAAGGACCACGGAGCGAAGCACGTGTATGCGGTGAACAGAGAGCGCAGGTGTATTCATATTTGGATCTCGCGCGACGATCTTGAAAATCCCTGTCTGTTACGGCAATCATAGACCTTGTGGTTGATAATAATAGAATGAAGATCTTACCTGCACGCTCGGATTAAAATACTTGTATGACAGTCGGTCGTGCGTCCTGTCAAAGGTTTGCGGAACGCAATATCGAGACAATTTCCGCGTTTTATGGCTTGGGTGTTTCGTGGAGATGAGCATCTGTCGGTGGCCCGTGTCCCATAATCTTGGCATGTTGGACTAATTTTAACACACTGGGATGATGAAAGGGAAAAGCTAGTTTGGGACATCGATGGAAACTGAGGGTCGAAACAAGTTGAACATTGACAAGCGAGGCTAGAAAACACGGTATCTAATCCGCAAAACTTGATATCAAAGCAATCGATTGTCTTGGGTTCTGGTGACGGCTCTAGATGTTGAAGTCATCCACCAGGATCGCCATCTAGATTTCAAGCTGTAATAAACAATGAACATGTGTCAGAATAGCGGAAATAAGCCATATTTTGACATTCCTCACGCAACGTCACGATTGCAAGAAATCATTCAACGCAAAATGCCCTAAGGGAAAAAAGTCCATGCAGTCAATCATACATCTGTCACGATCGTCAGTCATACATTTTTCGCGGTGACCAAAGTTATCTCCATGTTCGGTCTCGCAGACTTGAACAGGATATAAAAGAGAGAACGCGCGACGGATGGATACTCAACAAGCACTGTTAAAGATGTTCTCTCGTCTCACTGCTCTCGCTGTCTTGGCTCTGCCTCTCTTCGTCGCCGCGTCTCCCGCGACGACCACGACCGTCACCGGCGGTCAGTGCAACACCGGTTCCGCTCAGTGCTGCAAGTCCGTTCAGGATGTGAGTTCGAAGCCTTCTCTCCCACAGCAACGATACTAACTTTTGAACAGCCCAAGTCCTCTGCTGTCCAGCAGGCTCTCGGTCTCTTGAACATCCCTATTGGCACCATTACTGCCGGAGTGTACGTTTCTTCTACTTCGACGAGATATTGTGATGGCTGATTTAGAACAGTGGTCTCACTTGCGACCCCATCACTGTCATCGGGCTCGGTACGACTCAGTGTGCCAACCAACCCGTTTGCTGCGAGCAGAACAACTACGTGAGTATTATTTGATGAGATATTGACAGAAGATACTTAACATTTGAATGGGCAGAATGGTCTCGTTGCTCTCGGTTGTACCCCCATCAACGTTGGAGCTTAAGAGTTGCATTTTCTTCTTGGTTGCGTCAGTAGAGTCGCGTAGGACTGATTTATTACATACTATTGATCTTTGATATTTTTGTGATTCACTTCTGGGAGAGAAAAACCCAAGAAAAGGTATCGCCGAGCCAACATGGCTTTGCGGACCGTCGTTCTGTGCTCCATGAAAAGCGGGATCCTGCATGAGTAGCCGGTTGAAGTTGGAACGGCTCTATCGGTCCGCACTTCCGGATTTGACGCCACAACCCTAACCTCAGATGTCTACCACTGTCACTCAGCGTCGTCAACATCCTGCTATGCCTCTGTTTTTGCTCTCTACATCACTCACATCGTTACCTTTGAATGTGTATTGAACCAGGATGAGAGGTCGAAAACCGTCTCCCTGTCACGACGACGTCGACTGTTTCTAGCGCCCCGGGGAAGTTATCTAGTACGAGTTCTGAGCAGGAGTGATGCCATAGTAGATGTGATGGATTGCGGTGCCAGAGGCCACAGCTATTCCCGCGAGGCGGATAGCACTCTGGGTGTGAAATGGCTGCTGAATGTGTCCAAGGTGAGCGACTTCAGTGAAGAATTTTGATATGAGGCTTACCTCCAGTTTCAGGCGACGTTCGTAGAACACCATTCAAGAACGTCAGTTTTCTGCAAAAATCTGCGCAATGTCGGGCTCCAAGGAAGGTTTCTGTAGATACAGGTGGGCTATAGACTTTTGAATGCTGGATCTTTCCTCACAGCAACAGAACAAGCCTCGCATACATCAAAGGGATCCATGTCGGCAACGAGGAAAAAGGTTGGGCGTGCAGAACGATGAGTCTAGCGAAGAGAGATAAATTTAGTGTAACGACCTGTGAGTCTGCTATTGGATAGCATGCGTTGCACGTTCTTGACCTGCTTCTTAGTGCTAGCGGCCAGAGATGAAGACGTTGCTCCGGCTCACGAACGCATCATCTCACCTTGAAGTTAAATCGGCTGTACCAAAAGGTCGGGAAGGTCCTTCGAAGGTGAATGTTGATACAGCCCCGTCCATGTCCGGCTTTTCCATAAGGCCGAGAAAAAATCCTGTTAAAACCGGTTACCACTGGACGCTGCGGCGGGGACGACAATATCGTTGCGCTAGTTTTTTGGGTGCAGATATGTCCTGCGCATAGTGACCACTCCGCGCAAGGGTCGGAAGACAGACGTAACATCGATAATCTGTCCAGCGAAGGGGAGGTCATGTTCTTCCGTTGATTCCAGGTCACAGAAGAAGAGAAAATGCACTTCTGAAAAGAGTTAGTGTATACCTCTACGCCTTTCCGTATCAATCTGACCACGTTGCAGTCGAATACTACAGGTCTTTCGTTTCCGCACGTATACGGTACTACGGGTGGACGCTGCAATGTAGATGCCACCTCCGTCGAGCCCAACCTTGCTATATAAACTGCTGGATGACCCTTCGTGCCCCAAACACGGCGATTCGTTGCCTCTGGATGGAGCAAGTAGCTTTTACTTGTGAAAAACAGTCACTACAGCCTACGGTGTTTCCTCAGCCCCGTGCTGACAGTGATTCTGCCGCTCCCGCCTTCCCAATGGTGACACCTCCACTGCGTTCGTCCACGATTACTTCCGCTCCGACACCGGCACCGCTTCCTACATCTGCTCGAGTATCCTACGGCATGCCTCCACTATTGACCATAGCATCTCTGGCCTTGCCTACTCTTCCGAGCGACATATCATCTGATATACTTTATGAAGATATAGTCGGAGATCGTTTGCAGCCGTCTCGACTGGCAATACAAATTCCCTTACCATGCTGGAGAGCCCGGAAGCGTCGGTTCAAAGGAGTCTGGTAGCTCCTGAGAGAGAGAAACCTGTTAGCTCGTTTAAGATACGGAACTGCCCCGAAAGGAAGGTTCGTCCCTCTTTCGCTTTTTTTCACATTCGCTAACTAGGCGCATCCAGATACGCTCTCAACTACAAAGGCATTCTTTACCACACTAAAGGGTCGTGCTCTCGGAAAATGAGTCCCTCTAATACGGCCTCGGTGTCAAACCCTCCTGTACCTGCGCCGATGGCGTAACACCTCACCATCCTTCCTCTCATTCGCGATGCTTCCACAAGTTCTGTCGCATCTGATCCAGTGCTCATCATCCGGTGCCTTGATAGGACGTATGTGGTCGAGGGTCGCTCCTTCAGGAATTAGCGTCCGTCCATCAGCGTGTTACACTCCAAGTTACCGAGTGAACGTTGTGGCAGTCTACCGCAACTCAGTTTCTGGTCTGGAGAGCGAGGGCACGTTGGTGCGATTCCACAAAGTGGTGACACGCAGAACAGATGAGTGAAGTCGCGTGGCAACCATGGACTTGCCTTGTCTATGGTTCGGATATGAGAGGAAGGGTGATTTGACTTTGTTTGGTGTTGTTCGTGCCTTGGTACGAGACGAAATTACTTGTTTGTTGAAAGCATGGACTATTCGGTGTTCCCTAGTGCAGCGATGGAAGGAAGGCAACGTATTATTTCTAGAGCAAGAATATATTTTGCTTTCGAAACACAAGTGTACATACTACTACCGAAAACTATAGAACAGTGCGACAAACATCGAAAGAGAATCCTTCAGCATAGTATTGCTTGAGGTGAGAGATTATAGCATCAATGCCAGGACACAGGTCTGGGAAATTACCACACACTCTAAGAGTCTGTAAACGAGTGATTCGGCAAGAATGCCCACCACTCCTACGAGACTGAACCATACGGACAAGGGATAATATGTCACCACCGCCACTTATATACAGAGTACATAAGTGGGGGAGAACTAAGTCCTCCGAAGAGGCATGGTCCACAGTGAGCTTTGCCATGACCTCCTTGGTGAAGACAATGTCGCCCAGGCGAGTTAGGCGCAAGTCTTCAAGAGTGGGTGTAGAACAGAAGAGTTGCAGTAAATCTTCAGTGTGGACTCGGCCATGATCGAAGTGAAGTACGGTAATTGGGGATTGCGAACGTTGGAGAAGACGGCATATTGAGGAAAAAACCTCCTGTCTTTCATAACTGTCCTTTTGGGAGCATGCAACCTTCAGAATGGACAGTCTTGGCAAGACAAGTCTATCAGCGACTTGTTGAAAGGCGGATGGAGTACGATCAATGGTCCAAGAGGAGAGATCCAACACACGCAGCTGCGGACAGATGAGAGGATAAACATCGCCCCCCAAATCCAGCGTATCTGATACACCACTCAATCTTAGAGTGCATTCCTCCACCTGTTGAAACTTTCTAAGAGCATTCAAATGATGATGCGCCCGAGGACCAGAAAGACTGAAAAAATTGGGAGTAGGTATGTACCTATGGTCGTTGTGATACTTCTTTACTTGGTTCCAAGGAATCTCGAAGCCGTCCTTCCAATCTATAACCTCGAGTGATTGTAATTTTGGAGTGGACGAGAACAGGCGCAAGTGAGGAGAGGTTGGTCCGAAGATCCCATTCAACGACTGACAAAGGAGGACTAAATATTCCAAAGATGGTAGGGATAACCGCATGTTGCTCATTTGCGACAATAAGTATTCGTCAAGATAGAGATGGAGCTCTCGAATGCAGCTGGAAAACGAGAACAGGATAGCCACCAACTGCGGAGGAAGAGCTATTCTTTCAGATCCTCTCACTACACGACATATCGAAATTGACAAGGGATGTTTTGTCGAGCGGTCCAGCTGTAGACCGAGTTGTCGAATATAAGAATGATCGTCGAAATTTGACTCCGTAATTATGATATTGATGTAAGACCAGAGTCTTGGGGATGAAAGAGACGCGCTCCTCCACTGTTTAGATACTCCCGTGACCGACCACAAGGAGCTCTCTGTAGACTCGAACTTCCAAATGCGCAGGGCAGCCGCTTCCAGCCCCTCTTCCTCCTCCCGTGTGATCTGCATCCTCGGCACCGGGAAATCAATGGTATCAAGGAAGATATGATTGAGTATCTCCGAAGGGAGGCGTCGAACCGGACTAAGGAGATTCTGCCCTTCACGGACTGCCTCTGTGGCTCGCGCGCGCTCTTGGCGCAGCGCGTCCATCCTTTGGGAAACAGCCACGATCTGGGCTTTCAGGGAAAGGGAAAAGGCTTCGAGATTAGACTTCTCTGTGTCGATGTCTTTAATATGTTGATCGTGTGTTGATATCATGCCAGATAGTACTGTCTCTTCATGCTGTGAAGGTGGGTTGTTTGAACGTGCGAGGTGCATCCACTCGGGATCATCTGAGAGAGAAGGTTCGACGGTGAAGATGCCAGATGGCAAGTGATGGTTTGGGCATGGGCATCCAGAGCACGGCGTCCATATCGAAGTGGTATGCATGATTATTTGTGACTGTACGACGAGATGAATATCATGATGAGTCCACCGTCCATCATACAAGTTAGAAATGGACATACCAAGATTGAAAGGGAAGACGAGTTCTTAAATGGAGTAGAAAGTACAGGCAGGGCGACCCAATGCACGTTCAATGTCCCGCACTCAGCACCAACGAGGTATCAACGAGGTCCTGCCAGTAGGAGAAAGTTCCCTGGGTCACGTTGCATTCAAGATAATCGGAAGCTTCGGAGTTCGGACCGGCTTGAAGCAACTCACGCAGCATTCCCTCACTACAAAAGAAAGAAAACCGTCACCTAGCTGGTGGCCGCGGATAAGTTGTCTAATCGTACCAGTGTTGGAAAATTTCCTGCAGGAATGAGCCGGGAGGGTAGAGATCAAATAGAGATATAACCCAATCAGCGCTATCCTCAGGCTTGCGCCGCTGAGTGAAAGATAATTACGCTATATGTACAGGTGGCCGGGGTAGAAGCACCAGCCTCCATTCCTACCTGCGCCAACAAAAGCTTTGAATTGCACAGAACGGTGACGAAGATTTGTTATATACTATTGATCTTTGATATTTTTGTGATTGACTTCTGGGAAATAAAAAGCCAAGAAAATGGTGTCAGTGAGGTAGCGTGGCTGCTTGTAGACCGTCGCTCTATGCCTCCATGAAAAAAGGGATCCTGCATGAGTAGCCGGTAGTCCTACGTTGGAACGGCTCTATCGGACCGCACTTCCGGATTTGATGCCACAACCCTAACCTCGGATGTCTGCCATTTTCGCTCAGCGCCGAATCTTTCATCCTGTCAACATCCTGCTATGCCTCTGTCAGGGATACTTGGGTTTAGTACTGGTCCTGGTTAAGTAGTTCGGGGTTCAAGCACGAATGCTATGGGATTCCACTAGTTGAGTTCGGTAAGTGTAAGTCGAGTTACTTTGTGTAACCGTAGGTTGGTTGTTTGTTGAGCAGTCGGGGACTTGAAGAGTGTTGAGGGTGCGTCACGAACGTACCTAGATAACTGTAGTTAATAAAATAGGTGCGTCACGAGCGAGCCTAAGTATGAGTGTTTATGAGTACTGGCGCGTCACGAGCGAGCCTAGAACTGTTTGATTGATGGCATGTCATGAGCGTGCCGAGAAATGTGATTTGTTAGAGTCAATGGCGCGTCACGAGCGAGCCTGGAAATGTGGTTTGTAGTTTGAGAGGGCGCGTCACAAGCGAGCCTAGAATAGTTGTGTGTGTAATTCTTGATATTTCTCTCAATAGGGCTTGACATAGTCAGCTTTGAAAAGTATGTGTGTAGTGTGATGGGTAAAGTGTCCATGATCTCATTCTTCTTTTCTACTCTATTTATACTTACTATCTTATTATTACCATATCGGATAAGGCTGTGCGACACTGTGCCTAACCAGTGCGCACGACTTTCTTTCTTTCTCTCGATTCTTCTCCCTTCTTCTATCACCTTCTTAGTCTCATTTCCATCCATATTTTGTCTATTACTACATGTCATCCTGACATCCACGGGGAACAAGAAATATAACCGCCCTCGGTTACTGACATACTAATATTCAACTAAGTCGATCGTGATCCAAAAAAGTACGTAAGTAAAATAGAATAAGACCGTGAAACAGAACACATGAAGGAAATACATGAATACGCTATGAATGGAAGGGAGTAAATAGTACATTTCAGCGATGAGGGAGCTGTTCAAAATTCTGGAGTAAGTGCGGCATGTAAATATCTGTGAACAAGGGGAGTGTACCTTTCGTATTCTATATCGTGATCCGCGTGAGTAGGAATAAGGTTCAAACTCGGTTTGCATCCTAATTTCGCCTTTACCAACTCCCACACGTGCTCGTATTTCTTCCATTTCGGTAACATGAAATCCATGGCTCGTGCTACCATGGTGACTTTGTAATGTCCTTTCCCCACTGTTGGGCTGATGAATACCGCATTGAAGACAACATGTTTGTCGGTGATATAGAGAATTTCTACCACGTAACCGTTCCCATACCAAGAGTCATGGTAAATGGGTCGGCCGAGGAATAGTTGGTCGTGAGGTTTGTCAACATCAGCGGTGGCGTCGGAAGCTCGGTTGGTTTCGGCGCTGGGTCGCAAGAGCACATACGGGTATTTTCGGAAGCCCCATCTTTCATGGACGGAGATGACGGAGATCTGCAGGGAGAGTTTTTCAAATGCGGGAGGCAGAAAGACGGAGTCCAATTTGTTAGATAAGGCAGGAGCGCGAATGTCATCCTCCCCTTCCATAGGCTGCAAGTAGACCGCACCAGACAATTTGTCCAACACCGTGTGGCTGAACTTGTAGGCCATAATGTCCTTCATATGTGGTTATTATCTCCATGATTTTTTTTTTTTTTTTTTACTTCAGGCCTTCTTACCTCTATCGCAATGTACAGAACACTATGGATGGTTTCATCCTTTGGAGCACAGTCTTGTCTCTTGGCACCATCGGTGACAATCTCCGTTGGCACAGGTGTGCAGACGGTGGATGTTGCTGCAACCTCCATTAACGAAGGGGCACGGGAGATAGTGTAGTGATTATCCAGGAGGGGGTAATAGGACTGAATGTCGAGGATTCCTTGGGATTCATTCATGGTAGGGGTGATTGAGAGCAGAAAGGAGCGGTTGCGAATCTGTCTTGCTAGTGTTGGAAATGTGGCGTCTTCTCCACTAACAAGAATTTCGGTTGGAAGCTTCGGTAGCGAATAATGAGTGTATGAATGGAATGTTAGTGGTCGGCAGAACTAGTCTGACCATTCCTGATCTGGACCCTCTTCATCTTCCTCTATTTCTTCGTTTACGTATTCACTAGGGTCCCATGTCTGCTCCTCAGGTTCTTTCAAGGCCTCGAACTCTGGGCTTCCTCTGCGGATGTAGGGGTATAGTCGAAAGGCTGCCACGTTTTTCTGTAATGAAGTTCCATCTAATTCTTTTAGCTTATAGCTTCCTCCTAATGTCTTGCACTCTACTTCATAAGGTCCCAAGTATCGTGGATGTGTTTTAAAACGGTTTACGGTCATTTCTAGGTGACTGTTTTGTACTAGCACTAGGCTTCCTGGCTGGTAGTCTTTCTTCAAAAGGCGATGTTCAAATCGTTGAATGAATTGTTCTCGATTTTGGCAACGAGCTATTTTGAGGGTCTCTGCTGTGCGTTCTAGATCTGTGGTATGTCTTGAAAGTTGCCGGATTCGCAAGGCAAGCAGTTCTGAGGTGCTCATCCCTGAATGGTATCCTTCTATCATAAATGTGGCGTCCACTAAATCAAAAGGCAACAGTGGCTCCACTCCATGTAGAAGGAAATAGGGGGAATACCCGGTTACGCCGTTAACAGTTACCTGATCGGCAAATACTGCAGCATCTATCATTCGGTGCCAGTCTTTGATTTCTCCATTGGCCTTCCGTTTTGGGCAAGATTTGACTATTGCCTCACGTAATATGAAATGTCCCTTCTCTACCACTCCTCCTGCACGTTTATTGTAAGGAGACACTTGTACATGCGGTATATTGAGCTTTTTGACTAACCGTTCGAAAGCCCCTTTGACCTCTGGCCCATTGTCTGTTATAACCTGCCCAATGGCTCCGTATCGACAATAGATCTTCTGCCAGAAGAAGTGAGCCAACTGTTTGGAGTCATTGTCTATTAACGCGCTGGCTTCTACTACGCCAGTTAAGTCATCTTTTGCGCACACGATGTAGCCATATTTTCCTGACCTGGGTCGCATGAACATTACGTCCACATAAACTTTTTCAAAAATAGTTACTGGGGCTGAAATGGTCGGAGGCAGTAGCAGTCGCTTTAATTGACGTGTTTGACATTCATGGCAAGATGCTACATGTTGATGTACGTCTCTTCTCATTAGCGGCCAGTACACCCGTATTCTAAGGATGTCGTACACAGCTTGTTCCCCCTTGTGGCCCAGTTGGTCATGAGTTTCTGTTAAAATTTTCTTCCGAATTTCAGGATCGAGGATTACTAGTAATGGAGGTTTTTCTCCATTCCTTTGGAACATACGCCCATCCGGAGTCAGATAATAGAGAGATGCTCTTTTTAAGAGTTTCTTGGGTAAGTCAACTACATCCTCTGATGTATGCAGTTTTCGAATTTCTTTAAGCATGTCTTCTTGGTTTTGTGTCCTCCGCAGTTGTCCTAACAAAACACGGGCAGGTTCTATGCTGGCTATTTTTTGGATGCTGCGGTCAATGGTCTCGTATACATCCTTATTGGGTGAATAAGCAAGCAAGGACATATCGTCTAACCACAAGTCGTCGTATTCTTCAGCTGGCGGGGTTTCGTTACTTCCCAGTTCTCGCCGAGACAAGGCATCAGGCCCTCGGAACTTGTCTCCTGGAATATGGATCAACGTGAAGTCAAATAGGAGTATCCCTTGTATCCATCGGTTCATTGCTGCGTTAGGTTGCATGTCAGGTGCGCTCAACATCCCCTTTATGTATTTGGCGTCTACTTCAACATGAAAATTTTCTAGGCCAATAATGAACTTTCTCCAGGCTCATAAGGCTCGGAACAACCCGTAGAGTTCTAGCTTTGGCTGTGAATATCTTGCCTCTCTTTCATTTAAGGGAATGGACCCGTATCTTGCGGGTCTTCGTTTTCCTTCTTTGTCGACTTGGGAGAGAATAAAGCCCACGGCTTTCAAACTCGTGTCTACTGACAAATATGCCGGCAGGTTCGATTTGTAGTCTATGGCACGTAAAGCCGGCACGGTGGTTACTTTTTGTTTCAGTATGCCAAACGCTTCCTTTTGTTTCTCGCCCCAGTCGAATTCAAAATCTTTTCGTACCAGATCCACCAAGGGCCGCGCTATCTTGGAGTAATCTTTTATCCAGATCCGAACGGTTCCACATAGTCCTAAGAATCCTCGTACTTCAGTGACGGTTTTAAGCGGTGGCCAGTTTAATATTTTAGTCACTCGTAGGTCTTCGGGATGTCGCCCTTCCACTGAACATTTTTGTCCTAGAATTACCACGCTGGGTCGACAGATTTGGGTTTTCTTGGGTGAAAATGTTCCTCCGGCACACTTAATGCAGTGCATTATTTGGTGCACGTCATTAGCATGTTCCCAGATAAATCTATGTATGCCCGGGTTTCCTTTAATGGTGCTAGGGTGTCCTTGCTTGTCTAGATATCGAGTTTTGGGTCCCCGAATAGGTAGATCATCAATAAAGATGTTGGCCGTATGTGGAATTTCTTCCTGGAGTATAAATACCATACAGTTTTGGAATTCTGCAGGCGAATTGGTATATCCCATAGGCAGGGCCATGATGCGTAACAGTCCTAAGGGCATATAAAAAGCTGTGAGATCCCGGGATCTAGGATCTACTTTTTGTGCATCAAATCCCCAGAACATGTCGAACATGGTATAGCATTGACAGCCCCCATAAGGCTCAAGGAAGTCGTCAGGCTCAGGGATTTGGCCGGCATCGCGTATGGATATTTTGTTCAACGGCTGTAAGTCATGTATTAACCTCAAGGTTCCGTTTTTCTTGAGTATGCAGAACCAACGACTTCGATATGAAGACTGACTCGCTTCATAGACACCTGCTTCGACTTTGCTTTTAAGAAAAGCTATAACTTTTTCTCTGATGCCAGGGGGAATGGGTATATTCTTGAACTCCCAAGGAGTGTGCGGCACCACTGGCATTATGTAGTCAGAGAAATAATCTCGACTAAAGGTTCCTCGGTCTTTTTCTTCGTACGGCAGCGTTTGCTCATTAAGTTTAAGTACGTGCTTGAATAACTTTTCTTCTTCCGGCCATAAAAAGTCTTCATGATTAACGTTCAATTCCCGTATTCGTTCCTCCGTTAACCGTTCAGTTGGTTCGAATTCAGGCAGTAACATGGGTAGCTCGGCAAGGGTGCTTAGAGGGTTGTAGGGGAGAGTTCGACGAACCCGGGCTTCTTCGGGGAACGTGGTGGATACCGGTTTTACCTTTTTATCCACTCTTTTATACATGGTTAATGCCCGTACTCGTGAGGCCTGTATTTCGTCCTTGAACGAGCCATAGTCCTCCTCGGGTAGAATGATGGTGTCCCCGTCTTCAAAAGGGTAATCATACAAGGAATAGATTCTGTCTTCTTCCTCTTCTGTATCGATCTCCCAATATTCTCTCCATTTTTCTTGGCTTTCTTCTTCAGAAAGTCTCCACGTCTTTCGATAATTTCGTGGTACGGCGGTCGGTGTACCGTCTGATAGTAATCTCATATAATAACTTTGGTACTGGTAGGTGTGAGTCTCGTCGGGCTGCTGGTTTTTGGAATTAAAACTAGGTGTTTTCTGTCCGGATGAAATTCGTTCGTTATTTGAGTAATTGTCTGTAATAGATCCGGTATCGTAGGGAACTTGAAATGTCTGTTTAGAATGCGCACAATGTCTATCCGGTACTGTATCGGTAATCATATGTAAGTCCTGTCGATAACTAAAAGTCTGTTTGGAATGCGTGGTTAGTCTGTTCGAATCCAGTTCAGTAAACATAGGTAATGAGTCCATTGTTTTACGGAATGTCAATTTAAAATGCGCGATGGTTCTGTCCGAATTGGTTCTGATGTCAAGGGGTCTCAGTAAATGGCGCCTCCAACAAGGTCCGGTATTGGCGACCAGGAAGTAATTGTCTAAAAGTTGTCAGATCAGAGTAAGACCCGTGGGGAACGAAAAAATCCTTACCTCACGTCTACAATTTGTCATCGTAGTAGTGCAAATCATACTCATCCCCCCAAAAGGAACGGTGGCGTCCTTCGTCGTCATAGTAGAGTACCGAGTCGATGTACCCTTTTTTGAAGAGAGTGCGAACTTCCTCTGCCAGAAAGGACTCTCCGCCTCTGGCGCGTCATACACAATTGGCTAGTTCACCCCTCCCTTCATGCTCGAACATAATAGCTGCATGGTAAAGGAATTCGTCCTCCTTGACAGTGAGTAGTGGATTTCGTGGGGTAAGTACCCGGCGAGGGACGCCGTTGATAGTTTCGTCGTGGATACAGACCCTGTCAAACCCTTGCAAATATGATGAGTAGCGATTATCAATATACCGGAAGGCTTCATTATGATAGTAAAAGAAATGGTGGGTGTCATCTTGCCTATCCAGGATGTCCACTGCGCCTCACCAGTTTTCGTTCAAGAACTGCTTGGCGATTAGTCCAAGGAAACGATGAATGCATATGCGCGCAATGCGGATGTCGTTAATGGCCGGAAGCCATGGATTGTTCAAAATCTCCAGGGTGCTGGTGCGAGTTACATCGAGGAAGGTGTATCCGGGATCGCCGTCCATCAGCTTCAGGGTCTCGAGGTGTAAGGGGCGTTGTTTGGCTTCTTTGATATGGGGTTGCCAGGGGAGGAGGTCCTTCTTCTTGAAAAACCTAAGGATACTTGGCGGGGGCGGCAATCTGTTCTCGTCTTCAATAACGTCCTCTTTTCCCCATGGCTCCTCTCTCCCCGCGCATTTGTATATATGATTCTCGAATTTCCCTGTCCTCTTGGCTTCGTTCCGCTTGAGCATCGCTGTATAGATGCAGGATCGATTGTGTTTGATATGTTGCTGTGTACAGTTCGCATAACCATGCCGCCAGTCCTCCACCTTTACTTCCAAGTCTCGCATCAACTCGTAAATTTTTATTCCCACTTTCGCGATTTTATATTCTTCCGATCCCACGATGGGTCCGTATTTTTCGTGTGTAGTGGGGAGGAGTCCATTGAATTCGGCGAGTAAGGGTGAATTGTCTTTCCTCCCTTGGTAGTGGTGCGCGATGTTGTGACAGAAAGGATGGTCCTCTCGATTATAAGGGGACGGATACAAGGGACCGTTTTCTAAAGGGAGGAATTCGCTTGGCTGATGCCAATAGTCATCGTGACGTTGGAGGATGTAAGTGAGAGCGGAGTTATTGCCATAACTATCCGTTTCGGTGGTTTGACAGGCGTAGTACCTTGGCGAGTACAACTTGTCGGTAAGTTGGCTGAGAGTTTGCTCGCGGACACGAACAGACTCCACGCTATAGTAGGTTGCCTGAAGGTTTGCACGTTTCAGTTCGTCAAGGCTCATGGGCGTGTAAGCCTCGGAACTATCAGTGCTGTAGCCCTGTACGCTGTGAATGGAATTGTCCCTGGACGTCTCCTCTATTGCGCTCATGTCTGAGGGAGAAGAAGTGTAGAGTGCTTCGGGGCAAAATCGCGAGTAGCGGAAGGTTTGGGATAAAGGAGGGGTCTCGTCTGAATATAAGCTTTCATCGGAAGCCAGTCGCATGTCGAGTCGTAAGCGAGGGGGAATCTCCGATGCGATTGCTTTATTCGTCTGATCATTATTAAAATACCACCCTTCCTCCTCTGGCTGTTCGTGAATCTCGGCAAGCTGACCATTGTTTCCCTTGATGTCTTCCAGGAATGAGCATAGTTCTGGAAGCATAGGAGGCTGTATTTGCGTGAAATATGATTGGATGGTGGGTGAAAATGGTCTGGAGTAGTCAGGTAGAATACAATGGTCGAGGGGATGTGCGCAGGGAGGAATGCATGGCATCGGAGTGGGCGGCTGATAGAAGGTCGACCGCGAACTGCTTTCTTGGCTGCTTGCCGATTCTGTTTTCTGTTTAGCGACCGTGGTGTTGGTTTGAATAATGCTCCACATACCTTTAGGGTTTTCCATCAACGGGGACTGAAGTCCTAGCTCTGTCATTTCTAACTCTCTTTCCTGCGGCATGGGGTACGTTATAAGCTTCTGCGGGGGTCGGAATATAACGCCTTCTTCATCCGAGCTCTCAAAGTCGATCAACGGCGGTGGTGAGTCGGACGTTATCGAGCTGTCAAAACTCTCGCAGTCTCCGCTGTCTTCCAAGATGAATAGCGACGCCGGGAATTGAGGCATGTCGTACATCGAGAATTGGCTGAGATCCGCAGGAGTGACTTTGCAGGGGAAAATGATGTCATGGATGGTTCGCAGGAATACGGGGTGATGAAGTAACAAGGCGCAACCCTTTTTGTTTGCCATGCGATACAGCGTGCGGGCAGTATAATCGTATCTCATAGTCATGGGATGCGTGAGGTCTCGAATTATCTGGCTAAGCTTTCCTTCGTCGAGACGCATAGAGAGGTCAAAGTTGGTTGGAATCATGAAGGCTATTTGAGCTTCGTCGCATTTCATGTCGACCAGTTTTTCTGTCATGGTAACAAAAATGGGAGGAAGAAGGAGGTATAGTGGCCCTCCTTGGAGCTGATCCTGACAGTCCGAAGCTGGGATAGGCGGATTAGTCCTGTCGGTAAGCCTGCATACAAAGGTACGCGCTGTCCGACCTTGAGAGTCCTCTCTTTCTTCTACTTCTACATCCTGGATTACACTTCGGGCCAAGGTGGGTAATACGTTAGCGACCGTGGCCGCGGTAGGGCTCGGGGGTCGGTAGGAGGTACTCCCTTTGTGGCACCAGGCTTGTTTGAGCTCGTCTTCATTCTCGCTAGATCCTGACGAACTGATTGGGGTGGACTCGTCGCTGTCAGGTTCACGACGATGTACTTCAGGATGCATGGCTATTTCGTTTCCTAGGCAAGCTATGGGGGCTTTAATTTTTGTTCGTGATCCAACATGTAGTGCACACGTACGTTCATGTTCACCAGGGTAGAACAGTATCACCGCATGTCCCACTCGTGAAGAAATGGGTATGCCATCAGGCCCTTGCAACTCTGCTAGCGTCGCATTGAAGGCAAAGGTTCGCTGGAGGTGATAGTCCGGGAACAAATCGGTCTCGAGTCGTACCGCGTGATTGGCAGTGAGGAGGATCGCATGAAAGGATTCGGGGCCAGTGACGTTGGGGTGGAATAGTGCGTTTTGAAGTTGCACCAAATGGGTTTGGCAAGTGAGGTCGGTTATAGGAAAGTATGCGGCGGATTTAGATAAGGGAAAAGGTCGGGGAATATTGTTGGGCGGAACGACTGGCGACGGTTCTTGACTTTCGGAGTTCGTTACGTCGCATAGACGGAGACGGATTTCCTGGTCCGTAGTGCGCTGAAAGGACGGGTATGACATAGTTGTTTGCATATGTGGTTTTCGAAGGGTGTAGTGATCGTAGTTGGTGAGTCCCTCTTCGTCGTTTTCCAAGGCCTTATATACGCGTCGTCCTGTCCTCTTTTGTCGCAACAACTTTCTGGTTGTTTCTCGAAGTCCGTGGTAGATTTCTGCTGGTGAGCATAGCCTTACTTTGACGTCATCTGAGTCAGGCATTGTTTGCCAAATGCTCCACAGTGGCAGGACTTGTTTTGAATACCCTATGCGCTCTCCTCGTACTCTATTGAACAACAGGATGCATCGATTATTGGTTGGGTAACATTGAGGCACGGTAAGTGGCATGTTTTCCTCTTGATCAGTGCGCCTCATGTGTCCCATTAGTGTTTTCAATGCAAGAATCTTATGTTCTATTCGTCGCATTTGGTATCGCATTGTCGAGTTCAGCCTCTTGTTTATCTTCTCTGTCAAGGTGATTTGTTGCGGGTCCGCATTATCTGTCTCTGGGTCTTTGTTTCCTTTTTCAAGGGTACCTTTTCGCTTTCCCTGCTCTTCCTTGGGTCTGGTGTTTTGTTGTTCACCTGTATGACGCGTCTTTGTTTCTGATTCGGCTTCCTTGGATAAGTCTCGGTCCTCAAGCCTGGCTAGACACATCATGAACGTGACTGGAGGTCCTATTTCAACAATTTCTTCTCCTTCGTTAATTTTCCATGCTCCCTGAAATGTTACTTCTTGGATTCCGGCAAAATACGTGTTTGCTGATTCCTTTGTTCCGGATTCCCACTGTTCGTCTACTGCCAAAAGCTCGGTATAGTCTTTTGGTCGTTTAGGATTTCCATAGACCAAGTAAGTTCCTTCTACTCTTTCATCCATTGACACTAAATTTCCTCGTATCCAAGGTCGGCCTAAAAGCAGTTGGAAATTTACATGGCAGCTCCCCACAAAGAACGCTGCGTTGGTTACTATATTGGCTTGTTTAAGATTTACATTATTAAACTGTCCGTATAGCATGCCTTGATTTCCGTTGGCATCTGAACATCGAATTTCCTCCAAGGGAGTCAGCGGATATTGCTTGTTTAACTCGTGAGCCACACTTTGACTAACAATATTAATTCCTGATCCTGAATCCACGATAGCGTCCACCAATAGTTTCTTGTCGCCAACCCCCAGATCTACCTTTATCATTATAAGATTTGACCTGATTATTGGCTCGGATCGGATGGGTTGCATGCGTACCAAATTCACCCGAGCAGGCTCGTCTTCTGTTTCCAAGTAAGTGCTATTAGCTAACCCTTGATTTTCCACCATTTTAAGCGTCCGGTATTGTAGTTCTTTAATAATCTGCTTTCGCAATTCGGGATTACATGCCATAAGTTCTCCCATGGGAACAGTCACGGGCGCGTTCAATGCTGATTTCATTAGGCTGTCTGGCTCGTACCTTTTTGTTATCAAAGGTTGTCGTGCTATCCTCCGCCGAGTGGCTAATTCATCGTTTTGTGACGTACTAGGATTCTGTCCTACCACGGCGGGTGACGTCTCGTATGACATGTCCACGTCTTCAGCCTCGGGCAGGTTATGTATACGTGGGGAACGCACATCTATTGGCACTATGTTATCTGTGACAGGTAAGCTTTCGTGCCATACGTTCCTCTCGTGTATCCCTGGATCGTCGCTTATTATGTTTTTGTTTGGATTCATCCGGGTTCCGTAGGGGTTCGTAGTAGCGGCTTTAGTTGGCCCTGTGGGCATTCCTCGTACCCGCTGATGCAGGTTCTCTGGGGGCCTCTTCGGTACGGCCTGTCTATTCTTGACACGACCTATAGCCTCGTTTTCTCGGGCTGCAGCATAGGATTGGACATATTCCTCTTCGTTTTCGTCATCGATGTATGCTATGTCCATATCTTCCTCAAAATAGTCCATGTATGCTTCATTTAGGTCTTCTCCGATTTCATTATCCAGGAACACTTTCATCATATTAACGGATAGTAAGTTTGATTGTGTCGTGGTTCGGCGTATGGCTTCCATGAATGTCTCGTTCCCGAAGCGTCTGATAAGGCTGCCGTCTCGATAAGTGAGTCTCCCTAACTCGTCTCGTAGTACCTGTCCTAACCCGATTAATTCTTCAACCTTGGGACACTGTCTTAACATATGATCGGATTTCCTGCACCCGAAACAATACATTGCCCTTCCCATTTCGCGTATTGGGTTCCCTGGGGCAGTTCCTGGCCGATTAGGAATGTATTGGACTACATTTTGCTTTATTGGCGGCGCTATGATCTCCGCGACGGTCGCGTCTTTCTTGATTGCCCTGTAATAGATTCGTGCATATTCCGAGTCACTTACTTTCATCCTGGCTAAACAGTCGACTAGTTCTTCTACTTCATTATCTGTCTTCTCATCTTTTCGGATGTCCAGTACTTCAGTTTTAACAACCCGGTTCCTTTCCCGCTTCTTATCTTTCTTCCCTCGTGATCTCTTTTCATCTTCTGTTTCGTCGTCACTGTGGGAGCTTGCAGTAGAGTCCTCACTCTCACTCTCGGAGAGTTTCTTCTTCTTCTTGACTTTCTTCCTCTGCTCTTTTTCCTTCTGCTTGCGCCGTTTTCACCTGTCTTTGGCTTTCCTCTCATAGTCGGAATTCGCACTGGATGTTGTTGACCCGTCCGAGTCCGAACCCGGTTCTGAGCTCGAAGAACTTGAAGAGCTCGACGGGCTTTCCTTGGACCTGTCTTTTCGTCGCTTCGATTTTATGGCTTTTAAGTCAGCGTCAAATCTTTCTCTGGTGAACATGTTATAGATGATTTTGGCTACGTCACTCCGGGCGATTACTTGTCGTGGGTCATACTGGGGATGCATGGCAAGATGATGAGATTCAACCGCCTCTCGTAGCTTGTTGTTCAACCCATACCAAAACTTGGTATGTTGCTCGTTTTTCGTAATCTTCTTTTTCCTTAGTAACCAATTGGACACGGTTAGGAATTCGACCTCGTATTGTTTGAACTTCTTTAAGTTGTGTATTCCTTCTTGCCGCCACTTGTCAGCTAATCGGTCAAGGTCGCTGACTAAGTATCAGGATTCGCTTAAGTCGGCGTCGTAATAGGTCAGTATGTCGTCTTCTAATTGGTCCCAATTTCCGTCTACGAAACTGTCTAAGGACTCGATGAATCGTGTAATGGCGGAAGAGCAATAGTCTATGATTCTTTTGCATCTTTCCTTGCCGGATACGTTATAGACAGCACACATTTGCTTGTATTGTCTAATAAATCTCTTCACTGAGTCATGTTTTCCTTTAAACTTAGCAGGAGCAGTGCGGGCTCCTAGTAAGGGCATCATGTCGGGTGTACGAGCTTGACTATTGGGTGTTCCTACCGTAACTGTGTGCACAGTGGGAGCAGGGTTGGTAACGCCAATGGGCAAGGCGTTGGAACCGGATGCAGGGCCAGCAGCACTGCTGCTTGGTATATTCCCGAATAACCCTGCGCTTTGTTGGCTAGTATGCCTTTGGGGTCCGCCATACATATTGGTAGTGCTTCTTGCGCTAGATATTGGCACGTATGTCTGGAAGGTTTCTTCTTCGTCTGAGTCTGAGTTAATAACTGTCTGTCTTGCTTTATCTCTGGTTCGCCAGTTTGAATCTATGGGTGCTTCCTCTCGTACGGCTTCTGAAGCTTCGTGTATGCCAGAATGCATGCTCTCGTGTCGTTCGTTGATTGGAGTGTTCGTCATGGTAGATATAAGTGTCTATGATGTTAATGTCTGTTTGTAGTCCGAAAAGTTTATAAGTCTGTGGATACGTATGTGTTTGTTGATAGTACGTATATGTAAAAAAATTGTAAATAAGAATCTGTTATGAATCGGTGAGTCTTTTAAGTCCTTGGGTATGAATATAGTTTGTAAAATAAAAATAAAAATAAAAGTCTGTTTCGAGGTTTTGTTATGACTTTGTGTCGTAAAGAATTGATGGTTGTAACTAGTGAGAATAGTGTAAACCCCCTCGCGGTGGGCTCCAAATATGTCAGGGATACTTGGGTTTAGTACTGGTCCTGGTTAAGTAGTTCGGGGTTCAAGCACGAATGCTATGGGATTCCACTAGTTGAGTTCGGTAAGTGTAAGTCGAGTTACTTTGTGTAACCGTAGGTTGGTTGTTTGTTGAGCAGTCGGGGACTTGAAGAGTGTTGAGGGTGTGTCACGAACGTACCTAGATAACTGTAGTTAATAAAATAGGCGCGTCACGAGCGAGCCTAAGTATGAGTGTTTATGAGTACTGGCGCGTCACGAGCGAGCCTAGAACTGTTTGATTGATGGCGCGTCACGAGCGTGCCGAGAAATGTGATTTGTTAGAGTCAATGGCGCGTCACGAGCGAGCCTGGAAATGTGGTTTGTAGTTTGAGAGGGCGCATCACAAGCGAGCCTAGAATAGTTGTGTGTGTAATTCTTGATATTTCTCTCAATAGGGCTTGACGTAGTCAGCTTTGAAAAGTATGTGTGTAGTGTGATGGGTAAAGTGTCCATGATCTCATTCTTCTTTTCTACTCTATTTATACTTACTATCTTATTATTACCATATCGGATAAGGCTGTGCGACACTGTGCCTAACCAGTGCGCACGACTTTCTTTCTTTCTCTCGATTCTTCTCCCTTCTTCTATCACCTTCTTAGTCTCATTTCCATCCATATTTTGTCTATTACTACATGTCATCCTGACACCTCTGCTTTCGCTCTCTGCATTACTCACATCTTTACCTTGGAATCTGTATTGGACCACGATGGGAGGTCGAAATTCGTCTCCCTGTCACGACGACGTCAACTGTTTCTAGCGCCCCGGGGAAGTTATCTGGTACGAGTTTGGGGGCAGGGCTAATGTCATAGTTAGCTGTGATGGATTGTGGTGCAGGAGGTCACAGTTATTCCTGCGAGTCGGATAGAACTGGGTGTTAAGTGGCTGCTGAATATCCCCAAGGCGAGTGACTTCAGCGAAGAATTTGATAGGAAGCTTACCTCCAGTTTCAGGTGACGGTAGTAGAACACCATCCAAGAACGTTGGTTTTCTGCCAAATTCTGCTCAATGCCGTGTTCCAAGGAAAGTTCCTGCAGAGACAGGTGGGCTATAGACCTTTGAATGCCGGATCTATCCTCACAGTCACAGAACAAGCCTCGCGTACATCAAAGGGATCCGTGTTGGTAATGAGGAAAAAGGGATGAGCTTGCAGAGCGACGAGTCCAACGAAGAGAGACAAATTTAGTGTAACGACCTGTGAGTCTTCTATTGGATAGCATGTGTTGCATGTTCTTGACCTGCTTCTTAGTGTTAGCGGCTGAAGGTGAAGATGTTGCTCCGGCTCACGAACGCGTCATCTCACCTTGAAGTTGAAATCGGCTGTTCCAAAAGGACGGGAAGAACCTTCGAAGGTGAATGTCGACACAGCCCCGTTGATGTCCGGCTTTTCCATAAGGCTGAAAAAAAAAACCTACCAAAACTGGTTACCACTGGACGCTATGAGGACGACAATGTCGTTGCGCTAGTTTTCTGGATGCGGATTTGTCCTGAGTACCGTGACCACTCCGCGCAAGGGTCGGATGACAGATGTAACATGTCCAGCGAAGAGGAGGTCACGTCTTTTCGTCGATTCCAGCTCATAGAAGAAGAGAAAATGCATTTTTGAAAGGAGTTGGTGCATGCCTTTCCGCCTTTCCGTATCAATCTGACCATGTTGCAGTCAAATACTACAGGTCTATCATTTTCGCACGTATACCTACAGGTGGACGCTGCAATGTAGACGCCACATCATCGAGCCCAATCTCGCCACATAATACATTGCCAAATAATCGTATTTCACGCTGTTGGACGTCCTTTTGTCTCCAAAACATGGCGATTCGTTGCCTCTGGACGGGTCAGGCAGCTTTTCCAAAAAACGACCACTGCAGCATACGGTAACTCCTCTGCCCCGCGCCGACGGCGATTCTGCTCACTTCCGCCAATGGTGAATCCTTCACTGTGTTCGCCTACGATTACTCCCCCTCCGACACTGACACCGACACTGACACCGACACCGCTTCCTACATCTGCTCGAATATCCTACGGCGCGCCTCCACTATTGGCCATAGCATCTCTGACATTGTCTGGCTGTAACGCCGACCTTGCCCACTCTTCTGAGCGATATGTCATCTGGCATACTTTACGAAGAGGTAGTCCGAGATCATTTGCAGTCGTCTCGGCTGGCAATACAAAATCCCTTACCGTAGTGGAGAGCGCGGAGGCGTCGGTTCAAGGAGTCTGATGGCTCAGAGAGAAAAACCTACTAGCTCGTTTAAAATGCGGAACTGCCCCGAAAGGAAGGTTCGTCCCTCCTTTTTCGCTTTTTTTCACATTCGCTAACTAGGCGCATCCAGATACGCTCTCAACTACAAAGTCATTCTTTACCACACTAAAGGAGTCGTGCTTTCGGAGATCGAGTCCCTCTACTACGGCCTCGGTGTCAAACCCTCCTGTACCTGCGCCGATGGCGTAACACCTCGCTACGTCCTTCCTCTCATTCGCGATGCCTCCACAAGTTCTGTCGCATCTGGTCCAGTGCTCATCGTCCGGTGCTTTGATAGGACGTATGTTGTCGAGGGTCGCTCCTTCAGGAATTAGCGCCCATCCGTCAGCATGTTACACTCCAAGTTACCGAGTACGTTGTGGCAGTCTACCGCAACTCAGTTTCTGATCTGGAGAGCGAGGGCACGTTGGTGCGGCGATTCCACAAAGTAGCGACACGCAGAACAGATGGGTGAAGTCGCGTGGCAGCTATGGACTTGCTTTGTCTATGGTTCGGATATGAGAGGAAGGGTGATTTGACTTTGTTTGGTGTCGTTCGTGCGTTGGTACGAGACGAAATTACCTGTTTGTTGAAAGTATGGATTATTCGGTGTTCCCTAGTGCAGCGATGGAAGGAAGACAATGTATTATTTCTAGAGCAAGAATATATTTTGCTTTCGAAGCACAAGTGTACATACTACTACCGGAAACTATACAACAGTGCGACAAACACCGAAAGAGAATCCTTCAGCATAGTATTGCTTGAGGCACCGAGAGATTAAAGCATCAAAGCGAAGACACTGGCCTCGGAAATTACCACACAATCTAAGAGTTTGTAAACGGGTAACTCGGCAAGAATTCCCACCACTTCTACGAGACTGGACCATACGGACAAGGTCTGTAACTTTGAAACTTCCAACAGGTATATACAGAGTGCGTAAGCGAGGCAGAACCAACTCCGAAGTACGAACCACAGTGAGCTTTGCCATGACCGCCTTGGTGACGACAGTGTCGCCCAGGCGTGTTAGGCGCAAGTCTTCAAGAGTGGGTGTTGAACAGAAGAGTTGTAGTAAATCTTCAGTGAGGACTTGGCCATGATCGAAGTGCAGTACGGTAATTGGGGATTGCGAACGTTGGAGAAGACAGCATATTGAGGAGAAAACCTCCTGTCCTTCATAATTGTCCTTTTGGGAGCATGCAACCTTCAGAATGGACAGTCTTGGCAAGACAAGTCTATCAGCGACTTGTTGAAAGGCGGATGAAGTACGATCAATGCTCCAAGAGGAGAGATTCAACACACGCAGCTGCGGACAGATGAGAGGATAAACATCGCCCCCCAAATCCAGCGTATCTGATACACCACTCAATCTTAGAGTGCATTCCTCCACCTGTTGAAACTTTCTAAGAGCATTCAAATGATGATGCACCTTAGGACCGGAAAGAGGGAAAGGGGAATGACGTTCTATGCACCTAGCATGGTCGCTGCGATACTTCTTTACTTGGTTGCAAGGAAGCTCGAGGCTGCCTTCCCAATCTATAACCTCGAGAAATTGTAATTTCGGAGTGGATGAGAACAGACGCGAGCGGTCGATTGTTCCCAGGATCCCTCCATCCTGACGAAGGACGACCAAATATTCCAAAGATGGTAAGGATAACCGCATGTCGCTTATTTGCGAGAATATGTGTGCGGTAACGTAGAGATGGAGCTCTCGAATGCAACTGGAAAACGAAAACAGGATACCCACCAACTGAGGAGGGAGATCCATTGGGGAAAATTCCTCCACTATATGGCATATCAAAATTGACAAGGGATATCTTGCTGAGCGGTCCAACTGTAGACCAAGTTGTCGAACATAAGAATGGCCGTTGAAATTTGAATCCGAGATTATGATATTGACGTAAGACCAGAGTCTCGGGGATGAAAGAGACGTGCTCCTCCACTTTTTAGAAACTTCCGTAATTGACCACAAGGGGCTTTCTGTGGGTGTAAATTCCCAATTGTACAGCTCGGCCCGGGTGTCCTCCTCATCCTTCTGCATGATCTGCGTCATCGGCACTGGGAAATCGATGGTATTAAGAAAGATATGATTGAGTATCTCTGAAGGGAGGCGCCGGACAGGACTAAGTATATTCTGCCTTTCGCGGACTGCCTCTGTGACTCGTGCGCGCTCCTGGCACAGCGCATCCATCCTTTGGGAAACAGCGATAATCTGGGCCTTCAGGGAGAGGGAAAAGGCTTCGAGATTGGACTTCTCCGTGTCAATGTTTTGAATCTGTTGATCGTATGCCGCTATCATGCCAGACAGTACGAACTCTTCATACTGTGAAGGCGGGTTGTTCGAACGCGTGAGGTGTGTCCACTGGGGATCATCTGAGAGAGATGGTTCGACGGGGAAGGTGCAAGATGGCAAGTGATGGTTTGGGCATGGGCATCCAGAGCACGGCGTCCATATCGAAGTGGTATGCATGATTATTTGGGACTGTGCGACGAGATGAATGTCATGATAAGTCCATCGTCCATCATACAAGTTAGAAACGGGACATACCAAGGTTGAAAGGGAAGACAGCTTCTGGAAAGGAGTAGAAAGTACAGGCAGGGCGGCCTAATGCACGTTCAATGCTCAGCACCAACAACGAGGTATCAACGAGGTCCTGCCAGTAAGAGAAAGAGTTCTCTGTGTCACGTTGCATTCGAGATAATCAGAAGCTTCGGGGCTCGGACCGGCTTGAAGGGTACGCGGTGACGAAACGACATGGGACGTAGGACCACTTGGAAACACCATGCCGTCGTGGAGTCCGTCAGGCGGCAGAAAGATGATGTACCGATGTTGCCAAGCACCCTATGTTGGTTACGTATGGACGGGATGATGTCTAGCCTAGTTGGACAAGTTGCTACTGGTCTCTTCATTGTCCAAGAGTGACGGTGATATCACCTTGAATAAATTACGGTTGGCTTAATATCGACGCGAGAAATCATGGTGAGGATAGTCGTCCCATGGTCGGTACCAATTCAATGGTTCTAGGCGACTGTGCTACCCTATTTTCCAGAGTAATAGACACATTTTAAGTGGGAAAACCGAGCATAAGGGTAGACTACGCACTGCATAAGGACTGTTCCCTCAAATTCTAATGCTCAGAATTTCATTACAACCTCGCAACGCCCCTGCGATTCGCTCTTGGTCGATTCGGTACTGCTGACCGCTGATGCTGTCCTAGAAACGGCGTACCTGCTGGTGGCGTGAGATAAAGAGGCGATGACATGATGGTAAGAAGGAAGGATAGCTTGTCCGTATTTGTTCATCACCTCCTGACTCGATCAACATCGACCAAGCTCGACTCGAATACTGTAAGTGTCCATCTCTCCAGATCGACAGATTTCATTGACTTCTCTATAGGCTTGATCACACTCTTGCCTCCAAGATTGCACGATTTTGACTTTCTTCTCTCACCATGGATGCAGCTACTGAGGTAGGTTTTCATGCAACTCTGCCGCCGCCACCTGCAATGTCGTTTGAATAGATTTGTGCTGCCTGCACACTGACTGCGAACCTTGCGAATCACAATCACATTTTGTCGGCCAACGACCTTTCCGTCCCTGATAATTTGAATCCCTATATCAATGGCAATCTCTACCCCACATCCACCATTTGTATTGAAATCAAGCAGTCCCTTGAACGGTTAACCAAACGCTTTGAAGAAGTGCTTGCGCACCAGCAGAACATTATCTCGCAGGTAGCCTTAATGCTGAAGAAACACAAAGAAGCATACGCAAAAACACAACTCCGCGCAGAAGAAATCATGGACCGGCACAAATACGCACTCTCTTCCCCCATTCGTTCTTTGCCAGATGATCTCCTGGCAGTCATATTCCAGTTCACCTCTCCCAACGCTGCGATAATGGATCAGTTCCCTTGGATTGCGACGAGAGTGTGCAGACAGTGGAGGGCTGTTGCCCACTCCAACCGGGTTCTATGGTCAGAGCTTAACCTGGATTCTTCATCCATCACCGATGACGATCGGGGTCGGAGCTCGTCTACCCAGTCAGAGCGGGGGACTCATTCGTCGATGATCCGGGAGCCTCACTCTTGGTCTGCTTCACCAGAAGGTGAATTGGAGAGAAAACACCATGAGGTTGTCCGACCCGCCGTATCTAAGAGAGCTCTCAGTCAGGCCCTCGAACTCTCGGGGAGTGTACCTCTGACTTTCTCTGTGGATTTCCCAATTGGTATAGACGATGAAGAGATCGATATCGCCTTAGATTATTTGGATATGTTCATCGCTCAGGCAGTACGATGGCGAAATGTCAGACTCCACCATACCCTTTTCCCTTTACCACCACCAGCTCGGTTACCACTACCTCCCACACCACCTTCCTCTACGTTTCACCAACACCAACCACACCTCTTGCCAACTCCAGGAGATGGCTGTCTGCGTCTTATCCAGGCCCTTGGGTTACGCATACCTCTTACTTCCATGTCGCTCTCTCTTCTGCATTCAATCCCAACAAGATTGCAACGCACCAAACCGCGTCGTCAATGCTCTCTGTCTCAATCGCTCAGCCTTCGCATGGGCTTAAAGGCCCTGCCGCTGCCGTTGCAGACGGTGCTCTGTTGTTACGTCCGCAGATGGAGTCCCTTGCGAGGAATTTCATCTGTGCAGTGGTTACGTCCGCAGATGGAGTCCTTTGCGAAGGATTTCATCTGTGCAGTGGATACGTCCACAGGAGGTGTCCTTTGCGAAGGATATCGCCTGTGCAGTGGTACTCGGTTGTTACGTCCACAGGTGGTGTCCTTTGCGAAGGATGTCACCTGTGCAGTGGTACTCGGTGGTTACGTCCGCTGGTGGTGTCCTTCGCGAAGGATGTCACCAGTCTGGTGGTACTCGGTGTTTCGTTCGCAGGCAGTCTCTTTCTCGAAGGAGCTTGCCTGTTTCGCTGTTCTTGGTTTCCGTTTCATCATTTTCATGGGCTAAGGCTTGAGCGAAACAACGGGCCTCGTTTGTTGTGCGCACACGATGCTTGTGTTTCGTTCCTGCAGTCTGTGGTTCTTTGTTTCTTGGTGGATGATTCGTATGCTCTCATTGCTGCTGACCTTCCATACACTTCATGGTCCGTGTACCATGTCTCACTCTCCCGTTACGCGTTTCACATTTGTTCACATGTTTTTTCACTGTCATTGTTGACGCACATGTCTCATGAGCCATTTCATAACGCTCCTCCTTTTGGACGGCACTGATTCTTATTAAGGAGTCATACACTGCACCGGATTTTCGAGGTGTACACCAATGCTAACTGGTTCTCCATGTTCGATTGTGCTCATCCCCATCACTTTTCATTCAATTGTGTACCCTGCGAAGAGTCTCTACTCCGTGAGACGCACTCAACAGTGTGATTACAACGGTATGAGCCTTTGCAGCCACAGCGCATGGTTCGCCATGTCAGGGCTGTGGACCCGGCCGTTCCTTATTGGGACCTGGCGCCGGTAACACCACCACCACCACCACCTACCGGGCATCCTTTCCAAAAAATTTCCTCTTATCAAAAACAGCTTTCCGACGCTTGAAAGTCTTGAACTCTTCGTGAGGAGTGACGGCATGAATCCAATCCCGGCCGATACCTTCGCCAACGCTCAGAGCTTGCATAACGTTGCCTTTGACGCCCCTTCTGATACGAAGCTCATCCTTCCGTGGAAGCAGCTGAAGGAATTATCAATTTGCACATTTCGCTTATCACCGAACTACTACTTTCAAATCTTACGTGATGGGTCTCGTCTTGAGACACTGCGTCTTCGATTGCGGCCAAATTTGAGCCAGTGGACTGCCGCCAAGACTAGACTCTGCACCCATCCTGTGACCACACTACCTTGTCTTCGAGTGCTCGAAATTGATTCAGAATTGAGCTCGCTGCTTAATTCTATATGTCTTCCAAAGCTCTCATCCTTGATTGTTTGCGGGGACGTAGAGAGTATAGAACTCGACTTGTCCTCCTTCGTCGAAAGGTCATGCAACAGTGTGGACAATCTCTCATTTTCTTTTACCCGTATTGTGGGTGGTTTCACCCAGCTTCTCCGCATGTTTCCTTCTCTGACATCGCTAACCTTACGTTCCCCGACTTTCCTGGACAAAGCCTTCTTCTACGCAATGGCACAGAAATCGCTCCTCCCTTCCCTCGAGAATTTCAGTATCCACAATGCCAACATCACCCACGACTACATGGTACCCATCATGGGTATGTTGACCGCTCGACAGAGTTGTCTCAAACAATTTCTCATGACTTTGTCATTGAGAGGAAGTCCTCGGGACTCGGAGCCGTGTAGTATTGATTGGTGGTTAGAACTCCCTCAGAAATTACGGCTGGAGACATTATCGAACGCGGGGATGAATATTCGGATTGGAACAAGCCGTTCCCGTTTATTTGGGAGTCCTGAGATTTCGTACTTAAATCTAGGAGCAGAGAATCAATGACATCCGATTCGGGAGGCTGCTCGACGGTGTTAATGAACTTTGATCAGAAATATTCATGATGATATGATGTTATAAAGTCGCAATTTTGGATAGCTAATGCTTGGAATGAATGGTGTAAAATAACGAGTAATACAATAGCTGATGCAGTCTCGATTTGGATTCCCTCGATGTTTGACTGTTACAGCTTGCAAGCACGTCTGTCGGGTCTGACCAAGCAACTCATGCGTGTTCGAACTTGGCGGTATTCCCTCACCACACAAGAAAGAAAACTGCCACCTAGTCGGTGGCCGCGGGTAACTTGAGGTTGTCTAATCGTTTGCATACCAGTGTCGGAAAATTTCCTGCTGGAATGGTAGAGATCAAGTAGAGATATAACCCAATCAGCGCTATCCTCAGGCTTGCGCCGCTGAGTGAAAGTTGATTACGCTATATGTACAGGTGGCCGGTGTAGAAGCACTAACTCTCATTACTACCTGCGTCGACAAAAGCTTTGAATTGCACAGAACGGTGATGAAGATTTGGCAGCGTAAATTGAAAGGCTGTGAGACAAGCCACTGCCAAGGTGTGTCCGAAAACATGCATATTTAGGTCGAAAAAAAGCGAGATTCGGTGGGCATTGGAATTTCTGAAAAAAAGGTCAAGCAGCGAAAGGATTAGTATAAATATTCGGGAGATGTCGGTGGCATGTCATTAGTACTACCAGAACCATCTCGTTTGAGCCTTTACGCGTTACGTTGCAACATCAAGAGTCTCAAGCGGCTGGGAGTCTGCAGGTCGAAAACGCGAGTGAACAAATGTCCTGATTGCAACCAAATCGCATCACTCGCTCAATGGGTGGCAAGGCAATCTTCGTGTTGCGATTCAGTGTTGCTTGGTCAGTTCGGACTGAAAGGAAGCTTCCCCGCTGCTTTCCAATCTTAGAGAGGAAGAAGAAGGGTTAGTGGGTGAGTTAGACAGTTGCATGCATGATCGACGACCTTTTCGAGATTGAGATACCACAGCCACCACGTAGCACCACGTGGGCGATCTTTGAGATATCGTGGGAATTATTGCGTTACGTCAAGACCTATTTTCACACCACCACTACGCGTCTACCGACGACACGATCATCCGACAGTTCCGAAAATCTATGAATGAGACAGCCAGTTCAGAATCTATTTCTTTCCTCTCATCTTCCGTATATCGGCTCGTCTCGATACTGGATCTCTACAAACTCAAGAGATTTGATTCATGAAAAGGGCTGGTAGAGAAGCACGATATTTTTCTTCGCATTTCTTTCTGAATTCACGAACTTTGCTGCAGAAAAGTGCAGCCACGCCCCTTCTCAAGCGCAAGGCTAACGGCGAATTTGAAGACTGGGGGGTTTACACGCCAGTAATGAAAGCATCGAGTTTACTTGATTCTGCTCGTCCCACAAAGGAGAAAAGAAAAGTCAAACCCGAGGACACTGGTTCATCTATTGGTGCTGGAAGCGTTGATATCCTACCTCTAGTCCAACATCGCGATTACCACCGCCCGGTTCGGCTCGTCCTACAAAGCGAGCACGAAAAATCAAGCCCGAAGATTATGAAGATACTAGGTCCGGTGGTACTCTGGCAGGGTTTCGCTTTCCTTCCATGACAAGCTGGGCGAGCTCGCAGGTAGCTAATCCAGTTACCACCGCTAGTTCCTCCACAGTTTACAACACGAAACCGGGTAATTCTTCCGCTTCCACAGCTGACCACCGGCAGTGGTTCTTCCATGGCTATTACATACCCCGCACCATTGACGTCCCAGGCCAAGGCACCTCCAAAAGCAGCCGCCACTCCTGATATAAGAATGGCCCTTGGCGCAGCGACACCGCAAAAAGCTCCATCCAAGGCGAAGATTCCTCGCCAGCCAAAACCAAAACCCGAGAAGCGCAGTGCCATCTTCAAAAAGAAGTGCCCTCAAAACATTCTCGATAGGCTGGATAGGGTGATTGAGCAAAGGTAAGCACATCGCCTCTTAGCGTTGACTGGCGCTTATTTGGTGTCAGGCTCTTATGATTGATAGAGAGCGCGACGGCGACGAGTTGAAGGAGACCTTCAGGGTCTTGGGTTCCACAGGCAATGTGAGTGGTTTGTATGGTACTTGTGCGTCACGTCGCTAATGAAGGGTCAGGTTTATACTGTTGTTATCGGCCATACACCTCGTTGTGACTGTATGTAGGTGCTATCGATTTGCCTAATCGAAATTGACGATTTTATCAGGTCCCGATGCTTCGAAGGGCAACTATTGCAAGCATATCGTACGTACTCCCTCCTTCTTTGTCGATATTTGTTCTGAGCATTGGTTTTAGATCTTTGTATTCATCAAAGGTATATATCTATCTTTTCCCATTGACTAACATCGTCTCACTACAACCTGGTCATTTAGCTCCCTCATGAAACGCCTCACTAGTATCAAAAGTGCGTGCTTGTCGTCCATACCATGTTCCGGTGCTAATCCTTCATGCCAGAGCCCTTCTGACGTCTGAACTTCAAGATGTTTTCTCTCATGCGCCCAATGCCGTCGCAGTTACTGGGAAAGCGCCTGCCTCGCGACTCCAACAAGACCAACAGCAATAGGCGCATGCCAAAGGAGGAAGATGACTGTCCCATCTGCTACGACAAGATGCATACAGAGCCAGAAAGCAAGCTTACGTGGTGCAAGGTTTGCGGAAATGCTCTGTATGGAGTCTGTTTTGCTCAATGTGAGCCGTCGACTGTCTGTCCTTTCGTCTTCATGCTCATAGCTCTCTAAGGGTGAACGACTGCCCAGAACTTGGGGAAGAACGTTACTTGTGTGTGGTGTCGTGCGGAATGGGTCCTGCCGAATGTGGGTAAGGGCAAGGGTAAAGCTATCGGAGATGAAGGGTATGTCAATTTAGCGGTGGTAGCAGGAGTTAGTACGCAGAGGGACACATCATCCTGTAAGTTATTGTGGCTGTCTCCTCAGCTTGCTCGGCGACTGATCTGCTTGTTAGATTATCATGGAGCGAGAAGAGGGAACAGACATGGCTATCAGAAGTATGGGATGTGGTGATATTATTGTGATTTATAACGACTAATCTAATTCTTACGTGTATCCTATCATCTTGATTCTTGAGGACAAGAGATGACCGAAATCGCGTCGATATGGAGGAGTAAGTGAACGCGTCAAGATCTCGTGTGGCGCCATTACATAACGAAATCGAACCGCTACCAAACTGCTACCAAAGGGGGTACATAAACAACAGACTACATACAGACCGTCCCTCCCTCCGATCAATAGGTCTATATCGTCGTCTGTCTATGAGAGACTAGTCCCTTGCCATCGTTCGCATGGGTCGCACACGTCAAAAAGCTCGGGCTCTCTGCGCCATCGTTTTTGTCACATATCCCGAGCTGTTCGAACAACCCATCTGGCAAGAACATATGGGATTCCACGGGTTTGATGGTACCAATGTTCACCATATCGAAAATGAAGACCTTCCACACATCAAGAAGTTTTTGCAGTACATCAAGGACCTCTCTACCGAAGACGCCATCGCCGCCGTCAATTCACTGACAGACGATAGCCATTCGCAAGGTCGTAATGCTTATACGGAGTGGTGGATGGCAAGCGGCTTCGCCCAGAGACTAAACGAGTCACTGAAGCGGGGGCTTGCTCGTGCCAACGTCGACATCAAGGCGATGTACCGTTTCGCCGCCAAGAAGACAAAGTTTGTCACGGTCGGCCAATTTGCCCTGAAGGAGGTGGAAATCGCGGAAGCGATGTTTGGAAGTGCTTACGAGGATCGAGAATCTGGTTCTGCGCGACTCGAGTTAAGAACGTTATTACATTTCTTGCTCACAGAGCATCTCAACGCTCGCCACAAAGATCAACAGAAGGCTGTAGCGTTGAAGACTGCTGCCAAGAAGAAAGTTGATGCTGCGTGGAAAGGTCAGCTCTGCATTTTATCTCTTTGCCATAAATGTACTGACTAACCCACTCGTTCGAAAGCATTTGACAATCCTGATAGTAGCATCAATGCCAAGCAAGCAAAGAAAATCCTTCTTGCTCTTGAGAAGTATGAGAGGTCTATCAGTGGGTGGGAGGCCACAGATGCGGAGATACAGGAGTGGGCAGAGCATGAAAGGATGAAGGGATTGTTTGAAAAGGTACTTGTCAAAGCTGAAACAAACGAGAAGGAGTTGAAAAGGCGCAAGAAGAGCACACAATGTACGTGAAATCAACTTTTATTTTATGTATGAATCACGACATCATAACAGTCATTACTGGCCGATTGTCCGGGAGCAACCTAGCTATTACAGCCAGTGAGAAAGACATCGATTCACTTCAAAAGGAGTTTACTAGCCGACTCGAATCTATCGAGGATTCGAGATAGAATGAGGGCGGAGAGCGAAATGACATGGACGTCAGTCCCGGCCTGTCTAGGTTTACTATCTACATTGGATGAAATATCAGAACCAATACCTCAGTAGTGTAGGCATAGACCGTGTTGCATTAATTTGTATCTACAGAATTTATCCCAGATTTCCTGTGATATGTAATCTCGGCGTGTCTCCTTCCATTATATATGCAAATCTTGGGTAGCTGGCTGCGAATGCGCTCCCGGAAGACCTGATATTGGAGTCAAGCCATTCGTTGGTGACCAAACTAGAATCTGGACCGCCCTGGTACGGTAATAGGACGGTGTTTTGAAGACACGAGTGAATGGATTTACCACGTCAAAATCGTCATCTAACTCTCCCGAAATGCCAGGCCAGGTAGCTAAACTGTACCTAGGTAAATGTTCAGGGCTTGAAATCACTGTATCCAGAGACGAACCTACATATTGAAGGTATGAATGCTTGCAATGTAGAACAGATCTGGGAAACGGGACCGTATCCAAGGACCGGCTACATTAGGGAAAACAAATGTCACAAATGACGTCCACCAGAAATCATATCGAACGACGCACCATCATCCTGGTCTGAAATAGCATAGACTCGTAATTTTGTCACGAAGTCTGCTACAGCCACTTGTGACCTCGTATTCTGGACCTGTAGCCGTCGGTTAGGAACAACAAGAAATGCGAGAAAGTTGTATATAACTGACTGTCCACAGCACTTGTGCAAGTACAGACGCACCACCCCAGATGGGAACCCACAAGGGATCATCCGCACTGGCATCATAACCGCCGCGACAAGCGCTACGCTAGCATTCGAATCCTTCCCCTCCCAACACCTTTTAACCTATATACCGGCAGCCCCGAATACACATTTCCCAAAAGCTCTTCCGTCTCCGGCCAGCCCTCAGCATGCTTCGTCAGATTATCCCGAACCTCGCCCCACTCCAGGACTTTTTCTTGGATCTGCCAGGCGAACGTTTCGTCCCGGAGCCAGGTGGAAGTGGTAGCTGCGATTCCCTGGATGGAGAATGATTCGCGTAGAGGAGGAAACGCGTTAGGGACATTTCATCGTCAGGATCAGCAGCGATGTCAGTGAGTACGAAGACGCGTGGTTTAGTTGTGAAGGATTCGAGAGTAAATTGAGTACGTGCGAATGCTCCGCATAGAAAGCATAGCGAAAGGGCGACAGTGAACATGGCGGTCCAGGTGACTCGGAGGGAATTCTTCTCCGATTATTTATATATATAATATGCGAGAGCGAACGGGGCCTTTAGTTGACATGATGTGAGAAGGATGAGGTGATATTCTGTCGACTGGATACTTCCATATCGACGAAGTTATGGCCCAGACGGACCGACTCTCGTGTCCTGGTGGTCAAGCGAACATCCAGGTGACCCTCCAGTCGCCCTTCGAGAATGTGACGGGAATTAAAGCTGGTCGAAGGCATGAAGGAGCTCGTCGCAGACCCCTCCGGAACATTGGATATCGTAGGCTAAGGAAACTGTACCCATATTGGATTGTTCATTGGCACCTCTGAAAACCGGGTAAGCAGCTGAGAGCGGTACAAAACTTTGGGATATACCACCAAATTTTAAGAACAGCATGTCGATGACGTGTCCTCCTTTTCACCAACGGTTCCATCTTGTTTGACTTAACTAAACTGGGTGGTAAAAGCTGCTCTAAAGTAGACGAGTGCGAATGCGAATGCGAAGCTGCGTATGATTGTGGCGGATCGTCACAGTGATAAGGGTCAAATGACAAGAGCATGGGCGCAAGCTAGAAGAAAAGAATTGAAGTATACGTTATAACGAGTTAAAAATCATGATAACGGGAAGGATGTATTACCGAAATGCAAGTTTTGTCCAACATGATATACTGTACAGCATCAGCAACTGAGACCTGGAAAAATTCAGGTGAACAACAGGAAAGAACCAGAATAGTCCCGTTATTGTATCCATCACCCCAAGATCTAGGTTGATGCATGTCCACTCCATTGCAACCCGACTGTTCGTTATAACGAGAGAGAAAAAAAGCATGGATGCTGACTAAGTTGTAATAACACGCTAGAATACGGTCATGTGATAGAACCTGACAAGCATCACGCGTCTAACTCGGGCCGAAGCCTTTCTGTTGCAAATTGCAACTTGCAAAGTGGCAATGGCCTGTCTACCTCTCCCAATTACCATGGGCCAACTCAAATGGCTATGTCTTGTTTATTTGGCATTGAAATGCCCTCCCAAAACAGTAGGCATCAAGTAGGAAGTCGGCGGACTGCCCTGGCACAAGATTTCGAGAAATACGAAACAATGACACAAACCTTCCTTTAGTAGTCGCTGTGTTCATCACGAACCAGAGAAGGACCTTACCCGTAGCGATTTGTAGTCTGCATTGAAATTCTTGGCAGGGCCAGCTTGGGTGTTTTTTTCGTGGTCTTTGCGAAGTCCAGATAATGCGCTTATCGAAGGCATGGCATTGGGTTATTCGGTGGTAACGAGCACGAGATGGCGGAATGACAAAGAAGTGAGTCTAGACCAATCGTTTTCAAAGGGAACAATATATATTCCGGTGCTGAAAACTATGTGGTTATCATGGATCAATATAACATGTACCTAAAGAGAATCCTTCGGCGTAGTACTCCTTAAGTTCGTCCATTGCAGGGTCATAGACAGGACGCGGGCCTGAGAAACAAAATCGAAGAGTTTGTAAGGGTTCAACTCGGCCAGAATTTCCACCACTCCTACGAGAGCGAACCATACGGACAATGTATGATGTGCTAAAATCTCCACTGGGTATATACAGAGTATGCAAGCGGGGAAGAAGCGGGTCATCCGAGGAAACATGGTCGACGGTGAGCTTTTCTACGACCTCGTCGGTGAAGACAGGACCTGCGCCTAGGCGTGTTAGTCGCAAATCCTCAAGAAAGGGTGCAGTATGGAATAGCTGGAGTAAATCTTTGGTGCGAACATGACCGTGGTCGAAGTGTAGTACGGTAATCGGGGATTGCGAACGTTGGAGAAGACGACATATCGAAGAAAAGACATCCTGCGCTTCGCATTTGTCTTTTTGAGAGCATGCGACCTTCAGCGCGGAAAGCGCTGGCAAAAAAAGTCTCTTAGCGACTTGTCCAAAGGCAGAATACTTTGCGGTACGGTCAATGATCCAAGAGGAGAGAACCAACACACGCAGCTGCGGACAGATGAGAGGATAAAAATTGTCCCCAAAATCCCGCCGATGTGATACACGACCCAACCTTAGAGCACATTCTTCCACCTGTTGGAACTTTCTGAGAGTATTCAGATGATGATGCACCCTGTCAAGAGGGTAAGGATGTTGAGATCCTATGCACTTATGGTCGCTGAAATACTTCTTTACTTGGTTCCGAGGAAGCTCAAGGTCGCCTTCCCAATCTATTACATCGAGCGATTGTAATTTTGGAGTGGACGAGAACAAACGCAAGCGGTCGATTGTTCCCAAGATTCCTCCATCCTGACGAAGGAGGACCAAATATTCCAAAGATGGTAAGGATAACCGCATGTCGCTCATTTGCGAAAACATGTGTGCGGTAACGTAGAGATGGAGTTCTCGAATGCAACTGGAAAATGAAAACATGATAGCCACCAACTGCGGAGGGAGGTCTTGTGGCAAAAAATCCTTCGCCATACGGCATATCGAAATTGACAAGGGATATCTTGCCGAGCGGTCCAACTGTAGACCAAGTTGTCGAATATAAGAATGGTCGTCAAAATTTGAGTCGGTGATTACGATATTGACATAAGACCAGAGTCTCGGGGATGAAAGAGACGCGCTCCTCCACTTTTTAGAAACTTCTGTAATTGACCACAAAGAGCTCTCTGTGGGTGTAAATTTCCAATCGGATAGCTTGGAGTCATCCTCTTCCTCCTGGATGATCAGCGTCCTCGGCACCGGGAAATCGATGGTATCGAGAAAGATATGATTGAGTATCTCCGGGGGGAGGCGCCGGACAGGATTAAGAAGATTCTGCCTTTGGCGGACTGCCTCTGTAACTCGTGCGCGCTCCTGGCGCAGCACATCCATCCTTTGGAAAACAGCGATGATCTGGGCCTTCAGGGAGAGGGAGAAGGCTTCGAGATTGGACTTCTCCATGTCAATGTCTTTAATCTGTTGATCGTATGCTGATATCATACCAGACAGTACGAACTCTTCATACTGTGAAGGCGGGTTGTTCGAACGCGTGAGGTGCGTCCACTGGGGATCATCTGAGAGAGATGGTTCGACGGGGAAGGTGCAAGATGGCAAGTGATGGTCTGGGCATGGGCATCCAGAGCACGGCGTCCATATCGAAGTGGTATGCATGATTATTTGGGACTGTGCGACGAGATGAATGTCATGATAAGTCCACCATCCATCATGCTTAGAAATGGCACATACCAAGATTGAGAGAGAAGACGGCTTCTCAAATGGAGTAGAAAGTACAGGCAGGGCGACCTAGTGCACGCTCAATTTTCAACAGGGTATTAACGAGGTCCTGCCAGTCTGAGTAAGAGAAAGAGTTCTCTGGGTCACGCTGCATACGAGATGAGTAATCGGAAGGTCGGAGTTCGGACCGGTTTGAAGCAATTCGCGCATGGTTCGCAGTACTTATGCTCTCACCACAAAAGAAAGAAAACTGCCACATAGCCAGTGGCCGCGGATAACTTGTCTAATCGTACAAATGTTGGAAATTTTCCTGCAGGAATGAGCCGGGAGGGTAGAGATCAAGTAGAGATGTTACCCAATCAGCGCTACCCTCAGGCTTGCGCCGCTGAGTGAAAATGATTACGCTATATGTACAGGCGGCCGGGGTAGAAGCACCAGCCTCCATTCCTATCTGCGTCGATACAAGTTTTGACTTGCACAGAACGGTGACGAAGATTTGCCGGCATAAATTGAAAGGCTGTGAGGTAAGCCCCTGCCAAGGTGTGTCCGAAAATATGCATATTTAGGTCAAAAAAACGCGACATTCGGCGGCCATTTGGAATTTCTGAAAAACAGGTCAAGCAGCGGAAGATGTGGAGCAAATATTCGGGATGTACCATTAAATGGAAAAATAAAATGTCGGTGGCATGTCCTTCTCACTAGTACTACTAGTACTATCTGTTCGAGCCTGTACGTTGCGGCCTCAGGATTCTCAACCGGCTGGAAGTCTGCAAGTCGAAAACGTGAGAGAACAAGTGCCGAGGCTTATTGCAACCAAATCGTACCACTCACTTAATGGGTGGCAAGGCCATCTTCGAATGCCATAAAGCTGATTCAAAAGCCAAGATAAAGCGACCATCATATGTACGACATGGTCTTAGGCGTCTTTGAATCAGAAAGGCGTATGTGCCTCATGAATAGGAATTTAGAAAGCACGCACATATTAAACAACATGACAGATACATATGATTCTATTATTAGTGAACGGGCGGAAAAGGCGTTTCATAGGGAGGGTGAGGGGTGAAATCATGGGCCGATTATGCATCAAGTATGAACTCGGTTATGGCACTATGATTGACACCGAAAGAATCGAATCGTTTTCATGGCGGACGGGGCTTTCGAAAAAGCGCTGCATGTTCTTGGCGCGATGGTCGAAAGCATAATCGACCCATAAACCATCAACTCCGATCCTCCTTAATGCAACTTAAAAAGTGAGCAGAGTGAATAGCCAAACTGCGCACCAAAATTCCATGTATTCCTCTCTCTCGCTTATCCTTGCCTCCCTTGCCTCCCTGGCAGCGGGTGTCCAGCTAGTCATCGAACCTTCTTGCGGGGCCCTCTTCGGTACTGTCGCTGACATCAACGCCGGCCTTGGATCATTGAGTTCATACAGCACTATCGTCGCGTTTGGGGTAAGATTTCGCGTATCCAGGGTGAAAGAGCAATACTCACTAGATTCATCTCGTAGGATGGATACACCGATGGTGGAAAGGAGGATGGTTCGCCCCTCGACCCGGCCGTCCAAGATCTCCCAGACCCTAAGGCTGGAGGTCGGTTATCCAATGGTCCACTTTGGGTGGAGAACTTGGCATCTGATGTTAACGCGACGCTCAAGGATTACGCCGTTAGTAATACCCCGACCTGTTCTCTATGCGCGGTATTTTTTACTGACTGGTTGCAAAGGTTACCGCAACCGTTGTTGATCATACACAATACCCCTCGTTCAAGTTCTCAGATACGAGAGACTTTGTATATCAAAGTCAGTTAGCTTCATTTCGTTCCTGGAGACGATGGACTGACCATATGAATTTAGACAACTACGTCATCTCCTCGCGCAATAAGCCCACTTCCGACGATACCTTGTATATTGTCTTCGTTGGGATGGAGTCAGTAAAATCACATTTATAACATGGGAACATAACTGAACAGCTTTCCGATATTTTCCAGGGACTTTATCCGTGCGGACGGTATGCATGCGAATTAAATCCTCTGTTCTTCCTTCGTCTAATGATCATCGTATAGCTTCAACTTTCCCCGGCATAGCCAGCGACGTCATATATGAATTGCTTTTGACGACAGACTCGCCCTTATTTGCCAAGAACATTCTCGTCGTAGACAACTACGGCCGAGGAAACGTGACTTCGTATGGCAACGAATACAAGCAGAGCGTCTTTGACGGTCTAGGGACGTTGTACTCCAAGCGAGGAGCGAACGTTGGCTTCGTCGACCTTGGGAATCTCTGGGCTGCAGTACTCGGCACAAACCCCGGTTATGAAGCATTTGGGTATGTGAGTGCCGGAGCGTGTACTGTCAATGACACGACTACGGTGGGTCAATGCGACAACCCCGATGAGACGTTTTACTATATTCCCAAGTGAGTATGATACACGCGACGAAGTACAAAACTGACGCTATGTGTCCATAGCTATCCTTCCGCAGCGACACACCGGTTGATAGCTGACTATATTGAAGCTGTTTTGGAACAATGCCAGTGACCATGAGCCGGCAGACATTTGAAAATTGGGCTTTGAAGTACGTGTACGATTTTCATACATAGTTTTCTTGCGTTCTTTCCATCTTTCTGAGCGTAAAGGAAGACGATGTTAGAAAGTTTGGATGATCACCGTGGCATTGGTACCGAAAAAAGGTCGAAATAAGGAACGACCGGGCCAACAGTCCTGACATGACCATACACCGTGGCCGTGAGAGATTATACCATTGTGACTTGCGCGCGCTCGCTCATCCTTTGGGAAACAGCCACGATCTGGGTTTCAGGGAGAGGGAAAAGACTTCGAGATTGAATTTTTCCACTGAGTCGATGTTTTGCATCTGCTAATCCTATTCTGATATCATACCTCTTCGTAAGAAGGTATAAAAAAACAGAGCCTGAGATAGCAAGATAGATCCAGTAGTGAAAGAACCTCTCATCGAGCGTTCGTGGATTGGACGCCGATGCGAGAGATGAGCATCTCCACCTGTTAGAGCACCAACCAGCATATGATGATCGGACTGGAAGCTTGTGGTATTCATTCCGCCACGGGTTTCATTCTGATACCAAAGACGAGTATCTCGATGGGTTCCAGCAACGACTGGAGTCTGATAAACCGACTCGTCGAAGAGACCAAGAAGGTCTGCATATGTCGTCTCTGCGTTGGACCGTAGAACACGCAAGAGTGAATATGTGAAATTTCCCACCTGCACTCCATCTACCCATCTCTCTCTCGCAAACTGGTATGGCTTGCAGGCAGCCAAAACAACGTGGGAGTCATCATTCGGGTGCCAATTCTGCGACAGAATCGATGGACAACCCAATCTCCCCAGATTCTCCTCTCCAACGTGGAGCATATCTCGAATAGTAGCCCCTCTCGTTCCACGGCATGTACGCGGAGGCACGTCTCGGCCAACACCACCAGAATAACAACAATCGAGAATGACGGTGATGTGGTGACCCTTCGCTCGGGAAATCAACGTCAGGACAGTGTTCAGTGTCCGGTCGCTAATGTCCGGTACGGCTTTACCGTGGGTGTCGCGATCGATGGGACAAAGTGCCTCGATGTATCCTATATTTCCGGGACTGAATTTCGCGTCTGGCATCTCGTAGTCCGAACATTTATAGGAAGAGCTGTGACCAGCGTAGTAAATTATAGTATTATCGCCTTTCTCGATCTCGTGATTGTCGATGAGACTGAGAAGTGCGTCAATGATATGGGTGCGGGAAAGGTACTTTGGATTGCCAGGGGAATCATACTCCTTGGATTCGAGAAGAAGCTGGATACGTACGCCTAGGTCGGCAACTAGGTACTCCTGAAATGATTCCGCGTTTGCCACGCAACAGTCCAGTGATTTTATCTCTTTATAATCGTCAATTCCGATGATGACGGCCCAGAATCGAGAAGCGTCGACTTTGTGTGATGGCTGGAATACTAAATATTCAGAAACCGAAGTCGATCTCTAAGAATACGCACTTACGCCCAGGAGAAAAGAGCGCTGTGAACTTTGGAGATGAAGGAGTTTGAGATATTCGCGGTTGAAATGTATGTCGGGCAATTGAGCTAAGTGGATTGTTTGGTTGATCAAAGATCTCTGTGTCAAATTTTGTCGGAAACACAAACCGGGTCTTCAGTCATCCCCTGCTTCCTCAATAGGTGCAACTTGTGGTCCTCTGGCTCTTTTCTTCATCTTTGTAGTGTTTCGAACTGAGGTCGGAGTTCAGCCTAGTGGTCAAAGTCTAGAGACGTGCTGAAAAAACGGGCCAACGACGCACCTTAGCTAAGCAAGGCTCTTTCTGACCCTCGCCGAACTCTTGAGATGATGTACCGTATCGCATTTTACAAGGACGAAATATTCCTACTGACAGCATGGTGTCGGTGTCGGTGTCGGTGGCGGTGGCGGTGGCGGTGGCGGTTTGAGCGGTACGTTCCGTAATGGCTCAATCTCAACCCTAACCCTACTCATCCATCATCCATCATGACAACGACCATCACCTTCAAATTTCTCTGCGGATATTATACCCCATGCCTCATCTTTGTATACCCTGAAGGTCCCTGAAAATATCTCTGGTGCAATAAATGGGACGAACAGCAGCGACATCCACAATTTCTGCTGTTCCGGGAAGTTCTAATGGTCGCGCGTGCAGTACTGGGACAGGAATCGTGGCAGGAACAGTGGGCTTGACTGGTGGTGGTGCAGAAGATGATGGCAGCTTGCTACATGAGGATAAAGATGTGGAGGAAATAGCTCATGAGGAAGGTGAGCCGGCTTCGTATTTGACTTTTTCCTTGACTTGATAGACACAGTGCTGCCAACTCAGCATGGAGGCGATCCGATGCAGTCGACAGATACGAGTGTACTGGCAAGCTCTTCAATGACGACTACGGCAAAGAAACGTGGCAAGAAACGACCTAAAGGTGTGTCCTTGTTCTTAATCCGTCGACGGCAATACCCATATCAGCAGGAGAGCCGGCACTAGAAGCAGAGGCATCTGTATCAACGCCGAAGAAGCGGGCTCCTCGTGTTCCGAAATCTCCTGCGAAGCGACGAAAAGTAGACGCACCGACGCGTGAGTTAGCTATTAGCTGCCATATGATGTCGATTCCATTTCTTTCACAGCAGTAAAAGTCGAAGAAGAGGATAACAACCTAGCGAAGGAAACCGATTTGCCCAAACCCCCAAAGAGGCGAAAGAGGAACCCACCGATACGTGAGTCTGTTGTTGATTGCTACATATATCGCTGACTTCACTTGTTTCTCAGCAATAAAGGTCGAAGAAGGGGCCGACTCCCTCGCCACAACAATAACCTCAGGCGATACTCCCAAAACGCCAAAGAAACGCGGCAGACCTTCGAGGATGAATAAAGATACTGCGGACACAACGACACCAGTTTCCTCCACTAAGCCGAAGTCGACGGCTCCCGTAAAGCGACGTAAGACTGTGAAGGGCGGCGTCAAGGGCCCTATGGAGACATCCGTGGATGACCAACCTAATCTTGTCGCGGAGGCTGAACCCATTTCAAGTGCTACGGTCGCCGCACGAAAAGGACGCGTCAAAGACACAACATCATCGAGTTCTCCAGCAAAGAGGAAGCGTCGAGCCTCCGTAGACGGTAGCCCATCGAAGAAGAGGCGATACGGGCCTGTGAAGTCTGAGCATGGTACGCGTCGTGCTTTCGTCCTTTCCTTACTTTGATTCTAATCATCGTATAGTCGAACCCTTGTCCATTAGGCCCACGTCTTTCCCCCTCCTGGAAATTCCTTCAAGTAACACTCCCAGCCTGTGGGCTAGTGTACGCACAATACTCGTTTCAGCGCAGGTTTTATGAGACTGATTTTTCTTAGGATAAAACTGACTTGATGATATTGACATCCAAACTGAATATGGTGACCACGATCTTCGTCGATCAGGAGAGTGCTATCGGTATTGCGATCCAGGATGACGGAGAAATGGAACTAACTATGTCTGTAACGCCTTTTTCGTATATTTAACATCAAATATCTGATCAAAGATAACAGAACAAGAGACTGCGGTAGTCAATCCACATCGATTGTCCCCTTGAATCCTTTGGATGAGCCCGAGGCACCTGAATCGCTTCGATCCCCACCCAAAGAAACATCTTCTCTCATTGATCTGGTAGATTCACGACCCTCTACTCCGTTGCGAGAGCCACAAACCCCGATTCCTCATCCATCGAACACCATATCCTCCCCTTCCGACGAATCTTCTGGCGGTGTAAATCCCACTCCTCAATCCTCATCGACGCAAGCCGTAGAAAAGGCATCTCCGGACTTTTCTCCACCAGGCCTATCCCATGAGCCGCCGAAGACGTGTATTTCACAGGTGTCCGGTGTAGTCTTGCAGTACACGTCTTTTGAAGACCACGCTCCTAGAAATACGGTTATTCCATCCGCTCCATCGTCACCACCGGTTGTGAGAGTCTCGCCATCCCCGCCAAGCTTGGACAAACCCCATCTGACGACTACGTTTTCACCATCTCTCGTTGCAGCAAGACATCAGACGCTCTTTGATGCGAAGCAAGCCCATTTCCCATTTGATAGCAATCGTGTACCTCTCCCATCCCCAAGGCCTCTTCCACCTCGCCCAAGGCACTGGGACCAAAATTGGGACGACTTCCCGCAAGGGCCGCCCGGCCAACGGCCGGGCACTCCCCCGCGTCATGACAAGCACTGGGACAGTAAATGGGACAGTTACCCGCGAAAGACGTTCAGTCAACGGTCGGGATCGCCTGTACGCCATCACAAGCACTGGGATAGCAAGTGGAATAAATACCCACAAGAGACGGACAGCCGGCGGCCGAGTTACACTTCATACGAAGAGCACTCTCCACTGCCATCTGTTGCTAAGGATCCGCGTCGTGAACCAATGTCCGACCGCCCCACTGGACCGGATCCTAGACGGCGTTCGCCACCTCGTAGAGGCCTGCCAACATCTTCTTACCCAGTTCATCAGGATCATGTCATGGAGGGTAAACCGCGAGTCTGGACGTCGCGTCCATCCAAGAACGGACTACCATCCTTCAAGAAGATTCGCAGCACCGCAGGTAGCGGCTCACTTTTTCCTTTATCAACTTCAGCTACGCAGTTGCCGTCGAGTCCCCTTCCACCAGGGCTTTCTATATCTGAACCCCGGTCTATGCAGGTCATGCCGTCCCGGTTGGATTATACCAGACCTGATGCACAACCACATGGACGATCAAGCCTTCAAGTTCCGACTGGCGATTATAACCACCTTCCATCGCCATCGCCATCAACCTCTTCACGCCATGCCTTTTACAGTCAACCAGATCATCCTCATCGAAGGATGGAAGCGTCGTCAGGAACGTATAGCGAGCGTCTGGAGTCGTATTCCTCTAAAAGGAGCTCTCTGAGTGTTTATATGAACAACAGGCTAGGAATAAAGTCCCGCTGGGACCCAACTAGTGCTTCCAAAGGCCAAGCTATAACACCGAGTTCTTGCCGTCCCCCTGGCTCACGACCGCTACCTCAAATTTCAACCCCCCCGCCTGCTCCCATTATCAAGGAGGAAGAAGCAGACGTAGTGTATCCTCCCGGACTATCGCTTAACGCTGGGACTGCGGGAGGTTCATTACGTTCTGTTTCAAAGAGATCTTCTTCACCTCCGTTACACGTTCTCTCTGCAGCTCCGCCACCCGGTAATCTGTTGAATAAATCGCGCCCGTCAAGCCCAGATTCTCTCTACGCTGACTCGCCAAGGATACGTGATGCCAAGCCATTGGACGTTCCTTTGTCTCCGAGCTTCAAGGATACGTATATGCTGGATGAAGTACCGTTTTCCCAAGAGGCGCTTCCGCCGACGATTGCACCGTCCACAACAGGCAGCCCTCAACAAGTCGAGAAAACCTTTAACACTGATCCGGCCCGTCAGGAGCCGGAAGTTCCGCGTTCTGTCCCGCGGGAAATCGATGATACGTCCGAACCGACTCTCAATATTCCCGACACTCTAGAGGCCACCGGTCTAGAGATTTCACGATTGACCCCCAATGATGTTGTGCTTCCCAAGCAGAGCGATTCGACTTCTCTTCGCCCAGATGAGCTCAATGTCGTCGCGCTGGTAGCCAACGAAACCGAACGGATCGTCATCAGTGATTTCCCGGAGGTGCAACAACTCACCGACACGGATTCTCCGGTGTTGTTGTTCGTGGCGTTGCCGGGATACGGCTGCGCGTCATTGGGCTATTTCCGAAATCTAGGTATCGCTTCCGAGACGAGCACAGAGGAGGGCGAAGGAAAGAGAACAGTGTGGCGCATACGATTGCGGTGGGTGGCTGACGAAGAATATGGCGAGGTTGAGGATAGAAACGTGGCGAAAGGATGTTGGTGGTCGGAACAGGGAGTTCTTAGGCTTGAGGATAAGCTGGTGAGAGATCAGTGTCCGGGTCTTGGTATAGGCATGAGAGCTGTGGAGCGGTGGTGGTGCCGAGAATGTGGTCAGGTTAATCGGGAGGATGGGTGGAGATGGAGGAGGTGTTTGAGTGAGAAGTGTAAGGTAGGTCAAAGCTGTTACACTTTTTTCGCACCTCTGATGAACATGTGGAACAGGATAAACAACCAGAGTTTCTTAAAGCTTTATCTTTGGACGAGGTTCGTGGGCGTAATGGCAGGACGTCGATGGCACGACCTCATGAGATGGCGTCTATTCCTGGGATCATGACGACGATATGGGAAGATGGGACAGTGACCTATATGTATCCCCTCTCGTCGACTTGCTTGGTGAAGCACATATTCACGGGTAATTATCCCCCGTTGCAGGAGGATGCGAGCAAGCTATGGGTCGGACTGCAAGGCCAGGGGGTGGAGCTGATCCGGGGTCATGATGGTGGATCGTTCTGTTCCTTTCGATATTCGGTGTTGTGCTAATAATCTATAGGCCCGTATTACACGTGCTCTTTTGGAGGAAATAGCAACGACTGGCCGGTGACCGTCAAAGAAGCTAGCGAAGTCGTAAGTGACTCTGCTGTTGGCTATGGGGAGTTCTCGTCTGGGATGGTCATACAGCGGGTTGAGGTGCTTGCCTGGTTCATTAAAGGATCTGCTAAGTTCAAGGTGAGCTCTTTTTTTTCTCAGATAATTCAAGTGATTGTTAAGATGCATCGGTAGGCCCACGAAACCGAAGCCGTTAGCCAGGTTTTACGCGCAAAGGATAATCTCGTAGGTATCCTCTCTCTTGGATGCGAGGTAGAGGTTGTCTTTCACAAGTGTCGTACCGTCGCGGAGCTCCCTTCATTAGAAGGCTTGCTAGCGTTCAGGGCGGAGGACGGAACGGAGCAGGTAACGGTCGATGCTGTACCGTCCACCGCTAAACCAACCTCGCCTCGGAAAAGGAAAGTCGCAGATGTTAGCGATCTTTCGATTCATATGGTGCACGGAGATGTTCTCATCTTGTCCGGGGACGATTTTTATTATAGTATAAAGAGATCTGGAGGTGGTATGCGTGAGTGGTCCGTCTTCTTCGCTTTGAATCACAGCTCACGGGTTCGGTATAGTTGTTATAGCATCCTCTGGTGTATAATGTGTGGGCCTCATTTTTTATTCTTCTGCCGCAGTATTCTTATCATTTATTTTCTTTGCGCAGCTGTATAGTAGATGTAGATGTTAACGCTCTGCTGTTGTGCGTATAAATAATAAAATAATGTACAATGCATATGTTATACTTACTTATGGAAAGTATGCCTGCAGCACCCTAGTACTTCGTCGGCTCGATACTTTGAATTATACTTCATCGCGGTGTGCATGGTAATGACATGGTTTGTTTCAACTACGCGAAAGTCTATGCTACAATATACGATAACAGAATCCATGCTCTATATGAAACAATGCCAGTATAGTAAGCGTCCGATTTATTTATTTCTTCCAGGTAATACGAAAGCGAAACTGTGATTAAATGCAAACAGAAATAGTAAGATAGATCCGGTCCCATGCGACATTAAAGAGGACCAAATTATACGATGCGTGTAGATTGGAGTCGGGTCAAAACCGCCGAGTGTAGGAACCGGCCAGAATCTGCCGCGAGCTGTCAATGGATGGGGTCTGTAGCTGTTTAGTGCCGGGAAAATGCACGTACATACACGGGCTAGTCATAGCCTCATTAAATTGCACGCCAGAGATGCGGACTGCTCGACGGCTGTGGGACTAGTGAGCGAACCATTAGCCCCGCAGTCGAGAGCCCAGACTCACCGGAGTGTTATCAGTGCTGACGTCTGAAAGACAGATTCAGTCGTTAACATATACTAATTGCAGGTGGTTGTACGTACGAGCAGCGAGACATTGGTAGCGCTCGCAGATTCGTTGTCCGTTCTGAACATATGTGACGTAACATATATCGTCGACTTCCCATGACTCTTGAGCAGCCCACATTTCTCCGTGACGTTTGGCAGGATCAGGCATTTCTCAGGAGATAGAGACGGTGAAGGAATAAAGCACGATTCGGAGCTTGGTTGAGATAATGTTTTTTTGCCATTTGTCAAGGCGGCTTAAATAGTGGTAGGGCGGTCATGACTCGGCTCCTCACAGCAGGATTGAGTCAAGCGGAAAGCTGTTACCGTGTTGGCCTCTCATTACACCCTTCGGAAAGGTTGAACCAATGGCGCATTTTTTCGGAATTCACCTCTATTAGGGTGATGTGAACGAAGAATGCAGGGCAGTGCCCCAGTAAGAAGCGGTCCGTGTTCCGTCGTAGACACTGGAATGTAAAGGTCGTACTGAGTCACATCAACCGGTTCGGTTCATTGATGAGTTATCACTGGCAGACAAAGAGTACCACCTAAGTAGTGAGAAATGAGCAAGATTTTTCGATTGAGCTGGAATAGTTTCTTACCAACATTTTAGGCCCATGAAAGTACTGCATGATTACTTCATAAACGCGTCGCGATAATATCTGAGAAAGCTAAGTTCCTGCCTAACGCGTCGGGGGAGTGACACCGCCGTGTATGCAGGGCTCCACGGAAATATTATAATCGTGGATCGGGGGAGTACGCAGACGGCGGATTGCGGGAAAATACAGGTTAGAGCCAATCCTGTGATTTTAGCACAAAACCAGACGGGGACCAAGATTGGAGGGAAACATCGCCGATGTTTTCCGCTTGGCGATCCCGCAGTTGTCCATAAAGTAAAAGTTACCCCGTAGGGACCATATATACTGAGCCTAGATTGAGCAGAGTGAAGTAAGCTGGTAGATTGTCACCAGGAAATTTCACGAACCGTCCTGGGAAGTTTTACTTTTAATTACGCTGGCCGCTGATGAACAGCTCAACGTCGGCGTGGGATTCGCCCGTTCTATTGATGCGTCGTAGTCGGCCTTGTAGAAATCAGATGAGATCGATGGATATTATACAGCATGTAGTTCCTTCGTCGAAGGCCCCGTCGCTGCCGGGGGTGTCTGTCTGACTGCGTTCTTGGCAACATCTTGCCGTCTGCTGTCGTCTCATTCTAGTTATCTTTGTCTCGTGTTTAGAGATCAAACCAAATGTATATCGTGCAATGCTATGTTGTCGGCCTTTGCAGCTACCTGTATGGTAAAAAAACGAAGATGAAGTATGGGAGGAAGTGTTGCAGAAGAATTTGACACGGAGCATCCGGGCCGATTCATCCTAGGGCGATGCCAATGCGGCAACCACCGAAGTTGCCATCGCAGCGCTTTGAAAACACCAACAACATTGCAAGACTGGGATCAGCAAATTCTGACGACACCCTTGTCCCTGGAAAGAACGGTCATAGTAGATAGCACAAGATGGCGAGGACCGTGGTCCACGAGCCCGTCACTCTCACTCTCTCATTTTGCTCATTCTGACATGCATAACTGCAAGTATTATATCCATAGGAATGATAAGTCAAATTTTAGCTCGTTTGAACCAAGTAAATTTATTTTATCTAGAAATAATTTTCGAATCAATTGAGCGTGAGAGAAGAGGCATTTTTCTGTTGTCTGTCTGTTGTAAAACCTGCTGTAATGCATGGCGGGAGAATCTAGTATATCCTGGCTTCTTCATTTATGTATCATGACTATCAGATGCCTTTCGTCATAGTATACTTATGTCATTTGATTATCTGTTGTTATTATACGTGCAGAAAATAGAAGATTCCGCCACGCGGTATACGATCAGAGGTGTGTTCCGTTCAAATCGACGTTTATGGCGTCAATGTATTGGAACGTGGTTATGACACAGGCTACATGGATGCATATGCTACAATGCGTAATGTCGGGTCCGTGGTGAGAATTATTAGCAAGCCAGTATGGTAAATGTCCGAACATGAATGATTCGAAAGCATTGCGAGAACAGAAACATAAAAGAACATGAACGAAAACAAGTGATCCAGTATAATGCAATATTAAAGATAAAATTATAATAAATGCGAGGCGAAAACAGACAAAGGAGTCGGCTCAACCACACCGCGAACTAAAAGTGGACACGGTGAGTAGCTGCCTAGCGTGAGGACGGTGCACATACACATATAATTGGGCAGGTCGCACCCGTATTAAACTTGGCTCCATAGCTGCGGGCTGCTCCACGGCTGCGGGACACAATGAGCGAGCCATTAATGTCACAGTCGGGAGCGCAGACTTACTGGACTATTGGTGGCGCTGATGTCTGTGATATCGAGTCAGCCATGGCCAGGATTTGGCTGAGGAGATACGTACGAGCAACGAGACATCGGTAGCGAACGATTACAGGCCGTCCGTTCTGGGCGAATTGGTACCAACAATATTCGCCGACCGACCATGGAGCTTGTGGGGTCCACTGCCTTTCGCGGAAGCTTCCACCATAACGAGGCATTCTTTAGATGATAGGGAGGTAGTTGTCGATGAGTAGTGAGTTGCAAGGGATGGGTTGAGGTATTTTTCCCATTTTTCAAGGCGACTTAAATAGTCGGTGCGGTGGGGAACATATCCGCGGACCCATCCTTCACAGCAGGCTCGAGTCAAGCGGAAAGTTGTTACCGTGTCGCCCACTCATCTCATCCATCGGAATATCGATCCAGCAGCGGGTTGCTCGGAAATGTGCATGATTCGGTCTTGTGATATGACGGGGGTGCATGGGCACTGCAAGAAGAGGCGGTCCGAATTCCGAGTCTGGCGCTTGGAGGAAAGTTGGCGCTGAATCACAACGACCAGCTATGTTCAGCGACGTCATATCAGATAAACAGCATTCTTTGCTGTTTCTTTCGCTGTAAATGCTGGGGCCCAACATCGGAGCAACATAGTCGGACTAATAGAGATCTTTTCTGTGGCAGTAGACTGCGCATTAAACAGCAGTAACCAAGGGAAAGCGGTTGTATATGACGGACACACACACACAGAAAATAATTTTGGGCAACAGGAAGTAGTTGCCATCGGAACAACGGAATAGGTACTGCTGTGGAATAAGTCGGTGTAAATTAAGAAACCCTGAATATCTTATCTAAACCCAAGGAAAGAAACTGCATCTATTGACGGCGGCGGTGCCAGGAACGCACATCAGCAATACTAATGATATGATCTGCATTAGCGCACAAGTCGGTTACAAGAAATTCGAGATTGAGCTCACCCGCCGTGCAGGTCGGTATACTGGGTGCGGATTATAGGGAGTCCATTGAGATGTATCTATTAGATGCCAATAACACGAACCCACGTAAGGCTGTTAAAATAAAATTTAGTAGTGAACAAAAAACTGCGTACGTGGCACACTTACGACTGTTCTATTTGTGCTGACATCTATTAGATCCACGAGTTAGCGATGATCAAGACTCCGATGGGAAAGGAGACATACGAGTTGTTAGGCATCTCCAAGTATGCATTCTCTTTCTCCCACCATGCTCATCGATCTCCCATGTAACACAGCAGGAACCGGGTGCATCCCACTGCTTTCCGGCGGACCACCAATGACTGAAGGCTGGACGCGAAAATGGTGGATTCGTGCTCATATCGATTGATATGCAAACAGGCGCGTCGGGGTAGAAATGTCAAAGCGCAAGGATTGTCGAGAAAGGAATTTATACTGTAGACCAGGCGAAGCTACAGCGGCTAGGATAATGCTCGAATAGGTCCGGTATTGTCTTCGGTGGCAAGGTGGCCCGGACTGTGGCACAGCAATGAAAAATCTCCTTGGCCTTTGCAGTGATGAATGATAGCAGTGGCGACTGTTCTTCCTCTATGGCACCTCGTATGCCGGTAAGTAGGGCACTTCGCTGGGCGTACAAAGTTACTCGTTAAGCCGGGGGGGGGGGGGGGGGGGGCACCTTTTACAACGTGCTAACCAGCGAAGAGACCCCAGATGATGTACTAGAACCTGCACAAAAATGCATCTCGCGTCGGAATCTGCAATGAGCGCTCAGATGAAGGTTACGTGAAGATATCCAGCTGTCTATCCTACGAACGTTACTTAGTCTTCCTTACCAAAGCCTAGTATCACGCGTTGCTAGTAGAGCACGGAAAGCCTGAAGGAGATACTCGAGAGCCTCGTGGTCGAAGATACCCTAATCTGATGTCCATTCTTAACGGGACGATAGGGAGCCTTCGACGGCGGGCGCCTGCTATACAGGAAGGATATAGATAAGGGCGCTTGATGGTGGTGGTCAGAAGGTAAAAGGTGCATCCAATTTGCAATGGAAGACGAACGCCCACGTGGCTCGCTTGTTTTGCCGCCCACTAGTATTCAGTCGCGTCGAGTCTTTGGAAATATCCCGCCCCATGGTTCTATCTACTTTATTCGTCAGTTATTTTGTGTCATACGTGACTATCACATCGAATTGAAGCTTAATCAAATTTTACCAAGGTTCGCCGTCCTAAGTTCGAGTCTGCTCTCCGCTCTCCATTTCCACTTCTGGAATGCGTTCTTAGTATCAATCATGGTATTCGTTTATCCAGATGAGCACTTCCTCAAATCTTGGTTTTGAGAATGCTCGGTCATATCTTCACCGGAGAGAAAAGAGGCAACAACTGCCACGGGTGCACTGCTGGAATTAGGGCACTGCCGATTTCATAGTACTTAGGGCTTCCGGGTATGACGAAGTTTATATCTTCCAGTCATCCAGATGCTTACTGCACAGATAGATGAATCCGGAGAAATCATCTTCGACGAATTTTTGGGCAGAGAACGCTGGTCCAGGCGATTCGCTTGCCAGTTCTTGGTCTTCATGACTGGACATGAAGCCTCCGTGGCGTCTAAGAATCAAAGACGACGGTCAGACCTCTATCTTTCACTCAAAAGTCTAGGTAGTCGATACCGCCACGGAAGCTTCTCGTAACCGGGCACTTTTCGTACCCGAGATGATATATGCGTTCAGCTATCTCTTCAGCGTATATTCACGCCGCTTATCGAGACAATGTCCGTTCTGAGCTACAACATAATTTCGTCTGACGTGGTATTAACATCAAGTCTCCCTTCGTTGCTTCAACTCTGACCGGCAATCATATTATCAGAGGCATCTCTTTCTTCGACGAAGATAAGGCGTCGCGTCCATAAAGCCAACTATCGGACATTAACCCCGGGGTTTAATTAATCAATAACATGTTTATCGGTTTATAATTTGGCCTTTATATCTCTGAAGATTCTTAAGAGCAAAGTGAAGAAAACATTTCTTTTACGCGGGTTCGTCCTCTGTTCGGTTCCAGCTGTCCCCTCTAATCAAGAACTGTTATAGTGTATAGTTGCGTCCGATCCATTGGCCTGTTTTATGAACGACAGATCGACGATTCCTTGAATCAAAGTTGGCATGTCATTACGATTCGGAAGACTCGAAACCGATTACCAAAGTCGCGAGGCGTGGGAATTTCTTTGTGCTTTACCCGTAACCACAACAACACCAACACCACGACGGCGAAACCACACAGTGCATTCGAACCTCTCACTCCACAGAGTTAAAGAGGCCACGCTTATATCAACTTTGGTACAGTCATTTCTCTTTTTCCATGGTGAGTGTACAGTACTCATTCATTCCAACTAGATCATTGCGAAGCGATGACAAAATCTTCTCACTGGGAACCGTGCTCGGGATGCGTGTGTTCTAACCATCATATCCCTTCATACAACTTCGCTCCAGTGGCCTCTCTCTCTGATAATCCAGAATGGACGCGTCTAACGCGTACGAACGACCTGCCTTTACCCTCCCAAGAGGACGCATTATCAGCGATGATAACCTCGTACAAGCAGAAGCTACACCATCTCGACTTGGAGAAAGCCAGCCTTCATGAATTTTTACTCGACATGGAGAATCTACTGGACGAAAAGATGGATATGTTGGACGAGGAGAGCGCGCGTATCTCGGAGGCGATCCGTGAATGCCAAGGCATTGCCAGTCCGATTCGGCGCCTGCCACCCGAGTTGCTTGGCCAGATATTTCTTGGCGCTATCGAGGCACGCTCCTATACGGATGCAATCAGGCAGGATGAGGTCGACGAAACGGTATATGTACCACTGTCTATTTCATGCGTCTCAGCCACGTGGAGAAGTATAGCACTGTCCTTCCCAAAGTTGTGGGCTTCCATCACAATCGAGATTAATTCGAATGGCTATCACGAAGAGGATGCTAAGATGGAACGGACCCGCTTCCATCTGGACCGCTCGCAAGGACACCCACTGTCCATATCCATCTACGACTATATCGGCCTCTCGGCAGACTTCAATCTGCCTCCACACGCGATTACGTCCTATCCTTATCCTCCGCCCGCATTCGAGAGCTTTCTCTTCACCTAGACGCAAACAACTTCTTCAAGATATCTGCCCTACAACTATCCTTACCATTGCTAGAGACCTTGAATCTCCTTCACGCGACAGATGATGTTTTTGACTATGATGATCCCATACACCTATTTTCGTTCACTCCAAACCTCAGATCTGTCGAAGCCATCGATATCAGTGACCCTCGGCAGAGTTTTAACATCCCTTGGAGTCAGTTGAGGCGATATAAAAATGTGCATTGTGATGGCTTCAATTACTTCCTCGGCGGTATTCCTCAGCCACATGAACATTTGAATGTCTTGAGAGGGCTCCATCGGGTCGAGGAGTGTGTTCTGCAAATTTGCGATGGTTCCCAAGAATCCGAATTTGAAGAAAACGTTTTCCCTCTCCTTTGTCCGCAACTGCGTGTACTAGAACTCTCATCATTGTTCATTTTCAAAGACACTATCCATTCGGGTTTTCGACAGGTTTCCGATAGGCTCACACTTCCTGCAATTACCACTCTGCAGGTTTTGTGTTCTCCTGAGGACGATGAGCCAGTGGACACTTTTACCTCGATATATCATCTTCTTGACCGTTCCAAGCCGCCACTCACTATGCTGCAGTTTGACAATGGTCCAGTTCTCGCTGAAGACCTTCTGAATCTCTTTCGCATTACACCTACACTCGAAGACGTTCGACTTCGGACGCCTAACGTCGTCTTCACTTCCGAAGTCTTGGAAGAACTCACGGTAGATCATACATCGTCAAGTTCCAAGGACGTGGTTTTACCACGCCTGCGCCACCTCTGTATGTGTGTTACAGTGTGTCAGGAACTTACGAGGATGGTTCAATCTCGTTGGAATATGGGCCAATCATGCCGAGTCGAGCGTCTACAAACCCTGAAGTTATACTGTCTTGACAAACAGTCCGCTGAGGTCCTCAGAAGCTTCGTGTTAGAAGAACTTGAGGGGTGTTTTAGGGAGGGACTTTCTTTCAAAATCACTTACGAGTGTGCCAGCTGCAATGACTTACATGAAATCGAGGAAATGGATTTACCTCTTTGATTGCAATAAAACTCGATACGTAGCATTTCTCTCTTGTCTATGGTTTCGCGACCTGCTATCATTGCTATCACCCGTGACTATGTTCTCGCGCTCAGTTTAGATACCAAGAAAGCACTTCAGTTGATGTGAAGGCTGTACATGTTTCCCCCTCTGTACGAACTCTGACCCAGAATTAAGACTATACCGTAATACGGCACCCGGTTTTGACCGACAAAACATGGACTCAGCGCTGTATCGGAGCCTCTCTGGAGGCGCGACGTCAAGAAAACAAATAAATTCACACTGTCCGCAAAAGTAGGTCGACGATCAGTTGCCGGGGTGATGGTGCACCGATAGCGAGGGTGATGCACGTCTTTCATTGCAGTATCTCGCGAATTACGGACTGTTTTAAGCAAAATATATGGCAATACCAAGGGTTAGTACTACTCACCGATTGATAGGTAATAACGGGTACCATGTTCACGTAAATACAGTACGTGTCGGGTAACAGATCGTTCTTTGAGATCCGGGACGAGAGACCATGATTGAACCTGAACCATTCTTAGCTTCTGCGAAAGGTTTGGATGGAAAAAGAATAGTTACTGACATTGGGGCTTCGTCCTCCAAAGACTCTGTTGGGGCGCAATCTATCAAATCCGGTGATTATCCCTCATCTAGTTTAGAGATTTAAATTAACTCGCAGGCATCCATTACCCTTAAGACCATCGAAATAGTTCCAACTTTGCGCTTCAAATGGTATATTTCTCGTCCACCGAAGCGACATGGTCGATATCCGAACCGAAACTATAACGCTGATCACTGGTTGACTGTGTCGACAAACATCGGTCATCACAAATGCGAATGGACTCGAAGACTCATAAGAATCACTTTTACAGGGCAGAGAGATGTCAGAAGAAGAGTTGAAACAGCAAGCCGCTTCAACTAACCTCGCCAACCGCGCCAGTCCATCTCAATACCACCACCTGTTGGCGGGATGGTGTCCAATTCGATATTTTATTTCCACTGGTTCAATCGCTTCAGGTCCCAGTCGTAGGATCCTATTGCACGGCCGTCTGCCATGAGCACGCTTGTGTTGACAAACGTCTCCCCAGTTGGAGCATACATGGTGATCCACCTCCCGTTCATGTCTCTCGTCGCTCAAAGACACCTATACAACGTCTTTGTCCGCCGTCAACACGGTCTTGTCAGGAATTCCCGCAGAATAGTCTTGCTTTCGCATCAAATCATCGATAAAGGTGCGTACATTCACCACTTCGCTCGATCCCAGTCGGGAAAACCCTTCGAATCACGTCCCGCCTGTGTTGGATTCACCGAAGAACCGAGGAGTTAGAGATACAGTATACGCAGTACTCGCCATAGATGATGCCCGCGAAGCCACGGAATACCTGAAATAGGACGTGAGAAGAGCAAGATCATCGCAAAGAGATCTTACCGAAGTCCATAACCCATTCTTGATGAGAATCAATTCCAGCTCAAGGTCCCGTCTTCTTTCCGGTTTATTGAAGTAAGCCAGTACTCGTGATGGTTCTCCACGTCTATGGCAGGCCATTCATGTCTGGTGCTGTACATTGTACCCGCAGCCACGTACATCCAGGCCACTGACCGCATCTTCGCGTAACGACGGCACCAGTCAGCAGCTCATCCATCCTCAGCCAGGCCTCGTTTCCGAGCCATGTACATGATAGACTTGGTCCAGGCACGTTTACTCAGATGCGGGAGTTCACCCCTGTCCTTGAAGTCCATGTCTATGCATGTGCACCCTGGAGCGTTCGCGAAACATATCAACTAATATATCACCTATTATTTGAACAATGGTCGCTACCTGCCGTGCACTATAATAAAATCAAAAAGCGGACCTCGTTACCCCGAGGGACACATCCTTGTACAACTGCCGTGGCAATTCATTATCCATTACTGCAGCCGGATTCATTGTGAGAGGACAGGACGAGCTATATAGGGGCCAACCGTCATGAACTGACCAGATTCACGTCGAAACAGCGCAGCTTACCGAGGTCACTACGCTGAATACAGCAGCCCATAGAGGATGGCCGCTAAAGTAACGCAGTCCGCAACAAATACTGGACTACCTTCGACCTGATGTTCACGGTTTACCCCATAATTTGTCCAACAAACTATTTCGACTTCCAAAGAATCGCCAGTACAGAAGAGATGAGAATTTACTGAATCCCGCTAAAGCCTTTCGATCACACTGCTAACAAAAAGTAGATCTCGTTACCCGAGGGACACAACCGTCCATTGCTGCAGCTGGACTCATCGGAGAGGACAGGACATAGGGGCCGACTGGTACATGACTTGATCAGGTTCACTCCGGGCTGAAACAGTGCAGTTCACCGAGGTCACTGCCGCTGTTAATTGAGCAACGGGCCCCGAATTTGGGATATGATGCTAGATTTGCCTTCGCGGATGATTCCTAGGACAACGAAATTGATAACGGTATAGAAGATTATGAGCTAGATGCATCGAAGTATTCAGAACATGAACACAAAAGAGGAGTGTACGATTCACCATTGAAGAAATTCCGTTGAGCAGAGATAGACGGGAGATGGGATACCTTTTCATCATAGTGAGCAGAGGGCCATTTACAGTAGGGCAAAATATAGTGGAAACGGCCGACTTTGTTACGCAGAGATGCGGAGGTCATAGCAGGGGGAGTGGTAGGTAGGTAAGAGCGTGTTGAGAAGAAATTTTGGCTACCCGCCGCTTCGGCCCGGAATCCCGGCGGCCTTCACGGTCGCATGACCGTATGGCATCGCTTAAATACGCGATCTTTAATTGGGCAATAGCGACCGCTAGTTGTCGCGTGCTTAACAAAAGACTAAATTCTGGTAATGCTTACTCTCCAACCAAACCAAGCACGAACGAGGCAAACTTCTCTAACAATGCTTGTCCTCAGCGCGAGTTTTTTAATGATGGACCCGAGATCTGAGTACAGATGTGAATACCAGTGCTCAATTACACAATATGGAACAAGTATGTACAGATTCTGTAAGGAAAATCAGAGAGATTGGCTAGGACCAAAAGGCATCTTCTTCCTCGCCTAAATGGAGGTGAGAAATCATGATGTAGCTGTATCTATATTCTGCACAATTACAGTACATCCCAACGTTAATCTTCATGCCCAACCGGCAAGAGAGTCCCAGCTCTGCCATGGGTCCCATTCCTTTTGTGCACCTAGATTCAAGTACGAAATCTCAGGACTCCCCAAGAAACGGGAATGTTTTATTCCAATCTGAATATTCATCCCCGCGTTCAATAATGCCTCCAACCGTGATTTCTCCGAGGGCTCTAACCACCAATCAATATCCCACTGGCCCCAACCGTCTTCTGATGGCAACAAACGAATCATGAGAAATTGTTTCAGGCAACTCTGTCGAGCGGCCAACATGTCGATGATGGGTACCATGCAGTCGCGAGTGATGCTGGCATCATGGATAGTGAAATTCTCGAGGGAAGGGAGGAGGGATTTCTGTGCCATTGCGGAAAAGAAAGCTTTGTCCTCGAAAGTCGGGGAACATAAGGTTAGCGATGTCAGAGAAGGAAACACGCGGAGAAGCCGAGTGAAACCAGCTGCAATAGGGGTAGAAGAACATGAGAAATTGTCCACAGTGCTGCATGACCTTTCGATGAAGGAGGACAAGTCGAGTTCTATGCTATCTGCATCCCCGTGAACAGTCAACGATGAGAGATTGGGAAGGCATATGGAATTAAGCAGCGAGCTCAGTTCTGAACCGATTTCGAGCACTCGAAGACGTGGTAGTGTGATTACAGTCTGAGGACGGGTGCCAAAGCTGGGCTTGGCGGTGGTCAGCTCGCTGAAACCTGGCCGCAATTTAAGACACAGCGTCTCAAGATAGGACCCATCATGTAAGATTTGAAGGTAGTAGTTCGGTGATAAGAGAAATGTGCAAATTGATAATTCTTTCAGCTGTTTCCACGGAAAGATGAACTCGACATCAGAAAGGACATCAAAGGTAACGCTGTTCAAGCTCTGAGCGTTGGCGAAGGTGTCGGCTGGGATAGGATCCCTGACCTGACTCCTCACGACGAGTTCGAGACTTTCAAGCATCGGCAAGCCGTTTTTGACGAGAGGAAGACTTTCGAAAAGGAAGCCCGGTAGATGGAGTCTGACATTTCGCCATCGTGCTGCCTGAGCGATGAACATATCCAAATAATCGAAGGCGATCTCATAATTGTCTATATCGTTTGGGAAATCCACAGAGAGAGTCAGAGGTGTACTCCCCGAGTATTCGAGGGTCTGACTGAGAACCCTCTTAGATACGGTGGGTCGGACTACCTCGTGGTGCTTTCTCTCCATTTCACCTTCCGGTGAAGCAGACCAAGAGCGAGCATCCCAGATCATCGACGAATCCCTCCACTCTGACTGGGTAGACGAGCTCCGACCCCGACCGTCATCGGTGATGGATGAAGAATCCAGATTAAACTCTGACCATAGAATCCGGTTGGAGTAGGCAACAGCCCTCCACTGTCTGCACACTCTAGTCGCAATCCAAGGGAATTGATCCATCATCGTAGCGCTGGGGGAGGTGAACTGGAATATGACTGCCAGGAGATCATCCGACAAAGAACGAATGGGGGAAGAGAGCGCATAGTTGTGCCGGTCCATGATTTCTCGTGCGCGGAGTTGTGTTTTTGCGTATGCTTCTTCGTGTTTCTTCAGCATTAAAGCAACCTGCGAGATAATATTCTGCTGGTGTGCAAGCACTTCTTCGAAGCGTTTGGTTAACCGTTCAAGGGACTGCTTGATTTCAATACAAACGGTGGATGTGGGGTAGAGATTGCCATTGATATAGGGATGCAAATTATCAGGGACGGAAAAGTCGTTGGTGGACAAAATGTGATTGAGATTGGCAAGATTCGCAGTCAGTGTGCAGGTAGCACAAGTCTATTAAACGACATTGGCAGGTGACGGCAGCAGAGTTACATGAAACCCTACCTCAGTAGCTGCATCCATGGTGAGAAAAGAAAGTCAAAATCGTGCAATCTTGGAGGCGAGAGTGTGATTGAGCCTATAGAGAAGTCAACGAGATCTGTCGATCTGGAGAAATGGGCACCTACAGTATTCGAGTCGAGCTTGATCGATGTTGATCGAGTCAGGAGGTGATGAACAAATACGGACAAGCTATCCTTCCTTCTTACCATCATGTCATCGTCTCTTTGTCTCACGCCACCAACAAGTACACCGTTTCTAGGACAGCATCAGCGGTCAGCAGTACCGAATCGACCAAGAGCGAACCGCAAGGACGTTGCGAGGTTGTACTGAAATTCTGAGCATTAGAAATGGAGGGAACAGTCCTTATGCAGTGCGTATTCTGCCTTTATGCTCGTTTTTCCCACTTAAAATGTGTCTATTACTCTGGAAAATAGGGTAGCACAGTCGCCTAGAACCATTGAATTGGTACCGACTATGGGACGACCATCCTCACCATGATTTCTCGCGTCGATATTCGGCCAACCGTAATATATTCAAAGTGATATCACCGCCACTCTTGACCGGTGACCAATGAAGAGACTAGTAGCAGCTTGCCAACTCGGTTAGGCATCATCCCGTCCATCCGTAACCAGCATAGGGTGCTTGGCAACATCGGGACATCATGTTTCCGCCGCCTGACAGACTCTACGACGGCATGGTGTTTCCAAGTGGTCCTACGTCTCATCTTGTTTCGTCACTGCGTACCCTTGACAACCGCGCGCTCTTCCCGACTATGGCTAGTGGCGCTCGTCATCAGGTTCCTTGCGTAGTCGTATTTACTTGGACTGAAGCTTTGTAGAGCTTTTTGCTGAAAACAGGGTGGTACCCTGTAATCCCTGTTCTTGCTCGTCGAGTTTTTATCCCTATTGGAAGCAATCAGCCATTCGCGCAGCACTACAAATGCAATAATCCCCTTCCCTGGACGCGTAGTCATGTCAGATGCCGTGACAACAGGATTTTTATAAAACGATAAATGCCGTTTTTTTCCTTCTCCTCCCCTCAATGGCGTATCCAATCTGCAGGTACAAAGATCAATGGCGAGGCTACGGAAGCCAATGCAAAATGGTATGACTTCACTTTCCCTTGACGCAAAAATTATATGTTCATCTGACGTAGATCCCTCGCCCTCCTCCCCCATTGATGATTTGGGAATCCCACGTGCTTAATGCCAAGCGACAAGACCGCTTGGTCCACAATGAAATGCCTTCTAGGAGTGCCGTGGTACGTGCCAGTGTTCGTTGGGCTTTGAATTACATTCTCAGAGTATTGCAGGTATTACCGCCGCCATCAGAGTTTGATGCTGGCCATACCACAGTACGTCTCGTTACTCACGCTATGGGTTCTCAAGCTGAAATAGGATTTTACTTAGATGTCCCCGAGTTTACCTCTTTACGACGGCAAGATGCGGTTATCTCCAACGCATACGCTTAAACTGAAACGCGTCGCCTCCCAAAATCAAAGTAATCAAATTCAGGCACGTTATTTCTTTCTCTATGGCTTTGGTTCGTCGCCCTTCCCCTCGCTCTGTCCCGTCATCTAATTTTGTTCTATCCTTTCTCCAGTCTGTCCTCCACTTTGGCTTTTGGGCATTCTCGTCCTTATCTATCCGCTCCGACGCGTCTGCCCTTCCTCTTCATCTCTGCCCACGGTGTAGAACCACGCTCAAAGGAAAAGAAATGGGCTAGTCTCTGTCTCATCATCACCAGCATCCTCTCCATGGTCGGTGCGGTAGTATGTCTTTCCTGGTCACTCGAAGGGACGCCGGCATCAGCGGGCAATGAGTATTTTTTGCCAGTGTCGGTACGATAGCCTTCATGTCCTTATCAGTGCCCGATATGCTGAAGGATCTGTAGGTTAAGCGGCATTTGAAACGGCAATTCGTGGCAGGCCATTAGCCGAACACCGGCGGATAAGGACTCGTCGAACCTATCAGACCGGCATTGACTCGTGGAGACCGAATTTTGTTATAGTGCGTATTTTCCTGAGGGTCTGATACATTGTTCATGTTCTCGTTCCAGACTAATCTTCTGCCAGCCAGCTACAGAGGGGCTTAAACCGGCGTTAAATGTTGATGGAATACTGAGCCTCAAAGCTTCATCTTTCCAGTGAAGCTGACGCTCGGCCACTGTTCTTTGTCTGTTGCGCCATTTGGAGGAGTGCACAAGCAGAATTGGCTCTGTCCTGACACGTGCTCCTATCATACAGCTGTTGGCTGTTTGGGCTTGAGGGTCCAAGTTGACCGCTATCTACGAACCAGTCAGTGCCGGACGGCGGTTTCTCCGTTTATCACGCAGTCAGTTCCCCATTCTGGTTTTTCATTATCAGCACGCCTGGAGCTTTCAATGCGCAGCCGTAGCACCTCATAGTGACATATTCTTATCTAATATTCGTTGGCTCCTGTTTGTGTGCGACAAGTGCGCGAACGACGTCTTTGGTATGTTCAACTGCATGGATCTTAATATTTTCCACTACTAACAATGATATTAGCACAACTATTCTTTGTGCATTGGGTTCAAGCCATATTCCCTCGCTATGAGAGCCTATCTACGGTGCTATTAAGCAGGTTCCTAGATGTGTTCCATTCCGAAGAAGATAACTGTATCTCCGAGTCGATCTCCAGCTATGGTTGGTAGCATCAAATTGCTAATAGCTCCACATGCAATTGGTGGCACTTATCAACGGGCTTTAAGAAGCTTATCATCTTCATTCCCGACTGTTCGTGCGCCCCACAACTATGTCGACACACTCACAACAACATGGCGAGAAGTTCTTTGACGAGAAGGACGTCGAAGTCGTCTCCATCAATGTCGTTGACTCCGGTGCCGATATCATCGATTTTGAGGAGAAGAAGGATCTCAAGTAAGCTATCCTCTTCTTTTCATATGGATCCTCGACGTCTAATGCCACCGTAGACGGGGTTTGGGGCAGAGACATATCCAGTACGTTGAGCTTGTATCCTCTGGAGCTTCAAGTCCTCATTATGCTTGCTAATCAGGATGATTGCCTTAGCCGGGACGATAGGAACAGGTCTCTTCCTCGGTTCAGGGCGAGCTATTACCAATGGTGGTCCTGTAGGTGCACTTATGGGTAAGAAACATAGTTCTTCGTCCTACAATCCACTTACCAATCCCAAACTCAGGTTACACCTTCGTTGGCATCCTCGTCTCGTGTGTCGTAATATCGCAGGTCGAACTCGCCGCACTGGTCCCTCTCTCCGGTTCCATCGTCCGCCACGCTGAGTATTTCTTCGACCCAGCTTTGTCCTTTGCGCAAGGCTGGAACAGCGTCTATTCGAATTGTGTCAGCCTTCCAGCGGAAATCACCGCTGGTGCGGTCCTTATACAATATTGGACGACCATCAGCAATGGACTATGGATCACGATTTTGGGTTTGCTGCTCGTCGTGTCCAATCTCATGTTCGTGAGGGTGTATGGAGAGCTCGAGTTTGGTTTTGCCATGCTCAAGATTATGCTTATCGTGGGCTTGATCATTATGGTTAGTACAGAACGTAATCTGCGGTGATACCATCGGCTGATGCGCGCTCTAGGGCTTAGTCATTGATCTCGGTAGGTCAAGACTCCTGCGCGTCGTTTCTGATTAGTCATACCCTACTTTCAAGGTGGAGGCCCTGGCCATCATAGATACGCGTTCCAATACTGGAGAAATCCTGTAAGTTTCTACCTGTTCCCCTTCTTGGATCTATACCAACGTTGGCCTCGCTTAGGGTCCTTTCGTTCAATACCTTGGCATTGACGGCTCCCTCGGAGGCTTCCTTGGCTTCTGGACGACCTTCTCCAACGCTGCGTACGCCTATGGTGGAGTCGAAGGTGTCGCCAACACCGCCGCAGAGACCCAGAACCCACGTCGGAATATCCCTCTCGCAGCCAAACGCATCTTTTGGCGGGTCCTCATTTTCTATGTCATTGCTATCTTTGTCGTTACACTCATCGTACCCTCGAATGACGCCAACCTCCTCCGCAGCTCCGGAAATGCCTCCCAATCTCCGTTCGTCATCGCTGCAACGAATGCGGGGATTGCAGTAGTACCACATATTATCAATGCTGTCGTCCTTACCTCGGCGTGGTCTGCTGGCAATTCGGGATTGCTCAATGGCTCGAGGAATCTCTATGGTATGGCGCGCGAGAACCATACTCCCAAGATTTTCCTCAGAGTCAATCGATTTGGTGTTCCTTATGTTGCGGTTCTGTTCTTATCGGCATTCTTGTGCTTGGCGTATATGACACTTTCGGACAATGCTTCGACTGTATTTTCTTGGTTCCAGGTATGCAATTTTTGAAGTGGACGAGGCGAGGCGAGCTGAATTCGTTTACTAGGATCTGTGTTCATCTGCTATCTTGGTACACTGTAAGTGATGCGATTTATGCGGTCTGGGATGTACACCTAATTTTATTCCAGGGACGATCATCTGCGCAGTCTATCTGAGATTCTATTATGGCATGAAGAAACAGCATATTTCGCGCACCGAGTTGCCCTGGAAAGCCCCGTTCCAGCCGTATGCTGCCTGGATAGGCCTTATTTCCTTCCTCATCATCCTTCTCACGGGGGGCTACGCGGTCTTCATCCATGGCCACTGGGATACGGAGACGTTCTTCTCTGCATACTTCAATATCCCTCTCATCTTCACCCTCTTCTTTGGCTACAAGTTCCTGGCGAAGACTAAGATGGTGCGATTGGATGAGATGCCGATTCAGAAGTATATCGATATCGCGAAGGAGAACCCTGAGCCTCCGGCGAAGCCTGTTAAGGGATGGAAGCGGGTTAATATCCTGTGGAGTTGATCGAGTTTTCGATGGGATATTCTATGGATTTATTCTTATAAACTACCAGATATGTGAACGTGATGAAAGTATTCAGTCTTCATGTATATTTTACTTCTATAACAGAAATCGGGGCTGTCTCCCAGAATCATACTGCTTCCGCCCCATGGTTGGATTCCTCGAGAGAGTCATTCACATGTGGAGTGTCGTCTTCAGGACTGAATGGTGTGCTATGTTGGCCATTGTATTGGGTGCTGCTTTGTGTTTGCACATGGTTGCGAGTTCCAAAATGGAGGGAAGAAAGTACGCTTCCCTTCCAGGTATCATCGGGACGTGAACGTCCAGAAGCGACACGACCAACAAGAAGCGTTGGGACGGTTCCCTGCATAGTAATGAGAATGAGATTAAGATTAAAAAAAGGTGAACCCCACCCTGATGCTCGCCGCGATAACATCTACGTAAATAGCCGTATATGATCCTCGTGCATAGGTCACCATGTAGATGACCGAGATTATCGAGAGAAGGGCTGCCGACTCGGCCATAATCTCTACAATTGCCTGATAACCCCCAAAAGCTTCATCGCGATTCGCCCTCCCGACAGTGACGATGCGGAATACAATGAGAATTGTGCATAGCAAGGTCACTGCTAAGCTTAGTGAAAGATAAACCATGGTCCAGTCGACAGAAGTCGGGTGAAAGCTTTCGGGATCATGGACGTCTAAGATAGACCTTATGTTATAAAATTGTTCAAATACATTCGCGACTGCAATAAGTCAGCGGTAGGCTTCCGTAGGACGACTCGATGAATAATCTTACTAATTTCTACGATCATGCAGAGGATTGGGACAAAGATGGCCGACCAGCGCCTCCCCCAGACCATCCAGCAACGCCATATCTGAACGGTTGATCAGGTCATGATGGTCGATCCAAGAGAAACCGGGAGATACACACAATGGCGAAATCGACTAGGATATTTTGAATGACGCTACTTATACCCGTGGCCACATCATCAACTAAGAGGAGGGTTGAGGCTTTTTGTTCCCCCGCTGATATATTGTTGAACGTTGAGAAAATCGTCCAGAAATTTTGCCCGTGTGTTATGAAGCTGTAGCGTGTAAATGCCCAGTTCATGCCAACCGAAAATGTCCCTAGGATGTACAATGCGGTGATGACGGCTAACATGATCTTCCTGCTAGCTGTGTTACTCTGGTCTTTGGGACGTAAAGCTGTAATCGATGTTAAGAATCAGGTTTAGCAGTACTAATGGGCGCTGACCGAAAATATTCCATAATGTCGTCATGAAAATGGATGTATATATGCCTATAATATCTTCAGCGGTAGTCCAGTTCAACGATGAATCTTGTGAACTTGCTCTTACCATGTGCTAGCGCGGAAATGATGCATCGGTTGAACGCGAGACCGTTGATGGTGAATATGAGGTCGACCTCTTCGTCGGGAAGTTTGGGAACTACCGCTGAAGCCATGAGTTTAGTGTGAATTGTGTTCTAGTAGAATACAGTTTGTGTGAGTCGAAGCCAAAGATCTGGAAGGGAACTTGAAGTGCCATTCATAGGCAGACCCGAGGTGGGATTTTATTCGATACTCATTGGAAGTCGGAAATCGATCCAGTTTCAGGGTGTGGAGGTTCATCACGAAAACAAAGATGAACCCCGGCCCCATCCACCGATGAAACAGAGGGAATGTCGGGGAAGCCCTCAAAGCTATGAATGATCAAAGGCTGATTCACCCAAACGATTGTAACTGGTCTCGAATTGGAGAAAACTTTCCACTTAACCAAAGCGCGGAATATTGAAATAGCTGACACACGATGAGGATCCATGAGAACTGAAATGGAAGACCACCATCATGATACAGGCAACGATCAAGCAACGATAAGACGATAATATTAACCAGAGTGCTTCCATTCGATGGGAACTGATGCTCTGCAAGTCCTTAATTTTCTGCTGATACGCCCTGCGGTCTACAAGTTAGAACTTGAACTTGAAGAACTAAATGGGGCCGTCAATGGTCAGGATGAGGTAGCATAAGTACTTCGCTGGTTGAAGTCCGAGTCACAGTAAAGTACACCGGGGCTGGCGCTCTGTGCTGGCGCAGAACGCAGAAAGGCCCTGCTGACTCTCAGGCTAATGCACTTAAATGGCTGAATCTGGACACGGCGGCATCCACGTCTATGTTGGTCTTTGATATATCGCCTTTCCTTCCCACCCTTTCAATTGAAATTCAATTGTCTCACTCTTTCATCTTCAATCCCCAGAGATCTGTGTTCATCGCGGTCACTGCCTCCTTACGATAAATACAAATATGTCCATAAATATCTTCAATGATTGGCATAGCAGGTTGAAGCCTGCTATTCAGAAGTAGGCTGTTCTGTTAAAGGAACGGGAACACTGCGCTGAGCAGATAGTCTGAACTGAATGAAAATCGGTCCCAAAAAGTGAAAAGGGATAGTGGGAGGACATCAACTCGAAAACACGGGGTCATTGTTCGCCCTGTTGATTCATCGAAGCTCGAAGACAGGGATAGGAACGCCATTGGAGCTTTATGCAAAACAACACTAAGGGGAGTCACATGCGAAATATAGCCGTGGTGTATCAGAACAAGGGCAAGATAGGAACTGTACAGCCAATTCCTGTGTGTACAGGTCTCGGTCCTGTCCTGAGGGTTTCGATGGCGGTGCATTTTCATCAGGTACAAGCCGTAGATGTATATGGTGATAGGGGGAATGATAATGATGGTCATTGGACAATAGCAAGGGATGGGAACAGGTCCAGGAAGTGGGATGTGGAATATGGGAACAGGGCCGATGGTTACTGGTCGTAGGAATTGGAACGGTGTATGGTGGTCGGGATAGGTGATGGTCAAGTGGGTTCGAACTTCGTTGACGTAGGCAGGTGATAGAGAGAACGCGATCTTGGAATAGCTGCGGATGGCGATCGGGTTTGCAAATTGCCGTTGTTCCAGTGGGAGATCGTTCCGGACCGTCCTCCGTCCTCCGAACGACATGATGATTCGGCATCTCGGCACCAACTTTTCACCTCTTCCGATTCCTATCACCGCCAGACGACGTGTAAACGAAACTCCTGGTATGCATGTCCCTCAAATTTTGGGTGCTAAGGTAGTTCTACCGGACAGCTTTCTGATCGCCCGATGGTGGCTCTCCAAGCTGTACCATGGAGGGGGCGATGTACTGCGGGGATATATGCTTCAATAGTTGAATTCACTGTGCATTGGATGACACTAAAATGTATGAAAGGGTATGTTCTATAATATCCTGGGAAATGTATGCTCATCCGTCTTCTAGTGGTCTGCTCACGCAGTAGCACCTTCCATTCACTTCAAAGTCCCTCTCAACAAAGAGATCAAACGATTCCTTACACCGAAAAATCTTTACTCCTTCTTCAACTAATAGTCAACCTTTGACTGCCAAGTGGGTCGCTCTCCTGGGCTGTCAGATCAAATTTGGCAGTACTCAATAGTTGCAAGGCCTAAAAAGTCCCGAAATATAGACGTCTCTGAATTCGTTTGACGCTAGCGAGTGATTGGGTTTCGTGTTGACGCGTTTAATACGTTTCAGGGGCATCGCAGTCCAGAGACGTTTGGACCGTACAGGCCCGAAAAGGTATTGTAACGATCCGCATGAATGAAATGATAAAAGCTTACGATGATCTTCATGGCTGTAGATGCAGCTTGATCCCGACCACAGGAGCACGTACGGTACCATGCCAAATTTTTGATGGTCTCGAATCCGGGCCATCTCCCGGATGGCTGTATATTGTATACGGTGCGAACGAAGCTTTTGCATTATGCCTCCGGTGCAGGATATCGTAGATATAAGACCCGTTGACACAAAACGCCTGACTTCTTCATTTGTGGCGTCCGGACATCGCCTTACGGCATTGTGGTGCTTTCACGAGCAATAACGTCATCGTACATCACCTACTTCGTCTGCTTTCCGCACCAACAAGAGTGCATTCAGTTGCTATCCCACCAACAAGAGACACGTCCTGTGACCGTTACGGAGACTCCTCTTCTGCGAGCAATCGTGGCAGCTTGGACGTAGCAGCGGCGAATATCGCAGGGGCAAGCCCGGCGAGCATATCTATCCTTGGGAATACCAGCAGTACAGTTCTGGCCTCTATCTTCACCCGTCAAGTCCCTATTACCCACAGGCATGTGTCTACGGACGTGCCTCGCCAATGCTGTATCTGTAACAGCAGTTACCGCACCTTGATGTTGTATCCATTGCGGCTCGCTGTGAAGCAGTCATCCGGGAATTAGGACTTAATTCTAGAAACCGTCTGTTCACTCCGAAACAAAACTTCCCAACAGAACTTGAAGATTCTCAGCAGTGTCTTGTGACTTTCATTTCCGGGCCTTCGATCATTCTCCCCGCACACAACCATTATGGAGCCGTTATGGTTCCGGTCGTAGTGTTTTTCCGCAACAAGGTGTCATCCAATGGTGTCCGCGTCGAAGAACCAGGACCACATTCTTCATGTCGTTGTCGCCCCGCAAGGCCTTCCCTGGAACGGGATTCTTCGCTCATAGATTCTAACCAGCCAGTGTTGCTGGCATGACAACCTCCATTATCTATTCAGATGATACGCATCTGTGCCGCTTTTATCTTTTATCTTCTGAAGTCACTGTAAGAGGCACCTTTATTAACCTTGCTTGTTGGATTACAATTTTTCCAGCCTTAGACCGGGCGAGTGCGACCACTATAAGGCTGCTTGTAACATGATATTTGATGGCAGGCAGCTGGTAACTTGGTATTTGATGGCCTGCCTGCCATCCTGAAACGGCGTACGGAACTGCGAAATCAAAAAGCGCGTCTTGGTCACCGTGCACCTCTTCGCGTAGAACGTGAAGCTCCGTGACGTTAAGCTTCAGTGCGTAAGGCGCTGATGAGCAGAGATGAACGTTTCGGGCTTCGGGATTCCTAGACGTCAGTGATTTCTCTTTCGCTTCTCGTCAAACAAATCTGATATCAAGGATAGATGCTCGATAACATTTCTTACATGTTCTGCTTTACTGGAGTAAATCCACGAGCCATACCTACGTCAGCTAAACACGCTTCCTGAGCACAGTTGCTGGCTTACTATCCAATTTCATGATGGTATATGGCCTCATCCAGCCCTTTCGAACATGGAGTCGACTGCGCGATTATCTTTTAGGTTGCGGACCGTAGAAGCGATCTTTCGGCCCAAATAATCATTTTTTGACATACGCTATTCGCGGGCACCAACCTCTTTGACCTAGACGTTTGCGAGTTGATCGCCGCCAACCTGAGCTGGCCCTCAGGGAGGACAAATCACGTTTGATAACTTGTATTCACGCACAGTTCTTCTTACCCATTAATAAATCCCGTCTTCCCACTCGTGGGGAGGTTCCTTGTTGCCCTCGTTCTTCATACCAATACCACTCATCTCCACCTTCTTGCGTCATGCGTTGCCTATCCTGGATCATAGAAATTCCTGGCAATGAATGGCCCTCGTGCATTCCTCCCGGTCCATTGGCTCTCGCAGGTTTCTCCTCCCCGTTCTGTCAAATCTTCCCCTCGTTTACCTGAGTCCGTACGCCGCTTTAATGCAGTTCACGTAACTTTCTCTCACTCTCATTCTGCGAGATTCAGTTCGATGCGGGGACCTGGACCTAAATCGATTTTTTAATGATGTCGCCGGAACGCCATATGTTTAGGCGTCGTAGATGTATATGGGCGCGACGCCTGACTTGTGGAGCCGATGCAAACAAGTCCGCCCAAATGTACGGATGCCGCTTCCACCCTTGTCAAGGATCAACATCACAGACAGACGAGTGTATTCAACAGCGCTACCGATTTCTGGCCCTTAGTAACGACACACGTTCTTTTCATGTACGTGGCGTTGAGCTTGGCTTTTCATTGTCGAACAGAGAATTCCTCTAGAACACCGGACATACGGAGTCGAGAAAATTGCGGTAAAGTCTTCTGTCCAAGCATCATGTACAAGATACAGATCGGTATGCTACACGGGATCTCATGATAAGCTACTATCAGTTACTTAATTCCTCAATTTTAGTACAAATGAAAGAGTTCGTTCCTATAGGTGGGGATGAACACGACATGAGAGAGGAACAGTCCCTAGCTTTGCTTCTATTCTTCAGTATACCCAAGGAATCAAACCATACGGCACTTTTCGGTTCCACTCGGCCCATTCGTTACCAAATTTCCTCTGGAGCAGTTGGTCCTCAACAGAAATCCTCAGAATAAGACTAGTCACAACCGCCCCTGCCACCACTAGCCAATATATCACCAAAACCTTCCCGAACCACGTGTCCAGAAAGCCACATTCCGTCACCCACGATCCGCTTGACTGGCTGCAGATGGCGCCAGTAATCGTCAAGATCATCCCGGTGTAACTGGGGTGTCTGACCACTGCGTACGGACCGTCGGAAACCAGACGATGATCCTGACGAATGCTTAACTCGAACGTAAACAAACGCCCAAGCGTGCGGTAGCATTGCAGGCGAATCGCGGTTCCCACAATCGTGAGGAAGTTTCCGAAGAGGAATAGAGGAGTTATAGCGATTCCGTGATTCCTGTTGTTGAATACGATGGTGGACGTGATGAACCGTGACACGGCCAATGACGGCGTGTGGTTAGCGACGATAACGGCCATTTCAATGATGCCGGCGGACCAATATATTGCCTGTCAATGAGATATTGATGAGACGGAGGATGAAACTGTCGCCGACGCCTACTTACTCTCAGAATTACGCAGGGCCATGCTAGACTCTTGAGGAATTTCTCTCTCCAATCGGGCACGATGTGCTCGATGAGAGGGAGGGGGTCATTGGGAGGTTTCCCTGTGATACGCATGCCAATAGCGTCGGAAAATAGAAGAGGGACTTTGATGAGAGACATTGGAGTATTGGGAATTGAAGAAGAGGTGCGTCGTATTTATGTTATTCTCGATTCCAGAGAAGCGATGAATAAATTAGGTTAAGTGACCACGGTATCTGATGGTGCGAGGGCCTTGCGGCACTCGAACGAGCGCTCGAATACACGCACTCACATGATGACAGTGCTACCACAGCAATTATGGTCTCGACGGCGAAGAATATTTGCCGTAATGACCCTGGAGCGTGCGTAGAACGAACGATTCTCACAATGGCTGTCCCAAATATGCGAAAGGGGTGGTTCATTAAGAGCTTCGCCCCTGCTGCCGAGAAAGTATTTCATGACGTTAGGTGTAGCTTGACGTCGATCGAAGGGAATGTGATTGCGGATATGGTAGCAACTCGTGAGCCACGAGTATTTTAGCTTCTGATCTCTGAGATTCAAGGAACAACCCGGTCGGGACAACCCATGAACTTAGATAAGCATGCGAACATTTAGACCAATTGGTGTGCAGGTGGTAAGGCTTGCAGCACGAGGTGGGTGACTAAGCCACCTTCATAAAGCAAGATTTACAGTTGACGCCGGTTCTTGGTACTTCATGGTCTATGAAAGGAGGAAAATTGGACGTATCGGTGAATGCCTGGAGAAAGTTCCCGAGGATATAAGTGCTCGGACAGAGCCCGATATCAAAGAAGCTAGCATTTAGATGTCGGACCTTGTAGACCGCAATGATCCGTCCAAAGGAGCAGCAGCTTATTTTATACACGATCTTCATGCACGAAGGCGTATCCTGTGAATGCTACGTTTTCTAGGAAGCAGAATACAGGTAGGCCGCACGAAATGATATTTCAAACAAGAGATTCCAAGTCGATGGCGCGTGGTACTTGAAGTACTCACAACGTGTAGTATTACGTCGAAGTTGATACGCGACTCCTGAGTAATGAAATGCAGCCAACAGATATTAAAGGAAAGAAACGGTTCCGCTATAAGAAGTGAGTGCCATAGTGCCAAACATGCACGTAAGTGCATGGTACAGGCATGGTAATCTTATTCAAGCTTGCATTTCGAGGATCGAGAGATCCCAGAAATCCCAGGCGAAGATCGACATCGAATTTGGCGCCACCGCTGTTCATGAAATTCCGCAACAGTGTGGAGTTCCCGCCGGGTACATTTTAGTCACTGGAATCTAGGTTCTGGTACTATGGAGTAAATGGATATGTTCCAATCAGTACCGAATGAGGACCCGAACCTTATTACAAGTGTGTATACGAGGATATCATGTATATAATGCATACGCCCTAAAAGGACTCATCGATAATCTAGCAATCATTCCCAACCAAGATAATCGTCCCCAGGGATAGATGCAAAGATATGGTTTAGGTAAATATGTGGGAAGAGCCACATGAAAAGAAGTGGCTCCTGCTCGAGGAAGATCGATCCCCTTGTCTCTGACACCGGCTGTAATCAAAAGAACATCTGGGTTATCATTCATCTCCTTATGGAGACTTCGGGAACAAGAAAAAAACGATAATGATTGTGGAAATGAAATCTGTTGAATAGAATGGTCGAAAGCGGATGCAATAGCCCGAAGTCAGATTTCGAACCCAGGTTTACTTCCGGTAGCCAGGGCCAGAAATAACTTTAAGCCGTAGTCTTCATTATTGTTTGTAGATTTGTACGCCGCACCGTGCCATTATCGAATAAATCCCAAAGGATGGAAATCGCCTCCCACACATCGGGGAGAGCCCGGAATGGAGATATAGCATCATAACGCTGAACTAAAAAACCTGAAGAACATAAATTAATGAATTTATACGTTTGTGAATCGGCAATATCTATATTAAGGCATAGAGCTGCCTTGAACATTCACCAAGTCACTTTCAATTTGTAGAACGCTACTGCTGCACGTGATCGCGTCTAACAACACAAAAGCATTAAGAGATTAAAGGCAGCTTTGGACGCAGAATTGGTTTCGGAGTAACCAACGAAATTAATATCACTACTATACGAAACACCGTTCACAATGGCACCGGAAACTGATCTGGCCGAAAGGCAGTACTAGTTAATAGTCGTAGTAAGCAAGCCTGACCCATGATACAAAAGACGAGAGACATAAGTGAGCAAGGACTAGACAAATCGATTTCGTGAGCTGTCAAAGGAGAAGGAAAGGTTGAAGAAAGGTTACAGCATCCCGCGGGTCCATCTTTATCATCAGAATGAATGATCACTACCGGTACGTTGCAGTAGCCACAGCTCAAAGCGAGGTAAGTCTATTTGGAGACTAAGTGAGGAGGTTACACACTATATGATCGCACGTGAATTAAAAAGGCGTATCACCACGGAGTAATGAAGTAGGCATGTCGTCAACATGGATATATCCTAGCCTCAATATTGCAGCCTGATGAAAGACAAAGTAAGCCGGACCCTACAGGACAATCATAGCATGCACAACACCGTAAAGTATTGCCCTCTTGAAGCCCAGCAAAACGTACTCATAATACCCGATCATCAAGAAGTGGGGAGAAATTCCATCAGCTTAGAGTACGAAAATGCAAAACGAAAGGTACCACGGAAGCCCGCCATCCCCACCATCATGAATAATACAGCAGCCGTTGTTTGATACATACAATGTCAATGAATAACCGGCGTCAAGCGCCTTCCATATAGCATCTAATTCAACTAGGATGCTCGGTCAGGAAATCTCAATGGAAGTTGTGTTGAGCGCCCCTGCTCACCATGTGAACTACCAACAAGGCTTGTATCTACCAGGCCAAGGAAAGCCGCGTTAGGAGTATGCGGTAATTCATGATTAGTTTTATGTGCCGCGCAAGGACTGTGCAAATCTATCTGTAGCTCGCCGATCAGTGGCTATATGATCTGTATGCGGGTAATCGGAAACTCCGGGGGTGACAGGATATAGAGTGGACACTCGCAAGGCTGCCTGGAGGGATTTCGACCCTAAGTGGCCATACAACCTGCAGGGTAGTGGCAGGAACCTGCGGGTAAGCGTAGCGAGGGGTCTTAGAATCAGTGGACAGATCACCGTTAGCTTCGATGTACATCACGCTCATAGAACTCACCCGCAACAGAGAAAACGCCAGTTGTAGGAAAGGTGCACACCATCCTGAGAGTACTCAGAGAGGGGTTATAGCACCGGACATTAACTGTCAACGCCTATTTAATTACCTCAGACATCTAGTTCCATAACTTGGCATATCAGCTCATCGGCACTGCCCAGAAGATGATAGCTTATCACGGGATGGTATCCTATGGAGAATAGATAAGTCCTGGGGCAATCCTGTGACGAGAGAAAGATAGATGCGATGGTCGATATGGAAATAAGGTGCTTACATTGATGTTTATTTCTGAGTGTCGGCCAGCGTTCAAGTTCCGGTGTGTATTTGCGATAAGCACATATGCGAGTTCATGCAAGGACCGCTCGAGACACGGAATTTCCGACATTCCTGTCGATTGTTATGCGGAGGAAACGTAATCGTTGTCAAAAACGTTTCTCGATATTCAGGATATGTGAGAATCGAAAAAGCGGAGTCTTTACTTTCTGGTGGTTGGGGCCAGGTAGTCAGGTAGTCAGTGGAACGGCAGGTTATACACGTGAATGTCGAATAGGATTATTTGCACACCAGAGCGATTCTAGCCTTCCTGTCAAGCGATGTCGTTTAACAGGCAATAAGATGAGCGCTCACCAAGGCCATTCGTGCTGTTTCAGCTACTGCAGCGGCGAATGTCGCGGCAGAGTCCTTGACTGGTGATTCTAGAAACCTTTCCATGGTGGAAGGAAAGAGAACCTGGAGGGTTAACGATGTCTTTAAGTAACGATTTGGTCCGCTGTTGACGGATTCTGGAGATCGGTAAATTCCTGGGCGCTTGGGCGTACCATAATTAGCCTCCGTTATCATCGATAATCGGGCGTTCGTCAGTACACCGGATCTTGAGTATTGCTCGAGTTGAGCCCCCAACTGGTAGTCGGGTAAACAGATCATGAAGATCATGATTGCAGGTCCTGTAACACTGTGAGTTAAACTGTCAAATAAACGTGTGCACCTCTCCAGATTGAAGTACACAGATGGCAAACTAACCTCGGGCATCAAGTGCCGAATCTGAGAGTCCTTAGATTGGAACCATGATTGTTACAGTGATATGTGGAAGCCATAATCAGCTGCACACAGGAAAGGAACCTATACTATTTACTGTATTAACGAGTTCCCCCAAAGAACCATTTGTATCAAGGCGCCCCGCAAGTCGGCTATGCCAAGAAAGGAGGCTAGTTTAGATATGACTTAACGTTAATGAGAATTGCTCACATTTGCTGAAGAAAAATACTCTTGAGATGCGTGTATCTTTCGCTTTCACGCTGATACGTACGGCGAACGGACAGCAAGAAAAGAAGTCGTCGCCACGCCGGCCCGCATCTCCGACAGATCCGCTCCCGCTGATTATCATTATTACATAATCCAACAACTTGATGACGACACGCGCTTAATTCCTGAACATCTTCATTTCTAACCACCATCATCTCGCATCTTGCAAGCATAACAGAAAAACGATATGTCTGCGGTAGCAGACGGCCCTGAGGCACAAGACGCATTGTTTTCCATTTCTGATTCCGAGGCAAAATCCAACATACCAGCTGAGCTGGAGCGAGCAACTCTTCGTCTGGAATTCCCACCATCCTACGTGATTGTGGGCGTCTATCGTCTTTTCACGGATAAAACGCTCTACCAACCTGTATGGGCGAAATGCAGGCACGGGACTCAGAGAGGGGCCATTGTAAGCCTAATATGGGTCAGTTTCATTCGAATGAATTGGCGAAAGGGATCTTAACCCCAGTAGAGTGCATTGACCTTTAGCATACAAAGAAAATTTGTTGAGTATTTCATGGCCAAGTACGTTTTTCATGTCGAAGCAGTCTACCTGCCGCGCTTAGTCGTCGACACGTAGCTCACCTCGTGTAACCGGGTTATCGGGGGACACGCTATTCGGGTATCAAATGCCATTCAGTCTTTACACCTGTAAGCTATTCTTATTCTATTCTATAATAAGCTAATTACAGCGTCCAGATGCAACTGGAGTCCTGGTGGCGTCACAAGTGACCTTTATCATACGCTTCTTCCTTTCACGCAACATGCGCATTGCTCGAGACCGTGCCTGGGAACAAACAGTCGCTTCCCGAGGAAAGGGTCCCGACTTTTGGCAACCATATGTTGAAGAATGGACGAATCCTCCAGTAGTCAAGAAAACTCCTCTCGTACAGCGCTGGCTCAGCGGGCGTCTCGGCGCCATCGTCGTTAAGCGTACATCTTTTCCGTATACTTCTCAAAATATGACTGCTATATCTGTTCTCTAGTAATGCTTTGGCCTTTTGATCTTGTTCCGCTTGTTGGACTTTTCATCTCTGCGTGGTTCAAAGGCCTCGGGACTGCTCGAGTTCTCCATAGGCGATACTTCGAAGCAAAACAAATGACTCCTGCACAAGTTGCCGTTTTCATGGAAGAAAGAAAGTGGGACTATAGAAGTGAGCACCAAGACCTGGCCTGGAATTCACATCTCGTAATACTATTTTTGTAGTCTTTGGCTTTACTGCAGCCCTACTTGAGGGTCTACCGATCATTGGCATTGTCTTCACCATTTCGAATAGGGTCGGCGCGGCGATGTGGGCTCATGGTATTGATTTCGCTGTGATTTTCAGATTCTTCGCTGAAGATTCTTCTATAGATTTAGAGAAGCGACAGCACTTCTATGCGTCGAAAAAAGCAACCTAAAATCACATCTGGCACGAACTGTATACTAGCAACAGAGAAACTTTCATTTCAAAGCTCTCTAAGTCTCTATTGTTCTGCTCTTTGTGTCAGAGGTAGACCAGATGATGGATGAACGAACTTGCCTGCAAAAATCCACAGGGTGCCCCTAATCCCGATTTGGTCATCACAAATTGCCGCACCTCAAGGCGGGGACTCCGACATGGTTTACGGCGCCTTGTGAGAAGGCTGGTGCTTATTACAGACTAAAGCATCTCGTTTCATTCATCAATGACGCCAGGCTATTTTGGTGGGGCTGGATCACCGGTGTTTTGTCAGGAGCCCCACAAAGTCGTAATTCAGACATGAACCAGTCCTTCATCTTATATAAATACTCTTCAATTTTTCACTGAGCGCCAAACCATTGGGTAACGCAGGTACGTATTGCTACGTCATCGAATAAAAAGCCACAGCATCACCCTTTCTCACCAAACAACCGCGCACACCAATCAATGATCACCCACGTCGTTGGACTCAACCGTTCCTCCTTCTCCCCTGGAATCACAAAATCAAAGAGCATATCATCGTGGATCCCATTGACTCCCTTCGTAACCGCGAAGTGCACGTCTCCCTTCAAATATTTCTCCACCAGCAGCTTATGTGTCGGATGCATGCACTCCTTCTCCCCTGAGGTAACCAGCACTTTATGTGCCAGCGTATCGATCATAAATGGTCGGCCTCCAAATCCTACGGGATCGATGAATGCCTTATCTCCTTCAGGAACATCACAAAGGATCTGACTGCCCAAGTAATGGTATGTACGTGCACTGATTAGGTCGTACTTGTCACTGACTTTGAACGACTCAGCTCCGTCAAGGCATATCCAAGGAGAAATGAGCAGGACACCGAGAAACTTTGAAGTTGGAGTGACAGTAAGGGGAGGAATCGTCGGTCGCGGATCAATAATATGCTGTAAGATTTGGAGGACGAGGTTCCCTCCGGCAGAGTCCCCCGCAATGAGAAGGTTCTGTGGCTGTACTCCGGCGCGAAAGAGATGTTCAAGAGCGTTTTTGGCGGCAATAGCTTGGCTGGGGAATACCGCGTCCGGTGCAAGTTCTAGAGAAATAGCCAATTAGAATCGAGACGGGAACCCAGAAAAGAGCCGCGGACGAACTATAAGCCAGTAAAACGATGCCTATATTGATATTCCGCTTATTGAGTTCTAATTGTAGAAGCCGGAAGAAGTGCATGAACGATGGACTGCAGCCAAATAAGAATGCGCCACCTGGACGTCCTTCAGCTCAACTAGAGACGACCAAGCCAAACATGGCATACCGTGCACGTAAAATAGAACTTTGTCCAGTCTCTTTGGACCCATCCATAGGAGCTTCGCACCGTCCGGTAGCTCTTCCATGACGGGTACGACTCCAGCGCTATTGGTCCACTTAATGTATGTATCGGTAGTTTCAACCAAGATGAGCTTCACGAAGGTCACACTGTGCGCGGCCAATCGAAACAATGCATGCGTGCAGACAGCACGCCAAGTCTTGGGGCGTTCATACGTGAAAAACGATGTCGCGAGTCGGCCGAGAACGTAGAACGCTGCGTAAAGTGATACTAGGATGGTAACGAGAGAATGAGAACAAAAGCACATACGTAGAATGAGTGAAATGACAACGACTTCACAACATTGACGAATCGTGGCCATGGGGAGGAAAGCTGGTGGCTCTGTGGGTCTTTGACCTGTTTTTAAATGCGTTTATAAATGTCGTGCGTATCGCGGCTCCGATGGTCCACGAAGATCTCCGGACAGTGAAGAAGAGATAATTTGTGATCCGTTCGTGGCTGAAGTTAATATTAATAATATGACGGGTGGCAGGGAAAAGCGCCGACTTACCAGCAGCCATGAGAATAGGGAAAGTTATCGTTGTTTTGGACGAGACTGTGCTCGCGTATCCACGTTCTGGACACTGGACCAGAAGTGTGTAAACTAGGCCTTCTGGGTAACGAGATGCTAAAGCGGGGTTCAGCATGAACGCTGATACGGAAATGGAGACGAAAAGAGCATCACGGAAGATGATGCATGCAGCGCGCGACCCGGCTCACTGTTTGATAGAATATTATCTTAAGAGCAGAGGCTTATGTCAGCTGCCGACGATGGAGTGTAAATGACGTACAGTTCAATCTTCGAAAATAGAAGAGTAGGAAGTTCACTGAGGCGATTTTAAAACTCTAGCTAAGAGTCTCTTACGAATGCTACGAGAAAGTTGAAGCTGACGAATCTATGAGCAATAGCAAGGCAAGGAATGATTGATGAAGCGCGAACGCGGTGTCTCTTGGTGGATTACAACCAGTTGCAGAAGGTGGAATGAGAAGGCACACGTCCACTCTGGATGTCGCGGGTAAGCCACGCGTGATAGGCAATGCAACGGCAAGGACTTCGGCATTCTTCATCTCCACTTGCTTATGGCAGGGCATGCGCTACATTTGCTTCTTCTCCTGCCGACGAGCACATAAGAAAGCCGGGCTTACCAAGCAGGGCTCTTCGATGTTATGACGTGCTCTCAGGTGACCATATCTGTATATCTTGCGAATATCACTTCGCCTAGATGCATGAATCAGGTCCTGCCCTGCAGATAATACGCATTTCTCACCAACACTAAGGTTCTTAGGACCCTTAGTGATGATCCAAGCAATACGACCTTCTGTTGACCGTCACAGATACGATTCCTGCAATGTTTGTGCGTGGCTTTCAATCCATGGTGCTAGGGAGATATTAGAAAATGACCTCCGGGGTCGCGTTTTTTTCTCTCGCCGATATGCTACTGTCGCGATGTGGAAGAACTCGGCGCGTCTCTTCCCATTGAGCAGTAGGTCATCACGAAGTACCGTCGACAGAACACCGACCTTGGAGTTAAATTATTTCTATTTGATAGTCTATTCGTCGCCGAGCGACTTCGCTCTCGGGGGACCTGTATGATCATCGATCAGTTGCCCATGTTAGATGTCAGCGATGCTCAGAATGGTGCATAGCAAGTAGTAGACGGCAAAGTTAGTGGAACGATCAGGCCGAGATGCCGGCATCGGAGCTTGACGGGCTTGTGGGCGGCACAGGCGACCATCCCCAACCAACTTTTTGGCAGGGAGGTATCTGTAAATTGTAAGCATCTATATTCCACGCAACCATTGGCACCTGCTCTTATAGTTAAACAGATAATTGGTGTCATCGATAGTGACGTCTATATCCTGTGAAGCGTAATAAATGACGTTGAGCTACGTTGAGGTGGTCGCGCGTAAATTCTCGGGGCGCTGTCACCTGCGCCTGGCAACTTGACAGCCACGATGTGATACAAATCCTTCAGAGGTGTCTGTGCAAAGGAATGCTAGTAACCTAACTGCCATCCGTGGATGACTTGCGGCTAACTCGGTGCTCCGTAGACCATGTTAAGACGGCTAAGCTATGCGTCAAGAAGCGAATGATCAAAGACGTATATTTGAGGCTTCTCATGCTGTCCCCACATGGCTTGATATCAGATATGTCGCCGATTTGACGAGAATGTAGGCCGAGTGGCATCGTCGTAGAGTCATAGATATGTTAGATATGCCAGCGGCCCGCCCTCCTACGGATTGGTATTTGGATTCCAGGCCATGTGGAGCGTCGAAATAGGATCTTTTAAACACAGTGACGACATGACCTTGAAGCCATCAGAAGCTTAGCAGACAAGCCGATGCAGACAGAACTGATTTCGAAAGTCGGTGATAGGTACTCTTGACGGCTCGGTGAGATGGAAATGTGCGCCCATACCTTGTTGAAGTTTCCCCCTGAATATATCAATGTGATTAGAATAGATGGGAGATACAATTGGCAGGAAAAAGAAATCATAAAGAGCTTGAGATGGGTGGATGAGGGAAGAATGAAAGTGCCGAGACTCCCACGTGGTACAAAATAAATGTACCTTGCATTAACCCGACTGCCCTCCTGACGCGTATTCCGAACTTATCGCTTACAAAGCATTGACTCCACCATGGCCTTGCTGCTATGACAGCACCAGACGCGTGTTCTAAACTTGGTTTTGTCATCGTACTGTTTCAGTTGCCAAAATTAAATGTTCTCTGATGCGGTTGCTAACCTGGCGATAGTAGTCTCGGGGCTGCAGCTTCCTGGGCTCATATATCACCGGGGGTACACTCTATTTACGACTCCCGCCAAGCCCAAGTTCATGACGGAATTCCAGACCCTGCATTTCCCGAAATCTGGAATTTGGTCTATTCATCAAGAAGGCACGCGGATCCCTCCCACGCCTCCTTGGGCCTCAGAGGATGTACCGCTCACTCTTCGTCGGGACCATGGGTTAAATGTGTTCTTGTGGCTGTTCTATTCGGACCATCAACGCAATTCCTTCTCTTGTTCGCGTTTCCGACAATGACTGTCTCTGGCTTGCTAGTACTGGTAGTGCAATATATTTCTTCGTATAAAAGGACTATGGGCAACCGCAAATCATACTCACTCATCGAGTCTTCTACGTAATTTCCTTCCTTCACTAGCAGTCCTTCTCTAGCAGCCATGTTCTTCTTCCGCGCACTTACTGCAGCTTCGGCATTCTTCCTCGCCGTCAGCCCAATCCTCGCTTCTCCAGCACCTCTCCAAGCCGACCTCGTCAAATTCGACACTGACTTGGTAGCCCGTGCAGATGTAAATGTTCTCGACATCTTCAGCGACCTCAAGGGCGTCGCCGATCAGATCCTACCAGAAATTGGTATGCATACAACTATGGTGAAAACATCGACTAACGCTTACCTGCCGTACTTTAGAGAGTCTCATCAAGAACAACACTCTCACTCAGGACTTGGTTATGCCCCTCATCAACGACCTCATGGGGGCAATCAAGAACGCGACGTCCGAGTTGGGAAGCTTGGATAAGTCTTCGGTCGTTGTAGGAGGTACGAATCAGGAGCTCGCTACCCTGGTAGCCGGGATCGTCACAGTACGCTTGATCATACTCTCCTCCCCTCCTCCGATCTCATATGTACTCTAGGATATCTCGGGCACGATGGACGGTTTGACGACTGCCAGTGTCGATTCGTCTTCCTTGGACTTGGGCTCTATCCTTCTGGACGTGGGTGGTGTTCTTGCAGGACTGCTCGTTGCTGTCGTTGGAATAGTGGGAGGTCTTCTGGCATTGTTGCTTCCTCTGTGCGTGTTTTGTTTACGCCGATTACGAGCCGATTTTGATATGGCTATAGGCTCCTCCCTGTCGTGGGTCTCCTTGTGACGATTGTTGTGGGATTATTGGGCGGGCTTTTGGGTCTCATTCTTTGAAGGACGATTTTATACGCATATTCTGCTAATACCGGACAGACGAGTCATATAATGCATATATAGTCCATGTGAATTATTCATTTAGGCAGGTGCTGTTCGCTAAACAGGTCGTGAGTAATCTTCAGACAAATAGTGGTAACCGACACGTACTGCCATTTCGAATTTGTACAACGTCGCTCTGGATACTCACAGCTTCGCTGTCGCGGATTGCTATGATGACTGACGTTCCTGAGGTGAGATCAGCATGGGTGTATAAAGGAAAGGAGAGATGTTGGGCCCACCTGCGGAAAGATTGACAGTCCATGTTACGTTCGTATCGTCCTGTTGACCTAGGTCTTCGAGTATGGGACCATCCGGGTCGCTTCCTGGGACGATGCTATGTAATAGTAAGTAATTGGTCATAGAATTGGAAGTTAGGTGGTTATACAACTGCGGAAGGGTAAGCCAGAGTGGTGGGTTTGAGAGCAAGATAGAACTTACGACGTAGTAAGGTGCTGAAATAACCGGGCCTATCGTTATTATGCATACAAACAGGGAATACAAATACGCACAGAAACCGCCGCTCCACTTGAGGAGGGTGTCATTGCATTGAACCAGGGTGCAACTGGGGGAAATCATGAGCCCCAATGCATCTCATGGTATAGATGAGCTTACGGTGTATCAACAGCGAGGTCTGACTCGTTACTGAATGCTAAGGCCGTCGTAGATATTGCCAACAAGAAGAAAGCGAGGATACCAACCATCATGGTGATAGTAAGGAAGCAGAAACTCCTGTGGAGCGTCGCTTGGCGGAGATAAATAACGGCAGAAATTTCAAAACATAATGTCCCGAGTGACCTCCGAAAAATTCACGAATGATAATTTCGCCCTTCGTTTCTGAACGGGGCGGGTCTCTCAGAATATTGGGATTGATAGGGATATCAGCGTCAAACATGCCCCAACTATTGAAAATACTCTGTCAACAGCCATAAATTCCTAAAGACACAGTGATGAACTTACAGCAGATTCTCCGGTGACTGCATCTGCGGAATGGCGACTAGAATCGGCTCGCCAAAGGTCTCTGAGAAGCAGTTCCCCATCGTCAAAAATTTGACACAGGTGAAGGAGGCTGGTTGATCAAGCACCTGTATCAAGAGAGGTCCAGATGAACCGACACCCCATAGGTATGGCAAGCGCTCGGCCTCAGGTGGGAGATTCGCTAATTCGCCAATGCGGGATGACTTTGCGATACAGCCCACTCAGCTCGTCCACACCTTGAGGCCATACACCATATGACATATCCAGAGTCGATAGGAAAGATTTTTGAGAAACAAACTTGCTGAAGCCTATTAATTGTACAGAAGAAGCGCTGACAGTTCGGAGTTTTACCTCCTAGACTCTGTCCTCCTCATTCCGGTTCGAATTCTACAAGCAGTCATTAGTTTCAGTCCTATTCTGTGGATCATGCATGAGGTACCGACTAGTTTACAAACTGCTTGAATGTTTCGTAACAAGAGAGAATTATCAATCTGTTGTCCAGTGGTCTCATACCTTCACTGAGACGGCGAGCGGGGCGAAGCACTGGAGGGAGATGTGCATGGACAACAGTGCGTGTTGGCGGATACTGGCCCATCGAAACACTATCTGCGAGTTCAGTGGTAACGGGAATCTTGTAGAACACGGGCGATGTGCCTGTCATGGTAATTCCAGGCATAATCTTGTGAGCGATAGGATCCTGTCCGAGGATACGCGTTCGCTTGTCGTTATTTGCCTGAGAGGCAGCAATCGCTTCCGCTATAAGCTGCGGTTCCGGATCTATTTCCACCAAGTGTTGTCAGTCCTCTTGAATAAGGAGCAAAATCTCATCGGAGTCCACAATACAAACGTCAGTTTTTGCATGATGCTGCTCCCCGCAGATGAAAAGCGGAATGTCTACGCGCGAACGAGCCACCCTGGGTCGTCACGCGTAGCCCAATGTCCTCAACAACTCGATGGCGAAATCGTCCACTGCAGACTCCTGTGCAGGAACTAGATTCATTGCCAAATCCATGTATCGCAAAAGTGAATAGTTCCCTTCGTCTGCCGTAACTTCGGCTGCAACATTGTGCAAGATTTCAGCAGCGACAGGTGGTTGTGGTAGGGGGTCGACGCCAAAAAAGGTGGTTGCGTCCTGGTATTCGACAACAATATTATACGCACGGAGTTCTCTTCGTCCCCAGTCGCTTCCTGATTTGGCTGTACGCAAGAGATTGGTCATCCTATTGTGAGATGGTTCAATAAGAAGGGATCAGACGACGTAGTATGAGCTGCAGAACAAGGAACTCAACTGCACACAGAATGACTGTAGGTGGTGGCTAACAAGGGCTCATGAGTCGAGGACTCAACGAACTAGGTTACCCCTGTGGACTGGTCAAATTTGAAACTCCGGGATATGCCGAGTGACAGCCGATCACGTGCAAGCATGATTGCGCGTTCGCGTCGTTGAAGGTTGTTGAATCCAACGTCGTTTTTCCCTCCGTTCATCTCCATTTCATGTCCGACAATTACAATGGGCCATTGGTGCACTGATCCTTGAAGGTATAAATTGGCTTACGTCTGTTGTTGATTTGTCGTTTTCCCGACCAAACTGCCGGATCTGGTTTCCTCCAACGTCGTGCCCTGTGCCTTGATTTTGCTTATTGTTCGGGGTCGGCTGCCATAGCATCGCTACATTCACTGGGTAGATAAGAACAAATTTCTTGTTTTCTCCGGAATGTCTCATAAAGTCTATGTACTTTTTTTACTTCGGGTTTTGGGGTTGACCTCGGAGCTAGGCACTGGAGAAATCACCCACAACGATCTCACAAAGACACATGACTATCTGACCCCTTTTTATGAGTCTGCTTTTTTTATTGTTACCGATCTTTCGACGATCGCGGCTTAGGAATATCAATATACTCAGTGCTATACCGCGGGGCCTCGGAATGATACTTTCTAATACGCAATGACCTTTCTTATGTGAGGCTGTTAACGGAAACCATGACAGTCATTATTCAAGCATAATACATAAGCCGAGCGCGAACTGAAAAGCGCTTTAATCATTGCCTACAAGAGTCTGCTATAAATCAACGAGGTTGTCCCGACTCATTTTCAACTTCTTCGACGTCTGTAACTCATTGCTATCTGCACTACCCCTCGAGCTCGAACGCTCTCTATCACTACGGACCTGCCGTTTTTGCGAACTGAATTTAGGGTCTGACGCTGAAGCTGTGCCCGGAGACCCCGATAAGCTCGCCCCTGCTTTGTCCATACCCATGTGAGACCTGTAATGCCTTCGCATATTAGAATTGACGTTGAACTGTCGTCCACAGCCTGGGAAGGGACATGGGAATGCTGCATGTTCTTGTAAGTCGACCTCTATAATTCTTATCTGGCGATACAACTCACGTTTTGCGCCCGTATGAGTGTTCTCATGTATCTTTAGGCTACTCGGCCGATTGAAACACTTGCCGCAGAGTTTACAAACGTGCCTTCTGCCGCTCGGAACACTAGTATTCTCCAAGTCTTCGTCCCCTTCCCCCTCGCTCGATGTCGTGGTCGAGTCGCTAGTATGTGATGGCGAATGGTGCCGCAAGGTGCTAGGGCCTGAATGCACAATATGTCTGAACGAAATAGATGACGAGTTTGCATCCGAGCGCAGGACGTGGAAGGATGAAGATGCTTTGCGCTTCCCATTGGTGGGCGGTGGGAAGGATGGGATGAATCTGGGCGGTTCGCTGCCTTTTACACGCAGGTCTGGCGGCACCCTGAAGAGGTGCTCTGAAATACAAAATGTCAGTGGGATTTACATTCAGCATTGGCTGGACGATGATACCTGGAAACATGGACTCTAAACTGGGTAGGGAGACAGTGGACATCTTGTGTGGTGGCAGAGCGCCAATCTCCCCAGGGGCACTGCCAGTTATATTATCCTCTGCAGATCCCGGGGAATATCTAGGACACCGTATAACCTCACATCTATCTCCGGACTTGATGTGGATCCATCTCTGGTTAACAATCATCATTGCAATCTCTGCAGCTTTGTGTAACGATCTATCATATATTCGGGAGTGTCCAGCCCCCATGCTCTCGTATTTCTGGAATCGTGGTCGTCTTGGAACTTTCTGTGCGCCTCTCGACCTCATCAACTATGCACCTGATATACTGCACAGCCTTCCTGGTCTCCTTATCAAAGAAGGGAGCGGCGTACCAGTGCAAATGATGACCATCATTGTGAGACCTTCACGCACTTTTAACCTGCGCTGCGGGGATAGGCATCAGATTGCTACTATACCAATGTAGTCTCACCGGAAGTTGCCCCTCGTTTTCCTTCACTTTGGCCTTCTGATGATTGCAACACTCGGTCTGTAACTTTAATCTATTCATTCGGATCCTCTTCCGCAGAAAAAATCCCTACTGCCCTGTACTACAATACAATGGCAACGTAAACCGTTGTCCGAAACATGCCGGAACGAGTCATTGGGCGCCTTACAGATAGAAGACGATGCTGGGTTCTTTATCAATTCTTTATGATCAGTGGGACTGATTATCACTGCATCTTCTACGATACTTCGTCAACATGATCAGCGGGAACTTGATATAAATCCAGGCATCCTCGAGGCTTAGGCCTCGGGCGGGGGCCAGGTCCAAGTATGCCGATTTGTCTATTGATTCCCATTGAGATACGCATCGTCTCTTCTGCCGTTGATTGTCACCGGGCGGTGACGTTCAGGAATCAGTATTCTCTCAATGGCTCTTAGGGTATCATTATCATGATGGACACCGCATTGACTTGGCTGCATATATTGTCTATTTTACGCTCTGCACACGGTAAATTCCTGGGTAACTGTCTCACTCCATTTTGGTCTAGTTCCATTCACTCATTTCTATTGTCGCGACTCAGTAGTAATACCTTCTGATCATGAACCAGAGTTCCTGTGGCCCTGGGCTTGGCGACACTGTCTCTGTTGTTCACGATGCAACTGAGGTGGCTCCGACCTCTCTCTCGACGCCCGAGGCATCAATCTGGTACGACTTCCTTTCATGTCGGACTCCATTCAAGCGGTTTTACACAATCCAAACATACTAGTTCACAATATTTACGGTGGACCATTTCATCAAAGCCAGAACCCATCTTTCAGTTGAAGATTTACGCAGCTTTACGGTCAAAGAAATCATTGTCGGGGCCAGCCTTTTGATCGCGGCTTCTCTGCTACTGATCATATCGAGGATCCGACTTGAAGTTGAGATCAGAAGGCAGAACAGATTCGCCGGGTTTGGGGTAGAGGTTGCGAAACTGATACTAATGAAAGTCGTGATAATAACTGCAGTAGTTTTCGCACAGGGTGATAGTACCCAGGGAGTACCATCATCCAACTAAGCGTAACTAAGTGCTACAACGCATACAACATTAGGTTGTGTTACTCTGCAATATCTGATTGCTCTTATGTACGCTGCACTACTCGTCTTGCCTCACAGCCGAACAGTGTCTGATGAGTCACTGTGAAAGACTAGTTGACCTTGCAAGGAACGAAAAAGGAGAAGTCTGGTAAAATAATTTGATGCAGAAATTTGCAAAAACGTGGCAAATTCAAATTTCCCGATTCTTTCCGAAGAATGAGGAAACGATAGAGGGTTATTATCGGGGCGTAACTGTCTTGAGCAGTGCCAAACTGTCTGGACAGGGGCTATACTCGGGGTCAGCTTAGTAATTTTTGGTGATAGGCGATCATCTGGCACGCAACGGCTTATTTGCCGAGCGGTTGCCGCTGTGGCTGAGAAGCCTTTCTTTCCGAACACTTCCTATTGGTTTGCGGGCTGGTCGGAAAACTGTCGACATCAATTTCCTCTTCATTGCCTCTCACCTACTATCACCTTTTTTGTTTGCACGTCACAAGTGATTCCTGCCTTCACTGTCCTTTTTCTGCTCTGTGACTGCAGATGCCCTCAAGAGTCAACTACTGTCTGTTCTACAGCCCCACTCAGCGGGTTAATAAAAATCTGCCTCAGTGCTATCGCTCTGGTAACGCGTTGTGGTATTATGGATCCGCTTATCTTCAATGGAGTTTCCTGTTACATCATGTAGATTTGATATAGTGAGAGAATTCAGTGTTGATGTGAACCTGCAAATCAGAACATCTTGCTACAGCAAGTAATGTGTGCTGATTGTTGTGTCTGGTTTTCGGGAAGTGCATACCCGTTCATGGTCAGATTTTTACTGCCATGTGACAGTTTGATGAACGTTGTGATGTGTTCATTGTGGACTAATCGACCTTGTGATGGCATGAGGTGCGCAGTATTAGAGATAATATTTTCTTTCTTGAGATGGTGCCAGGTGCGTAGGGCATGTAATTATAAGATGCTGTTCAGATGCCCACCAACTTGTGATCTCTCACATACTAGATGGCAGACTAAGTTATGTTCACCTTCCTTGGGGCCTCTAGTGTGAAATGACAACTCATCAATGAGTTTGATTTTAATGCCAGAAATTTTATCGTTCTTTGCAATCTTAGTATAGGTCGTCGAACGGAGCGTACTCAGGCTCAGGTGATTAAATTTAGAGTGTGCAAAATGCGAGCTGGCGGCGCAGCCGCCGAGCGAGCTTTTTGCACTACCACTTTATTGAGCAGCTTGAACAAGCGGATATACTGTACTATTTCGTTCAATTCGAACGCGACCCAAGAATTTTGGGCCCAAAAAAATCCAAAAGAAATCGGAATAATCGAGAAAAAATTATTTCCGTTCTCCGATTTTTTTGCTGTGACGCGTGATGTTCGAATTGAACGAAATACTGTACAATTTCGACCAAGTGTTCAGTAACGCGTAACGCTCCGAAAAAACAGTTGGTGCCAATAAATTTCTTTCGATCTCCCCGATCTCTTTTGTATTTTTTTCGACCAAAATTTTCCAAATTTATGAACACTTGGTCGAAATGGTACAGTAGTACAGTACATGTACATGCCGTTTCTTCGCCCAAAGGAAAGAATCGGGGACCCGGCAACTGCCGCTACTGGATCTAGTCCAAAATTAGCGTTCCTTTTTCACTTCATTCCTTCACCTTCTTCGCTCGGTAAACGCCCGTACTTCATCGTCGTACTTCTTCCTTCTCGAATAGTGTTTCTCACCTGAAGTATGAAGATAGCTCCGCTCGCCCTCCAGGTCATCGTTAGAAGGAACCTATGAATAGAGCCTGTGCGCGAAACAATATTTTCATGATGACATTGTTGAAGATTACCTTTCTGATATAACAAAAGTACAGTTGCCCTCCAGCATCTACCCGGTATCGAGGGAACCGTGTTCAAGGACTATTCGCTTCGTGTTGGCTATGGATGCAGTGGTGCAAAGCGACGATCATCGGGAAACTACGGATAAACCTCCGGGACCTGCCCTAAATAACACGTGATCCCGACGCGACTCCACTCCATCTGGCGCAATGCCGGATACTTGCCAGTACTCCGCAGTTTGGTTGAGGACAAGCTGCTCCATAAGGCACTCTGTTATCGATCTTTAGCACGGGATTCCAATGATCCGGCTTTATTGCTCAATTGACAGCTCTGATGGTCCCTCCGACGATACGCTTATATTCCCCTCCTCGCGGATCGGGACTCGTATGTTTTCCTTTCTAACGTATATTCATTAGCTTACCATTCTCTTCTGTATAGATGTACCCAAATTGTACGGTATCACTTTGAAGTCGTCGACATCCGCTCCGAGTCTTTGAAAGCTACTTGCGAAATATGTTGATAAATGATCTAGTAAGCTCCCTCTTTGCGTTATTCTCACCTCTTTCATAAACACCTCCAAAACATGTAGACGACGGTGAGAGGGAGAAACCCGACAACCCGATAAAAGTTACTTACTCAATGGCAGAGCGGCAGCCGGGAAAGTAAGTGTGGGAAGTTCCGAACATCATTTTCTCCAATAGCCACACGTGATGCCCAAAATTAAATAAAAGGCTTGGATTGCCTGAGGTTTCGCGTCACCTCATGTCCTACTACCCTCCCCAAGGTTCGTCTTTCATCCCTTGAGTTTCTACGATTCACTTATTCTCTGGACAGGCGCACCTGGCCAAGGCGGCTATTATCCGCAGGTGCGAGTTTCCTTTGAAAGACGATAATATGACACGCACTTACCTTTGAACACGCAGCCTCCTCCACAGGCTTACGGGGGAGGCCCTGGTTACATGCCCCAGCAGCAGCCTCAGACAATCATTGTGTACGTTGCGTATTTTTTGCAGTGCGTAATCTCACGCACCCGTTTTCTAGCCAACAAGAACCCCAGAAGAGCGACGACTCAAATTGCTGCATGGCCTGTCTAGCCGGCATGTGTTGTTTCTGCTGCCTCGAATGTACGTTTTTCCGGAACCCGTGTATCGGACGTATGATATTGACTGATATTTGCTTACTAGCGATATGTGATTGAGCGCTACTTTGCGATCTTGGCATGTCATTCCCGTGTATATTGTTTCGTTGTGCCAAGAATTCGAACCTTTAAATACTGAACCAATGATAATGACTAGACCAACAAAGCATAACCACTGCTAAGACGAATAGCAAGGAATATTTAAACAGTAATGAAGTGTGCCAAGCTAGTACAAGACACGCCGATGCCGCGAAGGTATCTCGCTGAGGTACCGGCGGAGATCTACGCACATGCTCGTATACCGTCGGCTAATATGCTGCCCCAAGAGGCGCGATGTAGCCGCCGGCTCATCGCGTCATGTTCCGCGGTGCTCAAATGATTCTCATTTCCGGGGTGATCGTCCGTTCATTCTTGCTTATTATGCAGGGTCCAAAATTCTTATCAGTTCAAGGATTCTCTTTCCAGGACATCTCTTTCCAGGACATCTCTTTCCAGGTAAAGAGGTATATTTTGGAGGTGAAGCGAATCCGAAAATCGATCAACAGCGCCAGGGCGATTGTGTGCCCAGAACAACTTGGCGCCACGGAACGACTTCGATCACCTAGGGTTATGAGTCATTCAGAGTCATTATGATGCGGGGCTTTTCCTGTCGCATTCATTCCCTGTTTTTTCCGAGATACAGTGTCTTCTATTATCCAGCTATAGGGGATCTTACCACATACAGCTGCCAACGCGATTTTAAAAATGGACCGGAACCTTTGAACAATCCATTGTGGACGAACTCGGAATCTTGAACTTGTCATGTGAAAGCAGCGTGGAGAAGTTTGTGCCAAGGGCCTCAAAAAGTATCTATCACCTAGAGACGAACCAGAGCGAGGTACAGGACCACGCAGCGACCCACAATCATGGAAAATTTGGTACGTCCGATGTCCCCCCTCGATCCTGTCGACTAAAAAAATATCCTTAGTCGTTTGGTAAGCTCTAGACAGTCCAAGAAATCTATGCAGCCACTTAGCGGTCTTCGCTCTTCTACGTTTACTAGAACAGATAAACGGTTCGTCTGCGGCGGACTCCTCTTCACCGTAGGAATTAATCGCCCAAGGCACAGAATTCAAAGGAGCTTTCTCCATGTTCGACAAAGGCACGTCGTCCCTCATAGAAAGAATAGTACTCGACAGTTTCTCATCTGCCTCCTCACCTACAGATGGTGACGGAATCATTACTTCCGCCGAGCTTGGGACGGTGATGCGCTCCCTAGGACACACTCCCACTGACGCTGAGCTCCAAGCGATCATCAGTCAAGTCGACGGGGACGAGGACGGGACGATCGACTTTCAAGAGTTTTTGGGCCTCATGCAGCGGCGAGTTGGGGGAGATTGGGACGCGGAACTCAAGCTGGCGTTCAAGGTCCTGGATAAAGACAGCAACGGGACGATTACCGCTCAAGATTTGAAGCAAGTTATGGCGAGTCTTGGTGGGACTGTTTTATTCTTTAGTTTATGCTCTTTGGAGCCTGATGCGAATAATGCGAAGGGGAACGCTTGACGGACGCGGAGCTCGATAGTATGATCAAGGAGGCCGACCTTGACGGGAATGGAGAAATTGACTATGCGGGTTTGTTCTTTTCTTTGGGGTCGACTGCGTACTATAGACTTACGATCGACCGTTTCTCAGAATTCCTCAAGGTAGGGCATTCTAGCGCCGCCACCTATAACCTGTGATACTGAGGCGTTTTTGTTTCAAAGATCATGCGTAGTCAGTAGGTATGAGTGTCGGAGCCAGAAGAATAAAAGTTCAACAGGATATCTGTGATACTGGTACATGCGGAGATTACACGCTTGGTACAGCTAATTATATGATACGATGTAACGGTAAATAAAATGTCTATTCTAGCACCGTGACATAACCTGTAATGCTAAGTTCTCTTTGATCACTCCACAGGCTCATGTGCTCACAATATGTACACGAAGCTCGGATAGCGCCTTTTGATGATCATTCGAAGGGTAAACATTGAGCTGGCGCAACATTTTAGACCCCTTTCGCTGTCTCAATGTTCGTTCGCTATTCCGCACTTGGATCACATTTCGCTACCACGCTTCCTCAGTTTTGCGTTAATGGGCACTGTAGAATCTTCTTTGCCCTTTAGATCCTGTTGCCATATGAACGGACAGTCCCGCAACGTCCCTTCGAAGTCATTCAACTCCGTGAGATGCGTTTGGTCCACAAAAAAACCGTAAGTACGAGCGTCGGAGGCAGGAGAATAAGTTCAACTAACAACAAGAAATCTTCGACATTGGTACATGCTACGATTACATGATTTATACAGTTAATTAGATGACAGGGTGTACATGTAACGGTAAATAAAGTGTCTGAAAAAGTCATAGTTATATTCATAAAGTCATAAGATAAATCGTAAATTCGTGTCCTACCGGCCCGAATGCAATAAATAAGCCTATCGACCAATGAACCACGGGACGCAAAACTCACAAGATGATGAGAACTGCCAAGCTGCGGCGTTTGACTATACTTAGGCTGTAAGATCTTCCTAGAAAAAACAGATGGTAAGAACAACTATGGGAAGAACCCCGGCCGAGAAGCCTTACCTGATGGAGTGGAGAAGACCTTGGTACGACTGCTCCTTGTTCTTCATGAGGGACGAAATAAATGCCTATACATGGTTAGTGCCTATGCCAAGGTGCGAAACAAGACTGACGCTTACATAGCTCATGGCTCCAACAGCCACGCCGCCTTGAAACGTGTCGGCGCTTGTCTGCCCATCCTTACTCGCGGACCATGATATCTACCGTGTCTCGTAAATCCTCCGAAACTCGAAAGGCACTCGGAACAATCGATGCTTACCACGTCAGCGTAAGTCGACTTCCATGCTCTCCATTGTTTGGTAACGTGGTGGCCTTTGAGTCGACCACGGCAGTCATACTAGAAGAAAGCCGGCTGATCAGGTAAGATGTAGAGGGGTCCGGTGAATACAATACTCACGACATATGGTAGATCTGACAAAAAGATAAAGGCATTGAAAGAATGTTTGAGGTCTCAATTGGCTTAGACTTACCCAAGGCAGTACCGGAATGGCAGCACTGTCGAATCACGAGTTAGGGATGAACGGAGCAAGGCGCCTGTACGAATACTCACATCGAAGAGAGCCTAGTAGAATCAGGCTGTAAGTCAGGGCCGCAGGCGATCCAAACGATCGAAGAAAGGGGACGTACTGTGAGCCGGCACCCTGTCGGGAGGGGCTTGACCATAATCGCGTGCATCTCCTAGTTCAAAAAAAGATAAAGAAAATCAAACAAATGAGACAGAAGCACCGGAGTGAAAACTCACGTCATCGACAATATGACCATTTTGCTTGAAATCAACGGGGAATACGACTAGAGAAGCACGGAATGTCAATAGCTGCTTTGAATCAATACGCTGTAGACAGACCTTCATCATATCCGTCAACTTCATCGCCGTCCTTGTCACGGGTCTGGCCGCCGTGTCCCGAATCTGGAAGGAAACGATAATTAAGAGGAGAACGTCCGAGTATAGCGGGTAATCCTACAATGAAAGAAGAGCGAATCGTGGGGTTGCGCATCCTTGACGAGCCAATGCATAGCGTCAATCATGTTTCTTCTCGTGGGGCGCTGCCGTGGATTCTTACTGTCGTCTGTAAGCATCACGATATCCTCTCCCTTATAGCCCCAAAAGCCTGCAACGTATGCCGGTCAGTGCATTCGCAGAAGCCTGGACACAGATTATACCAACGAATCAAGAAGTCCCGAATATGCCTCGCATCATTGATGCACCCCCGCAGTTCGTGTTTCTGCCCACGATAATTGATACCAATCTAAGTTAAGCGTCTTCAGTAGGAGTCACAAGGCACTTAATAGGAACGCTCACGCAAAGTGCCTTCTTGCGCCCAGTACACTTGGAGTACCGAAAACGCTGTGCCGGAGCCGCGGGCGGTACCGTTTGGACCGCGGGCTGGAGCTTATGATTACTGCTGTTTTTGATAACCACAGGCTGTGAGCCACCACTGTTGTGAACAGCTGTAGGAGCCTTAGACTGTGAGCGAGGGAGAGGCTGGCCACTACTGCTGTGGTGGTAATGGTAGTGGTGGTGATGGTGCCGTTCAATGAAAAAGGCTCTCGGCGCATCTGGGGGTATGTTCATACTAAGAAAAATGAGCCTCCATATTCAATAGAGGGATGCAGGCGCTTGCTCGGACATAGAACTTGCGCTCGGAGTCAGCCCGTTATATACGTAGATGGCTTGAAACACTCACTGATGGTATGATCCGCCAGACAAGGGAAGTGGGCCATAAGGAGAAAGTCCGGAGGCATGACCTATCGAAGGGCCGGGATACCCTTCCGGTTCGACGTAGTACGTCTGGCTTCTGTCCATACGATGAGTAAGTCATCGATACCGAACCTGAGTTTAGAACATTCCTTACGTTGGCGGGAACCTGCAGGTTTGGTGAGTTAATGGTACGTATCATTGTTCAGCACTTACGATGTCAATGGCGTACCAAAAGGTGGAAGCGGTTGGTGGTAGGAGAAAGGTGTGTTGTAGGGAGGAACGTGAGCGTCAGGGAAATCCCACATCATCTCCACGAGTTGGGAAAAAGACAAGAGAAGGTAAGTATATAAGCCTGCTGTAGGTTGAAGGAAATCGGGTCAGAAACGAGCAGAAGCTTAAAAGAGGTGGTGGTGGTAGAAGTACAAAGCAATGAAACGTCTGGGAATCGAATCCAGAAGACTGCCCCCGAATGGAGGCTTGGCAGTAGCCGGGCGTCTTGTCAAATTTTTTCCCGTATGGCGGCTTCCGGTGATCATTGTCTCACATTCTTTGTCTGATGCCGACGCGGTCGTAGATCGCGAACGCGTGACCCCGCCATCTGGTTTGAACTTGAGTCACTAAACGAGTCCGAAACAGCCAGACTGACAAAATAGTCTAAGCTGTCCCGATAGAACTATGCCCAGGAGAAAACGCTATAATCAACGTTACAGAAAGCTGGGAACACCGGAGAGCATACGTAATTTAAAACGCCAACGTACTCATGGTCTACTACAGCGACCTTCTACCATACGCCACCTGCTAATAGTTCTCATCAGCGTTAATGTCTACGAGAGCGACATGAAAATTTTACATAACCGTCCACCTGGTGCATAGTGGTGATATCCTCCCTGACCATAGCCTCATGGACGCGTTCTAGCCGTGGAATGAAGACAGTGAGAAGAGAAAAATAGGTTCGCGGGACCAGCTACTACGATTGCCGAAAGCGGGATCCCGAAAAAGGAATCTTCGTTCCGTAGTGACGGTTACATCACTATCGGCATCGTCAGGGCATGAAGCGCAGCATACCATGCAGACCAACATACCGTCACCAGTTTCTGCTACGTCCCACTGCGTTACAACGTAGCAATCAAAAATCAAGGATAGGGCAATGCTACATCGAGGCGGTAATGCTTTCGAATCAGACAGCAAAGTTCTTCACGAATCAACAGTATCATAATACTGTAATAGTCGCCCAGTGTAGTCACCGAGTAGTGTCACACTGATAGTCGACACCTGTCATAAATAACTTGACATGAATGAATGGAAGTCTAGAAGGGAGAAGTGGCCCACGGTTTGAACTCTAGGATCAGGCATTGCGATATATGGGCAGTAGAGTGTAGCCGAACAGACATTTGGGACCGGGGTTTGCTCATATCTCTTCGATGAAGTGAAAGTTGAGGATGGCACTAAATATGTATTTTAATATTGGAGATAAGCGAGCGACCGCTTGAATGAACACACCAATACGAGTGTATGCGGAGCAATCGGAAATTCAAAGGGTACAAATAGACGTTCATCTATTGAAAATGTCAAACACAGCGGTAGAGGATACTGACGAAAGAAAGCACAATACCCACACCGCTATTAAACTATTACGTTGGACATGAAAAGTCGACGTTTTTCTAATGAAATGCCCTGGATGCCAAAGCACAGTGCTCCTTGTCGTGCCGTGCGACCACCAATAGCCAAAATGGCTCTCAAATACGAGCGTGAACACCCTTATACATTGAAATTCCCTGGGAAATCTCATGAGCCGGAGAAGCTAGGGACGAGGGAGACACGCACCGGTAATCACCTCTGGCTCGGAGTCCTCAGTATGAGCATCAGTTCAGCTCCAGGGAGAGAAATACAGACAAGCGTCCCGAAGACAGTCGAAATTTCATCTGCTGAGCGACCCTAGACGCGCTCGAACAGCCGTGATGGAAAGAAGGAGAAAACTATCCGTGCAAAAGAAGAAAAGAACCCATAATGCGGCAGATCCGGGACGAATAAAATTTGATCGCAAAAGTCCCAATTTTGGCAGATCAATTAATTTGTACTAAATTTGTCCCTCGATCCGGTTTTTGTCCAGGTTTGCTTTCCACCGTCATCTTCAACGAGCCGCGACCAGCTGTGGCTAGAATACTCATATCTACTTAAACTGTAAGCATCTGTATATAAAAATTACCTTACTGATTTGACCGTCGCAGGATTTTCACCAAGGAAGGATGCATTCAAGCCATGGTCACCTTGCACGGGATGTCCCTGCGAAAGTCACGATCTGCCATCCTAAGACTATCTTCCTCGCCTACATACTCTCAAAAAACTGATTTGGCGCGTCTCACGCGTTCGAATGCCCTTTTTATTGCTGCAGAAGTTGACACTCGCTTCAAGCGATGATTGCGTCGCATGAGGCTCAGCTGCAGAGCATCTATTCTTTGGCCGAGCTCAAGGTGTTTATTCTCACTATGAAGCACCATGTATCTGCTTCCTGGAAGACTATAGCACCACTACACAAGGAACGTAAACATATATCGCGGGCAATACAGAGAAAGAAAAGACTCCTGAGTCCCTTGCGCCCTTTCTCCGGAAATCCTGTCCCAGATATTCCGCTGGACTATAAATTTCCCAATGTCTCGGTATCAGGATGACCAAAGCACCTACTGGTTGCGCTTTGTACCTGGAGAGAAATGCTCTTTGGTCCATTGAACGTGTTTGCAAGCAATGAAGGGAGACATGTTTGTCGCCCCCAGAGCTCTGGTCGTTCATCAATTTTATCATAAACAATGTCAACTTTGGCCACAGTGCTCATGCATATACTCTCGGTTTCGGCAGGCAGCTGAGCCGCTCGGGCGGAAGCGCTCTGCTCTCACTAGAAATATTGCATGACGTGATCCATCGCAAGCACCTCCCGCGTTGATGGGCCCGTTATTCTCTTTTGCAGATTGCATACAAGAACTCTCGAGCTGGATGAATGCTATTTACGCCTCGAAGCTCGTTTAAATGACCTAACGCAGTTTCCTCATTACTCGCCCTAAACTTCGCATCCTTAAATTGTCATCATGGTGCCTCAATATTGGCATGCCAATAACGCAATTAGCTGATCACTTGTCCTCCCCACACCCATGTCGTTGGGAGTCCAATGTTCCGTCAGAGACGCCGAAAGCGATCCCAGACAAACATTCACGGCCATTCTGGGGATTCTTCAGCGGTCGAAGGCTCCCGTTACTGTCTTGCACTTCGACCATGGCCACATCCTAACCGCCGATATCCTCTATGCAGTCAAAAAGACCCCCACCCTTGAAGACCTGCGCCTCGCCGACGTTGATGAAGCTGTCGTCGACAAGGTTCTCCTTGAGCTGATCTTGAAGCCTAACGGGCCGGCCTTCGTGCCAAGCTTAGGCACGCTATACCTCAGCGAAGCGCTTCTCCCTCACATGCATACCTTGAGAGAATTGCTTGAGTCACGATGGACTCTTGCTGATACATTTTCCCCTCCAGTGCGACGCCTCGCCGAAGTGAGCCTATGACGGTTCATCAGTGAGGCAGGTGAACGACTTGCGGCTTCTTCTATCCACAGCTTCGCTAATTATCTCCATATGTACAACGATCAAGGCCTGAATGCATCGTTGAGTTATAGAGTGGTGAAAACGGAGGATTCTTTGTAAAGATCACCTGAGTAGAAGCCATTTCTAGGTATGTCAGTAATACTTAGACAAACACAGAACTTGCTTACAGACTTTTTGTAGGCCGAATTGACTCGATGTATTTATGGATATCAGTTTATATACATAACAAGCTCTTCGCGAAGAAAAAACATCGACACTCCTAGCCCGATATTTCAGACTTTCACAATGGTATTCTTTGTTCTGAAGGTCGTCGCACTTTCTCCTTTCTTCCCGCAGCCTCATGGATGGTGATAAGAATTTCAATACAGATGTCGAAGGGCGATGGAACAGCACTACCTTCCATTCTTCATCTCTATTGTTATCGTACGATCGTGATGCAAACAACGCGATACCTCCGATCGTCGCGGTATCTACATGATGTACTTACTCCCAGGGTGCGTCACAAGCATTCATCGACGCATGACTCACAGAGCTGACCTTCGACCAATCGTGGACAGATGCGTATGCGCCGGCCCATTATCTGCATTATATCGTGGGCCCGAACATAACAATACAAGCGATTTCCGCGGGCCTAAGTATTCGGGGAATTCTGATTAGAAATGTGTTAAATGTTTCCATGTGAAACGGGAACGATATACAGAGCCGCACCTTGAACAGGGCATCCTTCACAGAGTGCTTCTAGTACTACCTGATGTTGAGATAAGCGGTAATTCTCCAGCCGCTCACCCGGATATAGCAGGGAACCCTCGCAAACAGGCGAGGGTTGTCTTCATTCGACTACCTATTTATCTACTCGCCGTGTACACTAATAGAAGCAACAGGATGTAATAAACGAGTTCTTGCCTGACTAACCCTGACAACCGATGATCCCGACGTCAACTGCGCTGTGATGCGCGACACTTGAAACTCCAACACCTGAATATGCTCGACCATACCGGCTTCAGCTTCTTAGTCCACGGTGACTCGACCCACGATCGAATCGCAGAGAAGCAAATTGCGCAGGGCTGCTCAGATGGTCGCCGGTGACGCTTCAATGGACTCGTACGTGATGACCTTCTCCATTATCTTCCACTGATGAAAAATCCCCCCTGCCTTCTCAGTAGAAGTATACCATGGCGAAATCAGCTGTTAATGCTTCTTTCAATCTGTGTGAACTATACAACTTATGCCAACTCTGAAACCCGAAACAATGCATACAGAGTCGGCGACGGAATACAGCCATGTCAATAGCAAGATCGAGCTGACCTAGATACAGTCGTCAGGTACCTGGCTTGTACCCTCGCGGGGTCGGTGCTCAAGTTGGTAACCAGCCTGAGCATGGATATCGTGAAGCTGTTAGTGCCCAAATAGTATCTCTCAGAGAGCAAGAGAGGTTGGATGCACACTGTTTCGTCGATGTTTCGCTTTCCAACGCTCACGCTGGGCTGATCAGTTGATGAAAATGAAGCGGTTCTTTCCTGCCTTAATTGTCAGTGACTGATTCCGGTCGTAGTCTTCGAATTCTTGACGTGGGAAGTCCTTGAAACTCGTCATAAATGATCAGATCCACTGCTTATTCCTCCCTTCTTTCAGAATGTCGTCTTCCCTCGCTGCGGAAGCAGCTCAAGCTCTACCATCGTTAGGTCCGACCATGGGCGCGATGTCCCTTGCTCTTATCATAGCGTCAATGTGAGCCTTTATCGCTGCATGTTCTTAAAACCTTCCTCACCAGATCAAGATTATACGGAACAACAAACTTACAAGCAGTCATATATTTCAAAGAATATCCGGACGACTGGTGGTTCTATCGCCTTTCGGTGCGTAGACACCCATCCTACCCCAAAATACCGCTTGAGCCGGGTTTCTCGATAGATTGCGACGCTCTGGTAATTAAATATCCACAACACTACCAGCTCGCGAATTAATAGTCTCGTCGAGGGTGCTTGATACTTTGCATATTGCATTTAACATGCATGTTCTTTATTTTTATACAATTAGCTCGTTCGGGAATTACATAGCAATCCTTAAATTCGTGTGGTGTGTATTATTTCTGTCTTCCAAAATCTAACTTTCGACTTGCGTCCAGGAGCTTCAAGGTAAGTGCACCAAAGTGCGTTAGAAAGTTGACTGACCGAGGATTTCATATCAGTTGGGCTTGGTGATCTACGTGAGTGGCTGGCCTTTATTGAACATAACCGTTTACTTACTAACTATGCATGAACGCCTCGCACAGAACATGATTGTCTTCTGTGTTCATATGTATGTCGAGCCGACTCGAGCGTTCGAAGATTGACCAGTGACACTCAATGTTTGCTTCAGCGTATACTGTGTAAGGTTGTGGATGCGTAAGTAATGTCCCCTTTTTGGTCTTCCTATTTACTATGGTCGGCAAACGAAAATTCAGTGGGGCGGTATTTCCATCGCATAATTCCGTGGTTTATAGTACGTTTGTTCTGATTCAAACATCTGAATAACCGTCCTCATTTACACAGACAGTCATCGTAATTGGAATCTGCGGTAGGCTTTCTTTGTTTTAATGAGTGCTAAATGGGCCTTATCTCCGTCGCTATTAGCCACATCAATCAGTAAGTATCTTTGCTCTTTTCTCCCGCGGTTGCACTTACAATATATGTCAGTTTTCTGCAGAGAAGTGTAAGGAGTTCGAAATCATTGAAGAATTTTCCCTGAATTCTTTCTTTCTGGCAGGTACACGATATCATATATCACTGAAATTAACAAGATTTCCGTAAGTGGGATACCATGGAATTACAGTCGTGTACTAGCTGACGCTCGTTGTCATTAGCCAACGATCGAGGCCGGGCTTACTACAACAGTATCTGTGGACATAATCATAGCCTTTGCGATGTCCTACTACCTTCTCAAGGGGCGAACATCTACGGGTTCCTTTAGGCAAGTTTATTTCCGTTCCTCAAATTACTAGTAGGATCTAAGGCCAATCATCAGTACGAACATCAAACTTGTTGCCTTGATGCGGTTGATCCTCATTTCCGGACTCGGTACAAGGTAAAAATTCTCCAGCCGCATAACGGATCACGATCCACGGAACTCATGTGAACGCAGTGCGCTAGGATTAGCCTCTCTGATCACGGTACTGTCTAAACCTAATTGAATAATTGACATCCGTCGAGTACTGATTTCTCTATAGTTTCTTGTCTTTCCCGGAACGCTTATCTTCATGGCAATCGGAATCGTTACATCCAAATGTCAGTCTCTGTTCTCACATAGAAGTGTCTTTTTACCTGAAATTTCTCACAGTGTATATTAACTCTTTATTAGCTATGTACGAATTTTTGGAGTATGAATGGCTTGTATTTCAACCCTCTCCGATAGGTTCAACGCACGGGAACGAAGACAACAGAAGAATGTTGGCACCTCCTTCCCATCAACATTCAGAGCCCAAGGCGAAGAAAACGTACGTGTCTCCTGAGGGCTTTGAGCCGGTTGCTTTGACTAGATGTTTCAACAGATTACGAACCCCATTCCGCTGTCTGATATTATCAGTAGCGTTCAGACGTCCGACGACATGGTTTTCGATAACTGTAAATCGGAGCGACAGTATCATATCTCCGAGGCAGTTTGAACAGAAGACCCGGAATCCAAGGGTAGAGGAACCGAAGAAATTCACGGTCATCTCGGCTATTTGTTTATAAATCTCGACAATGATTATTCTCGAAATGATGTCAATAATGGCAGGAGAAGCAACTACACTGTTATTACGATACCCTCAGCAGCATTTTCTTGTCCCAAATGGTACCCTGCGTGTTTAAACGAGTCAGATATCAAGGCTAGTCGAGCCAGGACTCCGACCCAACGAAGGTACGCATCGTAATCAAGGATATTGGAGTAACCGACAAAAATTGTCATTGTTGTTGTATTCGCGAGGGTAGTATTATGTTAGGAGTCATGAATCATTCGAAGGCTACTGAGTCTGCGTAAAATGTACTATCCAAATTAATAAGTAAACCCAGCCGACTGATAGAAGCTAGAGTGGGGACTTCGCCAGTTTCTTGAAAAAAACGAAGCATTGAAACGGCATGCTCGGACCGAACGGTGGGAGCGTTGGCACGGTCCGGTTCCTCCGCGATCACGTGCACCGTTTCCGTAGTTCTCCGTTTGTTTGTAGCTACACCCGCGACTATCACTAGCCATCAGGCATTCTCTCTATCGGACCTAGCGATACGGTTCCAACGGGCTAGGCCCACCGATCAACATGAATAAATATCATCGCGCTTTTCCTTCTCACCGTGGCTCAGGATACCAAAATCCTGTGACTCTGCATTCGTCAAGCTTGGCTTGATACTCATCTATCAGCTAATATAGTCATCTCCGTCAGCGTCCTTTGCGGCAGGCCTAGTTCCGCCGGCATGGAGTGGCAACGTTTCAGCATGGTGTCATACGCGGAGATGAAATCGTGACGTTCATTGAGGTTTCACCGCTTGGAAGCTAACCAGTACTTAGGTCAGATTTCAATCGTACATCCGACCATGAAAGTCGTCGGGAAAAATAGGAATGCCGTTTACGAAATGACGATTGTGCGATCAATCTATGGATGAGATATCTCCCGGGCGGTAGATTCCTCGTGCTGAAGAATTGACGTTTGGAGCCCTGTTTGCTACTTGTCTTCATTGACAAGGTTGATACTCATCCGAGCGATCGAATTTTTGACTACTGCACCATTATTTTGAAGGCATGAGGGTACCGCAATGAGCGCTGAAGCGCTGATTCTTGATGAAGGTATCTGATTTACTGGCGTACGCGACTTATCGATCTCTGATCCTGTTCCTAGGTCAGACCGGTACCTCCGAGGCCTAGAAATAGATTGTTCGCTTCTGAGTACATAAGTAAGGTTCGCTGGCGACAATATGCTCTGTCATCGGCAGGCGCGCATGAATTCTCCCGAGGTTGATTTCTTGATTCGTCCGCATAGTTCTACGGCTATCTCTGCCGGAATCAATGGCCATACACAGTGGCTTACTCGCGTCTTCCCGGCCGGCAACCGTATGGTTGCGATTGAATGGACGACTCAGCAAGGTGTGCGATCGAAGTTGCCCCTACGCGACTTTTAGAATCCATTAAGCCACTCTCCCCCAATGTAGATTGACTCCGCCGTACATCCACGGGGGCGGCCCGTTCAATCAACCTGCAATCGACCTAGTGATTTCCTTTTTCATCCGCTTGGTCAAGATTGACTCATCACACGAACCATATTTTCTCTTCATAAAAAGCGGTGTCTTGGCCTAACATTCTGTAGGGAAGAGTTGCTTGTTCAAGGCTTGTCCCTTCTCACGGTCTATTCATGAACATTGCTACTCCTGGATAAAAATACCTCATGCCTCGATTGCCGACACCAATGGATGTTGCTCATCGACAGCTTTCGTGTGAGCCGGAGAAAATTCGTTCATTACTGTTTGGCTGAATATATGAACAGATGATGCCTGTAGCCGTCTGGCTTCTACTGCATAGGTAAACGGATGTGGAGCTGATGCATCATGACTGTCACTCGTCGCCCGCGTTATGGATAGGCAGAATTTCATCGTACTGTTGTGTAAGATTGGATCTTTGACGTGATTGCGTCTAACAACCTTCTTAAGAGGGCCCCAAATGTTTGGCAATTATCCGTCAATCCCCGAAGTCGCGATTTAGAAGGCGTCTATCTCACGCACCGCGAAGTGACCGCTGACGACTGAACGATATAAAAGGTCTCTAGCTTGTGGAGAATATTCATCTCGAAGCCCCTGCCTCCTTCAGACGCGTTCACCATGTCTAACGTCGCTTCTCTTCTATGGCTCGTTTTCCTCGCGAAGATTGTTGCATCCGCACCAGCATCCGTCGACGCGTCTGTTTCTAATTCTGACGTCGCCACATCCGCCAAAGCGTCCACCTCTGGTACGACCATCGCGAGCACCACCAATAGTGCTCTAGAAGCAACAGCGACTGTCGGTTTTATTTCTACTGACGCCAATGATGTTCTATGGGATGAAGAGAGCAGGTCTTCGGTGGTCACCGCCGAGCGCGGTAAACTCGGAGCTTCCATTATGGGACCGGATAACATACCAATGGACCTGCAAAATCCCGACTTCCTTGCGCCACCAACCACTGACTCCGGCTCTGTGTCAGTAAATGTTTTATTTATACTTTTTGAAAAATTTCTGATTTCCTTATGATAGGCCAAACGCCAAATGGCCCTTCGCCCTGAGTCATAACCGCTTGCAGACGGGAGGTTGGGCCCGTGAAGAGAATAGTGAGCCACGGCCGCACTCCACCGTTCCGTGACGTGGCGCTAATATATTTTATCATAGTCGGCGTCATGCCTATCGCGACGGGTGAGTAGAGCGGTGATCTACCGTCTCGCATGGAGTTCACTGGTTCGCAGAAATGGCCAGCGTCAACATGCGACTCGAAGCAGGCGCCATTCGGTATTTTCATTCCTCGATATGTAGGTTAAGTCTGACAAGCATCCCCCAGCGAATTGCACTGGCACAAGACCGCAGAGGTCAGTGATATTTGATCATGATGAGGATGCATCATCAGCTTCTGACAGCTTCGTTGAACAATAGTGGGCGTATGTTCTAAAAGTAAGTACCCTAAATATACCTCCCCGATCACTGGCCACTGGCACATTCCGACATCTTCTGCCAAAGGGATCCACACAAATTACGGCAGTCGATACTGAAGGACGAAACTACGTTGCCACTGTGGTACGTATACTCACAGGCGCCCGCTATCCATCTCATTGAGCCTTCAGGGACCCGGTGACTTGTGGTACTTCCCTCCTGGTATCCCTCACTCATTGCAGGCGACCGGGGATGACGGAGGAGGCTCTGAGTTTATTTTGGTATATCTCCATTCAGAACTCGCCGTCCCTGGTCCTGTTTAACCACGTCGCAGGTATTTGATGACGGAGCTTTCAGTGAAGACTCCACGTTCCTGGCAAGTCATTTATGCTATTGTGTTCAATAGCTAACTCCAAAACTTTAGTTGACAGACTGGCTAGACCACGTTCCCTATGAAGGTCCGTCCTGTTTCCGTCCTGTTTCCGCCCTGTTTAACCTACTCCTACCTGGCAGTCCTCCAAAAGAACTTCCAGGTCGGTAACCCGGACGCATTCGCACACATCCCCAAGGATGAACTCTACATTTTTCCAAGCAGTCCGTATTCCTTCATATTTCTCTCGGGTAGCTCTAAATTAAATTAATCTAATGCAGTGATTCCCGAGGATGATGCCTCAGCCCCGGAAAGTCCCCAAGGAACCGTCCCGAATCCTTATTCGTTCCCTTTGTCGAAGGCCAATGCCACTCAACTATCGGGAGGCTCAGTCAAAATTGTGGATTCTACGTCATTCACAGTTTCGAAGACTATTGCGATGGCAGAAGTTAGAGTCGAGCCTGGTGCGATGCGGTATTTCTGTCTTACTTTAATACATAGAATTGTTTTCACTGAACCGTGGTCGCTTAGGGAACTGCATTGGCATCCTACTATGGACGAGTGGAGCTTCTTCATGTATGTTATTTCTATGGATTTTTTCAGTTCTAACCTCCATTTAGTGAGGGTACAGGAAGAGTGACACTGTTCGCATCTGAAGGGACTGCCAGGACGTTCAACTACCAGCCTGGTGATATTGGTTAGCCCCCTTTCTATCGATTACTTCATTGTCTGACCGAGCACTCGTATGATAGGCTACGTTCCCGCAGCTTACGGTATAGTGCCAAGCGCCTTTTGCTTGGCTTATTGTTTCTTACTATGTTCGATTAGGGCATTACGTCGAGAATACCGGCAATACGACATTGAAGTTCCTAGAAATCTTCAAATCCGGTACGTACCATGCTTTGAGGACCGAGCCTTCAGACCGACTGTGCTCTTAGATCGTTTCGAGGACATCAGTCTCAATCAGGTGAGAAATAATCGATCAAACTTTGTTTCTAAGTTCTGACAGCCATTTCTAGTGGTTGGCCTTGACTCCTCCCGCGGTAGTGAAAGCACATTTGAACATAGATGACGCGACAATTAGCCAACTCTCCAAAGTCAAACCAGTCGTAATTGGACCTGGCGCTTGATATCTACCTTAAAATATGTACTTATCCGGGATCACGATTAAAATTGGAAGGACTTTAGAATTTATAAGTATATTTTCAATGAGTATCTGAATTTGCTTTTAGTATTATTGAATACGTGTAAAATCACACCAGAGCAAATTCGCTGCATTAAAGCTGAACCCGTTTTCCCGGTAAATCGGTCCGACGGTCCGACTCAAGCATCTAACCGTACATTTCGTTTTCAAATTGTTTTCAAACCTCCATCACTTGCCTCATATCCCAGCTTCCGGCTCTTGCTATAGCTCCTCATCGTCATGAATAGTTCATAATGATTCTATACCGCAGGGTACTCGTGTAATGATCTTGTACATACCACAATACGAACTCAAAGGTCGGCACCAGTCAACGTGCCGTTTGTAAAGGATCACATTCTTATAGGTCCTTACGCAGCTCCTCTAAAACTACGATGGTCAGCGGATGTATGCCCCCCTTATATGCATAGTATTATGGGGACATTAACACTTTGCGATAGGTGCCGATTGGGTAACAAAGACCAGACCAAAATCTCTACGAATTACTCGCTGCGCAGTGACGCACAAGTGACGCAGGTGGTAGGGTCTTTTTCTCGTATAGTATGCCGTTTGGCTGGTTTGGGAATTAACCGTCATTACAGTAGCTCCGGATGTCAATTTTGATATTTTAGTACGTGATTGGATTGTATTCTTAGTTCTACGGATGACGCGTTTTACTGTGCAGAATCGGAGAGCTGGTACAACAGCTTCTGCGCAGCTGTAATGCTATTTAGACGTTCAGATGGTCGGTCGCTCGCCTTTGAAGGCATCATATATTCGGGTCAATTAGGAAGCATGTCTTGTAGACGATAAGCGCGTTCCGGTGAGGCCGGGTTTCTTTTTATTATGAATAACAAATGTTCTAATAGATTACTCGTCGCACGCGCTCAAGTAGCTTCATTCTTCGTCGTTCATCCTGTGGGCTACATCGATCGAGACCGGCTAGTACACAAAAACTGCCCCTGAGCCTGAGAATTGCAATGACTCGAAGAGCAGGAAGTTGTTTTCCGGTCCTCTACCAGGACGCCTCTCCACAATTCAGGATCCACCTTACCCATATCTGCACAAGATTTTGACGAGCCTTCCTCACTCTTATTGGACTAGGGTGCTGGACTTTGAAATTTTATTCAACCAGTGACTAATTCTCAAACGCGAGTCCTGATCTATTTCTATTTTTGATGATCCTTGTGCTAAATATATATTCCTCTAACCGTAGATATCTGCTTTGCTGGCAGTTCCTCAGTGCTAACGGCGATTACGTTCATACTGGAGTTTGGTAGAGCCGGGAACGACGTCTATCCCCGTAGCTGGCCACCTCTCGAAGTACTAGTAGGCGCCTTTGCGGGCACCTGACGGGGCGTTGCGGATTTCACGGCTGAATGTGGATCAGAGGCGCTGTTAGGACATCACTGGACAGGACTTACACCTGTTAGTTATTTTTTATTCCGATCTGAGTCATAAATTAGCGTCATTCGCAGCAGTAATGGGTGAAGAATGAAGACATGACGTGAGTAGTCCTTCGTGCAACCTTCCTCATTCATCTGAGATGTGCCTTGGCGTTGTAGATGTTATCCGTGCATCCCCGAAGACTGAATGACTCGGTGATTTGTAACTGGCCGAGAGGTGGTACATGGGCAGTATTAAAGATTCGAGTATGTAGGGATACATCCATTCCAGAAGTCCATCTCTCTGACGTATTCACCATGATCAAAGTCTCCTCCATTCTATTGGCTGTTTTCCTAACGAATTTCGTGGGAGGCGCTCCTACCAGCCGTAACTCCTCCTCTACCGATGCCAGTGTCACAACGTCGTTCACTGAGGTTGTGTCGAGTACTGCGATCCCGACTTCGACAGATACCTCCTTCGAAGAGACGACTACTGTCGGTTTTATCTCCACCAACCCTAACAACGTCTTGTGGAACGACAGCAGCGACCCCTCTGTAGTGACCCCCGAACGTGGGACACTCGGTGCACCCATTATGGGGCCGGATAACATACCGCTCGATCTACAAAATCCTGACCTTTTGGCACCACCGACCACTGACTCTGGAACACTGTCAGCGAATTGATTTTCTCATTTGCGGTTAATTCTTCTTACCCGCTTTTCCTAATATACAGTCCCAACGCCAAATGGCCTTTCTCCCTTAGCCATAACCGTTTACAAACCGGGGGATGGGCGCGCCAACAGAACAGTAAGTTATAACTCATTATCCCTTCAAATAGCGCAGCACTGAGGTAATTTATTATAGTTCAGGTTATGCCTATCGCTACTCGTGAGTAAAGTGGCAACCTATGATGTTGCAAGTTCACATAATGCTATCGGCAGAGATGGCTGGTGTCAACATGCGACTTGAACCGGGAGTAATTCGGCAAGTGTTTCGGGATTTAGTACTTATACTCGCAGCTCATGTCAGACCTATAGTGAGCTCCACTGGCACACGACGTCAGAGGTATGTAATCTTTAGTCTATCCATGATATGGTCATCTGACGTAGTCGATATCAGTGGGCGTACGTGTTAAAGGTCACACCCCCAATTCTAGGATGCTGTCGTCATCTTCTAACGTCCTTTCTAAAAGGGATCGACTCAAGTCACTGCAGTTGACGCAGATGGCCGAAACTACCTTGCTACAGTGGTAGGTGCCTTTAAACACACACCAGTCGTTTATCTAAACTGCTTTTAGTATCCTGGTGATTTGTGGTACTTCCCTCCTGGTGTGCCTCACTCTCTACAGGCCACCGGAGACGATGAAGAGGGTTCCGAGTTCCTTCTTGTAAGCTCTATATATGATCTGGCAATCTGGCCTTCTAACTGCAGTGCAGGTATTTGATAGTGGAGACTTTAATGAAGACGCCACATTCCTGGTAAGTCGAATCGTAGACCCAAGCAGGCTTACCGGTTAACTACGGAGGAGTACAGTTGACCGATTGGTTGGATCATGTTCCCTATGAAGGTGCACTTTCTCGATGATATGACCTCATTCTTTCTCTGACGAAATCTTAGTCATCCGAAAGAACTTCCAAGTCAGTAACCCGGATGCGTTCGCGCACATCCCGGCACATGAGCTTTACATCTTCCCAGGCCGTTCGTATCTTCCCTATATGCACATGAAGTAAAGGAAGCTGATCTGTCTGCAGCTGTTCCCGACGATGATGCAACTGCCCCGGAAGATCCTCAAGGAACGGTCCCTAATCCCTTCTCGTTCCCGCTCTCTCAAATCAATGCCACTCAGTATTCGGGCGGATCCGTGAAGATTGCGGATTCCACCACATTCACTGTCTCTACGACTATCGCCATGGCCGAGGTGACCGTTAATCCCGGCGCAATGCGGTACGATATAGTTATTATTGCCTCAAATTAATTTCCCGTAGACTGATGGAATTATAGGGAGCTGCACTGGCATCCTACGATGGATGAATGGAGCTTCTTCATGCAAGTGCTTTTTTGTTGAACAATTTCGGCTCCACCTGACGTTCTTGCAGTGAGGGTACCGCAAGAATGACCATCTTCGCATCGGAAGGTACTGCCAACACATTCGATTACCAGCCTGGCGACATCGGTTAGTCTCCGTTTCTGCCGTTCCTGTTATATGGTCAATTAACTCTTTGCGACAGGTTACGTGCCGACGGCTTACGGTGTGTAGTTGGTGTTTGTTTAAAGTTGCTCCTTGATTGACAACTCCGCTGAACAGGCCACTACGTCGAAAATACTGGAAATACGACATTAAAGTACTTAGAAATCTTCAAGTCGGGTAGGTGTCTTTGACCATCTTTTCCTCGAGCGACAGAACTAATCTCGTGTTATACCAGATCGCTTCCAGGATATCAGTCTTAACCAGGTGAGAAAAGATCGCTTTTAAGGTCGACTCGATCTGACAGAAGTCTGCAGTGGTTGGCTTTGACTCCTCCCGAGTTAGTTCAAGCCCATTTGAACTTGGACAATGAGACTATTAGCCAGCTTTCCAAAGTTAAGCCAGTCGTAATTGGACCTAGTGCTTGATTTTGTTTTGCTTTGAAGAACAAGTCGTATAAATAACCTGTACGCATGGACACCCTATCTACCATTATGAAAGCTTCGAGATCAATAATGTGGTACTGTAAAGTACTACGTAACAATGGAATGAATCAAGCAGTGCAGACATCTCGCGATTGAATCCTCTAAACCTTCGTAGTCAACGTCAGGTCCATTCCTTGCGTCTTGTAGACATCAAGAACAGAAAGAGTCGTAATACGCTCCACTTCATCTCCATCCGGCTCGTCCCCCGTTTTAAGGAACCGGCAAAGATTGACCTCATCCAAGCGCCGAACAGAGGGCGATTGGACATGAGCAAGTGTCCATCGGGATTCCACCATATTGACGAATATCTGCATGGAGAACAACATTGGTCCACTGATATGCAAAGTATGCAGACGGGGAATCAAAGGTTCGGTTCCGTCAACCTTCAGCGTCAATCGGAGGAGCGTCTCGTTACTAATTGCGCCTTCGTCTACGTCTGTGAGGCGAACATCCTCAAGGGTTGGGCACGTGCTCAGTATTTGGAGGAGATCTTCCTCCAGTATATCGCCGTGATCAAAATGGAGAGTAGTGATAGAGGGCTGGCCCGAGCGCCTGAGGACGTCGTATATAGCGGCGAATGTTTCTTCATCGTCACGGTCAGCATCATCGATAGAGCATTTCACGTACAGCTGCTGAAGGACGGGAAGTATGAGTTTGTCGAGTAGTTCCTTGACCGGTGTGTGGTTTTTGAACCGCCATGAGGAGAGGCTCAATACGTGAATTTGAGATTCTACCGTGTCGAGATGCTCATCAACCCATGACCGTTCGGTAGATACCAACTCGAGGCGGAGATAGCATTCCGACATGCTGGTAAGATTTTGGAAAATGCGTAGAGCGGACTGTGTTTCAAGCCCAGGCGCTCGGCCAGCGTATAATGCATGATCGCTTGTAAAAGTAGCAATCTGCCCCCACGATAGATCAAAAGAATGGCAAGGCTGCGGTATGTCGACCGTGTGAAGTCGGTGAAGCATCGGGCAGTGAAATAATTTCAAGCCTTGGTACTCGTCAATTGACTCTACCGTAGGAAGTAGACAGAGATCTGTCAGCGAAGGTAGGGAAAGATGCAAGGAAGGGATATGGGCGAACATCACAGGCGGGACGTAGAGATGGAGGCGCTCTATGCATGTAGAAAAGGAGAACAGAATAGCGACAATCGCAGGCGGTAGTTTGGCAAAAGATGAGCCGATTTCATCGTTCAATATCGTTAATGATAGAGGACGATTCTTTGAGCGATTAAGCTGGGTTCCAATGCGGTGAACATATGAGATACCACGACTATCGTCGCCGAAATTAGTGTCCGTGATGACTATGTTTATGGACGACCAGAGTTCCGGGAAATCCAGAGCCACTGTCCTCCACCTCTTACACACTGTTTCGATCGTCCAGATCGAATTTTCAGGAGGAAGAAATCCCCATGCTTCATCTCCGTCAGTATGAAAACGCGGTATGGGGAAGACGATTGTCGAACTGAAGATACGAAGGAGTATCTCTGCGGGGAAGCGCCTGATGGGATTGAGGAGTTGCTTTCTTTCAAGAATTGCCGCTGATATAGCATGCCTCTCTTTGTATAGGTCATCCACTTTTTGCTCAGCAAGCGAGATACGGCTTTTCATCTCGGCGATGAATTGTGTCAACTGCTCTTGCTCCGTATCTATATTCTGTAGCTCTGCATCGTATGAGGATAACATTTTCCGAAGTACAGCTTCTTCAGCGTCAGAAGGAGAATCATTTGAATGAGCAAGACGTGCCAAATTCAGGGGCTTGAGAGTATGACGATCAGGAGAAAATTCGTAGGATGGTATTTGGTGATTGGGGCATGTGCATCCAGTGCAATGGGACCAGCTCAAAGGAGTTCCCGTCATGATGGTCGTCTTGCTTTCGGACAGTTAAGAACAGTGGCAAACGCAAAAAAAGGTCTGAGAAAGGATGCGAGTCAGTAAATATGGCAATATGAAGTCATTTTATTCCCCACATTCACTTTGTAACCTCAGCAGCGTAATAATAGGGCAATGGTTGTCTGTCAGGTGAAGTTCAGGTTAAACGTTCGGAGCTGTTTTAATTTAGTCACGCGAAATACAGGTGCCATTTGAGTAATAAATAATTAACTATTTAAACGGATATAAACTATTAAGTAATCTAAATTTGGAAGACCGCACATGACGCGTCCGCGCGCTAACAGGACCCCCAATTATCCCTATAGAGGTCGATCGGAAAGTTTGGACAGATTTGGCCTTCCTGCTCACTGAGGTCGGCACAAAGTTTGGACAAATTGACCTGTCTGACTTTGTAGGTCGGATTTTTTGTTCGGACAATAGAGGACAGACCCACAATGTCGGAACGGAAATTCGGACAAGTAACATGAGGTAACACGTTACATGCCACCTAGCATAGCCTAGTACTAAGACCTATCCATTGTCTATTTTAATGAACAAAGTTACATGCTGATGTTCTATTGAATTGGCATTTCCAGTTCACACCGTTGAGAAAAATTTTATTTCTTCAATAAATCATTTACATTCCGGTCTACCTAGAGAGACAATTTCCTACATCTCATGTCGCCCACTTAGGCAACCCTCTACTCTCCTACTCTCATGGAAACTGAAATACTAGAGCTCTACTCTGACAATGAACTTAACACATATCCATCATGGGTTGAGGATGAGTTCCAAGTCCTATGAATATAGGATATCTCGGTCTTTATGCAGGTGGGAATGACCCATGGGAAATTCTATTCGTGGAATCAATTGATGGCGGCCTTTGCCGACTGCCCAACTGGATCACCCCATGGGAGTTTTTCTATTCGTGCGTGGCCTTTGCCAATTAAACTTCCTTCCGGCAACTGTTTCGTTGTCCTCGCTTGTTGTCTCTTCGCATGCTACCTCTCCAACTCTCCGCGACTTTTCCAGTGTCCCTTTCCGGTTCACCTGAAGGCTCATTGTTGTCCATCTCCCCCATCCAGCATGCCAGCAGTGACAACTGTCAGTGCAAACTCGGACTAGATCATCTTTGACCTCAATGGTCATGGCAAGTATTTGCTTGATGTTGGCTTTTCTCGCTGGATTAAACTTTTACATTCCACAGGTTTTTATTCTGGTCAACCAAGTCTCAGCCTCAAGAATCAACTTGCACACACCTTGAAGGGACAGGACTACTCACTGATGCCAACAACTCAAGACTACCAACAAAGTCGAACAGGCTTAGGAGTGCCTTGTGATGCTGAGTTAAATGTGGGTATTGTTTTTCTGTCAGTGCCTTCCAGGCCTTATTGACTGAAATCAGCCAACATGGAGCATTCGAATACTTGTTTTCTGCCAAAGGTACATCCTCTCTATTTCCCCCCAACTCCATGTGCTAACCATAGCTGAAAGGAGCACATTTAATCTCTCTGGAGATAGCTACCACAAGCTTCAGATGGCTTTTGAAGGTGGTTTATGTTTCTGTTATGCCCACTTTCTTACTGATCTGTTTCAGAGAGCAAGCGGATGTCACATTCCATCTTGGTGTTGATCACAGCACTGTCATGTTCAAATCTGGCCTCGTTGGGAAAGCTAGCTATGCATTCGTATGACAGACCCATGCTTGCTCTTTCACTTTTCAAGGGAATATGGGGCGCTGACTTCGATGGTTTTTGGATGAGATCCTGTTCACAAATGCATCAGGCCATGTTGCTATGAAGAAGGTTTCTGGCTTTCCTGTGTTGCAGCAACTTTCTTGCTAACTTATCTCTTATCTAGATTGTATCATTCAGGATATCATTCGTGTCTCTGGGTGTATCTCCCCCTGCTGTGGTCAGCTGCTCTCCTAGATTGACACATGCATGCCAGATGTTGCTTCCTTGACACCCTCTATTTCTCTGGAAGATGCCATAACCTCTGTCGATTCGGCACCTTTAACTGATTTCCACCAATTCTTGAGTAACCTAGTCAAAGACGACAACACCATCACCCTGTTAGGCACTAACTTGAATCTACTCCAAGGCTGATCTCTATCCTGTCACTCGCATTTGGTGATTCAGTGTTAGAGAGGCGTTGGTTGATTGCGAGAAGTTAGGCGTCACTTTATAGCAAAAGCAAGGAGCTTGTAAGAGTTAGGAGTATATAACCTTAGCCGAAGCTGGGGTCTGAGACCACAGCATAGGCTAGCTTAAATACATGTTAGACTCGTACTAAGAATAGTATCTACAAGGGCACGTGCAATGAGAAGTGTGTCTTTCAATGAATGAGGAGGGAGGACACTAAAAGAAGTATGCTCCTGATGAATGAGAGTAAAGAGCGCATATCACCTGCATCTGCATGGGACTCCATCTGAATAGGCTGCATCCCATAGACCGCCCTCGACTGGCGGTCGACTCTCGTCCAACTACTAAGAAGCATGATGCCATCAAGAGAAGTGTGATGGTGCATGCGGGTCGCTGGTCATCTGGGGGGCAGCAGCATGAACTGGGGTGATGGCAGCCGGGTAACTGGGTAAAGAGTGTGCTGGCAGAATATCATGGGTCTGGGAGATAAGATAGGCAGGTCCGGGGTTCTGAGAGATAAGGATAAGATAAGATAAGGAAAATAGGGGTAAAACCGTAATAATACCCCCCGACTAAGACTGTCATCCTGACAGTCCTTTAGACATACTCACTCCCTGAGTCAAGGGAGTTAGTAGATTCCATATCCCATTTGTAGTCCTTGGTTTGTTCCCAAGCAGACATACCCCGTTCTTCTTGAGGGAAGCTGGGGTTGGTCTGAGTCATTAGAGGAGACTCAGAATGCTTGTCTTCAAAGACGTCTTCATCCGTGTCCGATGAATAAAAGCTCTGCTCGTCGAAGGATAATGGATCGGTATGATTCTTGTTCGAGATTAGAAAGAAAGTTGAGCTCTCGGTTGCTGAAGAGCCAGGAGATGATATGGTTATGCATCCTCCTTCGTTTTCCAAGTGTCGCAAATCATGATCCTGTACATGGTTTTCCTTGTTCTCGTACTCCTTGACGAGTTCTTTGGCATTGGCAAGATTGCTCCTCTTGACCCAAGTAGCTTCCTCCACTGGGTATCCCTTCCATTTGACCAAATATTCCGTTATGGTCCTCCAGCTGTGTCCTCAACTGACGACGCGGTTGTGGTCCTGAAGTAGTTCCTCTACTTCATATTCTTCCTTGCCTTCCACGAGTTCTGGCTCGGGTGGCGGAGGTTTCTCCTGGTTGGAAAACTCTGGGGGGACGTACGGAGTTAGGTATCGTTCATTGAACTTGTTGTGGATCTTCCATCCTGGCGGCAGTTTTAGTTCATATGCGGAGGGCCCCTTTTTGGAAATTATTTCAAAGGGGCTGACGTGTTTGTCACCTAGCTTTTTTGCCGGTCGGGGGAGGTGAAGGTTGGTTGAGTCCAACCAGACTTTATCTCCTGGTTGGTACTCCTGTGCAGGGTGAGTGTGTTTGTCATAAGCCTTTCTCATAACTTCGATGGCTTTATTCAGAGAGTCTTCCACTTGTTTGCATACTCTCTGGAGGCTTTCGACGAAGTCAGTTACCGATGGTGTTTCCGACTGCCTCACCACGGTTGGGCGAATTTCCCCATCTCGTCCGTAGACTACTTTGATGGGAGAAAAGCCCATTGCAGAATGTTGGCGGTTGTTGTGAGCGAATGCTGCCCACTGCAGCCATTCGCTCCAGTCGTCCTGTTTGTGGTTAATGAAGACTTGAAGGTATTTTTCGAGTTCTTGGTTAACCCGCTCTGTTTGCCCATCCGTCTGAGGGTGATAGGCTGTTGACAGATTTCCCTGAATATTCATCATTGCGTACAGTTCAGTGATGAATTTTGATACAAATTGGGTGTTGGGATAGCAATCCCGAGTTAGTGCTAGAATGCACTCGAAGCTTCGGCATGACTAAGTGGCATGAACATTTAACTGCAATAGTAGACACATATAGTAATCCGTAGTAAATTCTAGAAGTAGTACAACTTGTATTTAAGTACGATGCCTCTCTCTCGAGAGGCTAATTAATTCTCTCTCTTACACATTCTCCTCTGTACTTCCAACAGGTTATGGGCCCTGGCCCTAACTGAACTACTTACCTCATTACCTACTTCGCACTTTTGTACATTACATACACATACAGAACCACATGGAAAGCCAGTCCATTTACAGAATTGACCCCCTTAAGGGCCTGGAAAATTACCTGACATGGAAAATCAAACTGATCGATATCCTAACCGATTTAGGTCTAACTGATTATGCAGACGGAAGCATCAAGGCCCTGGCAGAAGCGGCACTGGTGGCAGATTGGAAGAAGAGTGATAGGAAGGCTCTTTCGACAATAAGGTTGCGGGTTTTGGATGGCCCGCTGGTGTATATTGCTGGTTCGAAGACTTCAGAAGAAGCATGGAATGCTCTAAAAGACATGTATGAGTCCAGGGGACCCATGGGAATTGTCCTTGTTAGAAGGAGATTCTTTAGAGCTCAGTGTGAAGAAGGTGTTACGGTTTATTCATTTTTCTTCATTTTACTCAGCCTGATTATGCATATGCAATCCTAGCGGGTCATTTCTCACAGTACTATTATTAGCATATCCACTTGTATTTAAGTAGAGCCTCAGCTGGCCTAAACCCCAGCTTCGGCTAAGGTTTAATCTACCCAACTCGAACTCCGTCCTTCGTGACTATCTGCCCTCAACCCACTTTGACATCGCCTTTGACTTGCTTGAGTATCTACCACCGAAGTGCAAGTGGTGATCCAAGTTCGATCTAAGTCGATTATTAGTTGGTTGATAACATTTAGCCGAAGCTCGTCACACGTCGCCCAGCAGTACGCTGCCCAACAAATCTCGAAAACTCCTATGCCCTGGGCTCTAGCCCAACATTTATATCTTCATCATCGTACTCTTGGTAGCTGATTGGATCCTTCCACTGGTGCTACCCAACCCAATCCTCACCGTCGTCCTCATAGTCCTTGTGACTACTCTCTTCGTTCTAGCAACCATTCCGGCACCACTACTAGCAGTTTTGCTCGTAGCAGCCTACGTTGGTCTTCTACGAATTTGAAAACGAATCCCTTCGCCATACTCCTCCGGCTTGCTTCTCTGTTAACGATTGTACTGTTGACATTG